AATAATAATAACAATAATAACAATAATAATAATAACAATAATAACAATAATAATAATAACAATAATAATAATAATAATAATAATAATAATAATAACAATAATAACAATAATAATAATAAAAATAATAAAACCAATAGAATTAAAATTAATAAATATAATAATAAGCAAACGAATAATAAAATAATCAATAAATAACATCTAATTAAACCAATAAATCATAAACAATAAATTAAACTGATTAAACTACAAAAATCTAATAATAAACTGTTGTACCATAAAAATAATAGGAAGTTCATTAATAATAGCCATAAGTTTAGGCTAATCAATATACACAATAATTAACAAGAGTTTAAAATCCATCAATACCTCAATCTCAAGTTTAATAATAGGTTCACCAATCATAAATTGGATAAACTTCAACCCAAAATAATACTTTACCATTACAAGAGTATAATTAACAATAAGATCAAATGAAATATTATAATACTAGTGGATAAGGATCTTAATAGTATGGAATTCAAACAGTTTAATAGTAATAAAGATAATAAAAGCCAATTTCTTAAGTCCCTTTATTGGCGTAGTTCTTGATCTATCCGAATAATTGTACTTCATCAACAAACTTATTTCCCTTAACAATGGTATGAAATAAATAAATAATAAATTAGTAAAATTTAAATAACGCATTTGAGTAATTAAGATAGATTGCATTAACTTATGAATAAAAATAATAGTGAGAGATTTCTTTCATTTTTAAACAATACAATATAATTTATATATTAAATAATGGCTAAGCTAAATATTCTGAATTTGATTTTTTATCTGATAATATTTTTAAAGCATATTCTATAAAAATAACATTCTTTTTGAGTTAAAATAATGCAAGGCTAATCTAATAAAAAATAAAATGTTCATGCAGAGAATTTGATATTGTATTAGGGAATATTTCAAGCTAAAAAATGAACTTGTATTTATATTATGATAAATATTTAATCAATTAATACAAGTGAAGAATCAAATCCATTGAGTTAATCAATACATTCCAAAAGCAATAGTTCTTCTTCAATAAATCAAAGTTTACCAAGCAATTCAAAAAGTGAGAATAATTTGGAAATAAGGAAATTAACTTGGGATGATTTTTAAGGAGTACCTCCTGAAGATGATCCAGCCTTGGCTCATACAAGATGGAAAATTGGATATAATTATTAAGTGCATCATGAAACTGAAAAGATTTAAGTAGTGGTGGATGTTTGGTGTAAGGTAGATCCTTCATCTTGGGCAAAAGAAAAAATCGATGAATTATTGCATCATTAATAAGGTTTATCATTTTGCAATATGAATAGGTCACTTTTATATAGGAATGATTTGTGCCTTGGAATTCAAAAAGAGAGTATAAGAATTCTCCTTTAGCAAAGAATACAAATAAGAAATTTCAGAGATTTTTAATAAGACCTTATAAGAATATTTAGAAATGGAGAACAAATATAATATTGAGACTTTGAATATGTTAAATACTGCTAAACAAAGACAATGGGATATGAAGATAATGAAATAACTGAACTTGCTATCAAAATATACATGAATATACTTATAAAAATTTAAAATTTATAGTTTATCATTTTATTTGTTTAAATATATTATTGTTCAAATAACTTAGTCTAATCTTCTGAGAACACCACAAGTATTTCCGCTTTAGAGCCAAATGTGTCCTTTAAGTCCCCAACCAGTTCCCCAAGAGTTTCTGATTAACCAATTTCCATTGGCATCATATCCAACAGCAACAACAGCATGATTAGTTGAAGTATTAATGCAGTCATTGAAGATACCACCAGTATATCCTTTCCAATTTGAGGCATGGACACTGACAGAAATGGGATATTTAGCAATTGCCTCATAAGCTTATGTGGCTGTACTCCATGTTTTTCTTCCATTAGCTTTTTGTGTTCCTGTTGCCTTTTAACATTTGTTAGTTGTTGCAGTGTATGGATATTAGGATTCCAAAAGTGCACCATTTTTATTTAAATAATCAATAGCATTTCCTGCAAAACCACCATCACATCCATATGAATAAGTATCACAATCAACTAATTGTTACTCAGCATATACGTTGTATGACCCTTTATTAACGATGAAATAGGCTTCAAAAGCACCAACAGCAGAGAATGACCAACATGATCCACATGCTCCTTAATTCTTGATTGGATTCATCTTTGCTGACCAATCAGCAGTTTCAGGATAGTTAAATGAAGTAATGGATTCATCAACTTCAACATGAGTGTCATCAAGACCACCAAGATATATTGATTCAAATTCTTCATCTGTAAGAGCTGCGAATTGATTTAGTCCAAGTGTATAGCTGGATTGTTAGCTATTTACTTCTTAATAGTGGTTATAATTTTATTTGAAGATTTCAAATCTGTATTCATCTTCAAATTAGCTGGCAAATCTAGTTTAGTGTTATTGTTTCCATTCTGAATATAATGTTCTTAAGGGATCTTCTTAGCTCAAATAGCTTGTTGTTGCAAGAAGAACAGTTGTAAAGAGTGCAATCAATGCCTTATTCATTAAATTAATTGATAAAATCTTCTTATTCTTTTCATTTATAAAGAAATGTACATGAAGTCATCAAAATTTATAAAATATGTAATCGTGAATTTTTAATTAATTCTACATTCTTGATCAAAGAAAACTAATATGATCTATAAAAACTCCATCATAAGCTCTATCTCTTATCATGCATCCTGAAGATCAATTTTTTTCTCAATTCTCTTTAGACTGAGAAATTTAATTATATATATGGAAAGTAACTTTTAAGATGTATAATAATTAAGATTAAATAAAGGTTTTCATAAAGGAAGAAGTGGAGACTTTTTTATAAAAGATTTCCATTTTAAAATGATATTAAAAAATTAGCAAATTTTATACAATTAATATGCTAATTATGATTTCATATATAAGATTATTTTTATATTTGATAATTATAAATACATATTATTTTATGTGATGATGATTATAAATAAGTAAATATAAAATGATAATTAGATCTAAGATTTAAAATATTAATTAATAATTATCTATTAGACTAATCTATTAGTAAAAAATAATAAATAACTATATATTTAATAGATATTATTATATTTCTTATTAATAGATAGATATTGATTTTTATTTACATCCTTGAATTTTAAATTAAAATTTAATCTAAAAGACTTTATTTATCTTAATTAATGTAAATATAAGTGTTTAGAAGGGTTAGTCATTTGGAGAGGAAGTGTAAATAAATATAATAAGGATGATTTTTACATAGTATGATGGATAATTTATTAAAAGATATTAATTGAACTCATAAAAATAAATTGATATTAATTGAGAAGCTACTTATTATGACAAAGATGGAAATGTGATTATTAATGAAATATATGATATTTTAGTGTGTGATTAATTAATTTAAATTGTATGAAATCATTATATGATTACTCTAATGTTTTATTTGAATGCATTATGGTTCGTAAACATTTTATCAGCGATGTGAAGTATTATTGCTATATTTTAAATAACTACTTGCTAATGAGTAGAGTAAGATATGAAATGTATCTAAGAAAGTGAAGGATCCCTCTCCAAAATATGTTTTACCATTAGAGTTGACAAATTAGGTTGGATGGATTGTCGAGAGGAAAGATAAGAAAATTGAATTTAAAGCTTTCACGATTAAATATATGGAAAAGTATAAAGACTTTGTGGGAAGCAGCAATGACTTGAAGAAGTAATAAAAATAAATTAAGTAGACTGAAGGAACATCTTTGTAATAGAGTTACATTCTACAAGATTGCTGATTTCTATGAAGCATAGTACAATTTAGGTAAGGGTAGTTCAGCAAAGGTTATTCAAATAAAAGAATTAGGAAATGAATAATCAAAATTGGCAGCAAAAGCAATAGATAAAAGTTATCTATAGAAAAGTGAATCTGGAATGTAGGCTTTTTTGAATGAAGTCAAAATCCTTAATCATTTAAGCAAGTAAAGTAGTTGTACTCTCTTCATTAAATTGTATGAAACCTATGAAGGGGATCACACATTTTACCTAATCTTAGATTTGATGGAAGGACGAACCTTAGCAGATGAATTGGATATATTAAAAGTAAAAGAAATTACAAAATATTAGTAAAGAAAAGAGTTGTTTCCCATGAAATTAGTAAAAGTTATTATGAAACAATTACTGCAAGGTGTGAAGATACTTCATGATAATTCTATCATTCATAGAGATTTGAAGCCAGATAATATTATGTTTCGAGAATTAGATTCTTATGAAACTCTAACCATTGTGGATTTTGGATTATCGACCTTTACTGATGTTGATAAGTTTTAATTTCCTAAATGTGGTACTCCTGGATATGTTGCACCTGAAATTTTAAACTTAGTTGATAGACAATAAAAATATGATAAAGTTTGTGATATCTTTAGTTGTGGTTGCATTTTTTATAAATTACTATTTGGACATAGTTTATTTATGGGTAATACTTTTAATGAAGTTTTGGGATAAAATAAAAAATGTAATTTTACATTAGATGGATCTGAAATGAATTCTATTCCTTTTGAGGCCTAAGAATTACTTAAACGAATGCTTGCAAAGAATCCTTCTGAAAGAATTACAGCTTAGTAAGCTTTAGAATCAGATTTCTTTAACAAGTCTTCTTCCCCATTATAATAAAAGAGTATATTTATATATATTAAATTAGAACTCAAAGCATTTAATGTACCTAATATCAACAGTAAGAATATCTTCTAACCAACAACAGATGGACCACTATCAGAAGCTCAATCTCCATTTTAGAGAATAAGTTAGAAATGTAAAAATTAAGTGGATTTTGATATGGATATCTAAGAAAATAAATGCTCATCTATTTAAATTAGATAATTACCATCTGTAAAAAAGCCTACTTGTGTTAGATCGGAGGATTCTACTATTAGTAGTTTCTATGCTAAAGATCCATTAAGTAGTTTCAAAAAATTAAAAGGAAGTATTGCATTTATGTTTATTTAAGCATCTCAAAAATAATTGAATGAGACTAAAGAAATCAAAGTTAATCAATTTGATGTTGAATAAATGCAAAGAATTTCATTATTTAACAGAAACGATGATTATTGATATTGCTTCTATTACTTAATATCAATTTTAACATTTATTATCTTAGTAATTAGTTTTCTTATTCCTTAATTAGCTATTTCTAAGTTAATAATTAATAAATTTTGCAATTACAAAAATGAACAGGTAACTTACACCTGATGGTACTAAATCAACAATGCGAAGTACTATTTTCCCAAAGATTGCTAATAAACAATCTAAATTAGAATAACAACCAAGTATCTATTAAAGTGTGGATGCAGAAAAGATGTAAAAGAAAACAAGGAACTTTGATTTCTCAAACCTTTAGAGAACAATTCAGACTAGCTATTCTAAAAGTAGATAAAAACAAAAGACTATCCTTTAACCATTATCTCATACTATAAATAACAGAATTTAGACTAAATAATAGTTAAACAGAATAATAAATTCATTGATCCGAATAATGTAAAATGATGCTGAATTTATGAATTCATGTAAACATTTGCATGTAAATTCATAAAAGTTATCATAACTATTACTCATGCTTACTCCACTAAATTTTGATACTGAAGGATTCTTCACAATTCATCGTAAGTTGAAATAATAATAATAATTGAAAGAGAACTCTTATTTTATTGAAATTGATAGAATGTTTTTTGCTGTCTCTAAATTAAACATTCCTGTACCATTATAGCATTTGATGCAGTTATCATAATATAGTGATTCTCTTTTTTAAGATAATTCTTTTGGAATGATTGTAAATTACTAATAAATGTTATCAATATTAAAGGAAGCATATCAAGTACATAAAAATATGTTGTCATAACAAGAATTAAGTACAACTACAGCAAGTGATGATGAGGAAAGATTATCACCTTCAACTAGAAGTATGAGTATATAAATTGAATACTAGTTGTTTAGAGATTATTATCACGTAATACTGCAAGAAAAGTTCAGTTTAAATAGAAACGATTGGGTTACATTAACGATTAGAATATGGTAGCTTATTATGATTCCTTTACTGACTTGAAAAAGAAATTAGAGAGAGATTGGAATGCCAAGAACTATATCTTTGGATGTATTAGATTTGGATATATTGATCTCATTAAATATCCACAATATGTTGATCAGTAAACAAAGAAGGAACTCAAAATCTTTGGATAATAAAGATCAAAATTACCTATATCTATGCAGGTTGTCTATAAACATAAATCTTAAATAATGAATTAAGAGAAGGCATTGAACAAATTGAATCTCTATCATCCAAAGAATATTTATTATGAATCTTATACTAAAGATCCTGATTTTATATCTAGAGTGTATTATTTAAATGTAATTAAATTAAATTAATTATTAGGTATATAGTTTATCTAATTAATTTAATTCAATTTACACTTATAAAAATGATTAGATAACTGATTACAATATAATGAATATTGATAATATCTGCATCAAAAACATATTCACAGAATAAACAGAAAATATTACTAAAGATTATGCTTTTGATGCATAATAAGGTGGTTTCAATATTTAAAAGAAGGAATATCGTCCTTTAGATTTAGTATAAGCAGATTCATCAGATTCAGAACCTGATTTAGATGTTTATGATCCATTATATGTGAAAAGCATATAATCATATCCATAGTATTTAATTGAAACTCAGATTCAATTTACATTTCCATTACTCTACAGATATTATTACTTTAAAATGTCTACAAATGCAAAGATCACTCGTGATAATTATATTGAGTAATATTGCATATATATAATTAAGATTAGTTGATCAATGTAAGATAAAACCTGAATAATAATTCAAAGAAAAATTTGTGAATGTTCCAAGTCCAGATAATTGCAATTATTAAAGACATAAATACAAATAACCAGAGACTGTTGATTTAACTGATGAAAGTGACAATGAAATTTATGAATAACCACTTGAAGCCTTAGATAAATAAGATCTTTCACTTAGTTTTAAAGTTTAACCATTAATAAAAGAAACAGATTAAAGAGAACATACTTAATATCTAAAGAGTTAATCATCAATAATTATACAGGATGAATAAAAAGTCAATGATAAAATTCAATTTGCTCATAATGTTGCTAGTCCATTCATTTGTTTATAATGTATTTTATTTCTTAAATTAGATATTAGATTCTTATGCACTATTATTATAGTTAAGATTTCCATTATCAATTTATATGTAGATAATTCCATCAATAGTTGAAAGAGAATTACCATTAAAAGAAGTTAATATTGAAGCAAGTACTATAATTATAGATAATACATTGACTATTGATTAAGGAATTAAAGATTTAGAATCTTATCCTATAATAGATATAGATTCTGAAGAAGAACCAAGTTTTGATGAAATGCCTCTTGAAATTGATTTGCCAGAATAAGTTGAATAATAAACAATTGAATAAAAGAATGAAGATGATGAAGAAATTACTATAGACAAAGTCACTGAATATGTAGATTTGGAAATAAAAGATAATCTAATCATTGAAGTTAAGAATGATTATGTTAGTAAACTTATAATTGATGGATACCCTATTTATTTTTATTTAGATGAACATATAAGGAAAACAGAACCAATTATTCATAAAGTTACTATGGAAGGTAAAGAAATTCAATCTGTTTAAATAAGTTGTGAATAAAAAGGATCCAAAATTTATATAAAATTATTTGCTATAAAAGCTTTATGTGATTAGAGATTGGAAAGTAATATTGATAAAAAATAAAATTATGAAGAAGAGGATAAATAAGTTAATATATATGAACCAATAATATTATCTGAATAATGGAATCAAGGTTAATTTGTTATCAATTTATATTACTTACAAAGAGAAGATGTAAACTAAAATGTAGAATGGCTTAAAAAAGTTTTGACTACTTATTTTCCTTAAATTATTATTGTGGAAGAATATAGTGAATCCTTTGAAGCATATATCTATGGAGTTGGTCCTAAAGATTTTAGAGATGCAAATGGTAGAACTTTGCTCTTTAGAAAAGAGACTGAAGATTGGTAATATATCATCAATATTTCAGGACTCAATTTAATCAGGAATTTTAATTCAAAACACTACTAATTTATGATACAATCTGTTATTTAATTAGTCTTTATGGATCAATTGATTAATTAAGTTTTGTTCAAAATAAATACATTTCAGAAAATCACTCTAAGCATACCAAATCAAAATTTGAAAAACTCCATTTGCATCCATATAAATATGTTGAAAATGTAGAAAGAGAACGAATTAGACCAACCACTGGTTATAGTAAAGCTGGTCCAAGAAGATAAAATTATTGATATTATAAATATATCTATATAGATACAAACATAAACAATCTTTCTTTAAAATCAATTATATTCAGAACATCTTTTTTTCTAAAAATTATTTATTATATATATTTACTAATTATTCTATTTAATTTTATTATCTATTTATAAATAACATTGTTTTTAATTAAGAGTGTCGCTTTTATTCTTTCTCATCTTTTATCTATTATAATAATTTTAATATTCTATTGTCAATCCTACATAGTTTCATAATCTCATTAATCATGTCCTCAACTTTTAATTAAAATGATAAATCTTTTTATCCTTTCGTTTTTTATAATAGAATCATTGATTTCTCTATTTTCTCTTTCAAATTCTCCAATTTCTTTACAGGTTTCAAATCACTATCACCAAAGTTAAATGTTTTAGTTCTCTCAGTTTTAAACTTTGGGCTTTAGCTATACATAAGGCATGTCTGTTTTACTAAAGGTAGACTTAATTTTAAATATACATTTCATCAATTTAGTAGAATCTGGAGATCTTTATTATGTTGTACTTACACTAAATTTAGAAGATTTTAAGGACTATAAACTAGGTTTGCATGAAAATTTCATAGAACTCATTTTTATGAATAAAATTAAAAAATAACTTTTAAACACTAATAATATTTCAACTATCATATTAAAAACAACTAAGTTAGTAATTAAATATCCAATTTATTGAAGTCATTTCCTTTTTTTAATTATACTATTGAGTAGTTATTTACTAAATAATACAGTTCTACAATTATCTAACTAAACCATAAAGAAAACTTATTAACTTTTATAAAGTATCAGATACTTAAACAATTTAGTTATTTGAATTAGAAATATAATATTTACTTACTTCTCAACAGTTTTTGATTTAATACTATTAATTAATTAGTTTCAAGTAATAAATATATAGGACTATCATTAAGGAGATTAAATTTTTTTATAATTAACTACTCGACTATTTTATAAAACCATCTACAGATGTCCTAGAAAGCCATTTTTGTTAAATAGACAATTAATAAATTGAGTTGATGAAAATAATAAAAATAACATTTATTACATTAAATACTATTCTATTCCATTGGCAATAATTTAATTTAATAATAATTTTATTATTTTAATAATACATTATATAAGGATATAAGGCCCAAAAAGTTTGAATTAATTTCAAGGCAGAGTCAGAAGTCATAAAAAATATGATAATTTATTGATATTTCCAACTAACTATGACCATATATTCAATAAATCACTTTATCAAATCAAATTATTATTAATTAATGGTAATATGATTATAAAATTCATAAATTATAGGCTCTAAAATATAGTTATGGTATTTTTTTAATAATACATTCAGAAGAATTATAATTGAGATGTCACAACAATAATTCCTTTTGATTACTCTAAATATTGTAACTATTAATTTTATTGATTTATTTTATATTCTAAATATGCTTATGTAATTTCAAGTATTTAAGCATCTAATAATTAATGCTGTTTATGGATATTCAATAGATAATGTTTTGATTTAATATTTTTGGTTGTAACATTCCTCTTATTAGTAAGGACCAAGAATAATTGATAATTAATAATTCAGTTTTTAATTTAGTGTATTTGCTTATATTTAAGGTAATAATAGGTTAATAATATTTTAGGAACACTTAAAATGAAATTGGCTGAATGTTGGTTAATATTAAATGATACTCTATTTTGAATAATATTTGATAAGAATTATTTATTTAAATAATCTTTGATAGACATTTTGTAATGGAATAAATATGTTTAATAAATATTCGAAAGCACATTAAAAAATATTCAAAAGGCTTTAATTTAAACATTTTATTTTTATAATAATATGCATTTGTCAATGATAATTAATTTTGTTTAATAAATATTTATTTTCTTACGATTTTTCAGACTGTAAAACTGGATTATATTTTATATTCATATTATAATAAATTGGAATTTCAAATAATTCTTTAATACATAATTATATATAAGAATCAAATTTAATATTCATTATTTATTTTGTTTTATATTGAAAATATATTTACAAATAATGGGAAAATTAGAAAATGGTAAAGGTTAAATCAGCTTTAGTTCTTTATTTTGTCTTAATAAATTAAAAGTAAGAACATAAGTTTTAATAATTCAAGTGATAATTCAATTTTTAGTAGGAGCTTTATTAACATTAATAAGTTATTTAGCATTTTAATACATTATTGATATGTACTCAAATATCTCTTTAGATTTCTATGTTTTATAATATTACAAAAAAACTGATATGATCACTTATTTATAAGTTAAGAGTTCTTAAGAAGTGTTACTAAGAAGTTAAACTCATCTATTAAAGTCTGATTTTTTATATCAATTCATTCAAACTATAGATCTATAGTATGTATAATAACCATTAAATTGTTTAAACTATGATGATAAATTAGACAAATATTAATATGAGTAAACATTTTGTTATGGTTTCTTTGGAGATCAATCATAATATCTTACTAATAAAGATTTATTAGCTCTTAATTATTCTTCTTTCTTAACTTAAGTCCTTCCAATAATGGATATTGATTTAGATTTATTATTTTCAACAACAGGGGAACAAATGTACTTTTCAATTTGGCCTGGTGATCCTTTTCCTAATTATAAACCTCATAGAAGAATATGGTACACAAATCATTTGAAGTAGATAGAAGAAAAAAATTATAATTTGACTTATTTTAGTGAGCCTTATATATTATGGACTTGGTTTTTGTTTATGGTTACTTAAACAAGAAATATGACAAATTTAAATGGAGGATTGGATGGTGTATTAGGGAGTGATTTAAACTTTAGTCTTTTTCAAACTTTATAATCGAAATAAGAAAATGTTACTTTTTCGATAATTGATTAAAAAGGATAATTTTTATTGAGTTAATTCAATATAAGTGAAAATACTTACATATATGATACTGAAATATCAGGATTTACAAAGGAAGATTTTGAACAAATTAATAATTATATGCATAAAAGAAAATTTATTAATAATTGTTCTAAGATTGATAGATTATTGGATAATTAACGACTTTGTAGATACAATTTATTAACTAATACTGAAGAATTAATAGTAGCAAAGATACTATATCCTACCGATTTGATATTGCTGATGTAATAGATTTCAAATCTAATTGTTTTAGTTAAGTAGATCTTCTTGAAAAGGAGAAGGAACTATTGAATTAGCTTACTAATATAAAAAATAATTTTTAAGATTTCTTTAGAATGTATATTTTAATTGGAATTTCAACAGCATTATTTTCAATTATTTTGAGTTCTTTAGTTATATATGTGACATTGAGTCCAATTACAAATCTTATTTTATATACTAGTTAATAGATTACTAAGGAATCTGATTTAATGTAACAATAAATCAACTAGAAGGTTCGACTAAAATAAAGCAAATATTCTTTGAAGACAATTCAAGAATTGCATTAAGCATTTAGAAGAATGAATGTCAGATTATTTAATCATAAGGAAGGCAGAAAAAATAAAACATGTACAGAACTTGAATAAATTGAGTTTCCTCTGAAACCATTGGAGAGATTATCATTTGATGTTGGTATTTCTAAAATAAATGTAAATTTTTTTAAGTAGTAAAGTAGAATTATAATTTAAAGAATGAAGATTTATAAATGTTTTAACCATTTGAATTCTTAAGACTTCATTAAAAAAGAAAAAGACATTGGTATAATTATGTTTAAAATTGAAGAACAACTTCATTTAATTAATTTTGATATTCTCATGATTGATAATCAATATTATAATTTTCAATCTTTTTTTTTTATTACAAAACATTGTTGATTTAGAATTCATAAAATTATATTATCTTCTTTAATTGATATCTGTATAAAATAAGTAAAATATATTATGTTTAACTATAATAAAATATATAAAATAAACAGAAATATTCAAATTTGAATGAGTAAACATAAGCATAGAAGAACATAATCTAATTCTGAAGTTGATTTAAGAAATGCATTATGTCAATAGGATGATAAGAAACATTTTATTGAAATATTTAATCATGTATTCATTAGTGCAATAATGATTAATAGCCATCTCATATATAACCTTAAATTCCAGAAAAAGAAGTTATAATAGAAAAATTAGAAGATGATTATGTGATCTAACATCTTAAGGAGAATTGCGGTTTAACATTTGGTAATGCCAAAAAAAAATCAAATTTTGGATCCTATTAAACCAACAATTTATTTTTGATTCCTGAATAGAATGATCTATTGTCAAGTGTTGAATAAACATAAGAATCAGGTAAAAAATTGAATTCAGGAATAAAATTAAATGTAAATAGTCAAAAAAGATAAACTTATAGTGTTGAATAAAAAAATAATAATGATTAAAAAGAGAATTAAAAAAATGATCACAATAGACAAAATTCGACATTAATAAATTAAATTGTAATAAATAATTATATTAAATACTAGTAAACATAATTAAAAGATGTTACTCATTTAATGAATAGTGATAAATTAGATTAATTCAATAAAATGAGTTTTACAAAAGAACTCTAAAAGAAAACAACAGTTCATCCTGTTTAAATTCCATATAATCATCAAAATATATTGTAACCATCCTTAAATTCTAATTAAAATTAATAATCATCTTAATCTTAACATCAATAATAATTAAATCAATTTAATAATAATATTCTCTAATTATAAAATCCTAATATTTAATAATAAAGTTAAGTGCATTAAAATTCTTAAAAAAATGTTAATAAATAATAAACTATAACTCCTGATAGAAAAAGAACACCTTCAATGGCTATTAATAAACCATCAGGAGTAGAAAATCCATTCCAAAAATCAGATAAATCAATTGTTAATAATGAAACCGATAAAATAAAAAATAATCTTTCAGTCTCGATATTTAATAATCTTTTTTAATAAAATAAGAAAATTTCAATTAGCAATATTACAAATAAATCAGATTAATAAAATGATTCTTTTAGAAAATTGGATACATAAATGAAAAAAATTGAAAGAGAATTAATGTCTTTAAAATAGAGATAAGATTGTCAAGATGAAATAAATAAAACTATATAATAATAATTATTGTAAGTTATTCATGATAATAGAAAACAAAGAGATGTAAGAATATATTTATATTTAAGTAAGGTCATTTGTCCTTAAAAAAGTTGGAATAGCTTGAAATGATAACAAGGAGAAATGAAGAATCTATTATGTTTTTAAAATAAACATTAGGTAGTAATAAAAGAATAGATTTTACCACACATTAAACGTATTTCATTTTATTTATTTAGTGATTCTACTGAATTAAGTGATCAACATAGAAGATTTACTGATTTGAAAAGTTTGAACAGATATATCTGAATAACACATTATTTTTGTAATTAATTTTCATTATATTTTAAAATATCTTTCTTAATTAACTTTAATAATCTATAACAAATAATTATAAACTCATTTATTTCCAAACTTAAATGATGCTTGAGAAATTCCTTAAACTTAATCAACCTTTGTCAATTTTTTAAAATTAGAACCTTAGGATAATTTAGAGTAATCAAGCTTTACTTTCTAAATTTAAGGAGAAGTAGTCTATCGAGGAATATCATCATCTGCAAAATCTTTTGATAATCTTTTTGAATCATCTTCATTATCTAAAAAAGATGATTTTTTTTATTGTTCATATTAAAGCATTTAAATTTTACTCTTCAATTCTAATTCTTACTCTTTTAAATATTAGATTTCTTTTTAAGCTTGTTCCATATATATTATTTTATCTTCCTTACATTAAACTAAAGCAAGTGATAGTTCATTAATTTTAATTTCCATTTGTCTTGTTTCTAATTGATTATCTGTTTTATTATTGCATTAGTTTATGTGTTAATTTTATTATTACAATTCAATTACTTTCTCTTTTTCTTATTGTAATTCTTTAGTCAAAATCTCTAATTATTATTTATCTAACTAAATCTATCAAATAAAATAATACACCTTCTATTATTCTTATCTTGCATCTTCAATTATAAATAATGCATTAATAATATCATTAGGATCAGATTCTGAACCTAATTTTAAAATTTCTTCATAATCTTCATCCAAAGCTTATTATAATTTAACCCAATATTCTAATAGTTTTTACTTTATTTGTCTATTTTCTTCCTTTTAATCTGTTTAACATATTTAATTTTCTTGCATTAATTATATTTTATTTTTATAAAAGTAATAAATAAACATCAAAAATATTACTCAAAATTATTAAAATCTAGATTCTTTAGGTAATGAATATTAAATAACATTTTTTACTCTTTATCTACATTCTCTATTTACTGATAAAATTGAAAAATAAGCATTATCTAAATAAGATCTACTTGTATATTCTTTTTATTTATTCTTTTTTTATTTTTATAATTCTAAAATAAAAATACTAATCATACATTATTTTTAATTTTCTTCTTCATATTATTTTATTTTATAAATAGAATTCTCACAAGTTTAATTTCTAAAGATATCATCTAATTAATCTCTTCTTTTTTTATGAATTGCATATAGACTTTAAGGAAATTTAATGCCATCAATCTTTTAAAAATTATAGTTTTTTGATATTGATACACATTAACTTAAAATCTCATCTCTAGAAGTTTATTTTATAGAACAACAATATTTTCTATAATATAACATATTATATACTTAAACTTTTTATAATTAGATTCTAAAGTTGATAATTCAAGGTTTCTTTAGTTTTTTGATAAACTAATTGATCGAAGTCCTTAATCAAAACTAAATGATTGTTTTTTTCTCATTTTTGGACTCTCTCATTATAAGTATTGATATACTTGTAGGTTTTGAATGATATTGTTTTGTTGTTATAAAAACATCAGGAAGTTGGAAATCCTAGTTTTATTCATCATTAAAAGTTAATTTTAATCTTTTGAAATCTTCTTTATATTCTTTCTTAATATCTTAATGTTTCCATTTTTATTGAATAGCTTAGATTTATTAAAAATCATCCTTAACGATAGCATATGTTGTTTTCATTTATAATAAATTTATAATAAAAATTTATATATGTCATTAAAAAGTAATTCTCTTCTCAAAAAGACTTTTTTTATGAGAATTTATATTTAATCCCTACTCAATCTATGGTAGAGTTATTGTTTATTGGGATAAAGTTTTTCTTATATGTAATTAAACACCTTATAAAGGATTAATTTAAGGGGACTTAAATTTAGGACTGTCTATCTATTACTAAGAAGTTATCATGTTTTTTTTATCATGATAATAATCAAGTTGCTTTTAAATTGGATCTGTTATTTATAGCTATAATGTATCAAGATATTCAAAAATGGACTGTTTATCCATTATTTTGATTAAATTAATAAACTAAAACAATATGAAATATCATTTATTTTTTAATTATTCAAGAATTCTTAAACAATTCTTAGATCCCATTTGAAATTCAAAAAATAGCTTATCATTAAATTTAATTTGATCAGTTTAAACCTATGTATTTAATGATTTAAAAAATGATTCTGATTAAATCAATTATTCTTTTATAATTTCCATTTATTATTAACATTATTAATACTTTTTCATCTCATCTTAAACAAACTTTTATTGATTTTGTATTTACTAAAATAAATTTTTATTAATTACTTCTTATAACTCAGTTATTACACTATCAATATTCAAACTATTTTAAACTTCTCTTAAATCTATTGATTAATGGGTAATTTAACTTTATAATTTAGTTTCTAATTCAATAACTTTGGCTTATAATTTTTAATTTTCATTTTCAATTTTAGTTGTTTATTATTATAATTGAATAATTTCTTAATTGCATTTTTATTAACATTATTTACATACTTAATCATTTTTCTTACCTATAGCAATTTATTCTTGATCATTTTATTTACCTTTTATAAAATGGGTTTCTGTTTATTTTGATCCTTTTTTATCATTTTAAAATGCATTCCATTGAATTGCCTATTTATTAGTTTTTTCAACAGACTTTTTAGATTTCTTTAACTCTATATCTTATTATTATATAGTATTCTATAAAGAACTAATTTAGTTTTTATATTCTGATAATTGTTCATTTAAAGTTTAAATAAACTAATTCAATCTTTCATTTTCTTCTATAACATTTATAATTTAACCTTCCATCTTTTATATATCAGTTTCACCAGCAGCTGCTCTTTGATATTTTAACTTCCATTTTTCAATTTCATTTTATTATGTATCTATAAGCTATTCTAGTTTCAATACTCTTTATTTAATTTCTTAAAATTATTCATTTTGTTATTGATAATTTTCTATTTCAAATCTAGCTTTTTCTAATTGTTAATTTAAAATGCAATTTTCATTGAGTAAAGTTTAAACTCTACATTCAATATTAATGTTATTTTCTTTTAAATAAAATGTTTATTATGCTTTATTTGGAGTAGATATAGTAATTGACCCTCTCATTTATTAATTGACAAATTATTTTTATGGAGTACTAGGTGCATCTGTATAAGGATTACTCAATCTAACTTATCCTTGGAATGGATTCATTTGTGGCACTGCCATTTATACTTTTTAAATATGAACACTAGATGTAGCCTTAATCATTAACGTTTAATTTAAATATTATAAAAAATAAACTAAAATCAGATTGAAAGTATTTTTCTTTCCTTAATTAAGAATTCTTTGATTAATTTAAGTTTATCAAGTGTATTTAAATAGAATAATGATTTATTCTATTTTTTATAATCCTATCAATAAATATGATTTATATATATACAGGTAGCTTCTCTTTTATAAGTAATATTAACTTTTATGAAATAGTTACATTCTATGGTAAATATGTGAATATATCTTCTAATTCTTTCTTAGTTTAATTATTAAATGTATTTTTTAAACGATTATCATAGTTTATTAATCCTGTGAATGCATTTGCCAATTTATCTATTGTATCATTACTAAAGTGTTATAATGTTATTTATTCAAAAATTGAGGAGAGCATTAAATTTCGTCTAAGTGATAAATTCATTAATTTATATAATGGTTTTTCTAGAATAAAGATTGTAAATAAATAACAACAACCACACAAAAAAAGTGATACCATAACACCAAACACAAAATCTTAAATGATTTTCTAACTTTTTTAATTAATTTCATTAATCATCATATCAACATTACTCTTATATTAAGCTTAATCAAATTTACTAATTAAATAGTAATTTTCTTATTCTAATTTCTAAACTTTTACATAATAGTCTATGTTATTTTATTTATCATGTAGACATAAGGTTTAATTAATAGGAATTTCACAGTAATTATTATAATTAAGACCTTTTGAAAAATTCATTATAGTTTCGAAATCTTAAGAATCAAATCCTGTGACTGATTAATTATAATAAAAAGTCAACATTTGTTGAATTTATAGTATAATGATTGCTTAATAGTATATGACCATATGAATCAATAAGAACAAAATTAAACGGACATGATTCATTTTAAGCAAAAAAGATTTTCATTATGATATCAGTTCCAATGATACCTTTTATTTCATTTCTAAGTCCCTTTAGATTCAGAGTCTTAGTTAAAGTAATACCACCACTGAATGCAAAATAAGGTTCTGAGTATTAAACCTCATTTTCACTTTGATTATGATTTATGAACCAAGGTCTTAATGAAGGATCATATGTTGATGGATAATATTTACATGGTTAAAAAACATAAAATTAATCTTTTGTATTTGATGCAAAATAAGTTCGATATAGTTTATTTTAGATAAGAGATGTTTATTATAGTAAATTTCCTAGAGACATCTTATCTTAATGTTAAGAGTGTTCAGTAATGTTGTTTGGCTATCCATAACAATAACAAGAATCATTAGCAAATAAAGTGAAAAAACCTTAAGGATTTTAAAATTCATCACAACTGGTAATATGATATTAAAATCTAATGTTCATTACTTATTAATATTCAAATAATGAATTAATAACTTTCATTGATGTATTTGTTAACATCAACCCTTACTATAATTATTTTTTATTCAAAATGGAATATATATAACTTTGTTTACTAAGAATTCTTTATGCTAATATAATAAAGGATTCTTTAGATATCTCTTAAATTAGAAAACTTTAGACAAATATAAAATACCCTGATCCAATTAAGATTACTATAATGATAGATATAGTTTATGCACATAAAACTTATGATCGAAATCTCCAATTCTTAATGAATGCAATATAATTTTTTGAGGCTTTTATGTCGATCATTCTAAAAATTATAAATCAAATGTAAAAAATGAACTTATAAACCTATTTATTATAATTTAGAAAGATATCATACTGATTAGAGACTTGATCAGAAATGATATTTATATATGTAAAAATAGTCTATAAAAAAATAATCATAATTAAGATTAGCTATGAATACTATACTCTCGTTTTCTCTTAAGACTTAAATCTTATTGTGTTCTCATAGTATATAATTAATCATGGAGACTACTAAGATTCTTTTATTTTTAAGTCGTCTCTTCATTTTTCTCTTTAATATTTTTAATTAATTAATGTTAATATTTAAGAAGTCTTTCAAAAGTTTCTCGTTATGAATTTCTTCTTATTTAATCAATTTATAGTAATTATTATCTTACTTTTAATAAAGATGAATAGGAGTTTTATCCTTTGGATCGCTCTAGATTTAATCTACTTTATAATAACTGTTAGACTTATTTAATTCTTGATTGACTATTTTTTTCTTCATTTATTTATAGATTCTATTAGATCTATAAGCATTATTAAATTATTTATTTTTCTTTTTCTTAACTTTATCTTAAATCTTTGTATTAAACAGCTAATTGTTATTTTTATGATGATTAGAAGGCAGATAAAAATTCATTTTCAAATATTCTACCATCATTATCTTTATCTAGAAATCTAAAAAAAGCAGAGATGTAGTCGTTAGATAAATTTGTACATTTTTTTAAAGTCCTATTTGTAATATAACCTTTACCAAATTAATCAATCTAATTGAATAATTCAGTAGGATTGAAATTGCTATCTTCTTTGAGTATTTAAACTTTACTAAAATCTATGGAAAACACATTGAATTTACTTAAAATTGATTGCTTCCTATTATAAAAGTTTGATAAGAGCTTCTTTAACATGATTGTTGTTATTCAATTTCAGAGAATTAATAAAACTATTAATTAAAATAAAGAATACTCAGGATATGTAAATCTTGTATCAGAATTGGAATTAAATTAGTTAATTAGATGTTTGATTTCCTCATCATTAAGAGATATAAATCTTTTGATATCTGATTGATCAATATCATGTCCATTAGAGGATAACATCTAGAATGCCATATGAGGATCAATGAATAATTGCTTAATTTATTCTAAATTGATTTGACATTCTGCAATTATAGTTATTAAATTGTTTAACATATTAAATTTATTAATAAAAATGGATTAGAATAATAGTTTATAACCTGGTTTGATTATTGATTAAAGATTCAAATTATTAAAGAAAATTGACAGTGGAAGTTTTGGAATAGTTTATCTAACATTTGATTTGGATGAAAAAGAATATTGTGCAACTAAATTTGAGAATCGCAATTTATAATTAAGAATGATGAATAGAGAAATATTAATATTGAAACAAATCAAAGGAATTAATGGTATATTGATTTTGATAATATTATTTTTATTTTAGGATTTCCAGACATAATTCATAATGGGAAAGATAGATAATACTCTTATTATATGAGTACATTATTAGGTGAGAATCTTGAGGTTCTATTAAAAAGATGTGGAGGTAAATTTTCTCTTCAAACTACATTATAATTAGCAATCCAATTAATTGATCGTTTAGAAGGTTATGTATAATTTATAACATTTAGTTTTTCATAGCATGAATTTTATACATAGAGACATCAAACCTGAAAATTTTCTAATATCCAAAGAAGATACATCCTTAGTTCATTTGATTGATTTTGGTTTATCTAAATATTATAGAGTGGCAGATGGAAAACATATTGAATTTTCTTAGAAAACAGGAATTATAGGAACTGCTCGTTATGCTAGTATTAATACATTATAATGTATTAATAATTTTATTATTCAGGGATGGAACAATCAAGAAGAGATGATTTAGAAAGTTTGGGTTATATGTTAATTTATTTTGTAAAAGGAGAGTTACCATGGTCTAATGTCAAAGCATGTAATAAAGAAGATAAGTATGATCAAATATTATAAGTAAAAATGAGTATTCCACTTATGTAACTTTGTTTGAATTTACCAAAAGTATTAATTTAATATTTTATTTCAAGTGTTTCATCCATTATTTCTAACATGTTAAATCATTACTATTTTAATAATAACCAAATTATTCTCATTTAAGAAATTTATTTGAAAAATAACTCTAAGATTATGATCATCAACTTTATGATTGGGAACTAAAATAAATGGAAAAGTAAACATAAGATATTCTTATTGATCCTAATTCCATTCCAAATATTAGATTATAATCTGAAATTGATTTAGTTCCTCCTGTTGATGAAGAAGGAGAGGCTTTTCACTTAAAATAAGAGAATTAACACAATGTTAAATTTATGAAATAATTACATGAAAAATATTTTGATCATAATACTTTTAAATAATAGGATGAATATTAATTGTAAAAAAACACTTCCATTGAACCTAAAAGTTAAGCTACAAGCAAATAAAATAATTATTAAATTAGTAATCACACTTTAATTTAAGTAGAATCATAACCATATATACAGAACAATAATAATTAATTCACTAAAAGAAAAGATTCAAAATCTTATACTTCTTTTAAACAAAGTTAAGAACATAAAGAAAATAGAAAATTTCGATAATCTAATGATGATTATGATTTGGATATGGCTAATGATGATGGACCTAACTTAGACTTAAAAAATCTCGAAGTTAATTACTTTTTAAAATGATAACTGGTATTTTCATAATATTATCCTAAGATTAAATTTCCTAATTTTCATTGATTTGATATTATTTTCCTTATAATTAATAATTTAAATATATTATTCTATTATCTAATCCAATCATTATTATTATTATTAATTTTTATATAATTAATTATAAAAATAATATAAAATTTCTAGAACATCTTTTTTTCATATAGATATACAATTAATAATGTTTAAAAAATGAATTTTAAATTATAAATACACAAAATTTATAAGCGTGATTAATATTACTCAGTATCAAGAAAAGAATTATTAAAAGTTCTAAAAAAAATTAACATCATAAATTGGCATTTATTTTGGAGAATCTGATTTCAATCGATCTTTATAATGTCTATAATATTATTACTTAAATGATATTATGAAAAGTTTTATCCTTATAAAATGTCATTTTGAATAATAAATTGATTCTTATTCTAATCAACCATAAATTTATTTAATCTCTATTTAATCTATCTAGATGCTGTATTTGAAAATAATTTTCCTTAATTTTATATAGGTTTAGGTAAATTAGGTAAACAAGTTAATACCTACTTAGATTAATTGTCTTCATTTAATTTCTTTATAAACCAATTTTTCCCTTTAGAAATAGAATCTTATTTATTATTTTTACTTTATTAGGTATGAGTCACCTTAGATATGGATGGATTGACTATCTAGATTATTTCAACAATTCTATACTCCTTTCCTTTTGATTGTTTATTTTTTATTTTCGATCTGAAACTTAAAGACCTGATGATATTTTTTGTTCTATTTCTTATTTTGGTTTTAGATCATCTATTACAAATTCAATCAAACTTATAGGTTCACATAATTCTGCTACAAAGAGTTGACTTTAAAAGAATAAACTATCCTTATTTTACATTATATATTTATTATATTTATATATTGACTCATTTCATAGGTATTTTAACATTCTTTTCAGCCATAACATGTTTACAAAGGAATGCAATTGTTCTTCTATCCTTCTTTCTTTTCAATTCTCTTTCATACAAATCTTTATATCTAGAAGGTCTAGGAATTTCATATAATCTGGTATCTTAAAATAGCCATTATTTATCATGTTTCCTATCTAATCCAATACATCTCAATATTACTATGATCTGAAATAATTCTTTCAAAATTCATCATTTATTCTTCTAAAGTTTATCCATGAATAATATAACCCTTTTGAACTAGCTCAACCAATTTCAAATTAGCTCTTGCAATTCCTTTAATTACACTCATAATTAATTATAAATAATACTCTGAAATTTGTTTATGATATTTCATATAACCAAAATATTTGATATCAAATTCAAAAGATCATTATAGAACTAAATGACAACTTTTAAAGGATGTCTAAAATTAATGCTATTTTTGTATATATATAAATTTAATGTTAAAAATCAATTTCAAGGAGACTAGATAAAATAGGAGCAACCTGAATCTACTACAATAGAAATTCAAATTTTCAGAGTTGAGAAATGTTTAAATCTGGCATTCTAGATCATTTGAATTACCTTCAAATTCTATGCTCTAATCTAATCAATAACAGAGATAATAACCCAAATTTAGAACTAATCTAATTATACCAAATACATCATACTTTCAATAGTCAGCTAGAAGATCATCTAGATCTGAGAAAGTTGAAATTGCTGATGTAGTTTCAACTACAAGTCATATTATTCTTGAGACTCCTACTAAAAAGTGTGTAATTAGAAGAATCAGTCAATATGAATATGTTGGCTCAAAATAAAAAAGACTTAACAATCTAGCTCCTTCAATTTAAGTCTTTTAGCATTCTAAAGATGCAGCAGTCTTAAAGAAAAAGAAAATGAATAGATTAAAAATGCAGTATAGTATGATAAATAACTAATTAGAATTTATGCAAAGAGCTAATCAGAAAAAACACTATCGCCATCATAGAAGTAGAAGTGTACCATTACCAGCAATTCAAAAAATTACTCATAAAAGAGCCAAAACTAATAGTGATCAACAATATTAAGGTCCTATCACCAAATTAGAGCCAGAACTAGAACGAAAAATCAATATGTTACTTTAAAGAAAGAGAAATTCCCATCTCATCTTAAGAAGAAGAACCTGTATACAAGAACCAAAAAATAGTGTTTTTGTATCAAGGGACAAATTATTGAAATTTCAAGAAGTCATGTCTAAGAAATTTGTATTAAATTATAATCTTATCTTTAAGGATTAATATGATTCTTCTTGTGAATCTTCTCCTATCACTATATCTAGACTTTAATTTAAGAAAACATAATTTAGTAAATTACAATAAACAAATACAGAGAATCATTAATACCTAACACCAAGATTACATTATGAATAAAATCATAACATATTTGCAAGAAAAGGATCTCATAGTGTTATTGCATAATATGTATTAGAAAAAACTAAAAAAAATAAAAATAATAATATATTTGAATAAAAATTACCAGATATTAATCAACCTAGTTTAAATGAATTTAATTAGTATTTTCTTGCTTAAAAGAAAAGTGTCTAAATTGGTAGAACCACATAATAATTAATTTAATCTAAATCTTCAGATAATTTACCTAAATAAATTCAATTAAATAGTAGATAGAGTTAGTTTATAAATAAATAATTTAAGATAATGAAATAAGACTCATAAATATGTAATTCAACAAGAATTAAAACTTTACCTAGTGATGCAACACTCTCTAGAAATAAAATAAATTTACAATAAAAATTATGGCCTTATTTTTAATGATTAAAATGAAATTAAATTTTTGTTTATATTTTGATTTACAATATTTCATTTATTCAATAAATATTTATATCTAATAAATTAATTCTCTATTTATATAGATAAAAAAAGAATTGTGATCCTTTTAAATGCAAAGTTAAATAAATTCTTTCAATAATATAATATGCTTAAAGTAAATGAAACAAAATAATATATATTTATAGACAGATAACAATATTAATTATGAATTTGTTTAGTTTTTAAGAATGACTTCAAATAATAAATAGGCATCATTAAACTTTGTTTATAAAACTTATACTTAATATTCAGATAAGCTTATATAGATTATATAGTTTTAAATTACAAATGACATCATTAATTTTAAATTACGTAACTTGAATTATTAAATTTGATATATGTACATGAAGAATTTAAGGTCTATATTAATAATCTATTTTGTTCTTATATTAAGTTTATGCTTAAAAAGTGTATTTCATAATATTTAAATAAAGCGAATAAGTTATAAAAATATTGTTAATAACTAAAATGCTTGATGACACATATGCTGAAATATGCTTTAATTATAAAAGATAAAAAAAAAACACAACTCCTAAATAAGCAACAAAATTTAAATCAAAATAGGATGTCTAATTGTTTGTTGATCAAATACAAGCCTAAGTTAAATTACCACCATTAGAACATGAATTCTATTTAAATTAATTTCGCTCTCCAAGTCTTTCAAAGCAACATCTATATTAATGCTCTAAAAGTGTTTTAGTGAGAAAATAAACCAGAAATAGTAGACTAGATAGTCTTATATCTGATATTAGTACACTTGAAGAAGGGGTTCAAAAAACATTATAATAAATAAAAGATTCGTTTTCCAAAGAAAAAAATAGGTTGTAAGAATAAGAATCAAAGTTTGCTTCCTTGTTAGAAAATTTAGAATTAAAAAATCATATAACAAATACCAATTGGAAAACCTTAATTAAACATCACTTTAAGAATCTTAATGAGTATTTAGATTTTGCTAATAAAGATATTAAGGATGAAAAGAGTTTTGTTTATTCTCATTAAATTTCTTCTAAAAATCACTACCTATTTGTTGATAATGAAATTAGAAGAAATTTTATTAGAAAAAGATAAACAAAAAAAACATGATTAAAATATTTATAATTTATTTATGTTAATATTAATATAATGAAAATAATCAATAATGAAATTAGAAAAATAAATTTTTTAAATAATATCAAAGAAATAATTTTAATAATCAGGGNATTGTGATCCTTTTAAATGCAAAGTTAAATAAATTCTTTCAATAATATAATATGCTTAAAGTAAATGAAACAAAATAATATATATTTATAGACAGATAACAATATTAATTATGAATTTGTTTAGTTTTTAAGAATGACTTCAAATAATAAATAGGCATCATTAAACTTTGTTTATAAAACTTATACTTAATATTCAGATAAGCTTATATAGATTATATAGTTTTAAATTACAAATGACATCATTAATTTTAAATTACGTAACTTGAATTATTAAATTTGATATATGTACATGAAGAATTTAAGGTCTATATTAATAATCTATTTTGTTCTTATATTAAGTTTATGCTTAAAAAGTGTATTTCATAATATTTAAATAAAGCGAATAAGTTATAAAAATATTGTTAATAACTAAAATGCTTGATGACACATATGCTGAAATATGCTTTAATTATAAAAGATAAAAAAAAAACACAACTCCTAAATAAGCAACAAAATTTAAATCAAAATAGGATGTCTAATTGTTTGTTGATCAAATACAAGCCTAAGTTAAATTACCACCATTAGAACATGAATTCTATTTAAATTAATTTCGCTCTCCAAGTCTTTCAAAGCAACATCTATATTAATGCTCTAAAAGTGTTTTAGTGAGAAAATAAACCAGAAATAGTAGACTAGATAGTCTTATATCTGATATTAGTACACTTGAAGAAGGGGTTCAAAAAACATTATAATAAATAAAAGATTCGTTTTCCAAAGAAAAAAATAGGTTGTAAGAATAAGAATCAAAGTTTGCTTCCTTGTTAGAAAATTTAGAATTAAAAAATCATATAACAAATACCAATTGGAAAACCTTAATTAAACATCACTTTAAGAATCTTAATGAGTATTTAGATTTTGCTAATAAAGATATTAAGGATGAAAAGAGTTTTGTTTATTCTCATTAAATTTCTTCTAAAAATCACTACCTATTTGTTGATAATGAAATTAGAAGAAATTTTATTAGAAAAAGATAAACAAAAAAAACATGATTAAAATATTTATAATTTATTTATGTTAATATTAATATAATGAAAATAATCAATAATGAAATTAGAAAAATAAATTTTTTAAATAATATCAAAGAAATAATTTTAATAATCAGGGCTATAACATCACATAATTGATGGATATTTATTTTAATATTAGTACATCCTATTAAAGTAGTTGAATAAAATTAAAAAGTTTAAGAATGATAAAACGAGAAGTAATAAGGAAAAAAGAAAGTTATTAGATTTAGATATTAATACTATATTTTATTATTAACATAGAATCATATAATTTATAAATAAGGATTGAATCATTTGATTATATTATATATAATTTACTATTTTGTTTTGAAAAAACAATTACTATTATATGAATTGAATTAATAAAATTAGACTATTCAATTCTATAATAACGTAAGTTATCATAGTAAAAATTAGAAAATTAAGTTAATAATTAAATATAATTCTAGATGAAAAAAATTCTACTATTAAAATTAAAAGAATAACATTATAATTTCACACTATAACTTTAAATTTATTTTTTATATGGTACTTATCTTAATTTTTTAAATAGGCTTAAGTCATGATATTTTGTCTTTGAGTTGTTAACTAATAAATTCAATATAGTAGTAATGTATTTATCAAATATTTTTTACTCAAATTATAAAAATTTATATAAGTAATATTTATCAAAAATATTGTAATATATATTATCAAATAAATAGTGGAAATTTAATTAAAAACAATTAGTATAAGCACTTAAGTAGTAATACTCAATCCAATTTACATTGGATTAAAAAATTCAAATAATATAAATTATAATATATATTATAATATGAATTATATATTATAAAGCTGATAAATTTTTAAATTATTTATTTATATTAACATGAACCCTAAAGGATATAAATTTTAATTGAATATTCATGTTGAGAAGGTTTAAATTAATATAAATTTTCAATGTAAGATGTAAGTACTTTTAAAAAGAGGTAATGTTTATTTATATATGATGTAGGAAATTAAAAAGTTGAAACACAATAATTAGCAGATTTCAATAAGGGTACTGCATTAATAAATGAAACATTATCATTATAGAGTAATATATTTTAAGTGAATGGAATTTATCAAGAGAAAAAAGCATTAATAACAGTTGTTATAATTACTGATAAAGGCAATAAGGCAGCAGGTTAATGCTCTATAGATTTCTCAACATATTTGAATCAACAAAAATATGGTATTTTTAATGGCAAACATAGATATCTATGAGTAATTTCATTTAGATAAGTGTCCAGATAAGCATGCAAAAATATTCACAAAAATTAAATTTATATTATTAGGAGAAGTTGATATTGATACAATTAGTTAAGCATAATCAATAACAGAAGAATAAGCTACTGATAAAAAATAACCAATTTCTACACCAGATAAATAATAAACTGAAAGCACAGCTAAAAAAAACTTTTTTGAAATTCAATAAATTAAACCTGATTCAACTAAATAAAATTAGAATGAAACTCCATAAATAAGCGATATTGAGCAAGCAATAGTTTCATCTAAGTAAGTTCTTACAACATCTACAATTCCTTAATCTTAATTAAATCTTTCATAACATAGCGAAGAATTAAATGAATTAAGAAAGATGAATACTGAAATTAAAGATTAAAATAATTTATTATTATAAGAAATTCAAAAAGAAAAATTGTAAAAGGAGTAATTATTATAAATAGTGCAAAATTTGAAATAATAATTAGATTAAAACATCAATAATAATAAATATTAAGAATAAATTCTGAATTATGATAAGAAAGTAATATAAATATAAGAAATCTTATAATAATCATAAATCGATAATGAAAATTTAACTAAATAATACAAAATGATCGTATAAAAGCAAAACAATTTGTAAGAAGAATATAATACACTAAAAGAAGCATTTTTAATTGAAAAAGATAATGCTAGATCTTTTAAGGAAAAATTACAATAAAATCAAGAAATTTATTAATAAAAAGATATTTTAAATTAAGATTTAAATATAAAAAACTAAGAATTAGTGAATAAGATAAAGGAGTTAGAGGATTAAATTAATCTATTAAATTAATAAATTTTATCACTTAATAGAACAAAAGATGAAAGTGATAAAAAGATTATTTAATAGAAAGATTAAATTTAATAATTAGAATAATAAGTTTAATAATAGCATTTTTAATATAGTTCATTAAATGATCAATAAAAGATTGTAGATTAATAAGTAAATATATATAATAATCAAAATAGATTTCATAATATTAGTAAAAGATTTAAGAATAGTAATCTTAAATTTTGATTCAATAACAATAAATGAATCAAATGAAAATGACTCTTTAATAGGATAATGAATAAAAACTAAAAGAATTTTAAATAATCAATGAAAAATTGTAAAAAGAATTATAAGAAAAAATAGTTGATTATTAAAAGTTATAAAATGAGAATTAATTAAAAGTAAAATAGATGATAGAGTAGCATTCTTAAGAAATAAAATCCTGTTCTGAAACTATATATAAATAATTAATGCCTGAAATAAATTAATTAAAATAAGAGAAAACTTCATTGGAATAGGCAAATATTTTATAATAAGAATAATTAAAAGTTTAAGAATCTTAAATTGAATAATCAACTATTAGAGAAACATAGTTTAAATAAGTTATCCATAGTAATGAGGCATAATTAACAAAATTGTAAAAATTAATAAATGATATTTTTGCTGAAACTTAAATTTTTATTAAATAATTTCTAACTTTAGAAAACTTTGATAATGAGGCATAAATTCCAAATATATTACCTAAATTATATTCTTAAATAAATTCTAATATTTATAAACTATAATCAGAAATAGATTTATTGAACTCCTAAATATAATTATAAGATGAAAAATATAAAGACAGAAGTACAAATTAATAGGATTAATTAATTAATCAATTGTAAAATAAGAATTGCGAAATTAATGATTTAAAATAAGCATTTGAAAATCTAAAAAATTAGAATTAACTTTTACATGTAGAAAATGAAAATATAAAAAAAAATTTAAATGAAATAACAAATTAATTAAATTAGAATGAGACTGAATATAAATAACAGAGATTAATTAATGAAGACAACATTTAAAAGTAAAACAAATAATTAATAGATGAATAAAATTTGAATTAAAAATTATAATATAATTTAAAGAATTTGAAATCTGAGTTATAAGAAATTGAGTTAAAGTACTCAAACTAAATTTCAAATGCTGATGTAAAAATCAACCAACTTGTTTATGAACTCAAATAACAAGAAAATATAATAAATGATTAAAGTCATTAACTTATAGAAAATGATAAGATAATTTAAGAATCTTAAAAATCAAATTAATAATTATAGAATTTAATTTAAGAATAGTTATAGTAAATTGAATAAAATAAAATCTTATAATCTTAATACGAATAAAAGCTAAAGACAATATAACAGGAAAATAATGAATTTCAAGAATAAATTAATTCTTTAAACCTTTAATTAAAATCATATCAAGAAAAGATCCCTGAAGTACAAAGAAATGCTAAAGAACATGAGGATATTTTAAACTAAAATTAATAGGTTATATAAGAATAGTAAACCATGATTGAATAATTAGAATAAAAAATCAAAGCTTAAATTGATGAATATAAACAAAGATTAGATTAATAAGATAAATTCCATAAAATAGAATTATAATCATAAAATGAATAAAATTAAAACAGAATTCAATAAATAGAAGAAGAATTAAGAATTTAAAATTAAATTTCATTAGAACAGAAAGTTAAAATTGAGGAATCTTAAAATTAGGATTAACTTTAGAATTGTTTATCTAAATTAGAATAGTTAAAGCTTGAAAATAATACATTAAAATAGTAAAATTAAGAATTAGAAAATTTGCATAATAATTTAAAATAAAACCTTATATTAGTTGATAAAAAGAACTAAGAATAATAGCAGTAGTTGGAATAATAGTAAAAATAAATATTAGCATTATAAGATAGGATAAAAGAAATGGATAGCAAATTAAAAAATCTAGAAATTGAAAAAAATTCAATTACTAACAAATTAACAAATGATTTGTAGGAATTACAATAATAGCTGTTTAGTGAAAATGATGAATGGTAAAAGGAGAAAGAAATTATTTAAAAATAAGTTGAAGAACTTGAAACTTAAATTGAGATAATGAAAGAGTCATTAAAAGAAAAGGAATAACAATTACATATGATTTAAGAATAGAATTTAGCATTAAAGAGTTAAAATTAATTGTTAAATGAAGTATAATAAAAAGTATAAGAATTAGATAAAGAAAATAAAATAAATAAACTTAAATGGTAGCAATAGATAGATGAAATAAATAATAATTCAAATCTTTAAATTTAAAATTTAATTGATTAAATCTAAAGTTTAGAATAAAAGACAGAAGAATATAAGTCAGAAAATAATGAACTTAAGAGATAGATTAATTAAAAAGATGATGATATAAAATTAATAGAAGAAAAAAGTAAATTAGATTTATAATATTTGAATTCAAATTATAATATAAAACTAAGAGAAAAGGAAGATATTATATAATAAATATAGGTAGACTTATAATAATATTAACAAAGTGAAGTAGAATAATAAAGTTTGATTAAATTTTTAGAAAGTGCTAAAGAAAATCTAGAAAAATTGTAAATAGAGAATTTAGAATATACATAAAGAATCTAATTGGCAAATGAAAAAATGATAGAATAAATTAAAGAATATGAAATTTAAATTATTACACTAAAAGCAACAATATAAGAATTAGAATAAAGAAAAAATTAGTTAGAAATCGAAAATTAAAATCAAAAGTCATTTTAACCTACATTAAAGAATTAAGTTGAAAGTTAACTTGCATAAGAATCAAATTAGTTAATTGAAAAATTACAAGAAGAAATTATATCTTTAAAATGCAGAATAGGGGATATGTTAAATACTGCTTCGGATATTGGAGGTCCAAAATTAGTGGATAGATTATAATGGGCTTTAGGAATAAAAGAATGAAGTAGATAAAGTTTGATAATTTAGAAAATTATTATCATATGGTAATTAAAATTTTACTAAATTCTTCTTCTGATATCTTACCATCTTTATTTAAATCACAATCATTTAAAAATTATTCCCATATTTCAGGTTCCAAAAACCCCATAGCTTCCTCAAGTTCTTCCTTTGAAATATATCCATCTCCATTCTAAAATATATATAAATATTACAATATCAAGCATTCGAAATGCTTATCTAATCCTTTCAATTGAAACTAATTTTTCTACTCTCATTGCTCCCATAATAAACTCTGAATAATCAATAAGATTGGAATGATTTAAATCTAAAGTATCTAAAATTTAATTCACTTTTTCTTCAGCTTATTCTTTACTTCTTAACAATACTCTATAACCAGCTATCAACTCTTGCTTACTTAAGTTTCCATCATGATTTTTATCAAGAGCATTAAAAGTTGCTTTAAGTTCACTAATTTCTTAACTATGTAAGGTTTAACTCACCATATATGTCATAACTGCTTTCTTAAAATTACTTTATACCTAATAATAAAATGTATTATTAACCTAAAACTTTTCTATGTTACTAAGTAATTGTAAGGAAATTATTTCTTATTTAGCATTTTTCTAAATCCAACAATGTTTTAATGCCTATTGAGCAGAATATCTTTTAGTAACATCTAAATTCAACATTTTGCTAATTAAATCTTGAGCCTCACTTGATACAGTTGACCAATCATTTCTATCAAATATCAATTTTCCTGCTTGAACCTTTGCTAAAGTCTCTTTATCAGTCTTTCCAGCAAATGGAGGATAACCACATAAAAATATATACAGAATAACCCCACATGACCAAATATCTACTTTTTCATTATATTTTTGATTTAAGACTTCTGGAGCTATATAATAAGGAGTTCCTAATCTTTTTTTCATATCGAAATTCTAAGTAAAATGACGAGAAGTTCCAAAGTCAATAACTTTAATCTCTTCTCCTTATCCACTCAATAGAATGTTCTCTGGTTTTAAATCTCTAATTAAGATTTAAAATATAATATCAATACCTATGAACAATTTATTTCTCATGACAATAACTAACTGCTTATAATATTTGTTTGATATAATCAGCTGCCATTCTTTCACTAAAAATCTAGAGTTTCTTTATTCTTTCGAATAACTCTCCTCCTGGAAGATATCTTAATTATTGAAATTAATATACTCTGTAACAACTACATATTGTTCATCTTCTTAAAAACATTCAAAAACTCGTACAATATTTGGATGATCTAGAGATTTAAGAATATTAAGCTCTGATAACATTCTTTATTGATCTTCAAATAACAAAGAATCCTTTTTTATTTACTTTAGTGCTCTCAATATGCCAGTCTTATTATGTTTACCCAACCATACACATCCATAACTACCTTAACCTAGTTTTTTCAAAATGCTATATTATTCATGCCATTCTCCTTGTTTCATTGTAATAAAATTATCATAACTAATTTTTACTGATTTCCTAGCAACTGGTAATTAAATTGTCTTCTTCATCTTTGTCTGATGTGTAACTTATGTAAAATCAAGTTCAATTTTTGAAACTGCACTTAAGGTTGTATATTTTTGCATTGGTATGATTAAGTCGTCATCATCCTAAAAGGAATCTAAATTATCATTCGATTTTATCACTGGAGTCAATATCTGAGTATGTTTCTATAACTAAGATTGATTCATTTCTCGATGATTACAACAACTACTCCCCATTTTTATGAATTAATAATTAATAATAATAACCTCATTCAATATAATCTTAACCATAATCTAGTATTAAGTCATAATAAATTTCTGCATTTATATCAAATGGAAATAAATTATCTGATATTTTCGTATAAGAATATAATTTTAACTAATAATTCAATATATTTGAGTCAAAACAAATACATATAAGTTTATAGTAATTGATTTTTTTGAATTAATCATATTAAATAATTTTAATAATGCTTAGATATGATATAATAATAAATTATCATTTTAATTACATAAAAATGAAATTCTTTTAGAAATTTCAAATATAAAAAAGTTAAGATTTTTACTGAAATTAGTATAATGAAACTCATATTATGCAATTTTTAGTTTTTTTTTTAATATTAATAAATCATATAAAAGAGATTTCTAAAGAAGAGATATTTTAATTATTAATTATTCTAGAGTATAAATTAAATATATTAATTATTTTTAAGTAATTATAAATAATTATTATAATATAATATTGCAATTATTAATTTAGAATAAAACATCTTAAAATATAGGATCAATCATATATAAATAATTAGAAATCTATTAATATTTGTTTCATAAAGTGATTTTAAATTATTAAACTATTTATTAAAATAGGTAATTAGAAATTTGCTTTAAAAATTTTTGATATATATTTATTGGAAATAATATTCTATGTAATCTAACCTTATATTATAATTAAAAATTCAATTATAACTTACTATTTAAAAAAGACATTTTTATAATATGAACCTTGATAAAAATATTATCAAATAATTAAAATTTTATGTATATATTCAGTCATTTAAAACCTTATGTTTTAAAAAATAAATTTCTTATTTATAAGTGACATCTCATGATTGAGAAAAAATTGATTTATAGAAACTTCTTATGTAGAAATTGGAGGATTGGCAATTAAATTTGTTGTTTCTACATTGTTATTACTCTATTGTGTGCCATCATATTTATATTTAGCAACTTAATTTATTTGTACATCGTTACAGAAGAATTAATGACAATTACGTAAGAAATATTTCAAAAAGAAACTTACAATCATTTGAATATGCTAAGTTACTTAGAAAAATTTTCAACTTTAGACGTGTTTGAAGATAGTACAAGACAGCTTTTATCAATTAATTAAATGTATAAGATGATAAATAAAGATTTCCTTATTGAGAAGCCATATGATTGTTTAAATAATTAGTAATACAATGATTCATACGCGTATTTTTTTTCTTTTTGCTATGCTTTTTGTAATATGACAAATGGGTTAAATATTAGTAAATATGAGAATATATTAAAATTAACTTCCCTATTAACTGAAACTCTAAGAATTTATGATCTTTAATTAATAACACTTATAGCCCATGTAGGAGATGAACAGTTCTTTACTTAAAATAGAGGATACGCACTCTAAAATTATTACCCACATACTAGGTAATGGTATAGAGATCATATGGCTAAAATGGGAACAGGTAAATAGGTAATAGTTAGTGATCCTTATGTTTCATGGATTGATGTAGTTTTCATTTCATAAACTACAAATTTGACTCATACTCAATTTGAAGGGTTGATTGGACAGGACTTAGATTTTACAAGAATGCCCAAGATTTAAACCAATACATCATAGTATTATATAGTGGATAACAGAGGTAACATTGTCATTAGTGATCTTTATGCTAATGGCGTTAAGGTTTTAATAAAAATGTACAATTAAAGTTTAACAGGCTTTAATGAAACTGATTGGAATAATCTAATTTAAAAAGATTAAAATATTTTTTATATATACAACAGTGTTTATTAGAAAAATATTATAGTCTTAAGAACTGAACTGAGTGAATTAAATTATTTCTTATTTGTAGTTTATGATGGAAGTTAATATTTAAGTTAGCAACAAGAAATTTACACTAAATAGATTGGTTTTCAAAATGATTCAATCAATTTGTGTGTAAAATTATTTGGAACCTTTTTCATATTCTCTTTGTTATTTTAAATACTTGTGATTAGTTATTTAATGAAAGATTTAAAGTAATTGGAAATTATGGCTACTAAGAAAATAGTCTATTTCTGTAAGAGCACTGTTTAGTTCAATGAAAAAAAATTTACTTCTTCAATAGCTCGTTTATATTATGCATATACTAATTTGATAAACAATTTTGATTCACATGGATAAATAAGGAAGAATGAATTATGTTCAAATATTCAATCCATAGAATTTCCTCAAAAGTATAGAAATTTGAAATCTATGATTTCCTCTGATATGATTCCAAAAAAAAAAAATTATAATTAAACTTAATTACTCAAATACTTTATGTATTTTAAAACAAAAAAAATTTTTGATTATTGAATATATATTTTATAGGATAATTGTTGTATTAATTAGAAATTATATTTTAATGTTTGGTAAAGTGAAAGGGAATAGGAGTGGAAATTAGTAAAATATAAGTAAAAAGAATAAGAAAGAATTGAAAGTATAAAGAAAATGGGAATAAGATGAAGAACGCATAAAAGGTTTGATAATTTAAGAATTAAGGATCAAAATTTAGATTATTAAATGAATATATGTATACTGTAAATAGTGAGGAAGCCTAGAAACATTTTAAGTAAAATCCTGAGGAATTCAAAATTTATCATACAGGATATACTTAATAAATAGAAAAATGGCCAGAAAGTCCAGTTGGGAATATTATCAAATTATTGAAAGAAAGTGAATAATTTTAGAATAAAAAATTGTAAAGAATGCATAAATTTAGAATAGAGTTGTTTGTGATTTGGGATGTGGTTAAGGTGATATTTAGGAACATTTTGAAAAAGACAAGAGATTGAATAAGTTGATAACTGTAAAAAGTTTTGATTTTGTTGGATTGAAACCATTCATAATAGAGACAGATATATCTAATTTGCCTATGGATAATTGTAGTTGTGATGTAGCTATTTTTTCATTGTCTTTGATGGGAGTAAATTATTTGGATTATTTGGGGGAAGCATTTCGAGTTTTAAAGAAGAATGGATATTTAATAATAGCTGAAGTAAAGAGTCGGATGAATACAATTGATAATTTTGTGAATTTAATTACAGGAATGGGAATGAAAATATTAAAAAGAGTAATGTGATTAAATTAAATGAGTAGGATGAACATAATAGTCATTTTGTATTATTTGTATTTGAAAAGATAATGGATATATGTCAATTCAATGGTCCTTTAAATTAAAAAAGAGTATATCAAATATTGGGATAAAAAGACCCAAATTTGAAGGATTGGTAATCATTAGGGTAGTAAATATTATAGCCATGTGTTTATAAAAAGAGATGATTGATTTAAATTTGAAATTAGATACATATTTTAATAATATTATGTAATAAAATAATACGCATTTAATTAATCCCGAAAAATTTGTATAGTACTTTTGAATGATTCAAATCAAGAATTTCTGAGGGAACATTATTATTTGAATTAAATAAGGAAGAGAGAAGATGCAAAAATACCCAAGTTTGAATACAAATTAAGAGTTTGATAGAAGTATAACAATCTCGAATATGAAATTGAGTCATTTGGAATATAAAAATGTAGAAGGAAAGGTTGTTTAATGTTTTGTAATTTTAGAATTTGTTTGAGAGAGTGAAGGGATTTTAGAATTTAGTGGGATCATTGAGAAAATAGAAAATACTTCTTTATGAGAGAAGAAATATGTCACCACCTGCTCAAGAATGTTATGGTAAAAATTATGTTTAAAATTAGGAATGGACGATTATGGAGATATATTTTATGGTATCAACTTTGCATCTGCTGATTACTTAGGATTATGTACAAATGAATAAGCAAAAGTATTTGATTTTTAAAATTATTTAAGGAAGCAGCTATGAATGCTGCTTAGGATTACTCAGTAAATTCTTGTGGAGCACCTTTAGCATTTGGTGCATCAAAATATTATATGTAATTAAAAGAGGAATTGAAGGATTATTGGGGAATGAAAGAAGTAATTCTTTATAGTGCTGGATGGTTGGCAGGATTTGGAATAATCAAAGGTTTGATAAGGTATTTGTATTGTATAATAAATAGACCTTATGATTTTGTGGTTATGGATGAATTATGTCATAATTGTCTCACTGAAGGAGCATTTGCAGCTACAAAGAATGTTTCAAGAGTTCCACATTTGTGTTTAGAAGCAATGGAGAAAAAAGTATCAGAAATTAGAACTGCAAATCCTAATGCTTGTATTCTCGTAGTTACTGAGGGTTTGTTTAGTATGGATAGTGATTATACTGATTTGGTGGCTTTATAAAAATTGACCTTGAAATATGAGGCATTTTTGTTGATTGATTGTGCTCACGATTTTGGATGTATGGGAAAGACTGGTATTCAATTAAATTTATAATATAGGCAAGGGAGTATTTGAATTATAAGGTCTATAAGATTTCTCTAATGTATTATTAATGTCTGGAGGATCAAAATGTTTATCCACAAATGTTGGATGGGTTGCTTGCAATTCATTTGAAGTTATAGATTATCTTAAATTCTTCTCATCAGCCTATATGTTCACTAATTCAGTGAATCCAGTTTAATGTGCTACTGCTTTAGCTCAATTAAGAATACTCAAGAGTGAAGTGGGTAATAGATTGAGAATTAAAGTTTTGGAGAATTATAATTATATGAAAAAAGAACTTAATGCCAGAGGTTATTAAATAATTGGTTATCCATCTCCAATTTTACCTTTATTGATTGGAAATGAATTAGTTTGTAGAGTAGTCACAAGATTAATGATTGATGAAGGAATTCATTGTAATGGAATAGAATACCCTATTGTAAGAATGGGATAGGCTAGATTAAGAGTCAATTTGTAACCATAACATACTAAAGAGTATCAATTCTAATATTAATTTTAGACACATGGACACATTTATAGAGACTTTCCATTTTTGCTTCAATAAAGCTACAAAAATTGTCTAAGAATCTTTAGAAAAATATTAATTAGCATTGGAACAATAAGAATAAACATAATAAGAAAAAGAGAATAAAGCTAATTTCAATGATAATAGAATGGAACTAAAAAAACCAAATTTATGAATTATTATTAATTATCATATTATATAAATAATTTATGTTTACTGTCATTAACTCAAAGTTGGGACTTAGAAGAGGTGGAATGCAAACTGTGACATCAGCTTCTATGTCAGAAATAAGAAGAGTATATATATTATAAGTATTATTAAGTAAAGATAAACAGAATTTAGAAAAAAAATCAAAGAAACAAGAACTAATGATTTTAGAAAAAGACCTTTAGGTTAATTTGAATTATATACACTCAATGATAAATTAGAGAATTCTTCTGATGAAGATGAATTTCAAAAATAAAAGAAATAAATTGAATAATTAGAATTACCTTTTGAATCCTTATCCAGCACTCTTAGAGCTACCAAACCAGTTTTTATTGAAAAAAAGAACTACAAGTAATTCAATAATATAATATAAGGTAGGCAATTGTTTAAAAAGTTAAATCCAAAATCCAAAGTTTTCTAAAAACAAAAGATAATAATAAATCTGTAATTTAAAATCAAAATGATAATTGGGTATTTCATGCAGATGGCTATGGTAAATTAATGTGGGATACCTTCTGTATGTTATTGATTTTTTATGAAATCTTAAGTATTCCCTTTAAATTAAGTTTCGATGTTGAAATTAATCCCACATTAGATCAAATAATTGATATCTTATTCATGTCAGATATTCTCATTACTTTCAATACTAGCATATATAGGAAAGGAATACCTATTTATAGTAGAAAACAAATTGTTCTGAATTACATTAGACTTTGGTTTTGGATTGACCTAGCAGCTTCATTTCCCTATGATGCCATAATCACTGTTTCAACTGGTGTTAGTGAAGATGAGAATTCATAAACTACAACTCCATCTTCTTAAGATGCTACAAAATACACTTAAACCTTGTCCTTATTAAGACTTGTTAGATTTATGAGGTTTATCAAAATCATACGTTTGCTAAGATTGGCTAAATTAAAGGTTTTCTTTGATAAAATAGAGGATGCTATATAATTAAATATAATGTTGTCTACTATTGTTAGCTTTATTAAATTAAGTGGATTTGTATTATTTTGGTCTCATTGGTTAGGATGCATCTTCCATTATATTGCTGTTAATGAAGACTCTTAAGACAATTGGCTTAATTATTATGGTATTTATGAAGAAGATTGGTCAGTTAAATATATTAATTCTCTTTATTGGGCTGTAACTACAATGAACACTGTTGGATATGGAGATATTTCTCCAAGAACTCCATTAGAAAGATTATTTGGAATATTCTTTTTGATGATAGCTACTGTTGTATTTTCAGTCACTTTGAATAGTATTGGTTCATCCTTATAAGGAATGGAAGATAAAAAGGCTGAAATTAGAAAGAAATCAAATTAAATTTTAAAATATATGAAAAAATTATAAATACCTGTTCCATTATAAAATAAAGTGAAGAAATATCTAACATATATATGGGAATAAGAAGCTATATTTAATCTTGAGCATATAACTGATAATCTATCTTATGCTCTTAAATTTGAATTTGAAATTCAAGTTAATGGTACAATTCTAGGTTATTGTCCTCCATTAAGACATAACTTTTAAAAGACATTCCTGAAATAAGTTACTAAGACTTTTAAATAATACACAGCTTTACCAGAAGAATTCATTTTCTTTGAAAACGAATCTATAGCTACAGAAAAACATCTCTATTTTATTTAAAGTGGCAATATTGAAATTATCTTATAAAGAAATAATTAGAAATTAAATAAATTAGAATAAAAAGATTATTTTGGGGAGATTGGATTTTTTACTGGATTATCTAGAACTGCCTCTGCAAGAAGTGTTAATTATTCTTCTTTAGTTTATATTGATAAATCATTATTTACATAATTATTGAAATCAAATCAAATTGATTTAGTATTAATATTAAACTTAATATTATAGGAAAGATTTCATTACATTAAAGATGAAATTATATTTAATAAAGGTTATCACCACATTAATGTTTTTTGTTATGGCTGTCTTAGAGATGATCATACAGTAATTGATTGCCCAGATATGCATTTTATAGTCGAATAATAGCAATATTGTTAATTTAAATCTAATTTTTAGAAGAAAATGTAAAGTCTTTTTGAAAGAAATGACAGAATTCATATTCATGCACTTAAACATAAAAATATTGTTAAATTTGTAATCATCTATATTTTCAATATACAAGACTGTCACTCAGATATCTTCCCTTGCTTAAAAACTTATGGCTTAGTATGATGAATGTAATTTAATAGATGAAATGGATAATGGATAATTAATGGAAGAGAAACTTGAAGTTTAATAAAAGTTAGCTAAACCCCCAAGATTTGGTCCATTTAGGTCTAGATTTAGGGAAGATAAAGCTAAATATAGAAAAATGAAATCATATATCTAAGATTAAGAGATGAAGATAAAATCTTTAAAAGCTTAATAAAATATCAGTTAATTACTTTTAAAATGTATTGTCACCTATTCATTCTTTAGAACTCAGTATTATTATGCAATAAAAAAATGTTAATTAAGAAGAGTAAGTAATTAAATCTGAATTTCCATTAACAAAATCGATGGCTACATCAATGAAAGTAGTTTCAAAATTTAAAGAAGAAGATGATGATAGTAAAGATAAATAATCTTCTGATTATTAGACTGTTTCATCATCTGATTTTGATGATGAGGAAAGTGAAGAAAAGGCAGATAAATTAACATATAAAGAAATTAAGACATAAAATTAAATATTAGAATTATTAGAGACATATAATCAATAATAAAAAGAAAGAGAATAAAGAGAATAATAAAATAAGGTTTATTCTATTTAATTTTATTATAGTTAGAATCTTAATTTATATTAATAAATAATTTTGAAGTTGGAGCAGATTTTCATAGTTATTATCCAAAATATAATAAAGAATAAATGATTTATGAATATAATAAAATAAAAGATAATTAGAGATTTAGACCTAATTTAGTATAATTTTATGAGTAATAATATATTATTTATTAGAAATGATTTTTATCATGAATTAGGATTAACTTATATATTTGATAATGGAAGTGAAGGACTTATAGATCGTCGATTTAAAACTATGTTATAATAGGATAGACCAAGTGGTAAGAAATTAACTAGAATTGCTAAATAATCTATGGGATTAATTAAAATGCCTGAAAAATTAAGTTAATTTTAATCAAATTAATTAATTAAATTTAGTGATTAAGAGATTGAATGAAAATTAATTAATCTTTATTTTCTATAAGTATAAACAAAAATATAGATTAACAATAGAATCATCATCTTATATGCATATTAATTCTTTGCTCAAATCTTCTCTTAGATTCATCCCATCTTGTTTATTAAATTGGTATTGTAAAAACATATTTTTAATTAATCTTATTTTTTCTATTTCCTACTTTTTGAATCCAAATTAAATTCAAAACTTCTTGGCTTCTAACATCTCTAAAAAGTTTTAATACAGTAATCAATGATAAGAATTGAAGCATAGCTGAAATGTACAAATAACAAATAGTGCCTAAAATAAACATCAATTTAACCTACAGGTTTTTTTAGTAGGTCAGTTAATAAAATAACAACAGATAAAGCTCCAAAACAGATTTCTAGAAATACTCCAACATAAATAAGCATCTGGATTTTAGCAAGTACTTTTTTATCAGCATTTAGATTTGATGTTCTAATTTATCTTTATTAAGCAAGCATTTCAGCTTAATACACTTAAGCTAATTTACTTTTATTTTTTTTATCATCTTCAATTTAAAAAGAATCTAAATTAATAACATCTTTATTATTAATTTTAATTGTTGCTTTCTTTTATCTTTTAATTTCATTGACTTATAATTTAGTTTATTCTACAATTTTAATTTATTGTTTTTTTATTTTCTTAATATTACCTCTTTCTTTATTTATATTCCATTTTAAATCTATTTAATCAAAATCTTCCTCATTTAGTAAACAAGAATTAACTTTTTAATGATTAAAATCTTCATCTACATGGAGTGAATTTTGAGATTCTTCACTCACAATTGTTTTCATTATACTTTTTTATATATCTCGCTTAACTTCAGTATTTTATTAAGTCGGAATATTTTGAGGTGATCTGAATGTTACTTACTTTTTAAAAAAAGAAGGAGTTTAAAGTTTATCAATTTAGATTATGGCTCTAGATGTTTCCCTTTATTCATGACTTTCATCACTTGCACTTAAAGAGCTTAATCTTAAAATTTATTAATCAGGTGTAGCTGGTGATTACAATTGATCTTCTGATTAAATTATCAACTATGTTCTTGATATTATAGTCTTTTGATAAATATAAATAAGGTTTACTTGCTAATTATTTAATGCAAATTTTAATTTCTCTTCTCTTTCTTACTCTCTATTATCTTAATCTAGTCTTTTTAGTTGTTTTTCTATGCATTGATTGAGGGATCTACCATATAGAAGGAATTCAAATATAAAGGAACTATTATGAATCATCCTAATTTACATGAAATTGAGTAACAATACTACATATGCAATATATAAGATAGTTTTATATTATTGTCCTAATCTTAATCCTAATTAAAGATTTAAAATTACCATTTAATGTACTGACAGTCAATTAAACAATTAAGACTAAGAAGAGTCTTATTTTCATGATGTCTTTATAATATATGAGAATGAATTTTCTATTCTCAGTTTTAGGAGCTTATTACTCTATATTATTTTATTTCTTCTCAGAAATATTAAATGAAATTTCATCATACATAGTATACCAAACCATTAATAATATTCCATATATATAAAATAATATAGAGTAAACTACTTCTGCCAGAATTCTTTCACAAACTCTTTCTTTATAATCCTATATAATATTACAAATTTTAATGATATATACATATAATTATAAGGGGTCTAAACCTAACCATATTATCTTGAGTACACTAAATAATATAGTTAGACATAAAATGCAATTCAAAGGAGATCCCAATACATTCTTAATGTAATTACATCCTCTATTGATATTAGAATCTATTTTCATACTTCTGATAAGAAGGAATCTTATTCATTTTCAGAGATAGTTAGAATTGTTTTAAAGTAAAAAGAAGAAGGATTGTAAAGAGTATTAAAAAGAATCCTATAAAAGTATAATAAGTTGCCATATGGAGTTCTTCCAGTTTCAATCCACAATCTACTCCAAAGTACCCCAGATCACATTAGCATGACCCATCGTAATAGAGTCCACGATCGCTACAATTTGAAATCTGTAATTCTTTTTAAACGGAACTCATATTAATGTAATAATAATCATAAATATTAGCTATTTTGAATTTTGTATTCACTTCCTTCCAATTTCTTCAACATAGTCTTGAGTTTTTAATGAATGGACATCATATTGACTTTATCAGTTCTAATTTAATCTATATTAATAATTACCTAGTATTGATCTATATTTATTCAGTGCCTCTTCCAACATTCTTTTGGATAAACCCAATAGCATCAATCATATATTTAATTACTTAAGGAGAATTGATACCTACAGTCATTAAACTTATCACACCACTTTATAATGAGTCTACTAAAATGAAAGTAGATCCAATCTTTTTTTCTAAATTGAAAGAGATAGACTCCAATCTACATAATTAAAAGAATGTCTTATATTATAATACATCCAGTCCTTCATTCATTATTGTTGGACAATAAACTGAGTATCTAACATTATTTTATCTGTTAGTATCTTCCACATAATAACTACCTGTAGAAACATCTAATCTGCCTCTCATTAAAAAATCAAAATATATAGAGGCACTACTATATTGATTTAAAAAGCAATCTAATCCAATTACTTAAAATCCCTATTTATTATTTTCTTATTAATATCCTATTGTGTCTATTGTAAAATATCCAATTAAACCTTTGCCATATAATTTTTAAGCAATCTAATGACATAAAACTTCTTGATTTATTTTTAAAAAACTTTAAGGACTGAAAGAAGCTATTGTTTAAATTTCATTAGTTTTAATTTTTTCATATGATCCTAAAATAGCAATTTCTCCATTAGGTTCTACTTTAAAGTTATATGAAATGGAATGTATTTAAGATAATCTACTTAAAGGTGATCCTTCAATAATTCCTCCTCGATTAGCTATACTCATTATAAATTCATGATATCCACCATATAAATGAGGAAATGCATAATGAAGTTTTTTCTTTATTTTCTTTGTTAATAATTATGCTAACTAATTAATTTCTAATGGTTATATATTTTTGATCATTTTCTAAACTTCTAACCAAGCTATACCTCTTCCTTAAGATTCATCATCCACCTTAATAATCCATGTATTTATAGTTGGATTTTTTATTATCAATACAGATAATGAATTTATCAATTCTTTCTCATCATAAATATTACGAATAGTTGGAGGTTAAGGCATTTATAATTCATCAAACAATACTTTACAACCTGATTTTGTAGAATAATATTAATGTAATTATGGAATCCCTGAAAATATTGGAACATTTAGAATATCAGATATTTTAATATCATCATTAGAACAAACACCAGGTACAATATATGCTGCTTATCCTCTTATTAAGGATTTAATTCTCTTTAAAGCTCTTGGTGAATAATAAAGTAATTAAGACAATCCCATATGATTATTAAATATATTGTGATTTTCCTATAATTAAATTATATTTTTACTGGCCAAACAAAGTGCAATCTATTTTTACAATCAGAAATATCTCCAAGATTTAAAATTTTATAAAAGTAATCAATTAATTCACTAGGTAAATCATATGGAGCTATATATATTATATGCACAAGAGGATCCTTCAAATTAAATATCCTTGTTATTTAAGTATTCTATCTTTAAGGAAATTTATCCATAGATAATCTTTTGATTTCTTCAAATGAAAAAGAATTCAAATGAATTTCAAATCTTTATTATAATTTAATAAATGGCCATTCCTCTCTAAATACATTCTATCTATTTTTAAATCTTTCTAACATATAATTATTATTTTTTATGATTTATTTTTAGACTTTTTTTCTAAATAATGATACTCTCATTGATCTTTAAATTATAATCACTTTTTCTACCATAATTTTCAATCTTTAATAATTTTTTCTTGCTTAATATCCTTTAAATAAAGCAGATATTTTTGTGGCAGCTTAAACTTAACCATCTTTTGATTTATATAACAATGTTGGAACTTTCAATATTTTTTATAGTTCTTCCCAATTCTCAAAACATTAAAGTAATTCAGCCATTGTAAATACTTAACTTCTATCAAATTCTTAAGATAATTTTTACACCTTAGAACCAAGTATTTTACAATCTTATACTAATGTTGATTATGCAATCTTCTATAAACTAATCAAAATTGGTTCTATCTTACTCCAATTCTCATAATATCTATTTTAAAATTAAACATATTATAATTGATCTGTTTATAATAATCCATTTTTCACATGAATCATATATTCTTATTGAGTACTTAAATTTTGTAATTATTCTGAAATGGGTCTCTCATGTTCTTTTGATAAGGAAGTAGCTTCTTTAGCATCAACATATTTTGGTTTTGATTTACTTTGTATACTCATTTTCTTTTAATTAAAACTGACTTTACTATTATCTTAAACCTATCCTACACTTTATGTATTTGTACAAATGACATCCTATTTCAAATCAGTTTTATAATTATTTTAAAAGGATTAACTTTCAAGTTGTATAATTTTGTTTCCAAATTAATCAGTGTAATCAAAGAAACTATAAAAATAATAATAAATATTAATATACTTTGCTTATTAATTTCTAAAAGCAACATTGTTTGGATTTAATAAATTATTGATATCTTACTTTTTAATAGTTCCTTAATTTATAAGTTCTGTAATTCCTTTTTTATATAGAGTTAAATCATCAACTTTTGTTAATTATTATTAAGACTGCTTTTTTGATTAAAACTTTCTACTAACTAAATTAAATCATCTTTAAATATTTACTTACATTAAATAGCACTTTTTACAGTATGTAATCCTTTTGGTTTTAGTGTTGATTTACCTAGTGGTTCCACACTTAATTTAATTTAAATAATATTTTATACCTCACTTATGGGAGTGTACGAACATTGAGAAATTAATCAATAAATGGTAATTGAACTTATTGTTGGTACATTATGTTTTAAGAGTTTGTATAAAATTGCGGTTAGAGATTTCCTAATTTATTCATAGCATACTATCATTAACATTTGGTAATTTTTGGACAGTGTTATCAAAATTACTTATTAATTGATCATAAAAAGCTGAATTGACATTTGACAATTTGTCTTCAAGAGTTTTCAACTAATCATTTAATTAGTTATATTAATTTTATAGAAATGATGATGTCTAAGCTAATCATTATTTAATTAGAAATACAGTTGGGTTTTAGCTTTTATAGTTGTTTTTTTACAAGTTCAATCTCTTATTAAGTTTTTATATAATATGTTCCCTTGTCATCTGAATTCATTGTTAACATTATAATATTTTAATATTATTATTTTATGTATTTTTCAATTACTAATAGTAATCCTTTATTTTATTAAATATTTCATTTGTTTAAATACTAAAATTCAAAGATGGGATGTGGTTAAGTAAAGTCAGACAATAAATACTTAGAAGATAAAAATTTTAAATCAAATGGACCTATATCTACTTAGATTTCTATGGGTTTGTCAATAATTTAAAAAACAGACCCAATAGATGCAGACTATATTCCTCATAAACTCGATCCACTAGCAAGTAACCAATATTATATATAATAACTAGCTCTACGAAATTATATAAGAAAGGGAATCTCGAAAAGTAACAGTTAAGCACGAATAATAAGGACTTATAATTGTGCAAACGCCAGTTTAGAAAGAAAATAACAATTATAAGAGACTATTAATCTGTTATTATCATTGGTATAAAATTTTTCTTCAATTAGAAACATCTCAATATTCAAAGCACTCTTACCTATTATTACTATGATTGTAGGTTAAGTTTAATTGGTGAATACATCGATGGAGGCAACCTTTTAACTTAATTAGATAAATTTAGCTAATTACAGTAATACCAATAGATTGACATCTTTTGTTAGATTATGGCAGGTGTATAATACTTACACGATAATGGAGTGATGCATGGGTATAGTTCAAAATAAAATTAGTGATATTCGACTAGAGCACATTCTATTTACAAATAAAAATTTAGAAAAAATTAAATTAATCGATTTTGGGATATCAAATTTAATCAAATCAGAATTCTCATCATGGAGACCAAAAAATACTATGCAAGAATTATCTTTTAGATCACCAGAAACAATCAAAGGATAATCAACTTTTAAATCAGATATTTATTCTTGTGGCTGCCTCTTATATTTCATTATAACATCTCATATGCCATTTTAAGCAAATAATTATCAATCATTAAAAAGTTGTATTCTACGTGGTGTTCCTAATTTTGATAGTACAGAATGTGCTAACATGAACCCTTAAATGAAATAATTATTAAGCAAAATGTTGAATGCAAATCCTTAGCGTAGACCAACTGCATAAGAGGTTCTGAATCATCCAATTTTGAATAACAAAATTAGAATTATGAACAAACCTAATAAATAATTGCAAAAGCATATGAAAGAATTCAAAGTAATGATAATTCTATTTTAGTTATCATCTTAAATATAAGCAGCCATGTTAATGTATATAGCAGAGAACATGATGTCAGAATAAGATAAAAAAAGGTTAATGGATGAATTCTAAAAATTTGATCTTAATAAAGATGGATAATTAACAAAAGATGAGTTGCTAAAAGTTTATTCAGAAACTTTACCTCCTGAAAGGGCTTTAAAAGAAGTTAATACAATTTTTTAAAGAATTGATGTTAATGGTAGTGGTAAAATTGATTATTAAGGTAAAAAAGAAATTTATTAAATTAGAATTCATTATAGCAACAATTGATTAGAAAAAGTATTTTAATAGAGAAAGACTCTTGATGTTATTCACATAAATTGATAGAGATCATAGTGGAGAATTAAATAGATAAGAAATTAAAAAATTATTAAGAGATATGTAGATTCCAAATAATAAATATGAATAATTAGTTAAATAATTAGATAGAGATGGAGATGGAGCAATAACATAAGAAGAGTTTCTCAAAATGATGTTATAAATTTGATTTTATGTGTATTATAATTTTTATTTCTTTTTCTCTTAAATTATTATTATATTTAGACATTAATAATTAAAATGAATTCCTCCTAAAAATTGAAGGAATCTTAAATTCCTGAAAAGGAGAAGGATAAAAATAAGTCATAAAAAAGTAAAGAGGATGCTAAAGAGACTCTTAAGAAAATTGTTGAATAAGCTCGTTAAGCAATATTAGAAAATAAACTCAATGTAACTTTAATTCAATAACAAAGGCCACAGAAGAAGTTCATAAAGCTATGATAGAATATAAAGAGATTTTAGGAGGTGAAAATAGTGTTTTACTACTTCCTGGTTTATTTATATAGGCAGAAGGATACATAGCAGAAGGCAAATTGAAAAAAGCTGAAGAATTTCTTTAGGCTGCTTACTGGAATCTATATCAATACAATAAACCAAAAGAAAAAGGAAGCGAAGATGGCAACAAAATGGGTTAAGATATTTCAGAAAAAGAGAATGCAGAATATAATGGTCAGTTGCATAAAATATTTTCAAAACTCTATTTTGCCTAAAAGGATTACAAAAAGGCATTAGCAGAATTAACAATTGGAGTAATGATTATCATTATTTTTCGATAAGATTTATACAGATTCTTGCAGTTCTGACCCAGAACATCCATAGACAAGTCTTAATTACTATTATATGGGATAAATATTTTAATAGAAGAAATAAAGCTCAGAAGCTGAATAATTTTATGCAAAAGTACTATAAAATAATATTATAATTATAGACTTCCTAATGTTGGTATAAATATTTAAAGAGATATTATTAATATGGTACTCCATCAAGTGAAAATCTTCCAGAAGAAGTTATTTTCAAGGAAGCATTGTAAGTCCTTAAATAAATTGAAGGTTCTATTATTTTATTATTATAAAGAATATTTCAGAAAACACATTGATGATAATAACATAAAGTTATACATAATGCCAATCACTTATAATTTATAAGCCTAAGCCTTTGTTTACAAAAAGTTGAATAATGAAGAACAATATAGACATTATATGGGATTAGCTTATTAAGAATTTCTAATGCAATATGGTGAAAATCACAAAAAAACTAAGAAGGTGACAGAAATTTAAGAAATTATTAAATAAAGAGAAAGAGAATATTGAAAAAATTTAATTATTAATAATTTATATATATATATAATGCAACTAAATGAAGAACAATAAGAAAAAGATAATGAAGTCGATTATTAGAATGTTTACAACTCAAATTTGTTTCGTAAATTAACAACTCAATAGATAAGAAAGATTCTTAATCCTTACAAGTAAAATGCAAAAGAAGTTTTATAAGAATTATCTAATTAAATTGACACCTTGGAAGAAGGATTGAAAAAATATCAAAATGAAAATACTATGATACCACCTAGTAAATAATAGATTTTAGATATTCTTTAATAAAATACTGCATTTACACCAACTGAATCCATTTAGTCATTATTATCAGAGAAAACTAAATTAAAAACTAGTTATCTTCATGTTGATAATTTGTACATGTATATTTAGTAATAAATAATATTTAGAAATCAGGATGAACATATTCCATAAACTAAATTTGAAATTATGTAAATGGCTTTATCTAATAAGACAATTCAAAAACAATAAAGAAAGGCAATTAAATCAGATGATTTATCAAAAAAGAGAAAAATTATTTTGCAAATTTAATAGAGGATAAATTAAGATGAAATAATTAGAAAGAAAAAAGAAGAAGAAGAAAGATTACGATTATTGGAAGTACAATTTTGTTAGAAATTAGAAATAAGCTAGAGAAGTAGATGTAGGATAATTGACTTTAAATATGATTTCGGATCTAAGGAAAAAATATTTTAATGAATTAGTTTCAACAGATACAGAAGAAAAGTTTAAGAGAATTAAAGAAATTAAAGAAGTTTATGTTCCATAATAACTTAATAAAGTTAAAGAAGGATGTATATCATTAATAATATGATAAGATCAAAAATAATAGTAAGAAAAATTAAAGCATGATTTGGTATCAAAGAAATCTTAATTCAATTCATATTATTAATTACTTGCTCTAGAGAGAACTATGAAAAGAGTGGTTGCTCTCAAACTCAAACCAGAAATTAAATCATATTCAAGATTTAAAGGTGCTGAAATCCCAAAGAATTATTCATCTATCAATAGTATTGTGAAAGGGATCATTCATACATCTAAAAATTCAGAAAACAAAGGGTTTTATTGAAAATATTAATTTTTTTCTATAAATTTTTTTATCTAATATTATACTTATTTAAATTATGCAAAATTAATTGAATTAAGAAGACAAAGATTAAAATACAAAATAAAGAATAGAAACCTGTAAAGAAGTATAATAAAATTGATTACCATTAAAAAGGCATTAAAGTTTCTATTTTATGTGAATAATAAATTGCAAAAATCTAGTGATCTAGATCAAAAAGATGTATATTAAAAATCACTACTCAAATGGAATTTAATGAAAAAGGAGGAATAAGATAAACAATAATAAAAAATAGAGAACACAAAATAAAAAGAGCAAAATATACTAAAACGTATATTATAGGAAAGCGAAAGAAGTAAAGAAATAGATATTTCAAATTTAAATTCTCTATAAAATGGTTACTTATAAGTTTAATAGATATCAAATTAATTATATTAGGAATCTAATTAAGAACTAAATCATTAATCTATTATATTAAACAAAAATATCAATAATAATAATAACTAAAATATTTAGGCTAATGAAGTAAATATTGATGAAATTTAAGTTCAATCTTAGAGGTTTGATTAACAAAAACCTTCTAGGGATTGCAGTGATGATGAAGATTATATTCAAGTGAATAAAATGAATTATAAAGTAAAAATGTCTAAAGCGAAACAATCTAAATCTTAATAGAAAAGAGTTTTAAGTTTATCTAAAAAGAACCAATAATAAAATTAAGAACTTCCTCAAAATGTTATAGATTCATATAATTGTGATAATTAAATGACTATAGATCGTTTAAAAGAATTAATGGAAAATATGCTAAAAGAAAGTGTTTGATATAATGATTTTTAATAATTATACTTGTATAAATTTATAATATTATTGGGTCAATCTTTTTAAGCTTTTGAATTAGTAGATTTTCGAATTCTGATTTTAGCTAAGCTTTAACTTGTTGCTGGAGTTGAATTGTTTACAATTCTTGAATCTACACTATAGAAACTGCTAGCATGGTAATGAGAATGTATTCTATATTAATGCTTTAACAATTTCCATGAATCGAGGTTTTATATTATTTTAAAGCATTCTTTGGAAGGATTTTTATTAATATAATACTATAAGAGAGAGCAAAGAGACTTTATGAATTCATTTAGATAGCTAAATCTTTTATTAGGAACTCCATTCTATTAAGTAAGTTCTGAGAGCTATTTAAGAATGCTTAATAAATTTAATTTCATAAAGATCGTGTGAATATTAAAGTCTGATCCAAATTCCATATTTAATTTTAATATTCTTAGAAAAAGACCCTAAAATATTTAATTTGGTCTTGTTGATAGACATTACCTACATATTTCAATTAGACAACTCCATGTAGTAGCAGTAATTCTATTTAATAAATTGGTTTAGCCTCTTTCGATTCCATTTTCTATCAATAAGCACAGAGTTTCACAAAGTAAAATTTTACTCACATCTAGATCTATTTTTGTAGTATTAGATGTCTTCCAAGATAATGAATTTATGATTATTTTACATAAATAATCAATATAAATTTAACCATTATCTTGGAAATTAACATATTAAGGTTTTTGTTTGATTAGAAAATTTACTAATTTTCCACATAAAATAGCACTATTTTCTTTAACATAAGGACTAAGTTTAATTTTAAAGAAATAAATCTATATTAAAATAATTTGATTACTTTAATCAATTTGTCAAACATAGATTATGAATTTTAATCTAGTAAAATCATTCCTAAATAATTTTCTCTTTTTTCAATGGAATGGTTTTTAGTTTAAAGTAATTTGTGATCTGATAAAATTAAATGTTAAATTAATATTGACAAAAATTAGGTTAAATTATAACAATAAGGTTCATCTTTACTTAAACTAAAAATTATATAAATTGATACTTTTCAATTTAAAATTAAACTGATTATTATTCTTAATCCCATTTACCTTAAATTACATCTTTTAAAGATAAAGGATATAATTAAAATGACATATTTCTTGAATGTTTCTTGTAAATAGTTTTTGAACTTTCCTTCATAAAAGATTAAGATTTCTAATCAAACTTATTATTACTCTCTTTAGTATCTACTCTTAATTCTAAAGGATTAGGATTATAATCATAAGGAACAAAAGGATCTTTAACCTAATCCTATTCATCTAAATCGAACATAACTGATGCACTACGAAGAACAATCAATCTCTCTCTTCCAATTTGGGATTACCTTTTTTTATGTGGTTCAGTAATTATTTCAACATTTTATATAGCTTACCTAATTACATCCATCATTGAAGTAGGTTTTTCAATTGTTAAAGGTATGATATTATTTGCAGATTTGTTAAAAAAAGATAATTATTTAATTGTTTTTTTGTGTACAAAATGCTTTAATTGATCAATATCCCATTTTAAATGAATTTTTTCTTCAATTATATAATTAAAATTATTATTGTCATTTTATTAATATACTTTTTCTTTGAGTTAAAAATCTGGATTAATTGTGAAGACATCTAACATTTTATTATTTCTAAAATCTTAAGAACATTTAAACAATAAATCATTTTTAGAATTTGGATTCAATAATATATTAATTAATTCAGTAAATAAGTCAGCTGCTTTAAAATAGTCCCATACTTAATTATATAATTATTATTAATGTTCAGATTGGAAATGGATCATTAAATTAATTTAAGTAAATAGATGAATTAAAAAAGAAGAGGATTAATCATAATTTATGTAATAAAGGAATGCATAAGGTATATTGTAATATAATGTAAAGTATACTGAAATATCTTATTCTTTGTCTAAATAAAAAGTAAGTAATTGAGTTAAATGGTTAAAGTTACAGTACTTTAATTAATCTTCATTAAAGCATTAAGATAAATAAGAATCTAATTATATAAAATGATATTTATATACAAGCAATTTTTAAATAAGCTGGATTGACTTTAGCTATAATTGAATGATTTTCATCATCTGTTAAACTTTATAATGATCTAATAGAACGAATATGATAAAGATGAGCTGGAGAATTAAGACAAAAACAATCTTTTAAGTTTGGAATATCTTTTAAATTGATAGTTTTCTTCATTTCTATTCTAGACCACTTAAAATTAAACAAATTTCATTACACAATTGGCAGGTTCATATTTTAAAGGACAATAAATAAAAGACAACATGATTTCTATATTATCTTTCAATTTAAACATATTTTAAGAATTAATGACACTACTTGCAATTTTCTTTGAAATTACAGGAATAGGATAATTCATTTTACTTAACCATCTCTATAATTCAACTACAACTTAATTTTCTTTTCGGATTGAATTAGATCTTGTTGGAGATTCACATTCGAGATAATCTTCAATAACTTATACTTCAACAGTTCTAGGTGTTCTAGTAGCTATTATTTCTTCAATCTCATGAAAAATCAATGGATTCAATTCATGTATTAAGGGCCATTTATTTACAATTCCTTATAAACTGTTATAAAGTTCTAAAGTAACTTTTTAATCATGTATATTTGATAAAATAGCTTTATAAGCTTATGTTATTTATTCTGCAACTGACTAACCTTCGCTTGAATCATTCTTCGGAATTTGCTTTATAAAGAACTAAAGTTAGATTATACACTCCTTATAAATTCCTGAGATATGGCTTTTCATTACATCTGATAGATAATTGATGTCTTGTTAGAATATTTGTGAACAAGCATTTAGAAATTAAATTTGGAACTAAGTGATAGGTGCAAATCTTTCGATAATTAATTCTAATAGCATTTTGATATTCTATCCAAACATTGATTATAACATCAACATATAGAAAAACAATTAATCTTATTTTAATAGCAAATGCCACATGGATTAAAATGGTAATAATTAAGCAATTTATTTGCAAGCTTTTGACATATATGTATATCTGGCTTATTCATTATTTGTAGTTACCTTAAATAATGTATATAATAATTACAGCTTCCTTTAAGTATTCTGCACACTTTAATTGCATTAGTGATAAAAAGTCTAATTTTATTATATATTTTTTATCAAAATGTAACAAACACAAAGAGGAAGAAAGATTAAAAAGAGTTAAAGCTCAAAGAAGATTAGATCATAGACAGAAGATCCCAAAAAAAAATCTTTAAATAAGAAAGCGTTGTGTTTGAAATATTATTTTGTTGGACCTGGCAATAATGGCAAATTGATCTCAAATTATTTATCTCAATAATCGTAATGAGAATAATTATTTGATTTATTAGAGGATGGAAGCTTTTGGATGCAGAAAGTGGAAAATCTTCAAATGATTTTTATTTGAAATGGGTTCAAACTAATTCTGAAATTCAATTCTAATAATTTAAAGAGGGATAGTAAATAATTAATCATTTACCTAATCATATGATTCTTACATCAAAATAACTTATCATTTAAACAATGAAAGAGTATGAAAGGTAAAACAAATGTAATATTTTTTGTTTAATTTAGAATTATAATTCAATTCAACACACTTCTTTCCTGAAACATACAGAATTGATTTGACATAAGAGTTCTTGAGTAATGAAGAAGATCAATTTCTGAAGACAGATAATTCAGCAGTTTGGATAATTAAACCAACGTATTTTAATTGTGGAAGAGGCATCAAATTATGTTCAAATGCAAAAAAATTAAAATAGGAGTTTTAAAAGTAATAATATTAAATGAAATTAGATTAAAATAAATCTCAAATTCCATAAAATCATAAAAAGGATTCTTACCTAATGGTATATTTACTCCAAATCTTAGAAAATGTATTGTTTAAAAATATATTTAAAATCCACTATTATTGGATGGTCGTAAATTTGATATTAGATGTTATGTTTTAATTGCTACTTCAAGACCTTTATTTGTTCTCTTTCAACATGGATATTTACGTTTATCTGTAGATAAATATAATGTAGAAGATATGGATGATGAAAAGAATAGATACAAACATTTAACAAATGCAGCTGTTTAAAAAAAGCATCCTTCTTTTATTTAATCTAAAGAATCAACTATATGGTCTATGCAATAATTGGAAGTAATTATATATTTCTAATAAAAAGTAATATTTAAAAGAGAAAATTAATGTGACATAAGAATAGATAGATAAAATTTATTTGTAAATGAAAAGAATATTTGCTCATATCATTAGATGTGCAGCAGATAAATTTGAAAAGAGATTAGGTACTTTTGAATTAATGGGATGTGATATAATGATAGATACAAATTTAAAAGTTTATCTAATTGAAATGAATACTAATCCTGCATTATTTTTAGGTGAATTTATTTATAATAATTATTTAGATACTACTACTTAAGCATAAGTTATTCCTCCAGTAGTTTAGTAAACCTTAGATTTAGTCATTTAGTTAAATGATGAAAAGAATAAACCAATAGAGAAATGTCTTTAAAATGCAGCTAAACTAAAATTAGGTAATTGGGAAATCATTCATGATGAATCTAATAATTTTAATTTAGTTGCATAATGATAAAATTAAAAATTAAAATGGAAATCAAGATTGATCAGCATTAATAATTTAATTAATCAGTTCTCTTGTTTTATCATTAAAATTAGATGTAGTTTAAACAATTTCTTAGTCTTGCCTTTTTATTAATGAAGTTTTTAAAATTGCTAAAATTATAATAAACTTACGTTGGCTTGTTTTTTATTTAAACTTTAATTATTTGAAATTGTTAAATTTTTTAGTAGCATCATCTGCATCTATTTTCCATTTCTCATTCAATTTTAAAGAAGTTGATAATTAAATCTAATTATTAAAAGTAATCTAATATAATTAATGTAAAAATTCATCACTAGATATAAATCTTTTTAATAATTGTCTATTAATATATAAAAAATATACATTTTATCAGTATGAGTAAATTAAGAATAATTTATTATTCCTTCTATATTTGTTTATGAATATGAAGTAGATCTATGATTTACAAACTATTTTTATTAAGTTTAGCGATTTAACACTTCTTTTTTCATTTCATTAACACAATCTAATAATATCTATTCTAATTCTCCTCTTTAGCAATTTTATTTAGATAATTCAACTTTTAATAATTGTATTATTTATCTTTCTTTTTATAATTATGATCTAAGTTCTTAAATTAATTCCTATTTTGTATTATCTTATATCTAATAAATCAAAATGATACTTATTAACTATCCTAATTATATCTACTTCGTTTTTAAGAAGATAAATCTCTTCTAAAGAAATCATGTTAAGATGATCCATAATCTTGTATTTTGGTTGATAATTAAGTTTTTTATCCTTATTTTATTGATGAAAAATCTCTTTTTGAACCTTCAACTTGTTCATCTTTATTAGCAGTCATTAGTGTTCCATCTTATGTAAATGATCTATAATCTATATTATTTTTTATAACTGTCCGTTGATTAATATTTCCAACAGAACCAACTCTTTAACCAATTTTTTAATCTTCACTTTTTTATTTATATAATTAAAGTAACTCATATTTTAAAGCTTTATTTTCTTTTTTAGAATCTAAATTCATTTTTATATTATTATTATACCAATAACAAATCCTTCATAATATTATTTTTCTTCTTAAGTTATTTTTAATTTAAATTTTATTTCTTCAAGGGTTCTTGATTGTTCTTAACATAATTTATCCAATCTCAATGCTTCTTCCCTAAAATAATCTCTTTCTTCTTCTAAGATTCTTTTTTTTTCATCTGCCTTTTATCTAAGTGCCTCTTCATCTATCTTTCTTTTCATAGCTTTTAATTCTTTTTATATTTCAGCCATTTATTCTTTATATGCAATCATAAAATCATCTTCTTAAGATTTGATAATTTTATCAACTTTACCTTATATATTCTAATATATTATTAAGATATTCAATATACATCTATTATATCTTATAATTTATTATAATCTCTCTCAATTTCTTTTCCATATTTTAGATTATCTTCCAAAAAGACTTTTCTCCTTTATGTAGTGAATTAAGTTTAAGTTAGTAATAAGTTTTCAAATCCATCTATAAGTGATTTAGACATTGCTAATGTTAAATGTAGATTAATTACAATTTTATGGTTCCATAATTCTTTTAATAATATTAAATTATATAAATGATATTTAGTATAATTATGGATAATAGTTATATAATAAATAATAATATTAAGTATAATAAAAATATTAATTTTCTACAAATATTTTTATGCTCTAACTTAAACATTATTAAGGAAATCTACTTTTTCAAAATTAAATTTGAACTATATCAACCGTATAAATATTTATAAATGGAAAATAATTGATTTATTTTCTTACTTAATTTAAGAACTTTTTTAAAACAAAGCAAAGCAATTTTGATTAATCAATAATAGTTAATTAATGATATTTTGAATAAATTTTTAGATTTCTAAACATTTTTATATAAATTATATCTTCTATTTTAAATCAAACTAGTCTAGTTACTTAGTAACATGTAATCTAAACATTCAGAAACTAGATAGAGTTGGACCTATCAAGTAATTCTGAGAATCATTTTTAATAGGAAGACAAACTCTTATTAGAACTTATCAAACTTAATGGTTGTGCATCTTGGAATCGTATAGCAATTGAACTTTAATCTAAAATTAAGAATCCAACCAAAATACGTTCTCCAGCAGCTTGTAGAGAACGATATTAAAACATACTTAACCCTAATTTGAATAAAAGTATATGGACAGAAGAAGAGGAATAAAAATTATTCAACCTTTAACAATAATTTGGTAACAGTTGGGCTAGGATAGCTTCCTAAATGACTGGTCGTTCCGATTTACTATGTAAAAATTACTTTTATGCAACTTTGAGAAAAGTTTTACGTCGTCTCAGTAAAGCAGTGGGACTAGATTAATGTAATAATTTATTTTTACTCTTTTAGCTTCAGATTTACTAAAATAAATTAAACCTAGTGTATTAGGTGTAATCTATTGTAATGAGGATTCCTTAAAAAGCTTTAATATTGATGAAGAAATGAAAAATGAATTTAAAAAAATGATAAAATAATACAGACACACAGAGAAATCAGAATTAAGAATGTTACCTGAGGAAGAAATTAATCATATAAAACAAATGTTAAATAAACTATTTGCCATAAAGTATTAATTTGATCATTATCAAAGCAATAATTATATTTCTTAAAAAGGTGCAATAATATTTAACAAAAGTAATAAGTAGGATTTAATATCTTTGGAGACTAGTAAATAAATTAACCTTAATTAAAATTAATAATCTGATTCAAAAATATTATCAAAAATCTAAGCATCTAACCTGAGACATGATTATTAGGAAGAATATGATTAATAACAAAACTACTAAACTCAAATCTTCTAAGACTAATAACCATATTCAAATTTAGACAAATAACCTTATTCTAATCATTATTCAATCCCATAACACCTAGTAATTCATAAATAATTATTAGATATCTATGTATACTCCAACTCCTGTAATAACATTCTATATCTAACCAAACTTTAATATCTGGCCAATCTAACCTGCATAACTATACAGCCCACCTCAATGCCTTTAAATCCCTTAAACCTATCCTTACATCAAATATGAGTAATCATAATGATAATGATGTAATTTATTCATACAATAAACAAAAATTTATAAATATTCTTTAGATTAACTTTTCTTCCACCAATAGAAAAATATTATTTATTCAATTTATTTATTAATAATCAATAAAAATTAATATATTAAATAGTTTATTCTGCTTCTTTTTAATAATTTGAATCAAAATAATCTATATATTTTTATTGATATAGTTCTTTTGGACATTTTAATCTGATTTTATTTTACACACTTTTTTAATATTAGAAGATATCCATTTAACTATATTTTATTACTGAATTGCTAATCTAAATAAAAAAAACAACCTAAAAAAAATAGAAACTAAATATAATTAAATTTATTTTGATTTGAGAGTGGACAAGTGATTAATTTAATAAACCTTATAAAAGATTTTAATTTTTTGGCTATATAAAATCATATTTATTCTGAACAACAAAAAAAATAAAAATAAAAAAAATAATTCAGCATAAAATGCAATTTTATAAGTTTGCTATCTCCTATTATATGAAATAACATTAAAAGGTCTTGATTAAATCTAGAACAACAGCTTCATTATTGCATTTGATATTTTATGTTTAATTGATTAGTTTACTATTACATAATGAAGAGGAGACAATAAAAATTCAGAATAAAAATTATTCCTTAAATTTATTGCAAGCTTTCTCCTATTTAAATTAGATTGGAAGACCATATTAATTATTATTACGCTATTAAAATTTTAGACTTTTTGCATTTTTACTTCCTACAGTATTCCTATGTTTTATATCAATTGGATTTATCAAGAATTTTTTTGTTCATTATTTATTTAAAACAAAATTTATCAAAAAGAAAACCACTTAGACTCCTGATTTCAACTCTTAATTATCAATAATATTTTAATTGTATTTTTATTTGTTAGCCTTATACACATTTGATTTTTATATCATTTCAATTGCTGAATCAATATCAAATACATAGATATCAAATATATATATATTTGTCATTAGCATTATACTACTATTCAATTCAGTTTTGTTTATATTCATTAATATTTTATGCTCAGAATCTATTCATTTCAAAAGTTCTCCTTTACATGTTTAATAATTACAAAAATACTAATTTTTGAATGTTATATTGATCATTTTTTCAATGTATTTCAAATCTAAAAGTGATGAAGGGAGTGTAATACCTGTTTACATTTTAAACATTATTATTTTTCCATCCTATATATATTCAGAAATTGAAAAATAAGTTTGTATTTTTAATAAACTCTCTTTAATATTATTATCCTTTGGATTATTTTAAAATATTTTCTCATTAATCTTAATAGAAGTTTAATTTGAATACAGGATTGGATTAGTGTTTATATTATGCCCTTTTCTTATAAATATTCTAAGTTATTATTAAAAAACCAGAAATTAATTAAACATCAAAAAATCAAGAAGTATTTAAGAAATATATTAAAATTTAATTATATTATCAGATAATAAATCTAAATATTTAAGAAAACATTAATTTGATTATATAATTTTAAACTAAAAGAATGATATATTGAATGATTAAGATATCTTTTAATAAGAATTAATCACATTTAATGATAGAATTATAAAAGCAAGTAAATCATAAAAAACATTCTGGTATTAAAAATATATTTTAATTAAATATCACTAATAAAATTTTACAGATACAATTTCTTTGATATATCATTTCACTTAAAATTAACTTTATTCTGAATCTACAAAGTAATATTTTAAAGTATCTATTTCATTATCATTCTTATAAAGATTATAATTAGAATTAATTCAAAAAGAAGTATATTAGCTATTATATTATAATATTACAAAAGGAAATGATTCATCAGAAAATGATTTAGCTAGACAATACATAATTTACTCTTAAATTGTTTAAGATGACTAAATAGAAGTCAAGAATTTATTTTAATTAAAAGAAAGGATATATTAGTAAATGCTATAAGGAAAACATGAAAGCTAAAATTAATTATTTAACATGGCTTATTCATTAACTGAAAGAGCCTTAAAGTTTCTTAAGAAAATAAAGCTTGACTTATATGTTCATAAAAGTTATCGAATATAATAATTACTTATTATGCTATATGTTGATTTTTTTAATAATATCTTTCAAGCTGAAATACTAAGATTTAGTCAAATAGTTAATGAAGATAATAAATAAAATATTTATGAATAATATTCATTCATCGGATTGTAAATATTGGATGATATGGAAAATCTAGAAATTATATAATATAGTTAAGATATGATCTCAAATTTAGGATATTCTAAAGGTAATATTTAACATGATAATTTTAATTTTAAGAAATTAATTCCTACAGAATTTTATGAAATTCATTAATTTTTGATAAAAAGATTCTTATAAACTGGTTTTTGTAAAAAATCTTCAAAACCATATGAATTACTTATTAAAGGAAATTAAGAAACTTTCTTCTACATTTAATTATAATTAAGTGTTTAGCCTTAAACAAATGATCATATATAAATCTTTGCATTTATAAAATTCTTAGAAAATTAACCAATCTCATTATTTATCAATTAGGATAATAAAATTGTAGGATTTACTAATAATTTTATAAATTAATTTAAATATCTTGGATTTGATAAGAAATCTCTTTTTCAAAGTGATATCAACAAATTTATATCAAATTTCAAAAAATTACCTCATTAGAAACACATAAAAGTTAAATTAGTTTAAACATAATAAGAATTAAATGCAATAATAATTGAAAAAGACAATTTATTTGAATTGTAAATAGTTGATGATTCTGAATTTATAATAGATTCTGATTAAGATGTAGATAAAAGTATAATTAAGAGTTTTTCTTAAAAACATTTACCTAATCAAGAATCTTTTGTTATAATACCTAATCATTAATTCTTTGAAGATATAAATCTTCCACTCTCTGAAGAAAGAAGAGATAAAACTGATTAAGAATTATTAAAAGATGATTGTAAAAAATTATGTATTGAAACAATTAAAAGTAAAGTTTTAAGTGATAAAAACAGTGAATCTTTAAAAGATAAAGATTAGAGACTTTCAAAAAATAGTCTTAATTTAAAATAAGATGACTTTAATAATGATGATCAAGCATCATCAAAATTTTCTAAAGGATTCCTTGACACTGCAATATTTTATAGTAAATATAATTAGTTGAATAAATTTTTGGATAATAAGAAACTTTTATTCATCTATATTTCTATTTCATTATTGTTATTTGTATTATTAATTAATATTACCTATTTCATCCTTTAAATATTTTACATAGTGCCTAATTTTGATGAAGTTGATAAAGATGCTGATCTACTTTCTATTAAATCAAACTTTTTATCGCCTGTTCATGATTGTATAACATCTCAATCAGCTTTTGTTAATTATTACATGCTCACTATGTATTAAGTAATTACATTAGAAACAGCAACTAAGAAAATGCCATTTTCTCGTGATGCTATCACAAGATCCTATGATTTACTTAAAGAATCTTATATTTAATAATTGAATAATAGAAATCTATAAGAATTTTTCTATGATAAAACCATCTAAATGAAGTTTCTGAATAATAATTCATTAGAAACAAAAGAGATTCCTTTAAAAACATCATTATTTTATTATTTAGAATCTTAATTCTTTGTAATCTAAGATAATTAAAATGTCAATTTAAATTTGTTAGATTTAAAAGTTTCAAATGATTTTGTATATTTTATGGCAAATTTATTGACCTTTGATAACTATTTTGATTCTTTAAGTGATGAAGTTTCTCAATTTATCATAAATAGAAGTTTAAATAAAGAAAATGAAGGAACTAAAATATTTTTAAAAATGACATTCCTTTAATTATTATTTATTTTATTAGGATTCTCTTATGTTTTAAAGAATTATTAAACTCATACAAAACATTTTAACTTATATACAGATATTAATTAGTATGCTTTATAAATAGAATTACAAAGATTAAATTAGATTGATTAGATTCTAAATTAGGAAAATGCATCATAATATTATAATTTTGAAATAGCAATTTATGAAAAGAAAATTCAATCAAATTTATCTTATTATAATTAAAAAATTAATTAAGTTAGATTACAATGTTAATAATATAAAGCACCAAGATTTAAAATTTTAATTATATTTTTGATAATCACAACATTTATATTATGCCCATAAATAATATTAGAATAAATGGATAGCAATTTTTATGAAAAATATCAAATTTGTAGTTATTGGGTAGAAAAGATTTCTTAAACAAGTTCAGCTTTAATTGCAGTTTATTCATATAGGGAAATTAATTATCAAATAAGTGCTTAAAGTTCATATTACTTTTTTTATACAGATGATGTACGAATCTTATAAAATGAAAAAGTGGAAGAAGAATTAAAAAAAATTAATATGTTTATTACATATTTCCCATATCTTGATTAGTAAATTTTATAAAATATTATTTTAGTGACTTAATGATTATAGATGACTAAACAATGGATTTGTTAGAAAGCATACAATCAGGTAATATTTGCAATTTTATGACTCATGTAATTTATAAATTCATTAAAATAGTTTAATAAGACTTTAGCTTAGGAACATTGTGATTCAGTTTATAATGGAGTTATGAAATTAGGAATCTATAATTCTATATCTACATTGTATGAATTAATTTCACAAGAATATGAAAATACTAATGGATTTCAAGCTAAATTACGTCCTGTTATAGCAACTTATGAAGATATAGAATTAGGAATGATAACCGCTGATGCTATTCTTGCTATTCTTGATTCTCTTCTTGAAGGTGTGACAGAAGCAATAATTAAAATAAGACTAACTCATTAAGTATTGAATTCTGTAATAAATTAGATTATTAGTATTATATATATTCTTTTGGATTTAGTATTAATTTTTGTGTTGTTTACTTAATACTTTCCTTTTTTAGTGAAACAACAAGATACTGTAAAATATATGATATTTTTAATTCCATAATATTAATTTTATTTGGATTAGAAATTTGAAACAAACTTTCGCCTGCTATTATTATTAACCAAATGATGTAAGCTTAGAATTTGATTATTATTATATATTCGATTTATATTTATAATTGCTCAAATTTATGGTCCTGCATTAATAACTTCTGAGGTAGCTTTATCAGCATATTTTTAGAAGTTCTTTTAGAATTTATCAGCTAAATTTCTTAAAGTTCTTTCAAATTCACTCTTGTTACTATAAGATAAATAAATAAACTTACATCCAAGTATTTTTAGGATGAAGGATGGTATCAGGAACACCAGTAGCTCTCTTGGGAATTTATAAATTGAAAATCTCAAATTTTTCAAATTCACCATTAACCAATTCACCAGTATGAATAGCATCAATAATGGATCTTGTATATTTCAAGGACATTCTTTTTCCAATTCCATATTTACCACCAGACCAACCAGTATTAACTAACCAGCACTTAGTACCATGTTATTTCATTTTTTCAGCTAACATAGTTGCATAGAGAGTTGGATGTAAGGGTAAAAATGCTTCACCAAAGCAAGCTGAAAAAGTAGCAACTGGTTCTTTGACTCCCATTTCTGTACCAGCAACTTTAGCTGTGTATCCTGAAATGAAGTGATACATTGCTTATTCTGGTGTTAATAATGAAACAGGTGGTAAAACACCATAAGCATCACATGTAAGGAATAAGATATTTTTAGGATGACTTCCAACAGCTGGATTCTTAGCTCCTGGAATGAAATCCAAAGGATAGCTGACTCTTGTATTTTCAGTGATAGAAATGTTATGATAATCAACTTCTCTTGAATCTTTAGACATGAATTCAATATTTTCTAATACAGCTCCAAATCTAAAATAAATATTATAATTACTTAATTGCATCATAAATTTCTGGTTCTTTTTCATGACTCAAATCTACACATTTAGCATAACAACCACCTTCAATATTAAAAATACCATTATCAGACCATGCATGTTCATCATCTCCAATTAATTTTCTCTTTGGATCTGCACTCAAAGTGGTTTTACCTGTTCCACTTAAACCAAAGAGTAATGTAACATCTCCATTAACTCCCTCATTAGCTGAACTATGGAGTGTAAGGATTCCTTATTTAGGAAACATATAATGTGTAACACCAAATACTCCCTTTTTCATTTCACCTGCATATTAGGTACCTAATATGACCATCTTTTTATCTGTAAGATTGACTGAGACACATGTTTCTGATCCAACTCCTTCTACTAATTTTGGAGCAGACATTGGTCCTGCATTAAAAATATGAAAATCAACATCATCACTGAAATCTTTTTTTAATTCCTCGTTTGTTGGTTTGATAAGCATATTTTACATAAACAAAGCATGATATGCTCTTGTACAAAATACTCTAATTCTAAGTCTGCTATGAGGATCCCATCCAGCATATCCATCAACAACAAATAACTAAAATTAATGTCTTATATATTTACTCTTGGTCTTGTATTTAAAAATTAAAGGGCAACTTATTCCAAAAGATTATGAGACTTCTTGGGAATTGGAATATTGACACTTCCCCACCAAATTTCATGTTCAGTTTATTCATCAAATACAACTCTCTTGTCTTTAGGAGATCGGCTAAAATAAATTTTATATTTTTCTTACCCTGTTCTTCTTCCAGAATAGGCTACCATAGCTCCAGTGCTTGAAATTGAGCCTGGTCTTGTTTCAGGATCTGGTGATAATGGATCCATGGCTGCAATTTCGTACAATTCTGGAGTACTTGCATTTCTAACAACTGAGGTATTATGTAATCCCCATCTTGTCAATTATTCCAAAGAAAGGGCTTTGCTAGTATTATATGTGTATCTCCACAAGTGATGCAACATTACTTAAGATCAAAAAGATATTTTTAATATTAGATATATTCACTTAATATTATACAACTTTTATAATACACTTCTGAATTAAGATTCTTAGCCCATTAAATTTCCTTCTTTTGATTCTAGAAACTTTTTAATAAATGGCTTTAATTCTGGTATAATTTCAATATGTTATGGATTTTTTCTTCTTATTGCTGTGATTAAGATTTTTAACAATTCAATCAAAATAGATTCATCATATTCTTTTGTTAAGATTTAGACAAGAACTTCCTAAATTTCTTTTGCTTTTGGATGACTGTAATTATATAATTAACAATAATGTAGTAGTGCTAATAAGAAATGCTTAGAAGTATTCTAATATTTAATTATATATTAAATACCTCAAATAATTCAAATTTAACTGCTCTTTCAAATGTCTTTTCATGTTAATATTAATGATCAACTAAACTAATTAAAATGTTTTCAATATATATTTCTTCTAATTAATCCATTTTCCCTTCCAAAGCTTTCAAAAATTTTCCTAATACTAATTTATTTAAAAGTTGGGCTGAATTAAATGCATCTAAAATTACACATAAATTTTAGGGTGTCTCATTTTCTAAATCAATTTTTGGATACCTAATAAGTTGCAATAGAAATTTATACCATTTTTTTAAAAACTCCACAGTTTTGCTATTTTTTGTTTCAATTAATAATTCACATAATAATACGTAATATTTATTTGAAATTAATTCAATTTAATTCATCAATTTGCTAATTTATATATATTGATTTTTACTCAATAATTTTATCATTAACAGTTGAATTTTATCTTCCAATCTCATAAAGTAATAACCATATTTTAAATGCATCATCTATTGTCATTGTTGTTAAATCTCTAATAGTTAATTCATTCTATAATAAATTTATTATAATTATATACAATTATTTTATCCCAACTCAAAATATTAACTTCATGTTAATTAAGATTTAACATATGAGTATAAAGTACAAGATGAAAATTATTTAGTGAAGATAGATTCTACTCTATTTTACATTAACATTATTTCTCAACATAATATATTTATTAAAGTTTCTTTTCACTTATTTCAACATCCTATCATTCAATATTAAATTACTTAATCAAAATATAATCTTGATATTATTTCAAAAATAACTAATTATGTAGTTAAATGATATTGTTCGCATTCTACTTATAAGACATCAATAACATCTATAAATTCTTTTTTTATTCGCTCATCAATTTTCATTGTTGGATTTTATGGTTCTATTTATTTTTCTATTAATGATTCTATTTTCTCTTAATCATATATATCAATTTATTCCCAAAATAGTTTTAATATTTATTCTTCTGTATTTTTAGGTTAATGATCTCTCACAGCATCTTTTAATTAAGTGGCTAATTAACAATAAAGAGTAATTCTTGAATCAAAATATATTACTATATGTTGAAGAGTCAAAAACTTTTAAATAAAAGTCCCATGATCTAGGATAATTCTTAAAGCATCTTAAAATTCTTGTTCATTTTAAGGATAAGGAGATTTAGAAAAGCAAATGTAATTATTTATGGCTGATAGATAAGTTGTGAATTCTTTGAAGTCAAATAAAGATATATCTCTTTTAATCAATTTTAATGTCAATGGAAAAATGTCTGATTAATTCTCTTCAAATTTAATATTATTTAGAATAACATCATATCCAAGTGCTTTTCTTACACCTTCATAAGAAACAGGAGTCTGATAGACTAGTTTTAAGTATTTTGTGAGTTTTAATTTATCATTTAGCAACAATTATTTGGCTTAGCAAAATGTTCGAATAATTTTCATAAATTAAATATTAAAATGTTCAATCCTTCTCAATTAATGAATAACTTTTTATTAATAAATAAAACACAGGTGCAACAGAATTATTTTCATGACAAATAACCTCACTTTCATTACTAAATTTTATAATTATAATAAGTACATCTATATTCTTTTTTTATACAATGGACAATCTAAAACAAAACTTTCAAATTCTCCCCCTTCTCCACATGGGTGAAATCCAAATTTCTCATGCTAAAATTATTTATAATTCTTTACAATTCCTTTAAAATGTTCATACAATTCTTAAATAGATTTTCCTAAATGTTTTTCTGTCAAACCTAAAGCAGCTATCTTAATTAATATTATGTTCATATTGTTCTACAACATCTAATCTAATAAACTAAATTAATCTTGATTCCATAAATAAGCCAAAGAGATTAATCCTAACCTTTGACAACTATTTGATTTTATTTTAAAATAGATACCAATCTTCAACTCTTAACTTTTGATATGTTGAAGCTATGGCTCCTGAACTAACACCTTTGATGTTTGGATACAAAGATTATGCTTCTTTTAATACTAAAAATAGATCTTCCACTTCATCTCCTTCTCTTTCTTCTTTATTACTTTGATAATCTAAGTTTGTGACTTTTGGTTTCCCTACAATTTCTCTTTTCAATAATGGTTTATCTAGAGCTTAAGATATAGCATCAATTATGTTGGTTCCAACACTTTGATACATAAAACTATCTGCCTCCTTGCCTATATCTATTTATATTATTGATAAAATATTACTTTTAGGGTAAAGATTGACTAATAAAACTAGCTCATGGCCTTCTTGAATACATCGAATGATATTGAAAATAGAATCTTTTCCACCAGATACTAAGGCCAAGAATTTCATGTATTTAAATATTTTTAAGACTAATAATGGAACAGCTTATATGAAATTTGATGTTTTTCATACAACGTTTATTATGTAAAAAATGAGTAGTGCATCATATAATTTACATATTAATTTATAATTATATTAAATAATAGAGATTTTTTAAGAATAGAAAAGATAGAAATAGGGAGAGTACAAATAACATGTATAATAGAACAATTGTCCATAATTGTATTGTTTAATGAATCAATTTCTCTTGCTGATGAATTGAGCGGTGGTTGATAATTTCTCGCTAATGTGTTCTTAGAGTCTGTCAACGATTTCGTTTTAAGCAGCTCTATTTGAATTAAATTTTAATTATACCTTTCAGCAGTTTAAGTTTCATAGATTTCTGATTAGACTGCATACCATGCTTATTATCCAGCAAGTCTTTCTTCACTATTTTCTAATTCTAAGGTGTGGAATTCGATCCATGATTAAGCATCTTCAATGGTATCCTTTTATTCTTAGATTTAGACTTCCAATTAAGCTTTTCTTTCAACCAATCTGGTGTGTTCGTTACTCAAGTGAGCACTGAATTCAGCCCAATGAGCAGCTTATCTATCTTCAACATCCTTTATTATTGGATTTAAATGATTACAGTTTTAACAGCCTTCTCTTAGACTAATTATTATCTGATTTCGCTCAAGAGTTAAGCAATCTTGGTTAAAGCCTTTTAGTTAACTCCGTGTGTAGCTAATTCTGTAAGAGCAGCAACGACTGGCTATAATAAAGATATATAAGAATCTAAATACTTATAAGAGTTGGGAGTGGGATGTGTTATCTGTAAGTCTCTTGTGAATGGTTTCATATTTTGATTTGACTTAGACGAATGAAGCACCTAAACTCAAATGTTGAATTAATTTGGCAGCATCATCAATGGCATCAATAACATCATCAATGGCAGCAATCTTGGAAACGAAGGTTTCGTGTTATTAGTTTCTTGTAGCTTCTTCTCTAGCATATGTTGCTTCGTTTGTTGCAATGTCTTAAATTGTGACTCTGATGTCTTCTTCAGAAACAGCCAAAGCTTCAATTGTGTCATCTCTCAATTAAGTGTTAGATGAAATTTGATTTTAGTGATATAAGATTTCCTTTTCCAAATCTTCGACAATCTAAGATATTCTTAATAAATATTCTTACTCTGTTGTTGGTAGTTGTGTCAAGTTCGAAAGTGTGATCGTGGTCATTTTGATCTTATTATAATCCAGCAGCGACACCGTTCAATAACATATTAACTTCATTGGCTGGTGTTTGGGCTTGAATGTGAGCCTTAATTGCTGACAACACAACATTTCCAAATGGATCAGAATCAATCTGAGCCAAGGATGCATGAGTATCAACAAATTTGGAAGCTGTAAGAGCAACAACTAATGTCAAGATAGCTAGTTTTTGCATATATTTTTATTAATGTTTTAAAAACGGATCGAATAAATGCTTATAATATACAATTAATTATTATTAATTACAATCTAATTATATAAATATCCATCTCTCAACTTTCTTAATTATCTCCTTTTTCTTTTACTCATTAAATATCAAATCTTAGATCAATCAAATCTATTCATCAAATTTATATTTATTTTATTTCTCCTCTCCTTTTGTCTATTCTTTAATGCAATCTCTATAAAATTTTTATTACTAATCTAATTACTATTTTCTGATCTAAAATTAAGAGTTAGATTATTTTAATTCATAATTAGTATCACTTATCCTTTTCTTATTTGAAAAATTAATCTAAATATTTTCAAAACATTTCTTTCACTTCTACATTGTAGAGAATACTAAATTTGATTGAATTTTCTTTATCAATATTTAACATTATATAATTGTAATTTATAAATAACAATGTTTTATTTTAATAAGCTTAATCTATACATTTTATGTTTTCAAGAAATATTTAAGGTCTTTTATATTTAAAAGAATCTTAAGAAATATTCAAAAAAATATTTATTTAATTTTTTTATCATAGGATGTCAGCACCATTTTATACAGTTAAGGTATTACACTTAATTTAATGAAAGGATGTTCCTGCTCAAGACTTCATTCGTGGATATGCAGAGTACTTAAAGAAAAATAATAAAATAAAAATCCCAGAATGGGCATCTATCGTAAAAACAGGTCTTGGATAAGAAATCTCTCCTATCGACTAAGATTGGATGTATGTTAGGGCTGCAGCACTTGCAAGAAAGATATATGTAAGAGGTCATTGGGTACTCTATTTATAAGAACATATAACTTTAGGGTGTTGGTAATTTGACTCACATGTTTGGATCAGTTAATGATAATGGAAAACATGAATCAGGATCAGGAAAAGTTATTAGATATTTGCTCTAACAATTAGAATCAATCAAAGTATTAAAGAAAGACAATAAATCACTCTTAAAGAAAGGATCTAGAATTGTTACAAAAGAAGGATAGTAAGACTTAAATAGAATTGCAACTTAAGTAGCTTTAGCTGCAAGAAAATGATTATTAAACATAAGTACATTAATATATACAATTTGACAATTGTTAAAACTTAAACATATAGAAACTAGTTTTAATCCTTAATGATTTAAAGCTTCTCTGTAAGTATACATAAATATATATTATTCTATTATTTATTTCTTGTTTTAATATTAATATTTATTGAAATAAGTTCATCTTTTTTTTAGTTTCTAATATAAATAATCTAGTTATTTTAGTTCAAAATAGAAAAAGGTATTTAATATCTATATAAGAAGAAGGAGCATATACAAAAGTGATTTTAAATGATTAGAAAACTAAGATAACTTAGATATAAATGAAGAAAGATAAATAAGATTTAAATATTATATAATAAGAGTCATATATAACATAACAATCTTTAAATTTTTTGTTATTCTAAGAGTTATAACAAAGAATGAATATGATAAATATTTTATTATTATAATATTTAAATTATTAATGCAAGCAGGATAATAAATCAATTAAGAGTATGTAAGGAATCTGAAGGAAATAACAAAAGAGTAATTTATAGTTTTATTGAATAGATTTTTGTGCCCTATATCTGCAAACATATATAATATCTAATTCTTAAAGTTTAGAATCAGAGATATGGAATCTGGATAGGTGTTATTTGAAGTAGAGAGAGATCCAAATGAAGAATCAATTGGTAATTTTGGATTTAATTTGATCAGAGAATCTACCATTAGCACTTTAAGATGAAGCCAGAAGAATAAAGTATCATTTTGGTCCTCAATTTTTTGAATTAAAAACAATTGGAGCTTAATTAACATTTTCTGTAGGTGATAAGGTTGTCAAAAACTTTACAATAATTGAAAGACATTATTTTAGGAATATCTTATTGAGAAGCTATGAATTTCAATTTCCATTTTGCATTCCAAATTCAACAAATACATGGGAACATATTTATACAATTCCAGATATAGATGAAGATGTTGTAAGGATGTTAATTTATTAAAGAAATAATTAATGATAGATAATCCTTATGATACTAAATCCGATAGTTTTTATTTTGTTGGCGATACTTTGATTATGCATAATAAAGCTGAATATGATTACTCTCCAATAAATGAATGAGTTAATATATATATAATTAAATGAATTTATGTAATTGATGCTATTTTTAAATTGAATATTAATAATCTAATCATTTTCTTCCAAGGGATGTTTATGAGGCTAAGGCTCTAACCTAATCCTTGAACAATTAGATAACAACATCGATGATAGCGTTTTCCTCTAAAATATATGTTATCTTTTATATATACCTTATCTTCTTGCAGTTTCTGAAGCATAGAATTCTCTTTTCTCTTCTAAATCAGCAGTGGCACCAGCAACAGCATTCAATGAATCTTTCCATAATTTGAGAGCTTTAGCTTATTAAGCAAGAACTGCTGGGAGTTGCTATTTAATTATTAATACACATTTTCATACAGTTTCTAATTTTTCAACAAGACCTGTTCTTCTTTCATGTTCAGAGTTCAACCAAGCAACTTCAGCATTTGTATCAGATACGTATTTTGCAAGTGCGAAAGCAGCATGAATTTCTTATTCTTAAAGTGTAGCAAGTGTTCCCTCTAATTCAGCTTATAAGTCTGATAAAATGGAAAGAACTTATTCTCCGGTTGTTCCGTCTCTTTTTACTTCAGCAAGTGATTAGAATTTTTAAATGGCATCTTATTAGAAGAGGTGACTGTAGGCAGACAATTTGTCAGCAATGGTTTCAGCCTTTTGAACTAATTCAACACCAGCATTGTTTGTGAGCCATCCAGCAACGTCTTATTATAAGAGTTAAACAACTGCAACGGCATCAGCATGATCAGCCAATGATCTGACAAAGAGTCCATTTGCCCAACATCTTTAGTCTTAAAGTTAAGCATTTCTTCTTTCAATTTCAGCAAGTCTTGCTTCAGCCCATGCTAACCATGAATATCCATCCTAAATTTTAATGGAAAATAGCATACTCTAATTTAAGCTTCAACATCAGTACGAACGGCACCCAAAGCTTCCCATTATTATTTGTTAAGGGAAGCAACATTTGTCAAGTCACCAATAACTTAAGTAAAGATTTCTATGTTTTAATTCATATAATACCCTCATCTGTATTATTCTTCTTATCAGCAGCAGCTTAGACATTAACATTTTCTGTTTTCAAATCTCTTAAAAGGTTGTAAACTGATTCAACTGCGTCGTTTCCTTTAGTACCAGCTTGAAGAAGGACGGCAAATTTATTTGTGTCAATAGCGAAGACAGCAGCCACTAAGCAAAGGGCAACAAGAGTTCTCATAATTAATTTATTAATACCAAAAACGGAATAAAAATTCTTCGTTTTAATAATACAATAATCACTAATTAATTATTAATAAACTTAGATTTATCCACCCTTCTTATCAAAATCATTGAATTTCCTTCTTTTAACTTAAACCAACATAACATTCAATATCTTAAATATAAATATATAGAATATAAACACTAATTCTCAATTCTGAAAAGAATCTATCATTCTTTACCTTTATAATCAACACTAACTTAAAGTAAAACATTAAATTGGAATTTGTAATAATTATATACTTCTATTTATTACTAATCTCAAAAAACTAAGCAATTTAAGTTAAATTTAGAAATATGATTAATAAAAATTTTATAATCTAATATATGAATGATAAAAATGTATTAATTAGTATAATGGCAAATATTATCATATTTCTTAATTAAGAATACATTTCAATTAATAATAATTTTAATATTCTTCTACTGCAAAATTGAATTGAATATAAATAATTAAGTCTAATGATTTTGATACTCTACTTTATTGATATTTAATTTAGTATATAAATATGTTGTAATCTTAAATAGATATATTCTTAGAATATTTAATTTTCATAAATAATAAAGTTTAACGTTAATTTTAAAGTAGCTTTTAAAGATATTCCTAACTAAACTTTATAACAAAATAAATTTCTATGTTTGAAAACAAAATTAATTTCTTAATTGTGTTACATTATCAAAAACTTTAATAATTATTGTATTAAAATACTTTAATGGTAATTTTTAACTTTGATAGTTAATTGACTAATCTCTTTATTGAATTTATTATTATTATTAATGGCATTTATCCTACTGATTTTAATTAATATTGAATCAATTATATATTTATGTTTAAAGATTGTAAAATTTAGTTAAATCTGATCATAATAATATTAATTTCTGAACTTTCATTATATTGCAATTATTCTCTTCAACTAATTTATTATTATATGAATAAAACTATTTCATAAGAATAATAGACCTATTGTATTTTTAATTTATCATTTTATGTCATAGGAATGCATCTCAATCACTAAAAATAGGGATTTGCTATAAAAAGAAAGGATATCATAGGGATGTAAGAAAATAGAAAGAATGATTTCAATAACCACAATTTTTATAAAAATAAAGAGTTAATCTCGAATATATAATCTTCATATGTCTTCCTTTTAATTATATGTGTCTTAACAATTCAGTTCACAATGGTTGAATAATATTTCACAAACTCCTTTGCCATTTTTCCTACATTATTCTAAATTGATTCTACAATCATCTATACAAATAATTTTTGGACATTCATCTAAGCATGAATGGACTACACTGAATAATTTTTTATTTTATACTTTTGACAATTTTTATGGCAAAATGAAGGATTTCCTATACTATCACATCCACTCACACAATCTAACCAATCCATAGTGCAATCTCTCTTACATTCTTCATAAGTCATTTGCTCTTTTGTTAATAAGAAGTAAAGACTTAGTATTATATATAGTCTCATAAATTAAATAAAACAATTATTAGGATCATATATTAATCAAATTCGATTGGTCTTTTATCATTTAATTAATGTAAATTCCATCGTTATTTCATACAGTTATTTTAAAAATAATTTATTTTCTGTTTGTTTGTTTAACTAAAATGTGATTAAATTGAGAATTTAAATAACAATGAAGTTGATAATGTATTATATAATCCAAAATTTAGTTTATAATAAATTTTGAAGATACGCTCTTCATTAATAAAAGTAGATTAATATATAAATTTTGTATTAATTTATCTGATTATTTTGAATTTTGAATAAATGTTAAAGCAATATCATTTAGAATAAAACATATTGACAATTACACCAATTATTCCTAAGAATAGTAAAAAGAGTGTAATATCTAAGCAAAATTTGTTTGGTTATCTAAATTTAATAAGGAGTTCTTTTAATTATTTATTAGAGTTCAATAATGTTAGATTAGTTTTATCAACCTATTTATCCAAGATTTTAAGTTATCCTTTTGTTTAATCAATTTTCTAATGAAAACATATATAAAATAATATTTACAGTTCCAATAGCTTATGCTTTATTTTTCATATTATCCACTTCATCTATAATAATAACTAATTTATCATCAATTATTTGATCATTTTATGCAAATCGATCTAATGCCTCTTATTCATCTTTTGTAATTTGATAAACTACTTCTCTATTTGGTTTATTTTTGTAAAGTTCTATACATAATATTATAAATTACATTATTATAAATCTTTTAGAAGCAATGGTTTTTCATTGTCTGTATCTTCTTGACGTTCTCCTTATTCTCTTAATTTTAAATTATCAACATTCTATCTGTATTTTTATAAAATCTTAGATCTAAGTTCAATTTCTTGAGCTGGATATTTTTTTTGATTTCTGCTCATTTTTTCCAATGATTCACCCATTTGCTTAATCATTCTTTCAACTTCATGAATTTCATCCCTGATTTAAACTCCTAATCAAAATATTAAGAAACTATTATACCCATAGCAATTTAATCTCTATCATTTCCATATTTAGCCATTTTCTCATCTCTTTAATCTTATAGTTTGCTAATTTGAAATATCTTAGCTATTAATATATCTTTAATAACATCAAATTCTCTAGATTTTTTTACTTTTTTTGCTTCAAATATAAAATTAAATATACTGGCTTCTGCATTTCCTCCTAATTCTTTTTCTATTCTATAACATTTTTATATTAAATGATTGAGTTCATTTTGATTCATTTTTAATTTAATTTGTAATAATAATAGATAAATATATGTTCTCAAAAATACAAACTATTTATTTCTGATATTTAAATTTAAAAAAAAATTAGAAAATAAATATAAAATATCATTATTTGTTTCTTTTAACATACCATCTAGGTATTAATTTATTGATTAATTATTAATTATTTTATAATTCTTCTTTTGTAAAATCAAATAAATTTGGAATTTCTATATTTTTTTCATAAATTTTATATGTTATTTCATCTCTTAAGTCATCAAAATAACTATGTGTCAAAGCTTAAATAGCTGATAATCTTGTTTTAGGACAATATGTTAATATTTTACTTACTAAATCAATTGCAAGAGGATCAATTTCATTTACAAATACATTTGCCCAATCTTTCTTTCTAATTTAAATTATACTATATTATTTGATATTATAATCTTTATTCATTGATAAAACCTCTTCTTTACTTGGAGATCCTAAAATCTTAATAATTTCAACTAATTAATCAACAGCTGATGTCCCTAGAAATAATGGTAAACCATTAAACATTTCTGCTATTATACAACCTACAGACCACATGTCTACTTAAGTATTATAATTATTGGCTCCAAATAATAATTCAGGTGCTCTATAACTTCTTGAACATATATAAGATATATTTTATTCCATTAAACTTAATTTCTTAGCACTTCCAAAATCACACAATTTAAGTATATTAGACTCAGGGTTTATTAATATATTATCAGGTTTGATATCTCTATGACAAACTCCTTTAGTATGTACATAAGCTAGACCACGAAGTAATTGATAAGAATAAAGTTTAGTTTATATTTATGGTATCATTTGCTATTATTTAAGAAATTAAGTATTATAGGAATGTATTGTTTCAGGTTGATAATCCATTATAACATTCAAATATTATTCATCTGAACAATCACCATAAGAAAAATATGCATGTTTAGTTTCAACAACATTAGGATGATTTAATTCCTACAGTATTTGAATTTCTCTATTTTTATATCTTTTGTCTTATAATACTTTTTTTACTGCCACTATTTCACCAGTTTCATTTGCTTTTGCCTTATACACAATACCAAAAGATCCTTAACCAATTACTTAAAGGTTTGTATAAGTATAGAGAGAATAATCAATTGGAACATTGCAATTGATCATTGGTGATTTACTTTAACATTTTTGGTTTCTTAATGGAGTCTTTTATTTTTCTTAAAAATTTCTGACTTTCAGAATTGCTTACTATACATCAAATTCATCTCCATCTCCTGCTTCTGTCTACATTCTTCTATTAGCATCACCTAATGGAATATATTTGTTTTAAGAGACTTTAGCATAATAAGACATTCAACTGTAAAATTATAAATTTAATTATCATTAACTTTTTAACTAGTTTTTTTACTAATATAATTATTTTAGTGATTTAAGAAATTTATTAATAATAACAAAAAAAGATTTATAAGATTACAATACTTTGTTTAATTAATATATTGTGTCATTATTATAGATCTAAAAAATATTAGAACTTATCAAATGTGTAAGAATTAGAAATTGGAGAATATATCTATTAATATTTTTGAGAATTTTTTGACTTAAACTTTGTTTAATAGATCTCAGTATGATTTATTTTATTTTCATATGATTTGGTTTCTTTATCATTTATAATAATGGGTAATTGGAATTTTGTAAAATATTGTTATTTACTCTAAAGGATTTACAAAATTCTTTAAATATTTTGGTTATTAACAAGAAGATTGAAAATTGGAATTAAGCATTTCAAAGAACAAATTAATAAAGTTTAATTGATAATAATTTATAAAAATAGAAATTATGATAATGATCAAATAGATAGATATTAAAGGATGGTAAATTAGAATGTAAGCATATATATAATTATGAAAAAGGAGTATATTTGAATGAGAAGTTTAATAATAAAGAACAACATATATGAGGATTTTTAAAAGAATATAATAAAAAGTAATGTAGAGAAGTAAATTAAGAAAATGGATAGATAATTAATATTAGAATGAATGATAGATATGTAAAAAATAGAAGATTATCAACACTTATATATAATCTTTAGAGCATAAATATGAGTTGAGTATCAACCACACAAAAAATGAATATAAGTAGTATTAATTGTTAAGTCATAGAAATATAGACATGATGGGCTTTATGTTGTATGTTAATAAGATTCAAATATTGGTTTTGGTTCAAGTTGATGGTTTTGTAGAGTAAATAAATAAAAATTTAAAGAATTATGGATATTAATGTGAAGAGATCAAAATTAATAATTGTAAAATTTAGATAACTATGACTATGGTGTTAGAAAATAATAATATTTATGTTGTTATTTACAATATTTTAGTATGAATATGGAGAACACTAAGAAAATTGAATAATAATGTGATTATATGTTTAATTAATATGAAATGAAAAATTCGTTTTTGCCTTTTTTTAGCAAAATAATCCTTAGAAGGAATTCATTATTAATTAAAATAAATGTTCAAAGTTGCCGTGTGTGCATTGTTAGTACTTGCCTCAACAGCCATTAATGTCTAATCCTCAATTTGGACAAGCAAAGACCAAAAAGCATTTGCTTAGATCCATTAATCTGGTTGGGGTAAATTCATCTTGAACTTTGCTGAACTCCATTTAACAACAGGAGGTATCCTTTCTGAGCTCAACTCTGAGATTGAGAAACTTGTACTTAAAGAGTGTTAATATATTAATAGATTGGTGAATTGGAAGAGGAATTGGCTGGAGTTCATCATGAATTCAACAGAAGAACAGATGTCCACAACAGAGAAGTTGCCAGACTCGAATAAGAAATCTAAGATAAAGAAAGAGGTACATTATAAGTTTTACTATTTCCTTAGAATTATTCAATGCCCACGATTTCTATGACAACGTCCTCATCCCATAAGGAGAAAGATTTGCTGCCTAACTTGAATAATTATAAGAAAACATTGCTCATAACAGATAAACTCTTGAATAAGCTACAGTCTAAAGAGCCAATGATCATGAAACATTTGAAGCTTAAGTTGCTGAACATAATGATGCTATTTCTGCTATTGACGAATGCTTATAATTATTGAGCACAATAGAAACACCATCTCTTGCTTAAGTCAAGAAGGTCTAAAAGAATTTGGCCAAAATCTAAAGCTCATTGAAAAAACACAGCTAATTCCAAATCTTTGTTAAAGTCTTATTAGAAATCACAGTTGACTCCAACTTTGCTGACTAAGGTGCTCTTAGAGATGTATTATCTAATAAATATTCTATAGATTATTGTTGCTTTCAATAATTTGAGAAATGAATTAGTTGATTCACTCAATTAAATCACTGCTGATGAAGCTGACTAAGTAGCTGAATTTAATGCTTAAGTCATTTAATTGAACTAAGAACATGCTGAATTCTAAAGAGCTGTTGTTGTTAAGAATGCTGAAATTGAAGCAAACACAAGTATACATTTTAATATTAACAACAAATAGCCAAATAAGAATAAACTCTTGATTTAATCGATGAACTTGATGCTGATTTGGCCACCCTTAATGGATAATTATAAGCTGAAAATGATGACTATGCCTTTGCTACTGACGTCTACAATGCAACAGTTGCTGAATACAACAAAGAGATTAATGCTGCTAATTAAGCATTGGATTTGCTCAATTAACCAAGATTCCAAGACTATGTTAAATCATAACTCAGAGGAGCATGATCTATTACAAATATATCAAAAGCATATAAATTATTCTTAATTAATAATTTATTTCTCAATTTATTACAATTCACTTATGTAAAATAAATGTTGCTGTTTACCAACAGAAAAAGCATTCCTCTTAATTGTTTACTTAGATATAAGCAGAATCATTTGGGGTTCTTTAATTTAACATTTTTAGGAACTATAACATGTGCATTCATGTTTCAAAGGGAATCTTCATTGTCACTTGTTATTACAATTTTGGATATAATTCTTATTGTATTTTAATCATCTCTAGCACTTTATATCAATATGAGAGCACTTAAATAAAATAACAAAAAACCTATTTATATCTATAGAAAATTGAAATTACTCTTTGTTTGTTGCAATACTTTTGATAGATTAGTTGCCCCTATAATAAATTGTACCTTGATCTTCAAAGATGTAATAATCTTAATATTTAGGATTAAAAAGAAACAAGATCAAACTATTGTGTAGTTGATGTCTTTGTTGCTTTAATTATCACAGCAATTATATGGAATTTTATTGAATATTATTTCTATACAATAGTCAAAGATTTTGTATTAATACTTTAACGATCAGGTATATACTAAACTTAATTTAGATAATAGATCATTGCGTTATTCAAAAGATAAATCATAAAAGAATAGTGATTCTAATAATTTAGCAATTATATATGAAGTAGTAGGTATGAGACCATTGATAAAAAGAAGAGGATAATAAGTTATTGAAGCAGATAAAATTGAATAAGGACATCTAAAATCAAGTTAAGAAGCTTAGAGAATTTATGCATATCCAATTTAATAAAATTAGAGTACATTTTATTATTTCAATTAGCTTTTTAAATTTTGGGATCATCATCTGGTTTAGTAGAAATTGATTTAATCAAATGATTATATAAAATAATTCTATATTTATTTGATATTATGGACATGAATAGAGAACCTATGTCAATCAAATTAGTTGTCATTGGGGATGGTAGTGTTGGAAAGACTTGTATATTATTAAGGTATACATCATAATGACGAAAGTTACACAACTGATAAATTTCCAACTGAGTATGTTCCCACAGTTTTTGAGAATTACATTACATCTGTTAGTCTTGATGGAAAACAAATTAATTTAAGTCTATGGGATACAGCTGGCTAAGAAACTTATGATAAATTAAGAACATTATCATATTCATAGGCTGATGTCTTTTTAATAGTATTTTCAGTAGTAGACAGAACATCATTTGATAATGCAAAAAATAAGTGGTATCCAGAATTAAGTGAAGGGAATTTAAAAAATATACCAAAAATTATAGTGGGTAATAAGATAGATTGTAGAAATTCAACAGCAGATAAACATATTTAATTTGAAGAAGTAATTATATTAATAGATTTCTTTTTAGGCTTCCAGAGACTTAAAATCTTAAGAATTAATTTATAAAGAATGTTCTGCTTTGACTTAAGAAGGTTTAAAGGAATTATTTGAAGAAGCCATTAAATAAGGATATGAACATAAATAAAAGAATCCATAAAATAAGAATTAATAGGACTAAAAGATATAAGATTCAAAAGAAAATTGTTGCTGCAATGCTTTTTGAAATAGACTATTATATAGTTTATCATCAATTAATATTCAATATTCCTATCATATGATGTACTAATATCAATTCTCCAATATATTAAACACTAAAATTTAAATAATATATTGATACTTATTTTTAGCTAAATTTTTTTTATATTCCAATTCTTTTTTAGTTTAATCTTTAAAATATTCATTTTCTTTATATTCTGCATCCTAATAAAACTTAATTAATTGATCTCTATAACTTTTTAATTGTTCTTCAAACTTATCAAAATCTGTGAGATTAACAAAATATAATATTTAAGAAAAATAAGCAGCATAAATATTGTAATAGGTTTCTAAAAGTTCTTTTGGTGGTAAAATTGTATATGGTTTATAATAGCACTAATTATGTAAAATATACACTTACATAAAATATCATAACATTTTTAGCATTCTTTTTAAATTCTCCAATTTTTATGGTAAAATCTGTATGAGTAAACTCTATTCCTTTACCTTTAACTTCTTTCTTTGACTTTTTATTAAATACTGATGCACTATCTAATATTTTCAATAATTCATTCGAAGACTTAATAATGCATAATCCATTTCCTTATTTAACAATTTCATCTTAAACAAGTTTAATTTATTAATCATAAATAAAAAATTGGTTATCTCCTTCACATAATTATATAACATTTTGTAAATTTTCCTAGTTTTTATTGGATTATTATTATAATTGTAAAACTAAGATTTTTTGATCTCTTACTTTATTAATTTGTGCAATCTAATATATCAACTTTAAAGTTCCATTTCTTTTCATTTTAAATAATGGAATGCAATTAAAGGTTTGATATGAATTAAACATACTGATTTGTCTCAAAGCAAAAAACACAGGACATAAAAATAATTAAATTAATTATTTAATTTCGAAGTATATAATTAAATGATCTAATCTAATTATTTATAAGAGATATAAAATGATATCAATTTAAAATAATAAGAAATTATATAAATATTTGTAATCTATAGTTATTAAAATGTAATTACTAATGCATTAATATATATTTGTATACTTCTCTAATCTATGTAGATTAAAAATTATATCTTATTCAATATTTGGCTAATTTATAAATTATAGAAATTACAATATCATATGTTTATATGTAAATTATCAAATAACATATATAAAATAATGAAATACAATTAGAGTTTGAAACCATAAAGAATATATTGAAAGTAATAAACATTACATTTAGATTAAATATATTAGACATAAGATATTGAATCATTTAATATTAAAAATGTTATTCTTATGTATAATATATTAAGTAATATTAAAGATTTCATTATACAACTCATTTCCATATATCAATATTTAATAAATGAAATAAATTCTCATTTTAGTATTCAGTCTATATGAAGTTTTGTGTTAAGATAAATTACTTGCTGTCTAGGCCATTTGGAGACATGGAGCAAGAAATCCTTATTACTGCAATTTTGAATGTGATCCAAATGTAGCAAAAGGAGATGCTGCATTATTAACACCTACTGGAATGAGATAATAATATGTATTAGGAAAATGGCTAAGATAAAGATACATTATAGATACTCCACTTTTATCACCAACTTTTAATGAAAATGAAATATATATAGAAAGCTCAGATGTCAATAGGTATTCATAGATTCCTTAATTATTAGGACTCTATAAAGTGCCTATAGTAATTTATAAGGAATGTATCCAGAGGGACCTAATGTACCTCATTTTGTTGATGAAAATGTTTCATTACTATTACCTCCTAATAAAGGTTCTGTGACTCCTCCAGGAATTGGAGATTATGCCTTACCTAACAAAATTTAATTAATACCAATCCATACCAAATAAAAAGACATGGATTATGCTATTGCGATTGCATGTCCAAAAGGTCCTGATATGGTTGCCGAAAATAAAAAAACAAAGTTATATAAAGAGGTTAATGACGCCACAGCTTAATTATATAAAGACTTTAATGAATAATTAAAATTAACAGGAGAGAAATAAGTTAATGATTTTGTTTAGCTCTCTAATTATAGAGATACCTTTATTTGTAATAGATACAATGGAGATCCTATGCCTAAAGATTTGAAACCTGAAACATTAAAACAAATTGATGATATTTCCAATTTAGCATTTAGTCTTGAAAAGTTCTAAACACCCGAGTATATCAATTTAATTATAATATATTAGATAAGTAAAACTTTTTTCAACTCCTTATTTTAAATAAGTTATTGATCATTTTGATAGTTTTTTGAATGGAACTTCACATTTTAAATATTATGGATCTTCTTCTCATGATTCAACTCTTTTGGCTTTATTATCTGGTCTTAATTTGACCAGTGCTTAATGTTAAGCTGATATCTATCTAAATAAAACAATTACTCATAAAAATTGTATTAAAGAAGTATTAAATAATTAATAATTAATTTTAGTATGTTGAATTTGCATCTAATATTATATTTGAACTGTATAATAATTCAATCACAGGACCATATGTTAAAGTATTATATAATGGAGAATATATGCCACTTTGTTCAACAGAAGGTAAGACATGTAAATATTCAACTTTACGTTCTACTTTTATGGCACAATAAGTAGATTACAAAGCAGAATGTGGAATTAAAAACCATGATGAAATACCAGTAAATATTTATAATTTATTAATACAATTAGATTGAAAAGGAAACTCCTGGTTGGGCAATAGCATTTTTCATAATTGTTATTCTTTTATTAGTAGCTGGTTTAGGAATGGTCATAATTATTAAAAAGAAAGTAGCAGATTCAGAATGAGAATTTTAAATAATTTATAAATAAGATTATATCAAGCTATTTTTTCATTAATCATTACTCTTTTAACTTATCTTTAAAAGTATTCATCATAAAATAATGTTCCTGAAGGCATCAAATAAATGAACTTCTTTAATAAATCTATTCTATTTTATTCAATTTTATATGAATAATTTATATAATATATTGTCACAAGTTCAAATATTATAAAAATAGATACAGAAATCTAAAAATTAAACTTCTTTATTTACAAATATTTCTAATTGCATATCTTATGTTAATGTACTGAATTCTTCTTTTAGAGAAGTAGTAAGTTACTGTAAAACATCAGATACAAGAGAAGCTCCTTCTAATTCTAATTATTGATAAGCTAATCTAGTATCAAAATTAGTAGTATCATATTCAGTTTTAACACTATTAATCATATAATTTAATGAATTAATTAATCCTTTAGTCAAAACACCTTACATTACATAAACACAAATAGATTCTGCTTTTATTTTGTATTTCTAAATATTATATATTCTATACATCACTTAAATTATCACAGACTGAATCTTATGTTAATAAATTAACTATTTTTTCAGTTGAATCTCCAAATAAGAAATTTAATTCATTTATATTGACTAAACTTGATGCAATTTCTTACAAAGAAATTAAACTATTTTAAATATGATCTTAAAATTATTAAATTTCTGTAGAATTAAGAAATGTAAATGTAGATTTATAATATAAAGCTTCTTTCCAAGCATAAATTATTAATACATTAACACTAGTATCTGATATTTTTTAATAATATAAAGCAGTTTATTTATAATTATCTAAATAATTTCTAATAATTAAGTAAAATGCAAAACTTAATCCAAAAAATATTAAATAATGAAAACTTATCAAAAATAACTATTTCTTCATTTTTAAAGATACTTATCTCTTTTAATTCATTTATCTTTATTTAAAATTTTATTAACGAGTTCTTAATGATTAATCAATCATATCTAAATTTAATTTATATCCATAAATCATATGTCTATTATTTAATATTTGTAACTAAAATTATTTTAAATTCATAATATCCTATTCATTTTAATGAAGGTCTTAGTTTCTAATCAGTGTTAAAATCTTATTTTTAAATTATCTTATTTGACCCTTATGGTAAACTTTTACAATAACCATTAAAAAAGCAAAAATATCAAAAATTACAAGATAAATTTGTATATCCTTTAAATTTATATCACATAATGTAAAAGTGGATTCTAATGTGTACTTTTATAACTCTAAGAATTTATTGAACAATACTATATAGTTTTTATAGGAATAATAAAAATAGGGACCATCTACTATAATTGATTTAACAGTATATGCTAATTTGTATTCATATTAATAATTTAATAATAAATGAATAGCTTCACGAAATGTAATATTATATTCCTTCCCAATGTTTGTTTTTTCATATAATGTTATAATTTAATAATTTTCTTATAAAAAGGGTTAAAATTCAGGAATATTTAACACTTTTGTTATACTAATTTTTAAATCATCATATCCTGAAAGTAAATTTGAATTTGGAAATTTTATTAAATATTAATAATCATTTTATGTAATAGCTTTTGTTTATAAAAGTGTACTATAAGTTAAAATAGTGTATCTTGTTAATAAAAATGATTCTATTGGTTAATAAACTTCATTTTTAATGGATAACAAATTCATTTAAGATATATATTCTTTAATTTAATAGGTAACAATCATCACTTTAATAGAAAAAGTTAGAATTAAAATTATATACATTAAATGAAAAATATTGAAAGCAATCAAATTTTTAGATTTAATTTGAGAATTTATAATAGTTGAATATTAAGTAAACTTTTTATAATAAGGAGATCTTTTAATTTTTGCAATACTTGATAGATTAGAATCTTCATTCTATTCTATTTAATTTTATTATTTTTATTTATTAAATATTGAAGTTTCAGTAAATTTCTTATCATAATTTTATTCATATTCTTAATGATTTTGTATTAATTCCATTTAAGCTTCCTATCTTTCAGTATTTAAAATTATTTATTTTTAATTAAACTCTTCTAAATCAGGTACATTAATTTCAATTTCCTCATCCATCTCACAAAAGTGTTCTGAATTCTAAGTCATTTTAAATTGACTATATGAATTTGCTCTATCTAATTTAAGATTATCCACTTTCAATATATAATAATATTAGTTATCTATAAAAATTCTCTAAACTATACTTAAATGACAAGAGTAAAAAGATATTTACTCAAAATCATCAAAATTATAATGAGTTTTTGATTTTGTTTTAGAATCCTATTCATCTGAAAAATTGATAAAATTGATTGGACAATTCTTAATTTCAAAGACTTTTTCATCTATATATCTTTTAAATGCAGGAATCACTTTAGTTATATGTATACCTGTAATATAATCTATTTGATTTTCTTATAAATTAAAACCATTTTAAAATAAATAAAGACTAATTTCCTGTAATCTTAAATTAGAATCAACAAGCATTAATTATTTTTCACTCTAAGGTGAACGATATACTGTAATTATTTCTATATTTTAAGTATTGTTATAATTTAAATCCATACAAATATCAATAGGTTAAAATATACCTTTTCTTATCTAAATGAATGTTTCATCTATTGCTTAAAAAAATTTATTTTATCCTTCCTACAAAAACTTTTCTATTAATAACTAATGAAAATTCTTTAAAGATTAAGGAATTAATGAACTCAATTGATTTCCTTCTTTTAAAGTAAAATTCTCATTTTAACTTGCTGAATGATATTTTATCTATATATTTTATAAATCATGAATTTCAAAAATCACAAAATTAAATGATTAATTAAAAAAATTAACCATTTCTGATTAATGATGTTTAAGGATAATATCTTCATCTAATGCAATCATTTAACTAAATTGATATGCATCCAAAATATTGTTTAAAATTTAAACTTAGTATGTCATCAGAATACTTTAATTCTAAATTGCTATTCAATTAATAACAAGATATTACTTGGAAATAATTCAAAATTTGATTTTAGCCTAGTTAGTAAATGCTCTTACTCTGTCAAAATTTAATGAACTTTATTACTAAATATTTATTCTGATATCTATTCCTTTTAAACAAAATTTAGAAATTCTATTTTTTACAATAGAATATCCTTAAAAACACTTTATACATCAATATTATTAGAATTAATAATTGAAAGTTATTTAATTGCTTATGATATTGTTTAATTATTTAATTTTAATAATGAGGATTATTGAATCATTTTATTTTGCATATTTGCAATTATCTTATCTTCTAAAATTTCAAAATAGATTTTATATAATTAATTTAATTCAGCTCTTATAACTAATTTAAATGTTTTTGAAGCTATTTTAGAAGGATTATTTTATTTATATCTAAATAATTATTCAATTATTTATTGTGCTTCAACATATAAACTCAATACAATTAATGTTTAAATATAATTGATATATATCTATAATAATTTAAAAGGATTCTTAATCTCTTCTGAAAGACATTCTAAACGTCTAAGAATAGTTTATAGTATGAATTATTAAATTATTTCAATAGATTTTCTATTAAATTCTTAATCTCTTATAGACAACAATTTTTCACTTTTATTTGAATATTTTTAAACAAATTAATATAAAAATAATTGATTTTATTGAGTATCCAAATTTAATCCATCAAAAACCATACATGATATATATTTTAATTCATAAATTGACAATTCTTCAATATTTTTATACATCATAATTTAGTATAGTTCAACCTTTACTAATATTTTAATCACAAATATTTATAAAGGAATCAAAAATATCCAATCTCTAATATAGAAGTCTAGTAATATTTAATTGAGAATTGCCATAACTCCCAATAATATTCCAAAACTACTAAAATAAATAATCATATTTTGATAGTTACTTTTCATATATATTTAATTGTACTATATTTATAAAATTTTGTGAACAAAACTAAATATAACTATGATTGATTAATTTATTATTGCCCCTTACTTATTTTCTAAAAATACATAACAAATAATTTAGAGCAATTTAAAAAACAAATTTATAACACTACTATAAGATTAATTAATTGTTAAATATTGTAATGATGGTATAAATTTAATACTTCTATTTATCAAATACTATTAACCATATAATATTATTGTTTCTTCAAAAATCAAAAATAATCCCATACATATTAAATGCATTTGTGGTTGTGTCTATTTCAATATAACCAGTAAACAAATCTCTATTATGTTACTACCTATGTAAACTTTATTTAGAAACAAAAATATGGCATTTATCTATACTATCAACCGTGTAATTTTTGAATTTTATTGGAGATGTTAAATTTCGTTTATAATATTCTTTTATTCTTATTTATTAACTATTACACAATTATATATCCAAAGCACTATTAGTATTTACATTATTAGAAACATAGCTATAAAGAATGTTGAATTATCATCTTAAGTAAAAATAAATATATGGGGTCTAGTAAAAAATAAAACTATTTTAAAAGAATTTTCAATAGAAAATGTTGGTTGTTCTAAATAACTAATAATTTATAGTTGGGCAATAAATCCAAAAATTAGTTAAATAAGTGTTGGTATTTCAATGCTAAACTATTAAAAAACTAAACTTGTTTTGATGACATTATTTAGTAAACTACATCGGCTAGTCATTAGTTAAAGTTTATTATTTAAATAATACTAATAGTTTTTTAAGAATTAATACTTAATCAATATTTCGAACATTAATTAATTATAATAAAAAAATGGATCTCTATAATTATGACCATAAACTAATATATGATTACAAGAATTTATTAATTTTTAATATATATTATATTCTAATTAAATATTTACTCTGTATATCTTTTCAAAGCATTAAATTATGACAATTATCAAGTAATATTAAAAAATTAAAATGAAAATCATATCTATATTCTTATCTTCTCAATTTACTTAATATTTAATATCTCTTAATAGAATCTACTTATTACTTTTATCTTTATTAATATAAGATCATGAAATAATTAAAAGAGTTTTTGTATGATTTTTAAATTTTTTCAGAAATCTGGAATTTTAATGTTCTCTTATATAATGAATTATCATATCCATATTATTCTAATATCAGTGAATAAATAAATCTAATAGGTTATTTGTATAAGTATAGTTCTTCAATATGCCTTATTTTCATACATCTACTTATAAGTAATTTAATTAAACATATTGAACATATAGATTTGTGATTAATTTTAAGATTTAATGTTCTTTTGTATTTTATATAAGGATATTTAAATATTTTTAAATATGAATTCCTATTCTAATAATCGGAATTCATATTTATTCTAAGCAGTTTCTTCATTTTAAGAACTAAGTGTGATGAATACATTTAAATCCTCAAATATTCTTAAATTAAAACTTTATTTTCTTAATTCTTTTGTTAATATAGAGTGAGTAGATGATTATAAACAAGATATTATTAAATTAATTTTGAAAGTAACATAATCAATATAAAATTTTAATTCAATATTTGTTTTAAATAAAATTATGTTCTAAACCTAAAATATTGTGGAATAAATCTTCAGCAAAAAATACTTAATTTATTTTAATATTATCTTAAATTAAAATATCTAATAAATATAAATTTTTATTTGAATAACTTATTCTTGTTATAAATCTCAAAATTTATAATAATCATTAAATGTAAATTCATCATTATATTATTTGGTTATTATTTATTTGTTAGTAATATATATATTATTAATTATATAACATTTGAGTATTGTTATAAGCAAGAATTTATCTAATTCAAAATAACTAATAGAAGATACAATCTTCAATTAATACTTAAAGATTAAATAACAGGGGTTTTATAATTTCAGTTATTTTTATTAAAACTACAAAGAGATTGATCATTTTTAAACTATGTACTTAGAATGTTTATGAATGTGGTTCAATTTTTAAATTAAAATTATAAAGATTTTAATTGATGAAGAGTGAATAATAATAGAAGGGAGCCACAAAAACAGTGAAGAAAGTTAAAGTGAACAAAAAGGCACCAGTTAGGTAAATTGAAATATATGAGAAAGATTGTGGGTTAAGGCTGTATTTACAGGTTTCAGAAGATCAAAAGTTTAATAAAATGAAAATTAAGCTTTATTAAAAATTTAACATGTAGATGATGTCTCTTCAAGCAGATTCTATTGGGGCAAGAGAGTTGCATACATATATAAAGCACACTCTCTTAAGAACAATACAAAATTTAGAGTATAGATTTTGAATTAATATGAAGACCATTTGGGGTAGAATCAGCAGATCACATGGATCAAATGGAATAGTGATTGCTAGATTCAATAGAAATCTTCCACCTAGAGCAATAGGATCAACTTTGAGAGTATTCCTCTATCCAAATAGGGTTTGAGTTATATAAAAAGAGAATATATACAAATTTATATTAATTTCCAGAAATTAAATAAAAGAAATTAATTTTTTTAATATGAGTCAAGCACCATAGGCAGTATAATAATAAGCATAGAAGTCGAATACATTCAATAAATCAGAAAAAACAAAGGATATTCGATTGACCAATATCTAAGCAGCCAAAGGTATAGTAAATGAAGAGTAATGATTAGCTGTGGCAGATGCAATAAGAACAAGTTTGGGTCCAAGAGGAATGGATAAAATGATTTAAGATGCCAAGGGTTAAGTTTTGATTACAAATGATGGTGCTACAATCTTAAAACAAATGGATTTGGTTCATCCTACAGCTAAGATGGTATGAATTAATAATTAATCATTCAAAGTTGGTTGAGATTTCAAATGCTTAAGATGTTGAAGCAGGTGATGGTACAACTTCTGTAGTTGTTTTTGCAGGTGCTTTGTTGAAATCATGTGAGGTACTATTGGAAAAAGGAATCCATCCTACTACAATTTCGGAGGGATTTTAATTTGCATTAGAATATGCCTTGACAGCATTAGAGGAATTGAAAAAGCCAGTAGATTTAGCTGACAAATAATAATTAATTGAATGTGTCTAAACAGCACTTTCATCAAAGGTCGTATCATCAAATAGTGCTTAATTGGCTCCATTAGCAGTAGATGCTGTATTAAGAATAGTTGATCCTGAAAAGCCAAATAATGTTGATTTGAAAGATATCAAGATAGTGAAGAAATTAGGAGGAACAATAGATGACACAGAATTAGTTGAAGGCATAGTCTTTTCAAATTAAAAGGCTAGTTAAGCAGCTGGAGGACCATAATAAATTAAGAATGCTAAGGTTGCTCTTTTATAATTCTGTCTATCTGCTCCAAAAACAGATGTGGAGAACTCAATAGCTATTAAGGATTATACTGAAATGGATAAAATTTTAAAGGAAGAAAGAAAATATATTATTGATTTAGTCAAGAAGATTGTTGCTTCAGGCGCTAATGTTTTATTAATCTAAAAAAGTATTTTAAGAGATGCTGTTAATGATTTATCATTACACTTTTTAGCCAAGAAAGGTATAATGGTTGTTAAAGATATTGAAAGAGAAGATGTTGAATTTATATCAAAAGTATTAATATTATATATATTTATTTAGACCTTATGTTTGGTTCCTGTTGCTCATATTGATTAATTGACTCCAGAAAAATTAGGTACAGCTGGATTAGTAGAAACAGTTCATTTAAGTGATGAAAGCAAAGTATTGAGAATAACTGAAGTTCCAGCTTAATCTAAAGCTTTGACTATATTGGTTAGAGGATCAAATCAATTAGTCTTAGATGAAGCAGACAGAAGCATTCATGATGCCTTATGTGTTGTTAGAAGTTTAGTAAAGAGCAAAGGTTTGATTCCAGGGGGAGGAGCTCCAGAAATTCATTTATCATTAAGATTAACATAAATGGCTAATACTTTAACAGGAGCAAAGTCTATGTGTGTTAGAGCATTTGCTGATGCTTTAGAAGTTATCCCTTATACTCTTGCTGAAAATGCAGGTATTTAAATATAATCAAATCATTAGGTTTAAATCCAATCAATGTTGTAACAGAATTAAGAAATAGACATCTTAAATCATAAAAGTTTGCAGGAATTGGAATGAAAAAAGTAAATCTAATTGTTATTTTAGAATAATATTGTTGATGATATTACAACTGAATAAGTTGTCCAACCTATTTTAGTCACTAGAAGTGCTTTAAGTTTGGCTACAGAGTGTGTTAGAATGATTTTAAAGATAGATGATTTAGTCATCTCAGCACGTTGATCAATTATATATTAAGTATATAATAAATAAATAAATGTTAACTAATTAAAGATCCAAATCTAAATTAAAACCAACATTCAAATTAAAATAATTCTTAAATTCTATAGGTTTGCCTGAAGCTTTAAGGGATTAAAACTATAGATTTAGAAATTCTATTGATAATCACTAATTACAATAGTATTAATAAATCAGTAGCTCTATTAGAAAGAATGGTTCCAATAATTAACCATCTCTTTTGCCTAGTATTACAAATAGGAAATCACTAATTATTGAACCTATTTCATATTAGATCAATACACTCGACCATTTAATACCAGATAAAAGCATAAAAAATAAAAAAAATTACAAGAAATTCAACAATTTAAGTATTGCTATGAATTCAAATGATTAAATCAACTTAACTAATGATGAAGTATATATCTTTTAATAAATCAAAAACAGTCCATAGAAATAATAAAATACAAATAAATCTCCAGATTAGAAAAAAACTAGAAAATAAAAGTTAATTGAATTTTTGAAAGGTGAACATCATAACATCTAGTTTACAACGATATTATAATAGAAATCTTAAAAAGATCAAACTTTACTACCTTCTTTCACTATTACTAAATATCAGGAACTTTAGTTTTGACTTTTTTTTATTTTTATTATATTTAATCCTAAAATTTTATACATTTATATTTAAAATCATTATAATTTTTCAACAAAAATAATAAAACTGAAAAAAAATTAGAAAAAGAAGAAGATTTGAAAAAAAAGATATTAAACTTAATTTAAGCTAATTTAAAATGGTTTATTAACTATAATATTTAATTTGATTTATTTATTATTATTATTATTATTATTATTATTTATACAATCCTGAATCTTAATGATCTATTTTTTATTGATTACAATCATTATTATTCAATATTAAAATTAACTACTCTATTCTATTACTTAGTTTTTTAGGAAAATTAGAATATTTATTTAGAAAAATAAATATCAAAGATATAGAATTTAGATATATTTTGAAAATTAGGTTTAGACTACTTTTATAGAAAAAACTATTTAAATTTATTAAAATTTAAAAATTAATCAGAATATGATGTTCATTTATGCCTGAGAGTATTTAGAAAATTACCTAAGTTTGCCTTTTTACCATATAAAATGTATTCATATTAAATAGACTTTTTCTTTGTAGCTAATTATAAATTAAGATTTTTACTCTAAAAATGTGCTGGTCCATAAGCTTTTTTTAAATCTGCCTACTTTTTTGTTAGAGTTGGCAATTTTACAGAATCTAAAAGATGCAAATTTTTATTCTTAAAAGAATTTTATAATACTTTATTTGTTTAATTAAATAAAGTCTTTTTATGAAGTATATGAGAAGTATTTTACTCTTCTTCCATAAGGGAATCATCACTTATTAAATTAGAAATCTTACTTTTTTTTTAATAATTTAATGGATTATAAACTTGTTTCTAATAATTTTTATTATTCTTGATCTCTTAATTCTTTAAAATAAGGATGCCTCAGTGCTTGTTTTGCAGTTATACGTTCTTCTGGATCATATACAAGCATCTGTTTAATTAAATCTACAAGATCTTTAGGAGCATGTGGTATCAAATTCTCTAATCCGGTTCCAACTTTATAAGGGAAATTGATTTCCATATGTGTTGCATGCTTTCTGAATCGATCTAAGACTTTAGGATTGGGTGTTCCCATAATGTTATGTATTCGATGTACTTGATCCAATTCATTACTTCCAGGGAACAATGGAAATAATGCTGTAATCTCAAATAAGACACAACCAGCACCCCAAATATCCATTTTACTATCATAATAACCATCAGTCATTAAGCATTCTGGTGATCTATACCATCTTGTTGAGATATATTCTGTGTATGGATGTTTGGAGTAAATTCCTTTACACGAACCCAAATCAGCCAATTTAAGATGATCTCCAAGCAATAAGATATTTTCACTAAAACCAATCAATTGAAATCTTACGGTTTAATATCTCTGTGAAAAATATTATTCGAGTGCATAAAATCAATGGCTTTAAGTAATTGATACGTATAACTCCTGATCTTCTCTTATTTTAATGGTATTTTTCTACCTAAATATATGTATTGTTAATTCTTACCTTTAATATGTTCATACAGATTTTATTCCATTAACTCGAATACTAAAGCTAATCTTCCAGTAGGTTCATCACTAATTATTATGAATGATATTTTACTATAATACTTCAATTAATTTAATAATGTGTTCATGATTTTATAACTTTCTTAATGCTTGTATTTCTTTTAATTTGTTAACCAATATTAGAATTAAAATATAATACTTAGTCAATCGTTTGGAAAACTTGCTTCATGCATTTTATTGCAACCAATTAATTAGTTTTTATTGATTAAGCTTTAATAACCTCTGAAAAAGTGCCTTCTCCCTTTTTAGTTATCAATCTGTAATCTATTACTTAACAATAATAAATTTACTTTGCATCTGATTAACACTTATAAAATAATATAAATTATGTTTTATTATTATTAAAATAGGAATTAAAATAAAATCATCATCAATAATATTATTAAAATTAATCAAAATAACTTCATAATATTCAAATCCTAAATTTCCATTTAATCTAAAAACAAAGTATATCTTTATAATTTTAATTAATATAATAAAATATCAAAATCTTAATATTACTCTTAAAGAATATTTCATAAAATCAATAAATACATTTATGGAATATAAAATCAAAATTTGATTCAAATAATTTCTAAACTTGATAACTAATTATCTACATAGAATAATTATCATAATAAGAGTATATTATTAATAATATATTAAATAAATCTTTTTTTTTATCAACTTATATGAAGTAATATTACAAGAATTAATTTAAAATGAACATGTGTTATTATAAAATTTACTTAAAAATATTTTTATTTAGTTTAATTCATTAAAAATTATAAATGAAATTAATTGCTATAATTCTAATAAGCATTTCTCTAAGGATTTATGTAGCTTTTGGAGGTTATTCAGGAATGAATGATCCACCATAATATGGTGATTTTGAAGCATAAAGACATTGGATGGAGCTTACAACTAATTTAAATATCACTTAATGGTATGAGAAAAGTGAATTTAATGATCCAAAATGGTGGCCATTAGATTATCCTCCTTTGTCTGGATATTTTGCATATATTTTAGGAAAAATAGCTGAAATATTTGATCCAGATATAATTGCACCTTATTCTTCAAGAGGTATAGAAACATTTAATACTAAACTATTCATGAGAATAAGTGTATTTATTTCAGAATTAATTTTTCTATATCCTCCTTTGATATATTTTATACTTAAACAAGAATCAAAATAATAATTGATTGGATTATGTTGTCCATTATTGATATTAGTAGATCATGGACATTTTCAATATAACTGCATTATGCTTGGATTAACATTATATGCAATAATATGTTTGGAAAAAGGAAAATTAGAATTGGGTTCCATATTCTATGTAATGGCATTACATTTTAAAGTAATGTCACTCTACTACTCATTACCATTTTTTATATATATCTTATCAAAAACATATAAAGAACCAAAAAAGGTAGTTTATGTAGGAATGACTGTTATTTTGACAAGTTTGATAATTTGGTTACCTTGGTTGTCTGATTTGAAATTAATTTAAGAAGCAATAGCTACAATATTTCCAATACATAGAGGTTTATATTAATTACATGTTGCAACATTTTGGTGTATTAGTCATATAATGATTAAATGGAATTTGATATTTAACAATTAATTGCTATTTAGATTAGCTGCAATATTAACATTGTTATTTTCTATTCCTTCACTTATTAGACTATTTAAATAACCAAACTTATTTAGACATACTTTATTTATAGTTTCTTAGACTTTCTTTTTGTTTTCTTTTCATGTTCATGAAAAAACTATATTATTGCCTATTATTTTATTATTAATAAGTTAGAAGGATTATGGATATTTAGTTTATGATTATACAATAATTGCAACAATTACTCATCATCCCTTAATGATTGAAGATAAATTATTTATTGAATATTGTGTTCTATTAATATTATTCTTTATTTTTACAAGAAATAATTAATCTCCAAAATTTTAAGATTCATGGATTTTAAATTTATATTCTAAAATAAGAAATGTAATTATTTTATTATATAAATTAGATTCCAATTTTGTTATATATAGTTATTTTTATTTGCTAATAAATAATAAAACCTCCATAGAGATTTCCTTTTTTATATGAATTAAGCATATAAGTTCTAGGTTTTAGTATGTACACATTTATGTATATAATATCCCATTAATAAATTAAGAATGTCAAAAATGATTGAATATTTAAGTTTTCATTAAATTTAATAAAATTTTAATTCATTTTTTTATTTCTTTAACTATTATTTATTTATTTATTGCATTCTTTCAAATAAAGTTAATCCTGGTTCAAATTCTTAAATTTCTTCTTATTAAAGATCTGTAATTAAAAATAAATCTTCTTAAATTTTGAATCCATGTATTCTCTCTATATTTCTATTATTAGAATAATATATTACTTTTTTTAAATTTAAGATAGTAATTCTTCTATATTTACATCTGCAGTAAAAGATTTTCTACCAACTTCTAAAAATAATTATTATTTTGAAGTTTCAAAATTATCATCTGAATTTCTTATTTCCCATTTAGAACTCCAATCAAATTATTAATCAAATGGATAACCCATTGATTAATATAACTTTTTAAATAATTGTTAAATGTAATCATAATTTGGATCTCCATCAAAAGGTATGTTTTAAATGTATTTAAAATATTCTTCAAATTATTTTGGTAAACCATAACTAATTTATTTATTATATTTAATTAATACCATAATTCTTCAATAGATGTACTTATTTTCTTTTATCCTATAAGTCTTATTTTATCTTCTTTGGTTTCTGCATTAATATTCATCCAAGGTAATAATCCTTTGAGAAAGTAAATAGCTAAATATCCCAAACTCTCTAAATCACTGGCTCTATTTTATGATTAATTTAAATGAGTGCAAATTGGGCAGAATCTAGACTTGACTAAGTTAACCAATAAAATACCTTGGAGTTCCAATCATATTTTCATTTTTCTGTTTTTCAATATGTTATCCCTATTCTTTATATAATTAAGCAAATCCAAAATCTATTAAGTATATTTCATCTTCTTTCAATCCTGTCATAAAATTTTCTGGTTTAATATCTCTATGTATATAATCATTCTTATGTAAAAACTCTAATCTATTTATTGCTTAATCTAGAAACATCAAAACAGTTTTAAGTGTAAAAACTTTCTTTGGAGTTTGCATTAATAGTTAGTATAAATTTTAACCCAATAATGTTTGAACAATAAAACTATTAGTGCCATCTTAAATAAAATAATATAATCTAGGAAATCCTACATTCCCATTCAATTTATAGAGGACTTCAGCTTCATGTCTTACTGATTAAGCAAGAATAGGATTTTTTCCTGTTTACAATATTTTAACAGCATAATATTCCAATTTAACTTAATGTATAGCTAAGTAAAGATGACCAAAAGTCCCTATAAGATAAGAAAATAATTGAACCAGAATTAATAGGATTGAGGATTCGATAATTTTTACAAACAACTTTATCTATCCATTGAATTTCAATTGATTTTTAAGTCAATTTATTGGGATATCTGTAGTTAGACATATTATTTAATTTATATTAATATTGATTCATTTACAGAATTTGTTTATAAATAATATTGTTGTTAATGATTGAATATTCAAATATTTATAGAATTCTATTTGAGTATTACATTCAATTAGATTTACTATAACTGTTAGATTTAAAAGTAATTTGATATTAAAATATTATTTTAAATTGCTAGATATTAAACATAAAATGTTAGAAGATTAAATGATATAAAACATTTTTATTTTTTTTAAATAATATTAATTAAATAAAGTATGTAAAAGAGGCCTGAAGATGCAAAAAAAGAAGAGTAGTTATTCATATACTTATAGAAATCATATGCAGATTCATAAAAAGTATTGTTTCTTATATATTTTAATAGGGAATACCAAATTCAATGAATAAAATCATTGAAGAAGTTTGCCGAAAGAATAAAGACATACCATAAATAGGTTTGTGGGTTGAATTATTTAATCGGCTCTTGCTTTAATTGCAACGCAATGGCAATGATGCCAAAATGGTCATCGATATAGTATTGTATAAAATACCATGGTTCACTTCTGACAATCATTTCTAAGTCTTACCTTAATTCAAAAAGATTTTGTTCACTATTCTGTCTATGTCTACATCGTAACTAGTTACTATCTATCGTTTTTTGGTATAAAAGTTGAGTCTTCAAATGTACATGCACTATTTAACTATTCAGGCTAATCGATTCAGAATAGACCAGAGATGATATTCCATGTGAAGTGATGGGCCAATCTTATCCTAGTAAAGCGGCATTGTAATAGCAGATTTTAATAATGACTGAAGCCTATCAATTGACTTCTGAAAATTAGATTGTTAAACTGTCAGAATCTCACAAATAATTTATTAAAGAAATATTGATTCATCATCCCAAAGCAGATGAAAAATTGAAATGTATGCTAGATATTGGATATGGATACTTCCCATCCAAAAACAAATCGAAATGTTTCTATATTATTAAAAAGGTAATAGATTAAATCAATATATTTAGGATAATTCATATGAGGATATTTCATATATCAAAGGAATTGATGGATTATATAATAATATATATAGAGACAAATATTTTAAAAGTAGTAATAATATTCATTCTGATGCTGCAATTCAAATTATTAGTGAAATCATATAAATCTATAAATTAAGCAAGGAGAAATTATTAGAAACTCTTTCTGATTTATTTCCACATAAGAATCAAAGTGAAATTCATTAGAGAGTTTATGCTACAAATTGTATGAAATTAAGTGATCGTATTCCTGAACTTCGATCTCGTATCTTTAAAATGGTTTATATTAAGATTTTATAAATTGATTCTGAAATTAAATATGATCCATAATGTAACAATTTCATTATTAAAACTACTTTATAATAACATTTAAATAAAAAACATAGAGATGACATGTGTAAGAAAGTAGATCATTTATTATTTATATTATTTGATTATTTGGATTCTAAATTAGGAATTGCCAATAAAAGTATATTCTAAATAGAACTTAATGAAGATTTGATATTCAAAATATTTAGAGAGTTATAATCAGTATTTTAAGAGATCATGTTAAAAAATTAATATTACAGAATGGCTCATTATGTATTTCTATACTTTTGTTCTCTACCTAACTCTTTATCAAGAATCAATTAGTTATTTCTCTCATAATTAGTCTAAAATATAAGATCTGTAATATATTAATATTATAATATAGAATACACTCTCAAAAACTGAAAAAATTAATTCTCTTTATTATTTGTCATCCTTATTGGTTAGATGTAATTCTATAAAGAGTACAGTTTTTGTAAAAGCAGTTGAATTATTATTGGAATATTTAAATGATAAATCTTAATAGATAGAAATTGAATTAGAACATCATCTAATATAAATGATGATATTTTTAATATCTACTAAATCTACTTAATTAGAATCTCTAAAAAATTAAATTCATGAAACAATACTTAAAAAAAGTTCAACTTTATAATATATTCATTATGATATATTGGTAAAATTCAATGAAGTTTTATTGAGATCTAAATCAGATGATTTGAGATAAAAACTCATAGAAATAACTGCAAATACAATATCAAAACATATTGGCAATAATTGTTAAGGAGATTTAATAACAAATTATCATAGTCCAAATACACCTTAAAAATTGATATATGATCATGAAAGTCTATTCTCTAGAACATCAACTTAAAGAACAGTAGTACATAGAAATCAATTAGATTTTTATTAACCATTCAATAGTATGACTTTAATTTATTCTGAACCTTTTATTAAAGAATTCTATAGATATGATTAAGAATTAATAAAAGATGAAGGTGGTTCATTAAATGATAGTCGTGTAGAAGAAAAAAGAATCCCTCAATTTTGTGAGACAGAGAAACCATAAAAAAAAGTTAAATAATGAATGTTTTTAATTTATTTAATATGATTTAATGTAATTAGTCAACAATGATCTGGTAATCCTATTTCAGCATTAGAAACTGATGTTGATAATCCCATCCATCTTCTCATTTCAATAATAATTTCTTTATCTCTATGAACTCTAGTATCTAAAAAAAATATATATATAAAAATAATTACATTCTCCTTATTGCCATTATCCATTTTAATATATAGTATAACCACAAACATTTGGATTATGAGCTTTCTTATAAGGAACTGATTTAGTACAACCAGAACAAGCTGATCCAACACATCTAGCACAATCTGAATGACCATCAGGAGGAGCTTATGCTCCATTTGAATCAATAAAAGAATATGAAGATAATATTAATTTGATTTACCAATTACCATCAGTTCTAAAGAATAATTATTTATTGAAATAACGATGTCTATCAACATTTCTCTCTTTAATCAAAACACTTCCCTTATCTTACATATCTCTACTAGATGATCCTGGATTTTAATCATCATGACAATCTTATTATGCTGCAAATCTTTCAGATGATATTGGCCACCAACCACATGCTGGATGTTCTTTTGGATAATCAGAACTCCAAATTTTAATCTTATAAATATCAGAATCACTTAATCCTACTTATTTCATAAAATTATCAAATGATTTTCCATAATTATACCAATTTTCATTACACATTAATAAATCTTTTTCTCCACCAATAATTACTTCTAAATAAGCTGTAAAATCATCTGGTAATTTTCCTCCCATATTATTTGCTAATCTCTTAAAAATATGGGCTAAATTTTCAGGACTGATATGTTTAGCAGCATCAATTCTTATTCCACTAATACCTATTGAAAGTAAATCAGTAATATAATCAGCAATTCTTTATCTAACATAATCTGATTCAGTATTCAAATCTCCTAAATTTACTAACCAACCATAATTTAATATAAATCCATCATTCCAAGATGAAATTGGTCTTGCACAATGGAAATCCAATGGACCATATGGTACTTATGGGAATTCCATACCTGGTCTTGCTCCTGACCATGTCCAATTTTAATAAGCAAATCCTTAAGTATACCAAGGTGATCCTCCTGAACTATTTTTATTTCCCCAATATGTAGATCCATAACAATGAGATGGGAACATATCATTACCATTACCACTCATATGATTTACAACAGCATCTGCATATACTCTTAATCCCTTTGATCTACAAGTATTAATCATCTTTCTTAGTTCCTCTACTGTACCCATACGAGAATTAAGACGATAAGATACAGGTTAATATAACCAATACCATGGATTTAATTCTCCATTTTCTGGATGTTCATAATCCAATATTGATTCTTAAGGTGGGAATACTTTTACTCCCAAATATCCAGCTTTGGCCATCATCTCACATTCTTATTCAACATCCTCATATTTCCAACCAAATAATTCAACAACAGCTCCTTTCTATCCATTTTTAAAATGGCTAGATTAATTTACTGTAGGATGATTCCATACAAAATCTACTGGTTAAAGCTCAAGTTTTGCTACTGTTATATCTCCACCAACTTTCAAATAAACTTTGATTTAAACTTCACTTCTGGGAGCTGAAAATGTTTTGTTTGGAGATGTCTGTTCCTCACCATCAAAACTATAAATTAAAGAACCTTGATATTCTGGATTTACTCTAGTATAAATTGAGATTGCACAGGATCGAAGATCTGAACTATATACTTATCTAGCATATCCTTATAAAATATGATAATCTTAATATCCTTCACTAAATATATATATAATTATAGTACCGCCATAAAGGATCACCTTTTGGAGGAGTTTAAAAATTTCTATTCACCCAATCAGAGGGATTATCTGTTTATGATCCTCTACATCCATTATCCCCATCAAAATTTGTACACCAATCTCTCAAATTCTATTCCTTATTTTGTGGAGTCAATTAGTATAACATACCAACCATGATTAACACAGCTGATAGTACCTATATTAGTTATTTCATTATTTTATTTATTGCATGCGCATCTTGGTGACACACTTTTATATTAACTTATATGACGTATTTTTATTAATGGACGAAATATATATGACTATAAACATTTATTTATTATATTATAAATATTTTATAATAACATTAAATTGAATGGTTTTCACAAATTAGCTAAATTAATCATTTTAAAATTGGGACCATTTCCTTCTAAAGCTATTTAAAGCACTTAATCTATTGTCTTCACTAAATGAATTGACATTTTTTCTTTTATTTCAGCTTCAACATCTACCAAATTTGCCTTATTCCTATATGGGATTATTACACTATAATTAATTAAATCTCTACTTAAAGATTCCACTCTCAAAAGCTCCAAGAATTTTCTCTTTTATGCCTCCAACTGGTAACACCCTACCTGTCAAAGTAATTTCCCCTGTCATTGCAATATCATTTTTAACCTTCAATCCTGTAAGTAATGACACTATTGCAGTTGTTATGGCTACACCTGCTGATGGTCCATCTTTTGGAGTTGCACCAGCTGGAAAATGTATCTATTATTATTATAATAGAAATATTATACATGAATATCAAGAGCATCAAAATTAACATGTGTATTTGATTTGCTTAATATTTTAATTTATGGCCAATATGCTTTAATCCATCCAATAGCTGTTCTTACACTTTCCTTCATTACATCTCCTAACATACCAGTAATTTCAAATTTTCCTTTGCCTTCCATTTTCACTGATTCAATCATTAATACTTTACCACCTGCTGGAGTCCATGCCAATCCTTTACATACTCCAGGAATTGATATCAAAGGAGTAGTATGCTTATCTGAATGGATAGATGGACCTAAGATTTCAATCAAACTATCTTAATCTACAACAATAGTTTTAAAATTTTATTAATCTGTAATATATTTTAAAGCAATATTTCTATAAATTTTTGCAATTACTCTTTCTAATTATCTAACACCTGCTTCACTAGTGTGTTATTTTATTATTGTATGAATAATTTCTTAAGGAATAGTAACTTATTCATTAACTAAACCATTTTTTTATAGTTACTTTGGTATCAGATAGTTATTAGCAATAGCTATTTTCTCTTTAACTGTATAACCAACAATTTCTATCAATTCTAAACGATCTCTTAATGCTGGTTGAATAGTTTCTAATTAATTAGCTGTTGCTATAAATAATACACTGCTTAAATCAAATTCAATATTCAAATAATTATCCATAAAATGATTATTTTATTCAGGATCTAATACTTCTAATAAAGCAGAACTAGGATCTCCTCTATGATTAGATGTTAATTTATCAATCTCATCCAATAAAATAACTGGATTCTTACATTTCACTTTCTTAATAGCTTAAATAAAGGATCCTGGAAATGCACCAACATAGGTACGTCTATGACCTCTGATTTATGCTTCATCAGATACTCCACCTAAGGCAATTCTATAAAAAGGACGATTTAAAGATTTGGCAATACTTTGACCAAGTGAAGTTTTACCAACTCCAGGAGGACCAAAAAAACATATGATTGATCCTTAACCATTAGAATCAGCTATTTTTCTTTCTTTTCTTAATTTCTTCACAGCCAAAAATTATAATATTCTCTCTTTAACTTTAGTTAATCCAAAATGATCTGCATCAAGTGTTTCTTTACATTTTTCAATACTCAATGTTTCTTCAACTTATTAATTCCATGGTAATTAAAGTATTAAATCAATATAATTCCTTGTTACATTTGAATCTACTCCCATTGATCCTTTTTCAATCTTCTACATTTCTTATTCTACAATCTCTCTTACATGATCTGGTAGATTTGCTTCTTTTATTTTGGCTTATAGTTTTTCAATATCATTATTTTTTTATTTTTAATATGGGATTCCTGGAAGATTATTAGGCAAATTACTAGATTTATTAATCTATTTAGACATTTATTGCATGAGTTCTTTTGATACTTTTTATTCCAAAGCTTTTGTTTAAGAAAATTCTTCAACCTTAGTTTTTAAATATGATATCAATAAATTGATCTTTGTTTTGTGATCATCAATTTACAGTAATTTAAGTTTCTAATTATATGGTAAATCAGCATTAGTAGCTATCATAAAGAATAATTTGTTTATATTCTTCTCTTCTTATATGATTTATAAGAACTATGGACTAGGATTCATTTAGAACTATTCTAGATATTACTAAAATTATCTAAAATTCTTACTTTTGCTAAACCCTTTAAATTGTCAATTATTTAGTTACTCCATAATGCTTATTCATCTATAATTTCATCTCCTAGAACTTCTGCTGAAACCATATAATATGGAGTAGATTTTATTATAGAATCTATTTTGATTCTAGCAAATGAAAAAGCTTGGTAAATTTTATTTGAAGCATATACTCTATAAATATTCTATAAAATTATTACGTATAGTCTTCACTTGTAAGTCTTACTAAAGTACCATATTAACTAAATCTCTGTATTCTTTCAATTCCATCAATTTATTGATCAACAACTGGTACAACAGCAACATAATTATTATTCACTTTGGCATCATAGAACTATAATTCTGTTAATCTAAGTTTTAAGTTCTAATATGGATAGAGAACTGTTCCATGAATAGGAACTACGAAAACATTAATCTTTTTCATTATTAATAAAATAAAATGGCTAAACAAGAGAGTGGTGGTAAAAATAACAAGAGAGATCGTAGTCCTGTTGCTGTAACCATATTAAATAAAACATTAGGAAATGAAAATATGGTAGGAAGCTGTAAGAAAAGAGAATTAACATCTTAAAGTCTATGAACATTTTACAATAAATCCTCATAAATGTATATGCAACAGTTATTCAATTAGTATACATAATCCAAGAAAAACCTAATAATAGTATAATGTTATAGAAGCATCTAGAAAAAACAGGAGCTGTATAAAAGCCAGCATTTGATGTTAATTAAATAACAGATGATTCACCACCTTTAGAAAGTAATTAAATAGTTTTTATAGATTAGAGGATATTATTGATAAATTAAATACAATGAATAGAACTCCTCGTTAGAAATATTAATTTCCATAGACTTCTAATCAAGAATTAGGATGGCATTCAATTGTAATATATAGACTATTTTCTTTTTTAGAATTCTAATAGCCTATCTCCTTCAAAATTCACATATCCAAGAAAACTATGTAAAGAAACAAATTATGCAAATGATTACTTTACAATGAATAAAATCAGTCCTTATTCCAATAAGTTTAAATGATACATATTTAAATATGTAATATTTTATACAAAAACACTCATTTTTATTATTTTAAGCTTTCAATTAATTCAACTCCACCAAGAACCTTAATTTTCTCACATAATATCTATCCTACTTTTTCAAAATGATCTATTGCCTCATCCTCAATCACTTTAGTACCATCTACAGCCAAAACTCTTCCCTTAATATATACTTATCCATCTTCTCTACACTCACTATATACTGCAATTGGTAATCTACATCCTCCTTCTAATTAATTTAGGAACATTCTTTCAGCTACACATCTCTTTTATGAATCACTATCATTTAAAATCTATAATCTTTATATTGTTTCCATATCATCTTTTCTACATTAGATACCTAAGGCTGCTTATGCTGGTGCATAAAGAAATTCTTTTTCTTCTAAATCAAAAGAGATTCTTTCACCTAAACCTAATCTCAAAATGCCAGCTTTTGCTAGAATGATAGCATCATACTATCCTTCATCTAATTTTTAGATTCTTGTATTTAGATTTCCTCTTATATTTATTAAATTTAATTTTGGATATCTACTTCTAATTGTTGCAATCCTTCTAAGTGATGATGTACCAACTTTAAATCCATCTGGTAATTCATTCAAATTCTTATAATTGTATTTGTTGTTCAATAATACAACATCTCCTCTTTATTCAAATTTTGTATATGCAGCTAAATACAATTAACCATCTATTACAGTGGGTAGATCTTTTAAGGAATGTACTGCAACATCTGCCTTTTATTCAAGTCTATCATTACATTTACATAACTTACAAATACTATTCTACTTGTTTTGTAAATACACCTACTGTAGGCATTTAATATAAAGGATCTTATAAATTCACATCTCCAACCTCATTTGATACTTTTATTATTTCACATTCTTGTTTCAATTCTCCTATTACATAATTTGTTTAAGCCATTGCTAAGGCTGAAGATCGAGTGGCAATTCTTAATTATCTTTACATATACAAAATTATTTAATATTTTCCCAAATTATTATTGAAAATTCATAAAAATGCATTATCAATTCTAATCCTGATTTCAAATAACCTTATTTCCTATTTGCTTCTATTCACTAATTAGTTTTATTTCATATATTTATTTGATCTTTTGTTACAATCATTATCATATTTACAATAATATAAAATCTTTTTCATTATGAATCTAATCTACATTAATATAAATAAGAAGTATGAAATATATATATATATTTGTGTAACTTACAAAATTTAGTTTGAATATTCCGTTTTAATATAGAAAATAATGATTAAAAATATAAAGTGGGAATTGAACTATAGAAATGAGTTATAAATGGTTAATAAATGATTAAATAAATACAAGGATTCTTAAAATAATAATATAATAGTGATAAGTTTGTGTATCCTTAATTTTATTTTTAAAATAAATGAGTAGAAATCAATCCAGATAATAGTCAGCAGCTTAACCAACATAATAAACATCTAAAAATCAACCTCCAGCACCTGCACCTGCACCTGCTAAAGGCAAAGCTCCTGCTCCAGTTTAATAACCTGTTCAACCACAAGCAAGTGGATTTGATGCATCCAAATATGTTAAGCCAGGACTTAGCAAAGAAGAAGTATTAAAAATAAAGGAGTGCTTTGATATCTTTGATGATGACAAGAGCGGATCTATTTCGTATAATTTATATCTTAATTTAGTCCAAATGAAATGAAAAATGCCATCATAGCATTAGGAATGGAATAATCAGCAGAAGAAATAGTGAACATGATTTAAGATCTAGATTAAGATGGTTCTAGCGTAATTGATTTTGAAGAATTTCTTAATATATTTGGATTCTCAGGGTATTTAATTTATATATATAAATAAAATAGTACAATAGAAGATGAATAAGTACTTGAGAAGTTATATTAAGAGTTCGATTCCTCTGGATAAGGTAAAGTAACTTACGAGGATTTCAAGAGAATAAATGATTTGGTATCAGAAAGATATACAGATCAAGAATTAAGAGAAATGGTTGAATATGCTGATAAAGATAAAGATGGATCATTAAGTTGGGATGAATTCAAAACTGTTGTTCAAAAAGAATACCCAAATCAAGCATGATTATGATAAATAAGAACATAATATATTTTCATATATCTAATTTAGCTAATCTCTAAGTCACCGATCCAATCTCATAAAAATTAAAAAAAAGGATAAGATTGTAAACACTTTCAATCACTTTAGAAATAGATTAATAAATTTTATCTGAATATTAATAATAATCAATATATTTGTTAATGTCATTTATATTCTTCCTTTTCATTTTTATATTTTCTCTATTTTTCTAAAATCAAAATACAAGGTTACATGAAAGCCCATATCATATTTTTTGAGGATTATCCTAATATTTAATACTTCATCATAATACATATAAAATTTAATTCTGAATAAGCATTATATAATTCATAATTAATAACATATAATTAGAATCTACTGAACTAATTATTGATTACCTCATGATATCTAAAGAATTTATCAATTATGGATGATCAATTAAGAAAATTGAATTCATAAATGGACATATAAATAATGATCAATTGAATTTATACAATTTTCTAACTAAAACATTTGAGATATAATGTGAAAATAAACACTTCAAAACCCTATTTGGCATCTTAGCTTTCTAATATTTCTTGTAGGATTTCTCTTAAAATTTACTTAAAATTCTCTTATTCATTAAAATTTCTTGATTTAATATCATATCATGTTCAGTAAATAAAGTGCTGGAGTTTCAAATTCAATAATTCCTTTTTAATCAAGAAAATCGCCATAAATATTGTCTTATACTATAACTGATGATTTAACCTATATATCATATTTAAAGTACTTAATACATGTGAATAATAAAAGTAAGCAATTATATAATTTTAATTATAAAATGGAAGAATAAAATACAAAAAAAGACTTTCATACTCGTAACTTAGTAAATAACTGTTATTATAAAAGGAAATAATAGCATAATTGAGAGATAAGAAAATGAGAGAATAAGAAGAAAAAGAGATTTCTTAGAAAAAGAAATAAGAACTTGTAGTTAAATTGAAATCTCGATATATTAAAGAAGAATAGAAAGAAATTAAATAATAAGTGTCTTTACCTAGTATCAACACTCCAGAATCAAGTTTAAAAAAAGAGGATTTATAGCAAGAATAAAAAATTAGAATATAAGAGAAACAAAAATAGTAATTGTAATAAATTTATATAAGATATTTGGAATCTATAAAGACAAGATAATTATAAGAAAAATAAAAGAAAGAAGAAATGATTTAAAGATAAGAGATTATTAAATAAAGTGTAAAATAGAAAGTTTTAAATTAATTGTCTGAAGTAGCTTAATTTGTGACTAAGGATGATTTATTAGAATAAGATAGTGGATCAGATGATTAGGATACATAAAAAGTGAAATTAAAAAAATATCCATTTATCACAGACTTAAAATAGTGGAAGAAAAAGTAACGTATAGATGATGCAGTGAAAGTGTTTATAATTGTTGGTGGTTATGGTGATATAGCAAAAGCATTAATATAAAGAGGTTGGGTTAAGAATCCAGATAGTGGAAGTCCATGTTTTGATTTCAAATTTACATTACATAATTCAGAAATTGACTATAATAATTTATAAGACTTTTAGATTGTTAATCATTTTGCTAAGATTATATGTTTAACTACTAAAGTTGGATTATGTAAATCTCTTAATAATTTAATTTGGTTTAATAATGTAGATAAAAATACATTCTATCCAAGAGCATTTGATTTATCTGATGAAGAAGATTTTGAAAATTTTAGAGAAGAATTCAAGTTATCAAAAGTAATTCTATTATTTAATTAGGCTGAAGCTATCTTGAAAATGTATTTGCATTTATTTAAAAAGAAGGATGCTAATTTAATTGAGAAGATCAAACCATAAGCTATTGTAGCATATTCAGTATGTATGAAGATATTGCAAGATATTAATTAAATTATTGATTAATAAAAATAGACTGCACTCATCACATAGAAAGAATGGGATATACTTTCTAAAGATGATTTAAATGTTTAAGCATTAGCTTAGAAAAAACATTAAGCTTGGTTGGCTAAAATTGGGGAAGTAAAATCATTAAAAAAGAAAAGAAAGAGTAAATTAGAAAAAGAACAAGAAGATTCTATTGAAGATGTAGATGAATTTACATAATCAATTATTGATATATTGTAAACTATTTATTTTATAAAAGATAATAATTTAAAAATAGATTTCCTTAATATTATTTAAATGGAGTTGAAAATATTTGGATAGTTAAACCTGCTGGATTATCTAGAGGAAGAGGAATTTAATGTTACAAAAATCTAGTTGAAATTGAAGATCATGTTGCATCTAAAGGAGCATAATGGATTATTTAGAAATACATAGAAAAACCATTAATTGTACTTGGTAAAAAAATGGACATTAGATAATGGGTTTTAATTACTGATTGGAATCCATTAACTATATGGATTTATGATGAAGCATATCTACGTTTTACAGCTGAAGAATATGATCCTAAAGATTTAGAAAATAAAATGTCTCATTTAACAAATAATTCTATTTAAAAAAAAGGAGAAAACTTTTATAAATCTGATATTGAAGGGAATATGTGGAATTAAGAATAATTTAGTGATTATTTAATGGTAAAATCTATTGAATATACAATTTTAGAAAATTCATTAAGTAAATTTTATGGAAATCATTAGACCTTAAATTGAATAGGCAATTATATGGTCATTATAAAGTGTTTAAGATTAAGTAGAATAAAGAAAGAATTCTCATGAAATTTTAGGATATGATTTTATGATAGATGATAAATTTCATGTTTGGTTAATCGAAATTAATAGTAGTCCAGACTTTTCATATTCTACTGTATTTATATTAATATTATATAATTAGCATGTAACTGAAAAGTTAGTTAAAGAAGTTTCTGAAGATTTAATTAAAGTAGTTATTGACAGAGAAAATGATAAGAAATGTGATACTGGAAAATTCAAAAGAATATATAAAGCTAAATCTGTTTTAGAAAAACCTGCATCAGTTGGATTAAAATTATGTTTAGAGGGGAAAAAAATTAAGAAAGTTAAAGGATGATTTTTAATTAATTAATATTATAATATTATGGGAGATTAAGATGAAACTTAAAATAATTAATTACTTCATTCTTTAGTTAACTAAAGTAGAATTAATGAAAGCATAAATTATATGAATCTATTAGACTTGATGAGTAAATATAACCCAGGACCTCCAATTAAGAAAACTATAATAAATGATTAAGATTTTATAGATGAATTAGAATAGTTCTTAGATTAATTAGATTAACCTAAAAGACGCAAGTTCTATGAAGAATCAATGATTATTTTAGATGAAAATGATAACCATTCAATTTTGGATTTTACAAATTTAAACAATACTAATAACAAAAATGACTCAAAATATTAAAAATAATAGGATGCTTGGCTTGATAAACTACCACTCAAACATGAATTTGATGATCTTGAAGAACTTGAAAAAATACTATCTTAATGAACATATAATATATAATTTTATATATAAAAATAATAGTTGTTAAAATATTTGTTGTATGCAGTTCATACATGATTATGCTATAATAGGAGAAGAAGAGAATGAACCAAAATTGATCAATCCATAACCATTAAATTAACATTTCTAAAACTTTTCCAATCTTTTGTAAGCTTAAAAAGAAAGATAAAAATCCAAAATATTTATGCCTTTAGATTTGAATATGATCAATTAATCATAAAATGGATATAAATCTTCTGCTCGTTTAAGTCCTAGAAGTTATTTTACAAATAAATAAGTTCCTAGTGTCGATAAAATAATGTAGAAAATGGCAATTAAACATGTTTCACATCATCAAGTTCCAACTAAAAAAGAAGAATTCTATGAAAGATAAATTAGATGGTTAAATTAGATAAAATAAACAAATAAAGTTAAAAATCAACATAAACTTAATTAAGAAATATAGAATTGTCCATTCAAACCTTATACAAGTCCTTAACAGAACATTAACAAAGAAAAATTAAAAGAAAATTCAAAAAGCATTCTGAGTCCCTAACCATTTAAGAAACCTAATAAAAGAAATAATTCTTATACTAAAATTCATTTAGCAAAGAAATAGAGTTTTGGTTGAATATGAATTTATGAATTATATTCATAATAATTTTATACATTTAATAATTTAAATTATATTGAATTAAAATAACTTGTATATAAATTTAGGAAAAAAGGAAATTCCAAATTACCATTTTTAACTTAAAAATCATTCTAAATCTATTTTTGAGTTTAATCCCAACTTTTAACTACATGATCTATCTGTTGAATTAACTAATCTTATCTTTTTTAGATTAAATTTGGTTATTTAAGTATCGGAATTTGGAAAATGATTGATTTAATTAAATGACTTAAATTCATACAATCCTTATCTTCATTTGTTATTTTGTTATTACTTGTTAACCACAAACAATCAAGTAAAATCTTTAGGTTTACGAAAATCAATATATTTTGGAAATCTAAATAAGAATTTAGACCAACCAAGAGTTCAAATTAACATTTTACAATGGATTAGTATTTTTTCATATAAAATATTTAGACTCATACTAACGAAGGATAAAATTGTTTAAACAAGGGTAATTGTAAATGTGATAGCTAAACTTTTAGTAATTTTCATTGTTTTGAAGACTAAAACTCATTTTTGATCACATTTACAAAGTTTCCATATTTTTAAGGAGATAATATCCTAAATATAGAAGAAATGACAAATAATTTGATAGACTAACACACAAAGAATACAGATAACAATCATCATTTAAGGGCTTTGGCTGTATAGAATAAAGAAAGTAATTAGATAGCCCCATAAAGTGTATCATATAAAGATCAAGATTTAAGCAGTTCATTGTAATTAGGTGATTATGATTTATATCTAAAATGGTAAATTTATAATAATGGTACTTTTGATATGGCTGTTGACTACAATCATTAAAACTGGATTGGATTAGGATTTTGTCCAAATGTAAGAAAATTTTAATATATTAGATGAACAATTGTGATATGATCTTTATATCCATAGCTAATTAAACAGTTATGATTACTGATAACTTTGCTAAAGGACAAGTTAAGCCTATAATCGATATTAGTAATGACATTTAGGTCATATCATATGCTATAAATTCAACAGGTTATTCTGTAAGATTTAATCGAAAATTAAACACAGGAGATTCTAATGATGAGATTCTAGTTCAAGGAAAGTAATACTAATTTTGTGTAGCATGGTCAACTGAGAATTCAATGGAAGGACATAATAGACAATATACTTTTGATATCAATTTTGATAATAATATTATTGGTAAAGTAAGTTTAGATAATGGTATGGATACATTATATGTTGTTCATGCAGTTGTTTTATTTATAGCATGGGGAATCTTTGCAGATATTGGAATAATTATAGGAAGATTTTTTAAATCTATTAATAGTTATTTATGGATTCATGCAATATGTTTTATGATTGTTGATTTCTCTACAATCATTTTGGTTATCTTAGTATTAGTAATTGGAATAAAAGGTGGAAATATTGAAGAAGATGGAACTTAAGCAGGTCATAATGCAATTTCTATTTTCCTTACATTACTTGTCATTGTAGAACATATTTTGGGAATAATAGTTAAACATAATTTAGAATCTAATGATACAGTGAATAGATAAAGTGTATATAAAATAAGAAAAGTACATGTTATTTTGGGAACTCTTATGTTTTTGGCTGCCAAAATAGATATAATATTGGGATTCATCAAACATGAATCTTCTCTATTATTAATCTTAGCCATAATTTGGACAGCACTTTTAATCCTGATACGAGTAGGATTAGAAATATATAAATCTAAATATCTATCAATTAAATCTAAAATTGTACCTCATTAATCATAAATACTCAACGAAAATTAATAAAAGTTAATCAAACTTTTAGAAGGCAATTAATCGACCAATTAAATCATTAAAGAATTGCCTAATATAAAATGGGTAATGTTAGATTAAGATATTTATGATTTAACAGATTATCAGCATCCAGCAGGTAACTTTTTAATTTCAAATGTAAATGGAAAGGAAATTAGTCGTTATTTTTATGGTGCTTTTGGTCTAGAATCTACTCAAGTGAAATCATATAATCATAGCTAAGTTGCCTATAAATCTTTATAAAGTAGGTACATAGGGAGATTACAACCAAAAAATGTAACTCATTAAAATCCTGGATCACCATGGGAACTAAATGATTTCATTAAATTATCAAATAACATAGCCTAATTTGATTTTACAAATAAAGATTTCACTATTAATCTCAATTAAAATTTGTAGGATCTTGGATAACATTTTAGTATTTCTCTTACTGAAGTTGGTGGCAAAATTAGAATGTATACTAAGGTATTATGTATGGCCAGTCCATATCAGTAATTCAGAAATCAAGTTATCGATTACTGTGAAGACAAAACATCAGAAAAACCTGTTCTTTAGTATTAATAGACTAACACTATTCCATTAATAGTAAAAAAATACAATTATAAGAATGCTTTATCTGCTAAGATATTTGATCACAAAGGATAATTTTGGATCTAAGGTCCTTTTGGCAGAGGTTTAGAACTTTAAAGCAAATCTAAATGTATTGCTTTTGTAGGTGGAACTGGAATTCTACCTTTTTTAGATTTATTAGATTTTTTATTAATGAAATCTTATCATTTAACTAATCCTACAAAATAAGAATAAATATCATCATTTTTTCCTTAAGTTAATTAATTGGATAATGAATTTGAATTTATATTATTGGCATCTTTCTAAAATGAAGAAGAATTTATTGGAAAAGAATGGATCAGAAAATTATATTAAATAAATAAGGATAATAAATTAAAATTATTTGATATGAAAATAAGATATTCTGATGGCTAATTAGATTAAACTATACCAGCATTTCATAATAGATTTACTGAAGAATTTGTGAAATCTTTGTTAGTAGACTTTAATAAGAATATCTTTATATGTGGACCACCAAATATGATTAGTTCATTAACATAGATCATTTCTCAAACTAATCAAGATTAATAAAAAGTAGTAATTGTTTGAGATTTCATCATATATAAATTATATACAATTAAAATTTATTTAATATATTTATGAAAAATTATTATTCATTTGCAAAATTATTTGCTTAAATTGGATAGAGTAGATTATTATAAAATCCCATCAATAGTAGAATTCAGGCTAAAAAAGTATCTTAATATTATAATAATCCACTTCCAATTAATGAAATTGAAAATTTGCTTAAAAGTTTACATTATTTTATTCCAAATGAAGTAATTCAAATAATGAAAAAATCTCATAAATTCAAATAAGTTTTTGGCAAATAAGAGTTTACATAATATTTTAAGAGTCAAAGTTTGGATTCAATTCAAAAAGCAGATTTAATATTACTGTGTTATAAATTAAATCTTGAAGATGATTTATGGATGAAATGTTTAACAATGAAAATTGATGATTTGACACCCTATTATTTAAGTGAAACAATGTGGGCCCTTAAAAATAAATCATTCTAATTATCTGAAAACTAAGAAAAAAGCAGAAAACTATAAGAAGAAATAATATCTTTTATCCCATCTAAATTAAATTAGTTTGATTTTTATAGTCTAAGTCTAATGTTATAAAGTCTAACAAAATTTCATGATGTTAATTGGGATGATTTAGCAAAAACATTTTTAAAGCTTATAAATAATAATGATCATTTTTCTTTATGTTATGGCTTATATGCATTAGCAAAGTAAAGATCAAGACTTACTATAAAAATAAATGATGAGAATCTAATTCAAATAGTACAAAATGAAATGAGAAACTTTTCTTAAAATGATCTATTATTAGTTTTATGGGCTCTATAGAAATTAAATTTAGGCTCAGAAGATTTTTGGAATTATGCATTTACTATTTTATAAACATAAAAATTATAGACACTTTAATCTATAGCAATTTAATCATAAATTCTTTCATAATTGTTTAAAGTGGATGAAGTATCATGGAATAAAATAGAAAAATAAGCTATTTCTTTATTAAAGTCTGATGAGAAATCTTTAGTGACTTTATTTTAAACATTCTCCATAAACAATAAAGGAAGTTAATAATTTTGGGAGAAGATTTGTTTTTAGATATTGTAAGATATAACAAAATTCAAATTAGAATCATTAATAAAATTAGCCTCTCATTCAGATATACCTGAATTGAGCAAGAAAATACCTTTGGATTGGACTAAATTAACAATTTCTTAAAGATGTTTAATTTTTAATAAGTTTGCAAAGCTTGGTTTATAGATTGAAGATAAATATTAATACATTTTGGAAAAAATTGATTAAGTATTTGGGAAAGATCTTGTTTTAGTATTATACACTATTTATAGATATTCACCATAATTAAATAAGGATCCTATAATAAATTAATTATTAATATCTATGGATCATTTAAATCTAATTGATATCGAACAATTATTAGAATTAAAAGAGATTCCTTAAGAAGTAAATATTAAACTTTAGAAATTATTTGAAATTAAAATGAATAAAAAATAAAAAAGTGATTGAAGTAAAATAAATGTATTGGATGAACTGTTTTAATTTATACATTAATTAAATATAATTAAATAATGTTGAAAAGTTTAAAATTAATAAGAATAAAAATCAATAATACAAGATTTAATATTTAATTGAGGTGAATGTTACTCAAAATTATATGTCAAATCATAATTCATTTCCAATAGTGACCCAATTATTTCTAAGGTTGTTTCTTCTGCCAAAGATTTCTAAGCAATATCCCCCTGGTACCATGGCATTTATTATTTCATAGATTTCTTCAGGCTTTTAAGATTAACCTCTTCTTTCACTCCAAATAACATCACTTTTTAAATAGTAATTTAATTTTTTAGTTCCCTAGAATATATAAATTAAATTACTTTATAACCAATTAAACAATTCTCCTTAGCATGTTACAAATAAAAACCATGTCCTTTTGCAATTTTACCATTAACTGTCTTCTTAACCCATATTAATTCATCAACTAATTAATAACCCCATTATTTCATCATTTTTGCAGCAATACGATATTTGGCATTGATTGTCCATATAAAGAGGAAGCCTTCCTTTTATAATAAAGGGATAGGCAATTCCATTAATTAATCATCTTTAAGAGATTAATATGCAATAGCCACTCCTCTTGATGGTTAAGATGTTGATAATTACCAAGGTGGATCCATCATAATGGCTTGATTATATAATAGGAAATAATACCATCAAATAATTTGCCAGCAATTTTTTGTTGTTAAGCTATCAAGGATTTAAAATTAAATGTTAAGACATCAGCATTAATTGGTATAGAATTTTCAGGTACAGAACTAATCAATGTTGGTAAATCATTTTATCTAAATTTAAATAGAATGTATTGAATACTCTTTAAACCATTCTAATTTTTAAGATTCAATACTAGCTTCTACTTTAGATAACAGTTTTAGCAATCCTTATTTATTTTTTGGTAATTTATCATATTCAATGGTTTCATTGATATCTAAATCACTATTCTTTCTCTCCTTGTTTAATTGCTTTTTCACTCCAAAATCTATATCATTGTTGTCATCTCCTCCAGCTTCGCTTCCAAAATCCAAATAATTTCTTCGAGTATACTATCTTAAATTATATGTCCCATTTTAAGATTCCTTTAGACTTACTCCAGATAAGTCTTCTGTATTGGTTGAGTTCTGTTTTTTCGTTGATATCACCTTCCTTAACTTCTTTGTTTTCTATTATTTTTAATCTTCATTGGTATTGATGACTTTATCCAATGATATTACTTGCTTTCCATTACAATCTAAATTATCTTCAGCAGTAGATTTTGACTATTGACTACGTCTTCCTTACATTCACAAATTAAGATTTAATATTATTATTATATTTGTTCCAATCTCACTCTTTTACCAATTTAAGTTGGCGCCTTTTTAATACAATATAATGTTACAATTTCTACTTGACTTATATGATATAAATTTAAGATTTATTGGTTCTTACAACCATCCTTTTCAAATTATATAACGAATAACAACACAGACAATCTTAATTAAATTATATAAAACTATAATCATCATTGAAATTAATCTATATTTCAAATACTAGATATCTTTAACAAATTTCTTAGAATAACTTCCTTTAGTTTCATTTTAACATTTAGATACTATTATTTAAATAATAAATAATAAATATTTCCAAATTATCTATATTCCCCCTTTCACTCACTCAAATCTAAATGACTTATAGAGAAAGCACATTATAAAAGAATAAGAATTATAAATATATATTGATATTATAAAATCTTGGCCTTCACTTAGTCAAATCGATCCTCTTGTTAAGAATTGCTTATCTCATCTTTGTCACATCCTTTTATCCTGGATACTCACCATCCTTTAAAGCTATATTGGATGCAATTTAGTCCCAAGAATTTTTCTTATATAGAATAACTATCTTACATACTAACTATGATTCTTCTTATTTTCAAGCCAAATCTCTTATTTCTACTTATTCAACACTTTTCTTTATTATATATCTGTTTCTAATTAACTATTTAATGTAATTTTACAATTTACCTTTTGAATTATTGCAAATACTCTTAACCTTTCTATTTTTTTTATTATTTCAACAATCTTTCCTATTAATCCTTTTCTCTTATTTGAGCAAGTCTTTCTTCTTCAATTATTTTCAATTTATCCTTTCTAATCTATTATTCTGGACTCTATTTTTGAATCATAAAGTACCACATACACAACGGATTATTATTAGGATTGAACAGGTGCTTCATTAGAAAAAGCACTAAATACATCATACTAACATATGGCATATCTCATACTTAAGCCTATTAAATTTGACTTTGATCAACCTATGGGGCTTCAGAAGGAACAGCCTAAGTTGTTACATCGTCAAAAAAATCCATTATTTAAGTTAATTATATTTCTTTAAGGATATAAGAGAAAATGAATTATTATTAAATAGATGTAATCTCAATTTAAAGATTGATATTATGAAAAAAATAAAAAAATAAAATCAGATATCATTTAAAGTCTTACTAAAATTGTTTGTTATTACTTTTTTTTATTTTCCTAAAAGTGATATAAGATTATAATTATACTTAGCTTCAAATAATTCTACTTTCAAGATATAATCATTAATTTTTATTTCTGATAAATGCTTCAATGGATGAGGTTGAGATTCTAATTTTTATTCTCTCTCTTCTATTGTAGATAATTGTAACCAAGTTCCATTGGCTGATTCCCGATCTTATGAACCATCAGCAATTTGCCATTTATTTTCTCTAAAATCATTTTAGAAATCACAATACTTATAATTAAATTGAATTCTTGTTTATTTTCTTGAAATGGTATTTGAATTGATGAAAATATTATTTTCAATACATCTTCCTATAGAAAATTCACAATTATAGTCTTTAGCAAAGAAATAATGAATATAACATCCTTACAATCCTGATCCAGAAAAAACTAATAAAATGAATGGCACATTATATTATTTCAAATTTTATAAAATAAAAGCCATTTCCATAGGTGACTTTTCTAATTATTACTGTGCTGATTAAGATTCAAATTTCAAACCATGTATATTACATTTAAAAGAGTTATTCCTTATTTAATCTATTAATTAATCAAAATGTTCATCTGGAATTTTTAAGTTTTTCTCTAAAACATGATAATCTTAAATTTAAAAAGTTGTATCTGTTCCAATACTATATTGATGACTTTTCTTTAATTTCTAATATTTCTTATCTACTCTAATATGTGTTCCAAAAACACTTCCAACATCTTAAACATAACATTCTTTTGGATCTCTAATATAGATTTTATTTTATAAATACTCTAGAAACTTCTCAATTCTAATTAACACAAAGTGTGGTAGTTGATATTTTAAATAACGTAAAGTATTTTTATACAAAGGATGGATATATGATCCTTTTCGAAAAAAATCTTTACAAATCAACTTGCAATGGATGCGTGATATTAATCGTTCTTATTCAGGTAAGACTATTTAATGAAATAAATTAAATACCAATATCATTTGGATAAATGCTTTAACCTTGAAATTCAAATTTCTCCTAACGACCTATCATGATATCCTAGGAGTTTGTATTTTTCTTCGTGTCTACTAATCTTATATTCCTTTTAAGTGTTACCCATAACTATTGATAAAATATTCCTTTTTCTAGTTACTCTCCATCCCAACCATATTTTTAATTACAGAGATCTTTACATGAGTTTTCTTTTTATTTAATTTATTCTCCTTAACCTCTTTTATTCCTAGAGTTGTGTATAATTGATTCATATTAAATGTAGCACTAAATTTATTTTAAATCAAAACCCATTCTTAATTGTTCTATTAATCTATAGCATTGCTTAAAAAGCAGAAGGATCATGTGGAATGATTGAAGCTTAATTTATATTACCTTAAAATGAAAATTCGTTTCCTTAAGGAAGCACCCTTAAAATAATTCAATTTATTTACATTACACTAGAATTGTTGCTTATTGAACTAATACCATCCAATCTATCTGATTCTCCAAAGTCTAAAGGAAGTAGAGGCTGCATAAAAATATTATAAATAATATAAAGAATTTAAATTAAGCATAAGTAATACAATTTTGCAGGAGTTGATCTTTTATAAGAGTAAACCAGATAATAAATTACCTAGATTTCCTGAATAACAATCTTATTTTGAATAAACTTAAGGATATCAAAATGATTTTGAATCATCAAGAAAACCTATTATTCCAGAAAAATACTAACCAACAAATTTGGGTAAGGACTTATTTATTACACTTTAAATAAATATATTTTTTTAATTTAGAACGAATATAGGAGTACTTGAAAGGTTACTACTTATTCTGATAAAGCATTGTTTGATTTATGGAAGGTGATAACAAGATCTCAAGCAGGAAAACCTCCTCCAAAGAAACCAGCTAAGGAACCAGAAAATGTTTATTCCTTAAGTATTTTTAATATTAGGAGCTAATAAGAAAATAATTAGAACATAAAAGAAATTTACATTTTTATGCTTAATCTCAAGAAAAGGATATTCAAGGGATAAAAAGATTGCCCTTACTCTCATATTTATCTTGTTTTAGATTTAGAGCCAACTGATAGCAAACTTAAAGGTCTTTAAGAATCTATTAAGATGAAGGAACTTACTCTTAGAATCTAAACCTCACATTTCTTGGGTTTAGTTAGGAATTAAAGATTCAGATGAATATAATATGGATTATAATTTCTTTTAGATAATAACACAGCAGCTTATGATAAAGAATTGGAAAGAAAAAGAATTTTAAGATCAAAAAGTAAATAATCTAAAAAATCAAAATCATAATCGAAAAATTTGTATTCCTAAGATTTTATAGTTATCAAAACCCCAATATACGAGAGAAAAAAGAAATAAAACTTTTGAGAGCTATAAAAAAGTTATCAATCATAATTATGATAGTTTTTCACCTGATTTAAATATAAATCTTTGTACTTGAATATCTATTGTCCTTATTCCTCCTGTTGAAAATGGTTTAATTAGAATACTAATATTTTTATTAATCCTTTAATTATTTAAACAATACATCTTATATATATATTTCTTTAATAATCTGCAACTAAAATGAAAACTTAAATTTGAATTTTGTTTTTTATAAATTAGTTTTAAGATGTTACAATAGCATTACTGTTATAAGATTATTAATTATATAAATATCAGATAGCTCTGTATGCATAAGAAGTAATACCGCAAGTGTTTCCAGGGGCAAGAGTAATGAATCCTTTTTCACCCCATGAAGTGCCCCATGAGTTTTTAACAAACCAATTATCATTTTCATCAAATCCTACAGCTAAGACAGCATGATTGACAGATTTATTACAATCTTTAAAAACCCCTCCTCCATAAAACTACCAATTAGTTGCATCAACAACAACTACTAAAGGGTATTCTGTCAAATAGGATTTGAAGTTATTTGAACTTACACTTTAAGCTCCGTTTGTTTTGTATGGTCCTGTATCGTATTTGCAAGATGCTGATTATTTCTAAATATAAGGATAAACTCTTGCATCATTCAATCCATGATTAGCAATATACTTTAGGGCTAGATTCTAATAGCCACCATTGCACCCAAAAGATTGAGAATCACAATCAATCAATTACTATTCTGACAATAAAATTGTTGTTTTATTCTTAACATAAAACCAAGCTTCTGCTGCTCCTACAGCACCAAAAGCCCAGCATCCAGCACACTAACCTTAATCTTTAACTTATGTTATCTTTCTCCAGTCAACTGAATTTTATGTTTTATCATTTTTATATGTTTAATATTAATCATCAGTAATTTAGTTTTATTAGATAACTTCATTAGAAATATAATGAGTTAGATAAAGCAATGAAAATTCTTCTTCAGATAAATCACTGAACTGGTTCATTCTCATGATATAAGTTTTATTTGGATCAGAATTATGTTTATTTACTTTATTTCGATTAATTTAAAAATTAAAGAATCGAAAAACTTCTTGCTGTCCTGTATAAGATTTTCCATATTCAATTTTCCAACTCTAAAATTCAGTATAACAATCATTTTCTTCTTAATTCAAATAAGAATAAGCACTCAACAAGCCTATTAGTAAAATCACTGCGGATTTCATTGAATTTTATTTTATTAGATTTCATAAATTGTTTATTAATCCAATCCTAATGACATAATTTAACGCTCTCCCATGACGTAATGCTATCAATAATAAATCATTAATTATAATAAAGAATATTTAATCATCAATTAAATTTCTCATCCCATAAAGGATCCTTAGCTAATTCCTTCTTATATAAATTTTTCTCCCCAAGATCCTAAGCATTAAATCTAATCATACATTTTTTATTTCTCCCTATATGCTTTTATTTTGCTTCTCAATTGTTACAATTTCTTTTTCCCCGATTAATCTATCCTTAGGTGGAATATAAGGAGGCTTTAACTCTTTATCCATCAATTTATCCTATTTAAAACTAACGTATCACAAATACCCAATCCAATCCATCAAACCAAGAGTTGGCTTTCAAAGCTGCATAACTCCCACCTAAACGAATTTCTGGGGTCTTGTTTAATAATTAATCAATAAATTTTTTAGCCTTTCGATCTTTAAGATGATTGGGATATGAAATTTGTTTCTTTGTAATTTCCTCGTATATTTCATATGGATCTTCTGCATCCTCAGCAAATGGAACTCCTCCACACATAAATTCGTAAAGACATATACCTATACTCCACAAATCTACTGAATATGAATAACCTTAATGCATTACTATTTTAATACCTTTTCCATTTAAGATTTCTGGAGCCATATAATGAGGAGTTCCTATAATAGTAAAGGTTCGACCTTTCCCTTTCAAAATTTTTGCAGTTCCCATATCAATCAATCGAATGTATCCATGATGATCTACCATCACATTTTCTGGTTTAATATCTCTATAGACAATATGGTGAGTATGCAGATACTCCATGCAAAGTAATAAAGAGGCTACATAAAATTATGAATCATAATTATTTAGTAATCCTATATCTCTGATCACATCGAACAATTCCAAACCTTTTATGTATTCAACTAGAAAGTAAATAAAATTATCATCCTTCATCGATTTGTAAAATCTCATCATTAAAGGAAATTAAATTTATTCAAGCACAGTTTTTTCTTAAGTTAGATGACTTTCTAAATGTTATTCTACTATTTAGTTTTTAATGATGCATTTCAAGGCGTATAATTTACCATCCTTTTTATTCTTACACAAATACACTGAACCAAATTATCCTTATCCTAATTTTTTTATATGAATCATATCATCCAAGATTAAATAATCTACTTATTATTTTGAGATTTATCTCTACATATATTTCACTTCATGATTGTTTTCATTCTTCTAAATCACTTAATCTAATTCACCTCCTATGCATTCTAAAAATACATCAAATGGTATTTATGCAACTTTGCCTCCCTCCTTTAAAAATATATCATAAGGAACCAGTTTTTCTCTATTTTTTTTAGGTAAAAATTAATCTCCAACAATTTATCCTTTTGTAGCTATCTCTTTTTCTTTCTTAATTTTCAATATTTAATATACTTACATTGCATAACTTCCCTTCTAAAACTATAACTAATTTATCACATTTTTGATCTGCTGTGTAGATCCTTTGATTTGCCTCATAATTTACTGTCTAAATTTTAGTCACAATCTTTTCAATTTGAATTTTAGTTAATTTACACAACAATTGATTCTTTTCAAAACTCCATCTCAAAAGGTTGTTATACATTATAACCTATATCTTATCACCTAAAATTTTTGTTATTGTCTCCCTTCCAATAGCTAAACAACAAACATTTTCATCTACTGCTATTACAGAGGCTCCTCTCACTGAATTTTGATAGAGAGCTTATTCTCCAAATGAATCTCCTACAGACATCTATCTTAATTCATTGCCTCCTTTCATTATCTTAACCATTCCTGACTTTATAATGAAATAAGAACTAGCCATATCTCCTTCATTTACAATTGCTTGACCTTTTTTAAATGATTAAGTAATTATTGCTCCTGCTATCATATCCTTCTAATCAACAGTCATCCATTCAAAAAATTTAATTGAATCAATAAACTTTCGATTTTCATCATATTCTTTTTAAACTAGCTCTTCCACTGCAGCTCTAAAAGTCCCTCTGTCAATACCCCAAAAGAAACACTCTAATTTCAATAAAAAAACTAACCATCTTTAGTTTTAACAGAAGCTGAACGAGGTGCTCCATACAATAATGCTAGTTCTCCAAAACCCTCCCCAGTGGTAAGTTACTTTTTTACTTCCCCATTAATTATAATATCACAAATTCCTTAATCAATAATGAAATAGGCACTGGCTTAATCATTTTGTTAAAAAACAAATTCATTTGCTGCGACTTTGCAATAAAACATTTTCATAACAATGTCTTCTCTTGGCTCATAATTAAATATTTACTTGTGTTAATCACTAATATGAGCAAAGAAGTAATGTTAACCAAGAGCATTCAAAATAACCTAATAATCATGAGGTTTTTTTTCCTTTTCTATTTTTTCTACATTTTCCACAAATTCATCTTTTTATAATATGCCATTTACAAACTTCTTATTCTTTTTTTCATTTCTTTATTTGATGTGCTGCTATATTTAGTAAAAAATCATACATCATCCTAACCTTAGATAACATCTGATGCATGTTTAGAATCTTATTTCAACATTGTTCCTCCATTCTTTACTTACTCAGTTATAGTATCTTCTTTTAATTTTTACTTTTATTTAAATAAGTTTAAAGCTTCCTTTCCAGGACTTTAATCCTCAGACTAGGTTTCTTTTTTTGGTTTTGATACAAAACAATTTCCCATTTATAATTTAATATATATTAAATATAAATGTCATAAATTTTTGAGTTTACATATATTAATTTGAGGAGGTACATGAATATAATATGATATTTATATTTTATTATTATTTTTATTGACTATTGATTTTCTCTTGATTGAATTATCATTAACTTATTTATATATTAATTTAATATGTCAACAGATTTTTCAGTTGGTGAGAAATTCGATTTGTTAGAAAATACAATAGATTATTTTTGGACATAATTTGCAGGGTATTTACTGATCATGAGATTAGAATTGTGGTGCTGTTGATGTAACTTGGATTTGCATTTTTAGAAGGTGGATGTGTAAGATATAAAAATATGTAATCAATCATGATAAAAGTATATCTCAATACATGCATTGCTGTCATTTGTTGGTGGCTTGTAAAATGAATATTGATTTTTAAGGTTGGTTATGGAATTTGTATGGGATCTGGTAAATTTGCTGGTACAGACTTTTATGCTGGAAGTAATTTTGCTGGAACTAAACATTACTCTCATTGGGGTACAATTACTAGCTATATTCCAAAGTTTTGTAAACGTCTGTTGGGGCTGCTGCTAATAGCATTGTATCTGGAGGTGCAGTTGAAAGAATGTCAATTATTGGTTATTGTTTTTTGAGTGTAGCATTCTCTTCTTTTATCTATCCTATTTGTGCTCATTGGACTTGGGGAGGGGGTTGGCTTCAGGAATTGGGTTACATTGATTTGGCCGGTAGCGGTACAATTCACTTTATGTCTGCATTGGGAGCACTTGTGTTGACAGTGATGTTAGGAGCAAGGAAAAATAGATGGAATGAGAAATATGCGAATGAATTTAATCCAAGCAATACAACATATATTTGTTTATCTACTCTGTCACTTTATACTTGCTGGATATTCTTTAATGCTGGAAGTACAACTGCTTTGTCAAATACAATGGCATATGCAGCTGGAAGAGCTACAACAAATACAATTATCGCTGGAGCTTCCGGAGGATTAACATTGATGGTTTTACACTATTATAAAAATCGAAATGAGAAGAGCAAATTCAGTTTAGTGATGATTTGTAATGGAAATTTGGCAGGATTGGTTGCAGTTACAGGATCTTGCGATGGTATTGAACTATGGGCTGCTTTTGTTATTGGAATTTTGGGAGGATTAACTTATTGGGGATTTGGAATTTTAATTCATAAATTTAAAGTTGACGATCCTGTTGATGCATTCCCAATACATGGAGGGTGTGGTCTTATTGGAGCTCAATTCCCAGGATGGTTTAATACAGAAAAAGGAATTTTTTATGGACATGGTGCTAAATAATGGGGTATCCAACTGCTAGGCACTGTAGTTTGGCTAGGATGGTCAGTAGTATTACATGCAATTGTGATATTTGTATTAAAGATTTTGGGATTGCTAAATGTTTCTCATGAAGTAGAAGAAAAAGGATTAGATTACGCTCAATGCGGAGGAGGGGGTTTTGATTATCAGTTGTTACCTCCTGTCTTAAGTACAAGTGGCTATGAAAATGTTAAGTCTGCTATTAATTAAAAACAAGATAATGCACCTCAATATGGATAAGAAAATGATTAATAACAAGTTCTTTGAAAACATTCAAATATTGTTATTAATATCATCATCAATTATTTTTACCTTATTTTTTATAATCTATCTATAATTAATCAATTCTCACTTTCTTTTTGGAAATCTCAAATACATTTTAATTAAATAATCTCAAAATGAATTCTGACGTTGATCCTGTATATACAAGATTGTATCACAAATACACAATGAAGTACAGAAGAATCATAGATAAGTACTATCCTATTCTGAAATTAATAGATGGATAATGCATCCAGGTAAAAGATGGTCACTATGCGCTTTATTACTATTTTTCTATTTTAGCAGACTTGTTGAAACATAAAGTTATTTTGTTGTATCCTACATGCTTGGAATTCAAATAATTTAATCTTTGTTGAGGTACTTTACACCACTAGGACTACCGGATATTGAAGATGAAGATGAAGATGTCAATAGTAATGCTTTCAATTATCCCATTAAGTCTAACTTCCATAGCATACTGATGATAGACCTCTAATTAGATCTATGCCTGAAATTTAATTGTGGGAGTAAATCATCTTCGCTCTGTTCCTGTCAAATTTTGCAACATACTTTTAAATATTTGATCTTCCTGTTTATTGGCCTTTTTTATTTAGTTATTTCATATTAGTCATGATCATAACTTTTAAAAAATATCTAAAACACATGCAGAAATATGGATATAGTTGGGGAGATTTCTCAAAGAGATGATTGTAATTAATTTTTATAAACACATGCCAATATTTTTATTCATAAACACTAGACTTAATTCATTTTATTTTTTAGAAAATTTTCTAATCTATTTTTTAAGTCTTCATCGTTCTTAAAATGTTCCATATGATAACTTAATTTATGACATAGTTCCTTAATTGATAGAAATTCAATTCTATAATCAACTTAAGTTTTAATTCGAATCAATTACTAATTCTAAATTTGCAACTTAAGTTTATGATACTCCCTTCTCCTTAGTTCATCTTTTTCTTACAAAATTTCTTAATCATATATTTTTATCCAAAGAGCAAATAAGATTCTTGTAAGTTCTAAATTACTTTCATCTACATGTTTGAATGTGTCACTAATTAATTTATTCAATTCCAATTGCTGTACATAATTACTTTATTTAATGAAAGATGTAATGACTTTTGGAGAGAAGCTTGACTAGGTGCTATCCAAATCAGCAAATTAAATTATTTGTGACAAATCCTAAAATGTAATTGAAGTTTAATTAAGTCTCTCTGTTTCTAAGAAATCAATAGGTTCTTTAACAAAAACTGGATGTTTGAAAAGCTATTTCCAACTTATTCTTTTAATGGGATCATCATCCAACATAAGTGTTAATAAATCTTAAAAATTGAGATTCAATTAAGAAATGTAATCTTTAGAATATTGACCAGTCAATAGCCACAATAATAAAATTCCTAAAGAATAAATATCACATTTATTATCATAGGTATTATCTCCGTACATTTCGGGAGCTTAAAATTTTTGTGTGCCTATTCTTTTGGTTGGGTTTTCATTAGTATTTTTGCTAAGCCCAAAGTCACAAATTTTGAATTGATTATCAACCAACAAAATATTTTATGGCTTTAAATCTCTATGTAAAAAGCCTGATCCAAAACTATAGATCAAATATTGATATCCTTCAATAATTTATCGAATGATAGAGAGAACTTTACAATAAAATTGAGTATTTTTCTAAATTTTACTAAGTTTATTCTAGTAATATTCATATAGATCACTATCACATAATTGCATTACAATATAAGTACTATCATCCTCTTCAAATAAATCATAATATTCAATAATCTGGGGGTTGTACTGATTAGATTTATATAACCTTATTAGATCTTTTGTGATTTATTTTTCTCTCTATTGTTTTATTAATATGTTATAATTACCTCTCTGTATTTTTTATACTAATCTGTGATTTACTTTATAATAATTTTTCTATTATTATGTTATAAATCTTCAGCTATATAGATATGGTTCTATAATTTATCAATATATTTGTATTATTTATTTCTCCACACACATGTTACATGAAATTCATATAGTGACTATTAATTCTTTAACATTTATAAATTTTGTATAAAAAAATAATAGTATTTAGAAATATTCGAGATTTATTTATAAATAAATATCTTCTTTAATATTTTTATTAAAGTGCTTGTTCATCTAGATAAATATCTTAATAATTATGATATAATAATCATTTAGAAACCATCATTCTGACGAATTCTTCATAGTTGATATGTCCATCACCATCAATATCAGCTTCTCTGATCATTTCATCAACTTCATCGTCAGTCAATTTTTCTCCCAAATTTGTCATGACATGTCTTAATTCAGCAGCAGAAATGAGTCCATTTCCATCTCTGTCAAAGACTTTGAAAGCTTCAATCAATTCTTCTTCAGAATCTTATTCCTTCATCTTTCTAGCCATCAAAGATAAAAATTCAGGGAAATCGATTGTTCCATTACCGTCAGCATCAACTTCATTGATCATATCTTGAAGTTCAGCTTCAGTTGGATTTTATCCAAGAGATCTCATAACTGTTCCCAATTCTTTAGTTGTAATGGTACCATCACCATCCTTATCAAAGAGAGCGAAGGCTTCTTTGAATTCAGCAATTTATTCTTCTGTTAATTATTCAGCCATTTATTAGTTGATTTATTTAATTAATGATTTGATACTTTGATAATTGACTTATAAATCAAATTTGAATTTAACAAAGCATTTTTACAAAACACAAAAATCAATTAATTAATCATAAGAATTTATAAGAAAATTTATAAATGCAAATTTTATTGTGATACATATCTTATTTTAATTCTATTCCATAATATTTTCACTATATAAAATGATAAATTAAGAAGAAGATAAATTGTTTCTAATTAAATTAACTTATTTCTATAAATTCTGTGAAAATTTTTTTTTATCTAATCATACTTTTAAGCTCATTCTTGTATTGTTTAAGAAGAATTTATGGGAGTATTAATAAAATACAACTTTTAGCTCCTTTTAAAGAGTATAATTGATAAAAATTGATAAATGAATTAATCATTTTGACAGACTTTTTCAGTAATTCCTTAATAATACTAAAAGGATAATGGTTGTTGAGAATTTGCTTAATTTTTAAACACATTTTTTTGATTTAATTTAAATTAATTACTATTTATCTATTTACAGCAAACATTATCTTTTACATAAATAATACTTTCAGGCACTAAACGTAAACTGTAATTGAGAAGCTATAATGGCCTTTTCAAAGTTTATAAATTGTTTTAATTAGGAAATTCTCAGAAATTCGTATATATATATCAGTTATACATATAAGAAATGTTTTTCTTAAATATAAGAATATAACTCAATAAAATCAAGACTTTATTTATTAAAGTAGAATCCTAATATAATTATTAATCTTATCTTCTTTCTCAAAATTGATCTATATGTCGATTTAAATTTACTTTAAAGTGAGATGTCAAACTCAATTTAAACAATAAGTATATATTGTTGGTGATCAACAATCAATGGGAAGATGGAATCCATTATAAGGAATTAAACTTGATACTGATAGCGATATTTATCCATTGTGGATAGGGACTTTAATAGCGGATTTCGAACCAAGTAAGTGTAAATATTACCTAAGACTAACTGATTAAATTTAAAGCAGCTATTGTAGAATCTGACAAAATAATATGGGAATCAACCGAAAATAGAGTAGCCTAAGTATGGTACCAATCCTAAACAGTACTATTTACATTCGACTCAAGTCCTGTAAAAATGATAAAGATTAAATCCTTTTTCGACTACGATTAAGAATCTGACGTAGAAACTGCCTATTTTAGTATATATTGTTCTCTATAATACCAGGTGGAGCAAGAAGAAGATAATTAAAGACTGTTGTTAGCCCTTTGGAATTCGATTATATGAGCTCAGTATATATTAAAAGAATAATTTAGGATTCAGAATCTGACAACAGCAATATTTCATCGATATTTATTGAGAATATTGAAGCATAGAATAATCTCGATAATTTTGAATGTCTTACTTGTTCGAACTTTGAAAGTCTTATAAGTAATTTAAATGAATGATTATTTTTACTCAATGTTCATTTTTATTATGAAATGTAATCAAATTTCCATTTTATGCATTATTCAATATTATTCAATGAATGCATGAATGAATCAAAAATTCGCAATAAAATTATTTTACTATATGATCAAATTTTTTTTGATAAATAAAATAGAAATATTTAAATGAAGCCAAAAAGTAAGTGTTCTCAATTAATTGCTGATAATTTAATTTTTTAGAAAAAAATACATCCTTAAATATAAATAAATGATAATATATTAATGAGTCATGAAAGTAATTAATCAAGTAAATTTTTATCAACAACATTAATTTTACTATTTTACTTTCTATTTTATGCTGTTTAGGGTATTATTGATATTGTTTATTATCTTGGAAGTTACTTTAAATTCGTATAAGATTATGAGATTTTTAAGTCATTAATTTAATTGTAAGTTTCCCCAATAATTGGAGTATTTTTAGGTTCTTATAGTTCCATAATGTCAGAATTGATCTTTTGAAGCATTTGCTATTTCATAGTATAAGTTGTTGGTTTAAAACCTTCATTTTTAAGAGCTTCAAATTATTTTTTTGTCATTCTCTACCCATCACCCCAATTCGATATGTCTTTTTGTTTAACAATTTCTTAATTTTAATCCTAATAAATCAATTTAACTCCTTGATTAGGAGTGAAACCTTCAAATGGTTTCTAAATTGAAGTTTCAAAAATTTAAGGAGGATTTGTTTTAGCCTTTGAAATACGAAGCTATTCTTTTTTAACTTTTTCATTTTCTATAACTGCTTATTAAATTGGTTTCTGTGGCTAAAATACTGTGTCAACCTAAGTTATTTTGCTTAGTAAAATAGTTAAATTAATACTGAATTTCAGGTGCTCTTTAATTGTTTCTTACTTAAGTAAGGTCTTTAGCTAGCATAAAGGTTCCATCATAATCGTAGGCTAATTATAACCCTTTATGTTTAGGAAGTATATCTTTAACAATTTATGATCTTAATTATTCAGCCTAAATTGAATGTTGAGATACCTTTTTATTATGGTCAAGAATAGCTGCTTGTTGTTATTTTAATTTTTGTTACATTTCTTTTTACTATCTCAATCTATCTATAAATTTGAAAACCCAAAATACCTATTTCTTCTTCAAAAGGATCATCATCATCATTAAAGTTTAATCTTATTGGTACCTATTTTTGTATTAAATAAATTTACATTGCTTTATTGCCAATTAGAGGTCATGTAATTTTAATAAAATAATTCAGATTTAAATAAATATAAAATGGATAAAGTGATTTCAGAAAATTATGAGGATGATGGAGAGGTTTGTGAAAAAATAATTATATCGTCAAGACAACAGAGTCAGATCTATAATTAAAGTACTAAAATTTGAGATAATGTCAGCATTTTAATATGAAAATTAAGTTCCTCTCAGATCAATCAAAAGCTGCAGTCCCGAATATTCTGATTAATTTGATTGGGAAAATGAGAAGTGTAAAGTATCCTTTTTTGAATGCATGAGACTTGACAAGAGAGTATGATGTTTTTATTATTCATAGAAAACAACTTCAGTATTTCGCCAAACTTAAGAATCTGTATCATATAGTCTTAAAGGAGAAATGAATACATTAATCTATTATAAATTGTTTGATGATGATTGTAAATATATTGTTAAGGAAATTGCTGAGAATTTAATTGAATTAAATTGCAATATATATTTTGAGTAGAGGTAATTTGATGAAATTACTGAATTAACTCATACGAATCGACTTTTTGTTTTTAATTAAGAATCAATACCTTAAATTGCTTTGATTATTGTAGTTGGAGGAGATGGAACCGTACTTTATGCGTTGAGATAATTTTAAGGTTTTGAGCCTCCCCCAATTTTGGCTTTTTAGAAGGGAACTTTGGGTTTCATGTGTGTTTTTGACTTAAAAGATAAATATAATATCTTATCCTAATAAATTGGACATTTTAGAACTGCAGGATAATTTATAGTTGAAAGGAAACTAAGACTTAAAGGTAGTCTTAAATAAGCAGGGTAACAAAAATTTGAATACCATGTTCTTAATGAATTTGTAATATCTAGAGGAGCAAACCCTCATTGCTTATATATTGAGATATACATTAATAATGTGTTGTTAACTGTTGCATCTGGAGATGGAATAATTGTATCTACGCCCACAGGTTCAACAGCATATTTTTTATCTGCAGGAGGTCCAATTATCCAAAATGAGGTTTCATCAATATCCATTGCACCTATTTGTCCTTTGTCTTTATCATTTAGACCTATTGTATTGCCTACATGTCTATAGATAACAATTAAATTAGCGAATTAATGCAGAGCTAACGGATTTATTTGTGCTGATGGACAAGCAACAATAGAATTCAGTAAGGACATGATATTCGAAATATAATAATCAGAGAACTATGTTAGCAGTATAAGATTAGCTATATGTTAGTTATCTAAGACAAATCAGACATAGATTATAATGAATGGATAATAAACCTCAGAAAGAAATTAGGATGGAATAAAGTATTTACGGAGCAAAAGAAATAAAAATCAAATTTATGAAAAATATTAAATAGTATCAACATAACCAAACATGATTTAATACCCAATCTATGGATTTCCTGTTCTTTTTATCAGTCAACAATCCTTTCATTAAATCTTTTACATCTCCTGACAAATGATCTGGAAATTATAATGCAAACCCTTCTTAAATTTAAAAGGGTGTCTTACCTGTCGTTAATTCAAAAGTTAAGACACCTAATGACCACAAATCTATTGAATTATCATAAGATTATCCATAGACCATTTCAGGAGGTAAATAGTCAATTGTTCCACAGAGAGTGTCTCTTTCTTTTTTATCTTAAATTGACCAACCAAAATCACTAATTTTCAATACTCCATCACACCATAATATGTTTTCAGGTTTTAGATCTCTATGAATTATGGATTGCTTTTGCATTTATTATATTGCTAAGGCAACTTATTTTATCATATTTGATGCTGCAGGCTCTGAATATCTTTTATTGTTTTATCTCATCAATGATTAAAATAACGTTCCTCCATTTGCATATTCCATTACTAAACAATAATTTGTTGCAGTCTCAAAAAATTCGATTAACTGAATTATGTTAGGATGCTTTAACATTTATTAAATTGTCACTTCTCTTTACAACTAATGATTCATTTAATTCTTCTTTAATTGTTGTTTATCAATCATTTTTATAGCATAAACCTTCTTAGTTGAATTCAAAACACATTTATATACTTTACCAAATTTACCAGATCCAATTTATTCTTGCATTGTATAATATTCTAGTCTATTTTTAGGTACACTAGAACTAGCCTTTTTATTTTAACTGTTTTAATTTGGTATTTTTGAGCAACTAGTTTAAGTTTTGATTCTCTTTTATAATTGACTATTAGGATTAGGACTGCTTGGCTTTTTGATTGGTTTATTGTTGCAATTTTAAGTAATCTATTTAAGTATGTCTGTAAATTAATTTTAAGTTGTTGAGAAATATCGACTTGGACTCCCTGTAACATTAGCAGAATTTTATCGTTTCATTTTATTAATAAATTAAATCCCTCTATATAAAATAAATGAATATTTTAGAATTAATGTCCTTACATTGAAAAAATATCAATGCTTATTTAATGATTATTATTTTTGCTCTAATTTTATAAAGGGTTTTATTGTAAATTTAGAAAATTCAAATCAGGTTGAATTTAATAAGTAGGTTTGCTTTTAGAATAATATAAATTAAACATAATATTTTGAATGAATATATTTTTAATTCAAATAATCAAACTTAGAACAATTAATCCGAAAATTAATGATAATAAATTGGCTTGACTTGTTTCTTATGATCCTGACTCATTCAAAGTAATAGAAAATTCAGCAACATTATTCTTATGATCTTCCATCACGAGAGAGGAAGAACTTGCATAACTCCAAGTATAAGAAGATCCTTTGGCCAAAACTGCATCCTTTGAATCCCCAGTATTCAATTTTCTTTTAATTCTAGCTTTTACTGCTGTATCAGTAATGCTTGAAGAAACCAATGTAATATCCTTAATAGAATCTGTTGGAGGAGTATTTTCACTTGTAGAATATAAATCCAATAGCTCAGCAGCTCCATCTATGATATTAATAGCAAACATATCTACTCCATTCATCTAAACTTAATTAAATAATATACCCCTTTGCCAAATCCTATTCCTACCCAAGCCTTCTTATTTAAGCATACGCACATTTCAATTGTGTCATCTGTGTTGAATTTCCATTTTAATTCTAACTCTGTGCCTACTTTTATTGAAGCTGTCATATCACTATCTGTATAAGCTACAGTATTTTCTTATGTTATTCTTTTTTGAGATTAATATTGTCTTTTTTCTTCTTCTTAAGGTTTGTTGTTCCAAACATAAGGTTTATAACCATTCTCTTTTCTTTCAAAAGTGATTGTATTTTCATCAATGCATTCAACATTTGCAGTTTGTTAAATTGAGTTAACCTAAGGGTGGCTTCTTGGACCTTTAGATACCATGTCTTCACATGTACAATCATTCATTCTGCAAAATATGTAATCTCTCACTTCCTAGACCAGTATTTATGAATTCATACTTATTATCCTTCAAAGCCAATTACAACCAACTGTTCTGTTGATGTAATAAAATACTTCTCTATAGAATTATCTGAAGAGATGTTCAACGAAATTTATGCTGATGCATATAATACAATTAAGCTAATAATCAAGATATTCTTTATTATTTAAGTCATTAATTATAATAAACACAATTCATCGGTTAAAATGCTATATTTTATGGAATTTTGAGGTGAAACATAGAATGAATCCCATAAATAAAACAAAAAAAATTTGTACTAAAAATATTCTAACTTTCTATAAATTTTTAATAATTATTGGAAAAAAATGAATGATAATATATTATCTATGTTTTTATATTTAATATGAAATCAAATGTACTATTTTATTGATTTAATTTCTATATCTCAATAATATTCATTTGAATCTTAATCAATTAGCAAAATATAAAGTTTGATTATTAAATTAATCTCAGTCATAATTATTTCTAATTTTTTTAATGTAAATATTATTATAAATAAAAATTTATATTGTAATAAAACGATGGCAAATTACAAAAGATAGATTAAATTTCACCTTCATTAAGAAGTAAAGTTGTTTTAACATTAATAGTATATACAAATTGATAAAAACTCTAAATAGTTATGTAAATTACTAGAAATTGAATAAACTCTAATGCCTGAATTATATTGATGAGCAATCTCCAATTTCTAAAAACCTCATTATTAAGTAATCTCAACCGTTAACAAGACCATTCATGGGATCTCTCAGGGACAAAAAAAAGTTTCTCTGTATAATAACCTCAAAAACTATCAACAGTTGAAAATAAAATTAATAGTTCCTTTTAAGATACATAGATTGGACCTTGGGATGAAGAATAAAATTGATTGAAAATTATATAGGTTTATTAAGAATGAAGTTAAGTATTATTATTTAGTTTATATTTCGCATTACATAAATTTCTTTATTTTTTTAAAATTCATTTCTTTTAGATAATATTTTCAAAATATGGAAATTTACTCATAAATTATTTAGATACATTAGGAAGACAATCTTCTATTTTCCTATTTTCTATATTTGACAAGAGAATTTGACCAATTTTAATATATATTTTTTTTGAGTATGTTACAACCTAATATTTTAACTAATATTGATATTCTTTTAAAAATGTAGAATGTAATCATTATTTTCAGAATTATTATAAAAATATCTAAATATATTTGAATCATAGAATGTCTTAAATATTGTTATATCATAACAATGTTAATTATTAAATAATTTTTGAAATTATTATTTATAAAAATACTTAAATTAGAGATTCATAAACATTTGATTCATTGTAATTAGTTGATAATATTTGGTATATCTTTTTCTTTGTTTAATCTGAGAATTTACCCTCCAGGATTATCAATTAATTAAAGCCAATTCTCAATTGTTTAAATAAGATTCACTTAATAGAATTGAATATCATACTTATGATTGTTTTAATCTATTCAATACTCATAAGAACATTTGAATTATGATCATGAATGTACTTAAGTACATTATTCAAGAACATATTTGATACATCTCTTTATTAGTAGTATTAATGCAACATAGTAGCAACTAAGATGTGTTACTTTTTTGAGGATTATTATTTGTCATCCTATGATTCATCTGACTTTTGCTTTTCCTGTAACTTCCTTTCTCTAAGCTTATCAATTAGTTTTTAGGATACACTAGATAAAGGTTTATTATCATTTGGCTTATCCTTATCTTAAAAGATTCTGGTAATGTTTATGGATTGTGAGAATTGTACACAATCACTTTTAATCTATTGATTATTATCTTTTTTAATTTTAAGATCAGAATATGAAGGTTTATAAGGTAATTTAAATGGTTCTATATAATCTCCATTAAATTATAGAAATGATTCTAATTTATCTTTAAATAATTCTTTTCTAGAATTCAATTCTTATGAGTTTAATAATTGTTTATCTGGAAATTTAAGTAGGAGTTCATAATTTCCATTTTGTTTTTCAAACTTTTCCCAATTTATGATGTAACCTTAATTCCAAACAGTTAAAATTTCTTAGAGTTATCGAGTAGTTACTTATAATTATTAAGAATCATAACAACTTTTTACAATATTTGGCCAAAATAATGATTCTCTCTATAATTATATATATATATTTAAATACTCTTTATTTTAGGAATAATAATTAAGTGTCAATAGCTGATAAGATTGAAATTAAAGAATAATATTTGCTTGTTTATAAGTTACCAGTTTCATTAATTTATTGAAATCTTTCCCTAAGAGAAGGTTTATTAAGATATTTTGATGCTATTTTTGATAATGTAGGAATGGATTCAACAGAATTTGAGTTTTCATTTAAAAGTGTAGTGCATTGGCTATCTTCATAAAGTTTAACTTTCTTCTGTAGGACTGAATTAAGATCAGGAGCAACATTGATGTTTTTACTTTTCATGTTTAATAATAATAATTATTAATTGTTTTCCGCCTTGGAGTACAATATCGAATTATTAGCGCGATTAATTAATTATCATTGAGATAGTAATTTTAGAATATAATAATTATATATTTAAATGTTGAATGAATTACTATTGATATGTTTAGTTTTGATAAGAATAGAATGCCAATTAACTCAATTAAATTTGGGTACATCAGAGTCATTAATAAATGAATCAGAAAGTTGTGCATGTAATTTTTCAACTGATTTTTGTGATGAATTCTGTTGCTGTGATTCTTAATGTGATAGTAAGGCTATTATTGAATGGGATTTAGCAAGGAAATGCAGCGAAAAAAGTATATTTAATAATTAAAATAGTATATTCATCTGCATATCGAATTCCTGAATGTAATAGAGATTATCAAAAAAGTTCAAGTGATTTGTATTTAGGATTAAGAATCGCATATAATGTAAGATAACATATGGATATTGTCAGTTATTTAAAAACCTGGGTTGTGTTACAAATCAAAATACTTTGTCCACTTTGCAAAACAAAGAATTAGATTCAAAAGATTATACCGCTAAAATAGATGAATACAAATAAAAATATTAAAACACACCAACAATTACAGGTTTATCAACTAATAATTTCATTACTTCAACATTAATAAGTGGTTAGGAATTGATGTCAATGTATAGACCAAGAAATGAGAATGATAAAGGATGTCAATCAAGTCAAATTAAAAAATATAAGACTTATCCTGTCACTATATGTTCAAGATGTATGAAGATATTCAATTATTCAAGAATTAACTGATGATTAAGTAACACCATTACTGTTAACAGAATTCAAATACTCCAATTACTAATAATTAACAATCTGGGGATTAAGTGTAAAGATTAGTGCCACCTATTATGTATCATATAATGATGCCACAAAAAGATATCAATATGCTCCAATGACAACTCCTACTGATCCTGTAGGTAAAACTAATTTGGTTGTTGGTGTTATTTATTAATTTACTATGGCTGCAGTACCTATTGATGATACAAATACAACTGATAATCCAATTTCAATTGATGCCACAATCTTTATAATAGATGCAGTTTAAGTTAATGCTGATGCAGTCAATATTATACCTGCTATCAGTGGAATCATATATAAAACTGCAAAAGGAGAAGTTTATGATGTATCAAGTAAAGGTGGATATACAAGAGGAGCACCTTTAAGATTTAAAAAGTCATTAGATAATACTAATGAGGAATTACTATAATAATTGTTTATAGGAATAGAATCTTATGATGTATTATTTATATAATCTTAATTTAGGGATTGTGTATATCAAGTGCTACTAAAGATTTAAGCCATTCCTTTTAAATCAATTTTTTAGAAGATTAAAAGATTTCTTGTTCAAAATCAAGTATAAGTTTTACTACTTCTAATATTTACAAGAATATTGCAGACAATCTAAAATTTGTAGCTAGATATGGTGATTCAGGTTCAAATAATCTTAGTACTGATGAATGGTTATAAGTAACTCCGTGTTCATAAACTGAGAGTATTTATCAATTTTCTCTCACTTTTGGATACATTGTCTTTGGTGAAAAGGGAAAAGAAAGATTTAGAATTAATTCAGCTTCTATGATTTGTACTCAAGTATCAATTGATGCTGCTTAATATGAATATAGATTATACATTTAATTTGTTGAAATACCCAATACTTGGATTCACTTTAAAGGACCTTCACCTTAACTTATTGGAGGTCTACCTGATGATATATTAGCTCCCTTTATTAATTATGGGTGAATATTTATATAATAATAATAATTTATTAAATGGCAATTACATTCGTGTTAGTAATTATATTCTTAGTTGTTTTATTGTTTATGGCACCTAAATTTATCACTAAGATTATGAGTTAGCCTCCATAATAAGAGTAGTCAGATACTAAATAATCACAGATGCAAATTTTGAATTAATTATTTGATTAAAAAGCCAATTAAAATTCAAAGAGTAGAGGATGTATCACTTTAAGAGGGGAAATTTTTAATGAAGATTAACAATAATTTATGGCTTAATTAACATCAATATGTGATGTGATATGTTTGAGTAGAACAAATTAAAATAATCTACCTAGAGGTGTACATCATTTACCATTTTAAACAGATGTTGGATGTAGTGCTATAGTGAGATCACTCAAGCCTAAATTACATATTGATGATTAATAATATGAAAATTTACATAATTTTGTTAAAATAGTACCATGGTCAATGATAAATAATATTAACGTATTTAATTTGAAATGAAATATTCAAACAATCCATAATTTCAATCTATAGAAAAGGTTAGGAGAGGTACAATGATATTTTTAATCTACTTTAGAATCTCCATAAACTGATAGATTAAAAGTATTAACAGAGAAGTGGTCTAATCTAAAATAAGGATTAGATAAAGATAAGAATGATAAAAAAGAATTAGTAGAATAACATATACAAAGAATAGAATCACTTTTGAATTAAGAAAAACCTAAGGAAGAATAAAAGTTTAAGACATTAAAAGACCATTTGTTAAAATTACAAGATTAAGTTTATTAAGAAAAGAATGATAGAGAATTATTTGATGAATTAAAATAGAAAGATTTAAGGAATTTTGAAGAATAATTAACTTAGCAAGTTGAAGATGAAAAAAGTGTATATATTTGAATTTGTAATTAGAACAAAAGAAAATTAGAATTATAATTATTAAAATAAATAGAAGAAAGATTTAACAGTCTTAATTCAAATCTATAATCAAATAATGGAAATTGTAAAGATAAAACTAATAAATTGTTATAAAGCATTAATTTATAAATGAGTGAATTGAAATATTTATTAGAAGGAGAAACTCAAAATAGAGAAGATTCATAGAATAATTTAATTGAATAAATAGATAACTAAATTAATGCATTTTAAGATATGTTACATGTAGAAAGACAAATAAGGGATGAAACTCAAAAGAAAATGTTTAATATGATAGAAGATATACATTAAAGAATTCAAACTGAATTAAGAAGTGAAAAACAATAAAGAGAATCTATGGCAGATTAATTATTGAGATTACTAGAAGACACATGTGAGAGAATTGATGAATAGTTTAATAATTGAAATTTTAAATATATATTTATATTATCATTTTAATTCATTTTAATCTTTATTTATTATAAACCTAAAATAAAACAAAAGCAAAAGACAAAGACAAAGAAAAATGAGAAATCTTATCCTTTTTGAGTTTATTTTAAATATTAATTAAAATTTCATAGTAATAAAATAATATTAAACAAATAATATCTTAATTTTACTAAAGTTAATGGAGATGTTTATGAACAGGAATTTATGGACAATAAAATAGAAATTAATAAAAGATAATTATTTATTTTATATTATTAAATAAGTAATAAATCGAATTCAAACTAACTATCCTTATTTTATTAGTATCTTGATTTATCTTTAGAATGAATCATCAAATAAAAGTGTTGATTAGGGCAATAGATAGACAACCTTACGTAAATCATTCATTTATTCTTTTTCATATGCACTTATTTTCTATAATATACTAAATCCAAATATTAGTTATATAAAAATTCCACAGATATATATAATCTAAAGATAAATTTAACATTTTACTGTAAAATTGGATCTTATTTCATTTGTGTAATTATAAAGATTTTAATAGAGTTTTTGGACTAATTCTTTGATAACTTTTGCAGTAAATGTAGCTCCTTCCAATTCTCTTACGGGAACTTGTGCATTAGATCTGTTAGTAAAATTATTTAATTGTTTTTCAGAATTAATTGAGTTATACATAACATTTAGAGTTGATATCAATCCTTAACTTAATACTCCAGATAAAACCTAGGGACAAAGAGTAGTTGAAACATTTGAGTATACCTTAAAAAATATGAAAATAATTTACATCTGGCAAATAGTTGCATAAAGATGAAGAACTAACTTTATCAAATAATTCTAAGGATGAATCATCTAACAAATAATCATTTTGGTTTAGTTATAATAGTTATCCACTGAATTTTTAAATTGATTCTAGACTATTATTTATTTGAACTCTTAAATCATCTATATCTTGTGGAGTAAAAAATGGAATTAAAGCTGCTCTGTATAATACTTCTCTTTATGCATAAATGATAAGAACATCTACTCCAGTATTAGAAAGAGATTCATAGATTTATCCTGTATTTTTTGACTTGGATAAATAGGAATCAAGAGAACTGATTGTTATGTAGTATAACAATTATAGAACAATTATATTAATTAAAAGTATTCCCAATTACATAAAATTATAAATCTTAATTTATCTATTTTTTCGTAGACCTGATGTTCGATTTCCTTTTTTATTCATTAATCTAAAGAATTCTCCTTCTTATTTTTTTAAATTATCATCAAAACTTTAAACATCAAGTGCATATTGATATAAAGAGCTATAATTATTATTAATTTAAGTTTATAATTATTTCAATCGTTGAACTTCATGAGCAACAATTTCATTATCTTATTGATAAAGCAAACTTAACAATTTATTTTTTAATCTTCTTTATCTTATTAAGTAAATATAATAAATTATAGAGACTATTCCTAAGAATACATTAAATGGAGCTGATATCATTGTAAGTTAATCTGATTAATCGGATAATGAATTTGTTAATTAATCTAAGATATCTGAATTTAATTATGTAAAGATTGTATAGAGTGGAATATAATTCTTATATGAATAATAGAAATAAGGTCCGTCTGTCTATAATGTTTTAATTGTGTAAGCTAATTTGAAATCATACTAATAATTCAACAATGCCAATATTCCACTTCTAAATGTAATATTCTTATCACTACCTTTGTTAGAAGAAATATACCAAATACTATCAAAATATCTATCTTTTAGAAATGTCTAAAATTCTTTTCTTGAAATTACATCAAAGATATTTTCTTTTAAATCATCATATCCTTTGACTAAATTTGACCTTGGAAAAATTACTAATTCATTAAATACAGATTAATTTATAACTCTTGTTGCTACTGCTTAATTTAAGTTTACAATAGTGTAACGAGTATTTAAAAATGATTCTATTGGTTCATAAATATCATACTTAATACTCAATAAAGCTAAAAGGTCTTGATAATTTTATAGTTTTTGCACTTATTGGATAAGTATACTTAAATTGAGTACTCCAGCCAAAATATAAAGGAAATACATTAAATTAAAGATTTTAATATGAATAGGAAAGATCTTTGAAAAGATTAATTGATTTACAATTTAAAATTGTTTAAAGTAGGCAGATCTTCTAACTGCTGCTACTGATGATATTTATGATCCTTAATCATCAAATTATTTTAATACTTCTTCTGATTTAGATTTTTTTTTTTTTGAATTTACTGAATTCTCAATTTTATTTGAAATTTAACTTTAGCTATCTTTTACATTATCTATTTAAACATCTAAACATTCAGCTAGACTTGTAAATAATAATGGTCTTTAAGAATCCAAACGGGATGTTAATTGTTGTTATACTACTTAATTTAAATTACTTTATTCTGGTTATGAACAAATATCGAATGGAATATTAATAATCTCTTTTTCATCTATATCAATTTATTATTGAACTGATAATGTTATTGAATCATAAACTCCTTTCTTATCTGATTTTAAATCTGTAATTTCTACAATATAATATGTATTTTTTTGATTAATCTTTCTCACTAACACACTAATTACACCTTAAAATATTTCAATAGATTTTTAACTATATTTTGAATGAGTAGTAAGTGATTTATTTGAATTAGATGGAAATTGTAATTAATATAATCCTAAAGTTCTATCATGAAGGAAATCTTTTTCTGTTAAAGTAGGAATAAAATTAAAAATGGATTAATCAAAAAATATCATTTTTGAATTTATTGGATATTCTAATATTTTTTAATAGAGCAATTGAGATATTTCTCTAATCTTAAATTTACTATCCAATAAAAAATAATGGATTAGAATATTATTAGTTGTTAATCTAATAAATGCTGTAGATAATAATTGATTCATTTATAAATCGAATGATATATCCAAGCACATATCAATTGGACTGATAATTCCTACTTATATTTATATAAATGATTAACTAATATTTAAGTAATATTTATTTTATCCTGTTTAAAAAAAATCTTTCATAAGGTATTTATGTACTGAAACTAAAGAAGATGGTACCATTTCTTCAAATGAAGTATATTTATTAGATCCTATTTTAATTGCTCTATTAGTGCTATCTTGAACTAATTCAATATCTTCTTCTTCTTTTAAAATAAATGTAACATAAGAATATTGACTTGCAAATTCTTGATAAATATTATTTGCATTGACTATTTGCTCTTAATCATCAAGCTAAGTATTCATAGTATTGATTGTTTATGAATTTATCAAATCATTCAATATCTCTATTTGAAAAAATAGAAGCAAACTTTAGTTATTGTGAGCTAAAATTAATGATAAATAAGATACTGGGAACGATTTTGAAATTATTTACTAATCTTTTTTTTAAATCTTCAATTTATTTAATTATTTTAATTGATTGATTATTTATAAAATTAACTTCTAAATTAGGTTTCTTTGAGACTTCATCTAAAAATTCTATTTTTGCTTTTAAAATTAAATTAAATTATTCTTATAAGATTTTTTCAGAATCAACTTTTTGTTATAATGATCTTATAGCCTATTTTATAATTTAATGTTTTGCAGATCCTGTTGATTTGCTTTAAATTGAGAATTTAATAGATATTAATATTTATTATTAAAGTAATTTAAATAAAATTTTATGCGAAAGTGAAATTTATCCTTTTATTAATTACACAGATTTCTTAAATTATTATGTTCTTCTATTGAATTAATTGAGTATTTTTTAGGTAACATTTAAAGCTTCAAAGCATTTTCCATTTTAAATTAGTAGTTAAATATATTAAATATAAAATAATGATGATTATTATTAAGATTATTGGATTTATAATTTAAGTTTCTTTATTAAATCTTTAATTATGATACTCTCCAACTTTATCATAACCATTTCTTCATTATTACAATAGCACATTTTCTTTACACAAGTTTTCTAATGATGTGATAAAAAAATCTTATTTATCAATCTATATTCTGAATTTCTACTTTCAGTCATTTACTGATAATAATATAGCTTCTTTTAATTTTATAATAATTAACTTTAAATTTTCGTTGTATTATTTTAGTCTTCAGTTGTCTACAAAATGTTATCATTCACATAATACATATATATTGATTAATACAGTAAAATTGAAACTATAATCCATAAAAATTATAATTCTTAATCAATATATACATTAATTATTTGCTATATTGAAATACATATTATTAAACATTGCATTAATACATTTTATCTAACCAAGTATCTATCCAGTTTTATTGAAAAAATTAATAACATATATAATTCAAGTAAACCATTTAATATTAATATCACTAATACCATAATTGATTTATTTGTTATTGAACTAGTAAATAGACATAATACAATTATTTTTAGTAATTTACTTAAGTAAACTAGAAGTGTTGGTTAAATTATTTAGTTCAGTTATCTTGGAATATAAGTTAAGCTTTGATTCATAAATATCAATTAAAGCATTAAAATAACCATTATTTCAAATAGCATTATGATGGAACTAGCCAAACAAAATAAATTATCAATGTTATGATCAAATAATATAACGAAACAACCTTCTATTAACATTAAGCTGAGAAATTCAGACAATATTAAAAAACTAAATTTCCAGATGTAAATCAATAAAAATTGTAAAGTTGACCTTGATTCAAACTTATTTATTAATTATATGTATGTTTTTTTCTCTTTATGATCTGAAATATAAAGAAGATAAACCCAAAACAATATTATGAGTTAAAGAAGTACAAAAGTCCATATACTATATAAGAGCTCTAATTCTTCATGAATAAAGTATGTATAAGGTCGAATTACATATAGCAAGAATTTTTCAAATAAGCTTTCAATTTTAAAGTCTTATTTTTAGATTAGCAAACCACATTTTAGTACTAACAATTCATTAAAGAATTGAGCTAAAAAATATATAAGTTTTGAGGGTTATCTTGTAAATTCCTAAATTATCATTGTTCTGTATATAATTGTATTTAGAATCTTTATAAACTTGAGAGATTTCATTCTTGTTCTTTAAAATTAAATATTAAGTTCATATGTCATTCAGATTATATATTCATAAAATATCAATTAAATCTTTATTATGAAAAGAATAATTGAAGGATAATAAATCTTTTCTTATTAATATAAATTGTATCACCATTAATTAAAAAATAATAGAGATATATTGATTAATCTAAAATATGTAATAAGTCATTAAAATTCATTTTTAAGTACTTGAGCTACTTCTTTGGTGAAAAATTGTGGATAATTAAGAATGTATCTAATTTCGTTTCTACTTCTCTAAATATTTAGGCTTATAATTAAATTCTATAATTATAAATTTAAAGTATGAATTATTAAATTAAAACACAAATCATCTGATGACTGATTGAAATCAATTCAAGCAATATTTCAAATCAAAATAGATTATTGCTTTAATAATAAGTGATATAGTATAATATAAATTCAAACATTGCATAAGTTTTTTGTAAATTTAAATTATTTTCTAAACTCATAGTTTTCTTCAAAACACTTAATTTTAGATTAAAATATGATATTATATATTCACATCCTTTATAAATTAATAAGAAAAATTATTCTTTTAAAAATTGGTTTAAATGTCTTGATTATTTGAGAATTTTTAATTTCTAAATATATATTTTTGGATTACAGCATTTATATGATTTAAAATTTGGTTTATTTTCTAAAGAATTTGGTGGAAGATTATATTTAAATTTCTGGCAGCAAAAATATAATTTTATATAATAATGAAATCAGATATAAAACTTCCATATTTAGATCATCAACCTCTAAAACTAAATCCAAGCTACAAATTGAAGTTTTAAAACCCTTTAAGAATTTAATACATGAGATTTCTAGATAAAAGTGATTTGAAAGAGAGTGAAACATTCTATATGAAAAATTATGCCAAAGCATATAATATACCTATTCTTTGTACTTATAGAGGGTATTTATGATAATAAAATTAAGTCTTTTGCCAAAACAAAAAGAAGAGAAGAAGAAAATAATATACAAACGACCAAATTATAAATACTTTAAAGAAGAGGATTCTGATTTAGAAGGTGAGTAAGTATAAAAAATTTTATCAATGAAATAATCTCATAAATAATAGAAAGTGTTTGTTTCAGAATGATTTATTTATATTTTATATTTTTGTATAATGGAAAGTTTTATAGACTTGACTTAACTTGAGCCTATTCCATACAAAAATACAATTGCTGTATTGAATGAATACATGCTCTAGAACATTGACTTTTTGAACAAGTATTATGAACTACAATAATTACAGATTTGGACATTTCAATGAAAATAAATTATTTGAAATGGAAGTAGTTTTGGATGAAATAGAATCTAAAGTACTTTTATTGGAAAAGAAACTGGAATCAGTTCCTCCTGAATTCTTAAATGGTTTAGTGGTGCCTCCTCTTTAATAATAATTATAAGTGGCACAACCACAATCTGTATAACAATAAAGTATATTGATGTTGCAATAGTAGATGAGTAAAATAATGCAATTCCTCCTCCACCTCCTCCTCCTCCTCCTTAAAACTATTAATAAGCTGTACAAAATTAAGATGCATCTTATGCTGCTGTACCTCCACCATCTTAAATGGAATAATAATAAGTTTAATAAGAAGAGTAAGTTTAAGAAGAATAACCATAATAATAAGAAGAAGTAGAAGATGGTATGAATTCATAATGATAATAATTTAGAAAGATTAGATAAATATAAAAAACTATTAAGTTATGGAGTCAATGCATAATAGTTGAAAATGAAAATGTAAATGGAAGGTTTGGATCCAAATTTATTAGACAAGTATTTGACTTGATAATGTATCAAATTTAATATATATAAAATAAATATTATTTAGATGTAATATATAAATTAGTTAAAGGAATTAATTAGAAACTATTTCAAGAAGAAGTAGCCTATCATATTTATTGAAGAAAAAGTTGAGAAAATGCAGTTTGACAGAAATGTTGAAATCATCCAATATAGATTTTTAAAAAAGATTAACAAGGAAACTTAAACTATAGACAATAAAACAATTAGAAAAAGAAAACTGGCATTAATTAAGAAAATAATTAAGAAAAATAAACAAAACAAATGGTTAGAACCATCAACCATAGATTTTTGATATGAAAAACATAAAAATTTATGTAGATAATATAAAGCAGGCATTTTAGTTTGGTTATAAATATTTATTTATTTTATTTTATTAATTACAATAAAGGCTACGAATAAATTACTTAAACCATTCATTCTTATCATTGTCTTGATTCTTAAGTATCTATATATGAAACCAAGACAAAATTTTGATATAGACGAAGATCTGTATTTTGTTAACTTTTAACTTTAGACTTCCTACTCTTTCTTAAAAGAAAAGGAATCACTAGAGAAAATGCCATACATTTTTATGAATTATTCCTCTAAATATTATTGAATAAACATAATAAATAGGGATGAAAGAAATCATTAAGATTTAATTCACTTGCAATTGAATAGATTATAATAAGTGTTACATCATAAATTCAATACATTTGTAAAACAATATGAGGAATAAATTAAACATTCTTAAAATGATAAAGATCTATTTGTTAAAAAAAATAGGATTTTGAATACTTAAAAGATTTAAAGGAAGGGATGGATTATTTAATTGGAGTTATTAATTATTAAATGATAATGGAGATAAATAATTATTGATGACTTTTATAATATTATAATTTCTTTATCATTAATTAATAATATAATATAATGATCATCCATAACATCAAAAAAATTTGCTATATTATTGAATACATTCTCATTTTCAATGATACATGTTAGATAGATCTTTGAATATATGGATGGAATTTTATTAAGAAAATAATGGGTTGATATTATTGAAGAATTTAGAAAACTATTAATTAAAAATAAATTACATTAAATTGATTAAAAATATAAATATAAAATTAAAATATACTCATTTTTAATCATTTTCTTTAAATTTACATATATATATATTTATACTTCTTTTTTTTAAAACAATGAGGTCATTTAAATTGTTTTTCTTTAGTTTAAATATTACTAAGAGATTTCGACTAAAGCCTCTTTAAATTTTTATGTATCATCAGCAAATTGATCAGATCATTAAGGATCAGTAATTTAAAATTTAAATATCATCATTGTTTATTATATTTATTGAAATTCATATTGCCTTCCATAATAATTTAATTGGCTTCAAAATTAGATTATTTCCATAATCATTTGGTTCGTTCAAATTATTCCCATTCTAAATTAAAGTTTATATCTCCTTAAAGCATAAAATAGATATTTATAGGTCAAGAGATATCTTAATGATTTGTAAATTTAATGACTGAATAATTATATATCCACTTTCTATTCTTTTTTAATATATCATAATCAGTATTTCATTTAATCTATAATTCCAAATGCAGCCAAATAATAAAACACTTAGATATTTTGAAATATAAGTAATTGAAACTTCTTTTCTAAAAGGCTAAACATTTTGAAGTGAATTATTAATTCATAAGCTGCAAATATTATTTAAATTATAATTGTTATAAATAAATGAGGTATAAAATATATTCTATTTTTATAAATTATAATAGGTGTATCACACTGATAAATTGACATCTTCTTGAGAATATTTTTTTACTAAAGCTTGAGTTACAAATTTTTCATAAAGAATTATAAACACTCCTATAATTAAACTAAACCCAATTATAATCCATTCAAATCTTAATGATGTAATAACAACAATCTAAGATGATAATTTAAGAATTAAACCTCTAAATTTTAAAATCCTTATGGGTAAAAAATAACAAATATGTGTCCTAAAATGCCTAAAGTTACTGTCACTATATAAGCAATATTTTTATAAACTTATTGTCGAAATGGGGGCCCTTGAGTAAATGCAATAGCTACTGCAAGTATTTCAGAATTAGACAGAAGAATCAATATCTAATAGAATATGATGTAAGATTTACTGTATTGATTTAACCAGGAGCTCCTTCATCAGGTTCATCTAATTCAAACTCATCTTATGTTGTAAGATACTGAACTAGACCTACTTGCATAGCAATACTGGCTAGTGCTGCTACTGTCACTGATGAAATAATTGGAATTGAAATCAAATCACTAATTGGTCTATACCTGGCCAAAGTAGGAAAAGCATTAGTTAAATCCATAGTGAAAGCCAATGGAATTATTAACCAAAGATCTTAATACAAATATTAATATAAGGATAGATCTGTATTCCAAAAATAACATTATAAAACCATAGCTGATTAGATGCATGAATATAATGTCATAAATTTAAAACATTCAACACATGTAACCAAACAAGCTCTGCCTTCTCTAATAAGGGTAATTAAACTTGAAACATCAAAAATTGATGATGTAAATGGAGCAGCCAAAGAAGCATCTTCTGTTGATAATGCTAAACCTACATCTGCTTATCTTAATGCACATGTATCATTTGTACCATCTCCACAAAAAGCTATAAAGTTTTTTTTATCTTGTTTTAATAGTATCATTAAATCACCCTTATGATTTGGTTTCATTCTTGCATAAATGAAAATTTAACTAAACAAATTCAAGATTTCTTCTTTGTTAATTGCTTGATTATATTGATATTGTAATTATTCAAATACATCACCTGTAATACATAGTTAATAACTATTACTAGATATTAAAATATCTTCAGTTGTTAATGTCTTTGACTGAATATTATCAATACTATATGAACTACCTTCATTAATCACTTAATCTTATATGGACATTTCTTACCATACAATATCTTAATCCTTTATTTAACTAAGATAAATCTTTTAATTCTGTTCCAAAATAAAGCATTACTATCCAATATTTATAGCAGTTAAGGGATTGTCACCTGTAACCATTAGTGGTTTTAGATTAGATGCCTTTAATTCTTTTATGGTTCTAGATGTTTGTTCTTTCAGTTTATTCTCAAATATTAGAAAACCCAAAAATATTAATTGAGATTCAAATAATTCTCTTTTTCCACTTTATATTTCTGAATCCAAATTTTTAGGTATTTCTTTATAAGCCAATGCAATTACTCGATAACCCTTAGAAGTATATCTGTTGAGAATAGTCTTATAATTTTCTGGAACCTTTTAACATATTGTCTTAATCATTTCAGGTGAACCTTTACAATATAATTTATGATCACTAACAATTACTGACATTCTTTATAATTCAGCTTAGAATTCAAATCTTCTAATAATAGTTAATGATTTATCTTAGAAAGTTATTGAATTTTCAGTATACTTCCATCCAGTCTATAGAAACATATTTAAATCAATAGGATCACCTTGGACTTCATTATTTATCAAAGATAAAGAATGACAAGTTGCCATTCCTTCTATAGAGATTTCATCACATTCAATAATCTAAACTTTCTTATCAAATCCCATTCCTTTTATAGGTCTAAAACCTACAACATCTAAACCTAATTCTGTAAGTGTTCCAGTTTTATCAAATGCACAAATATTAACTTTAGCTGCTACATTCACTTTATCTGGTTTTATGCATTATATCTTCTATTTTTCCAATCTATTCATAGCCAAAGATACACCTGCAGCTAAAGCAGTTGGAAGGGCAGGTGGGATTATTATGGTTAATAATTCTAAAGCATTTATTATAGCTTATCCAATAGCTTCATCATTTGTAAAATCTAGATATAATGAAATTCCAGATTGTATAATTCCTAAGAAAGCTAAAACAAATAAATATTTCAAAGAATCTCTCTAAAAACTAAAGCTTTAATTCTCATTAAATAATATTGATCTAGCCAATCCTCCTTTTAATGTTTGAAATCCAGTTTAATATACCAATGCTTTCACTGGCATATTTGAATTAGAATAACTTCTTAAGCAGAAAGTTCCACAATATAACATTGAATTATCATTTTCTTTTTATCTAAATAGATTGTTAACTTTCAATAATGCTGTTTTATTTATTGGAACAGATTCTCCAGTAAGTATTGCTTCATTCATAACACAAGATCCATCAATCAAGATACAATCACATGATATCTTTGTATTTCCTTCCACAATTACTATATCTCCAGGAATTAAATCAATTGAACATTTATCAATTATTGTATCAAATTAACACACTTTAACAGTTGTACTAAATAATATCATATTTCTTATCTTAAATAAGTTTGCTCTAATTTCTCTTAATTACATAACCATCTAAAAAAATGTTAATACAAATATTAAAACTGCATATAAAACATAATCATCAACAGCCCATACAACTAGAGCAAATATCTAAATTATTATTATATATTTCAATTACTTAAAATATATTAAATGGTGTAAGAATTTCATCTAAAATTAATAATGGTATTGATTTTATTGGAACATTCATTATATTTTTACCATAAATTTCTGATCCTTCATTTAAATTCGTAGCTGTTGCTATTTAAGCACAAGTTAAATGAGAAAAAGAGTTCTTTAAATAATTTAATTAAAATGTCTAACAATCTATATAAAACTAACTAAGTCTAATAATAATATAATAAATATTATTACTCATAATCAAATAATCGTGCATTACTACTATTTGGTAATTTACATGTGTTTTATTATACTTCAACTAATTAATCTGTTGCAATTCTGATATCATTTTTTGTTTTATTTATAAGTAAATGTGTCATTTAAGTGAAATTACATTATGAATAACGTATGGCTAAACGAAATGATAGAAACCATCGATAAAATAAATAAACTAAACCTCCTGTTATCAACAAAAGGAATATAAAGAAAGCATTCTTCAACTTATTAATTCGATAATAGATTGCAATTAGTTTGTATTGATCATCAAATTCACCTAAAAACTCCATTGAAGATACTCTAATATGAAGCTATATATTACCCAAGATCGCTTGATGAAATGTCTAAACCATCTTTTACTCCTTATGTTGTTGTTTGATAATTTATGGAATCTGATATTTTAATCATAGTATATATATTGAACAATTTTAAAAAATTTATTTAATCAATTTAGTCTAATATCTGCCTAATATAAAGGTCTTAAAAATTACAAAACATCTAAATAAAATTTAAAAAGAGACAGGAATTATAATTAATTAAAACTGCATTCATTCCTATTATACAAATTCAATCAGATTAATCATTTTATTTATTGTATTTTAAGATAACTTTAATTTATTGAAGCAACATTTTTATGTTTTTATCTAAATTTTTTAAACTACATACAATCTAAATAACAAAGTTAATTTAATAATCAATTTACAATTTAAAACAATTTCAGTAATTTTTGAATCCCTAAAAAAGAAAGAAAAATGTAGAATTCTTTACATAACTTGATAAAATGTTATAAATTGAATATGTTCTAAGATAATTTATTGAAAATTATATTAAATATAATAATATAAGAGAAAAGTTTCTTTGTTATTCAATATACAATTTCATTTTGTATTGTTAATTAAATATTCTCGTTTAAATATATAAATTTTCATACATAATTAAATTTATTAATGGATAATTAGAACTCATAATCTACAACTATTTTATTTGAAGAAGCTATTGATTTCTTAGTTAAAATATTCAAAATCTTTAGATTTCCATAAATTAAAATCTGCTTCAATGGTGGCAAAGATGCAACAGTTGTTCTCTATTTAGCAAAAATGGCTTTAGAGAAATTATAAATATCTACATAAATTGAATGTTTATACTTTAAAGAACAGGAACCGTTCCCTGAGATTATAGAATTTATAGAATCATAAAAAAAGGTTTTGAACTTATAAGTTTTGGAATGCAATGAATGTGTTAAATAGAGTCTAGAAAAATAAGAATAATTATAGGCTGTTATTATGGGTACAAGAAGAAGTGATCCCCATGGAAAAAACCTTAATTTAATTTCAATAACAGATAATAATTATCCAAGTCTTTTACGCATAAATCCTATTTTAGAATGGAATTATTCTTAGATTTGGGAATTTATTAGAACTTATAATATACCATATTGTTCTCTATATGATTAAGGATATATGTGTTTAGGTGAGATTGGTAAAACTTAACCAAATAAAAATTATAAAAAAGGTATGAAACCTTGGGAATTTGATCCATAACATGAAAGATTAGATAGAGAATGAATAAAAATTTTAAATGAGATTAATAATTTATTGTATCTAAGATTAAGTATCATAATAATAATCTAGTTCATAAATAGTCATTATATGTTTTAAAAATAATTTCTTTTATTAAATAATAATATGGCTATTATTAATATTATTTGTTATATCATTTTCACTTATTCAACGTTCTCATATGTATTTACATATTCTAAACATTATGTCTATCTTCACCTTCTAAAGAGAGTGCTTCATTTGTTTTTCTCTCAATTGTAACATTTGCACTAGCAGAACAATACTATTATACTAATTTAAACAATGAATAATTAGATTGAGCAAATTTTAACAATTTTTAATTCTTTTTGAAATTGATATTTTAATCTTCTTAAATTTTTCTAAATATTGTTGTCAATTCTTCTGCATTTATTGGTAACATCTAAGCACTAAAGAATCTGGAAAGTTTCTTTAGTTTTTATGTAAATGGAAGTTCTATATATAATATGCAAATACTTTATGAATTAACAAATTTAAAGTCTACTTTACTAAATGTTTGTGTTCTTAAGGAACGTCGATATCCTTGTAATTTAACTATTTCTTTAAAATGCTATTGTTAAACCATATTATCCTCAAATACAGGAGAGCTAAAACTATTGAATATTAGTAATTGATCATCATCAAATAATAATAGTTTAAGGCAATCAATTTCATATAATTTTTTAAGAATATTAGTTAAATCTAAATCATTTTAAATTTTATTTTTGGCCAATTATGAGATTGTAATCATTTCCTCTTATGCAATCTAACATAAATTGAATCTTTTTAAACATAGAAACACTTTTGATAATTTATAGAGTATGTACCTCCAAATTGGATATTATATTGTAAAATTAATAATCTAATTAAATATATTTATATATATACTTTTTCTAATTTCTACTTTTTTATTAATACATTTTATTATGGATCCATATGAACTCCACTAGTTTGCATAATTTCATCAATATCTGAACGAGTATTTTTAGAGATATCAAATTTAAATACATTGTTCATTAAAGTTTCAAATGTCTTATGTTTATTATAGAATCCATAAAAGAATTAAAGGATCCTTAAGAATGTCACTATTAATGAAGTAGTTTCTGATATAGATGATAATAATATAACTAGCCAATCCTATTAATTAGAAAAATAATAAAAGCTTTCAGAACCAGCCCTTAGATAAAAGGAATTCATTAAAACTCCATGTTATAAAGTAATAGATTCCTGTCTTCTTTCTGATTTAAAAATGGCTGCAGACTTGAAAATATTCTCATTAGCCCCTTAAGTTGTTAATTTTGCAAATAAACTATTTTTTTCTTCATAATTAAAAATTAATACTTATATCTAAAGAGATAGGTGCCATAAATATATCTTCATTATTAGCCACTCCTGTTGTGAATCTCCAAAACATATTTTTTGGATATGTCTCAGCTGGAGCACTCATATTCAATGATTTCTTTATTCTGTCTCCTTTGATGAATAGATCTACATTGATTCTAAATATAAAAAATGTAAATACTACCCTTAACTAATAAATTCTTCTATTTCTTAAATTGATTTGCATTCAGGATTTGTATTTAAATTACAAATATTTATCTAAATTTTTACATATTGAAATATGGGATCATAAAATTATCCAGATATATTAAATTATCCTTCAAAACAGAGAAGTTATTCCTTTTAACCTTATGTCAAAGTAGCATTTTAAAAATTAAATTCATCTAAATAAGCTTTATCACATTTTTTCATTGTGAGTTTTGTCTAATTCCTTTTGTATCCAACAACTTGGCTAACTCTTCTTTAATCAATATAAAACACATCCAAATTTAGATATCTAAACTTACATATATATTTAATACTATGAAATGTATGAATAGTTTTAAAATGGTTCTTTTTAAATAGGAGATATTTCAACTGCAAATTTAACTATTGATTCATTTAAACTGTAATCTTCTTAAAAATCTGATTATGAGCCAGCATAAATTGTATTCTAATTTGATTCTTATCGATTATACAAACTGATTCCATACAATATGTAGGTCACAAATAGTAGGATTGAGAAAATTCCCCCTAAATTTCAGAATTACAAACCTATTAAAGTTTATGTCCTCTTTCTGTTGTGAACATTAAATTAGAAAGGTTTAACCAACACATCAGCTCTTCGGATTAATCTAAGTAAAATCATAAATTATTTATTTACTATACAGAATTTAGCTTTTTATTTTATTGAATAATACCTTATAATTTAATAAATGCTCATTCTAATTCATTCAGATTAGAAAATAAGACTTGAATTTAAGGTATACAATAATAATATTATGAATATCAAATATATAAGATAAAACTTAATTTTTTTTTAATTTTAGTTTTTCAACTATATTTTAGATAATCATTTAATAAATATGTAAGATTAATAAAGATTATTATAGTATATTTTAATTTCTTTATTATTTTAATAATAAATAATAATGAGTATTTTTATAAAATATTTTCAAAATAAATACTATTTTAAATATTCTCAGATATCCATAGATTAATTCCAAAAAAAATTGAGGAATAATGTGGATATATCATTATAGATTATAAATTTTTAAGTAGATTTATTGATCAATTATAGTAAAATAATGAATAGATATATATCAATGAAATAGGATAAGTATAAAAAGATTAAGATTTAATTAGTAAAATAGAAGAACTAAATTTGAAGTATAATTTTAAATCATCATAAAATCAATAATAAATTATATATACAAAAATTAATGTTAATTATCAATATACCTAATTTAGATACTATATTGAAAGTATAGTTAGAAGAAGATACTATTGTTTCAGAAGTATTAGAAATAATACAAGAAAAAATTAGTTCAGGAACCTTAAAAATAAAAAATAACATTAAGTATATAATAGATATATGAAACTTTAGTGTTAATAAAAATATTAAGTATTGGACTTGCTATTCATTAACTTAAAATAAAGTACTAAATCATTAAGAAATACTCAGAAATTAATAAACTGAAAAGCTTTATATCTATTTTGATTTTAAACAAAATTTTTCTGAAATTTATGTTTCAAACTAATAAGATTAATATTAAAACACTTTTAATTCTGAATTATCAACAGATAGACAGACTTTTAAATAATCAGAGTTGTAATATTAAAACAATAAAATAATAATTTTTCTAGATGGTATTTAGTAATTAATTGAAATGGATAGTGGAACTTAAGTGAAAGAATTATTTGAATATTTAGCAAAAGAAAAAAACATGTAATATATATTCTAAATGAATTTAGTGATTTATAAAAAATTAAAAATTGGTCTTGTTTCTCAGAAACATAAAATAGAAAATTGAAACTAGATGATAAAATTGGAAATAATCCAAATGAAGTTTTCTAAATAAAAACTGTTCAACTCTAGCATGCTCAATCAGCCAAATCTTTCGATTTCAAATTAGAAAATTTTTAAGATAACATTCTCAAGACTCAATATATTCAAGAGAGTCCTGAACTTCTGTTTTGCTCAAAAACTATTACTCTCACTATTGAAGTTCATGACAATATATATGTTAGAAAACTCACTGCAATGTTTCTTATAGATTGTTAAGTAGAGAAAATTGCAAAAGATGTTCTTAGATTTTGCTCTCTTACTATGTTATTTATTTTTAATATTTTAGAGATTAAGTTTCTGTTGACTTATTTATTAATGGTTAGTAATTCAACAATCCAGACAAGAGAGCTTTGACTCTTTAAGAAGCTAATTTAAATAGAGATGCAAAAATAGTTGCCAGAATTAGATGGATTAATTGAAACTTTAACTATATAAAGTCTTTTATATTTTAAATTTCTTCAATAAAGAAGATTTTAAAAATAGATTAACTTTCTTGATATATTTCTTTATCAAATTTGAATTCATAAATTTCTATTAAATGATGTGGATATTTATAAATATTTATTAATATTATTATGAGTCAAGGACATCTGATTATCATGATAAAGCCACTGAATTAGAATTTAAATATTGAAATGGATCCAGATACTTAGGTCAAAGAATTATTTGAATACATTTAAAATGAATTCAAGTATTTTACATTTCATTTTTAGAATTGCTTCTGATATACGAAACTGGACATGCTATTCTGAATAAAAACGCATTTATTTAGACCATTAGGGTTGTATAGGAAAAGTTTAAAATGAGAAATTAACAATCAATACATAACCAAATGAATAACTTCAATAGATTACTCCAGATAGCAATCTTATAAAAGCTTCATCTTAATTACAGTATACATAAAATTAATAAGCATTTCCTGCTTAAGTCCAATAATAATAAATATAGATTCAACCTCTTAATTAAAGTTCATAATAAATCTAAAATAAATTATAGTCTGGGAATTAACCTCAATAATAAAATTATAATTAAGCACAACTTCAAAATTCTAGTTAAGTTTAAAATCAATCATAAACGGTGAATATCAATTTTATAATTACTGATGGAAATATTAAAAGATAATTCCAAAGTATCTTTAATTCAAATGATAAACTTGAAAATTTGGCTGATGCTGTACTTGCCTATTTAGGAGTTACAAAGTATTCTTTTATATTATAATTAGAGAAATAGCCTCTTGTGATTTAATTATTTTTGATCAAAATTACAATCATCCTACAAAACGTGAGAAAACTTTACATCAGTTATCAATTAAATCTGAAGTTACTGTAGATGCCCGTTTAAGATGGATTGGAGGTAGCCAATATTGAAATACAAGTTAATTATATAATATAACATTTTTTCATAAATAACAAATATTTCTTTTAATTGAATATTTGATTTTCTATTTCTGTAGTTATTTTGGAAATATTAAAATTAATAATAAAAATGTAAAAGGAATCATTTAAAAAATAATATTCCAAAGAACAAAGACTTAAAGAGAGTGAGAATATACTTAAACATTATTAAGATAGAGTCCCTATCATAATTGAAAAAGACAAAAATTCAAGGTTACCTGATTTAGATGTTCAAAAGTCATAATATACACTAATTTAGATATCTCTTTCTTTCAAATTTTAGAGTATTTTAATTAAATACTTTAATTCGAAGTAAATTAAACCTAAACAAAGCTGAAGCAGTTTATTTATTTGTGAATAGTAAAGTTGCTTTGAGAGGAGGTACAATTAAAAGTTAATTAGATATGAGTATAAAAGAAGTTTATGATAAATATTAAGATGATGACAAATTCCTTTACATATAATATTGCGAATACAATACATTTGGGTTGTGAATTGAGATTTTGCATTTATAGAATATATATTGATTTTTTATTTCCTTATTACTTTTTTTATAATTGTATATGGTGAAATTACAATGAATATTGTAATTAATAGATGTAGATAATAAATAATAAAAATGAAAGAAATACTATAAAATATAATTTACAATTTTAGATAAAGATTAAAGATGAAGATTAATGATTTTTACTGTTTATATTAAATTGATTAATTAATGGACCCAAAACAGAGAAAAAAGTCTTAAGAAGAGATTTTATAAATTCCACAAAGGAAAGCTTAACGTATAGCTGGAATACAGTAATCATTGGGTGCAAATCATATTTATGAGACTTATGTTTAATGTCAAAAATAGCAACAGAGATCAGATATTGTTTTTATAGTTATGTGCTTGAAATAACATTTTGTTTTCAGTTTTTTGAATGATGCTTAATTGTATTAGAATATCTTAAATGAAGAAATCATTTAGCGAGTTAGATGTTTTATTGTAAATTATCAAAAGGACAATCTATTATTAAATAAGGAGATGGTGCCAATGCATTCTTTATATTAGGTAATATATTGTTATGAATTTTAGAAAAGGGTTTAATTTAAGTAACAATAAATGGAGAAGTTAAGAAATAATTGATATCAGGAAATGGTTTAGGTGAGTTAGCCTTATTATATGATGCACCAAGGTAATCAATTATTTTATTTAATAGGAGCGCCACATGTATTGCTTTAGAGGAATGTTATTTATGGGGAATCGATAGAACAACATTTCGTAAGACAGTTGAGCAGATTATGAAAAGTGAATATGAGAAAAATAGAAAATATTTAGAAAATGCCACATTTTTTAGTAATTAAAAAAATTAAAATAAAGATCATTTAACAAAAGAGTAAAAAGATGCTATCGGAGGTGTGTTAATTTCTTAGAAATTCTAGATTAATTAAATTATAGTAAATAAGGGTGATTAAGCAGATTCATTATTTATTATAGCTGAGGTAAAGGTTTTGATACAAATAAGGGCAAAGTCGGTGTGTATACTGATGATGGACTATTAATTAGAATGTTATCCAAGGGGGAATATTTTGGAGAGAATGCTTTATTGTAGGATAATTGTGTTAGGGGTTTAACAGTAAAAGCAATTGAAGAATCAAGACTTTTAGCTTTAGGGAGAGAAACATTAAGTAAAATATTGGGTGATGGAGTGTAAATGATAATTTATAAGAATTAATGTAAATGGATACTGTAATAATCAAAAATAAATTTAATTATTTAAATAGAATAATTTTTGGATTTATTAACAATAAGAAAATTGAAAAAAGGAGACATTATTATTAACAAAGGTTAATAACATGGAGAATTAATAATTATGATAGATGGAAAAGTTAGTGATGTAATGATATGAATAGATCAATAGTCTAATTAAAATACGATTTGTGAGAAGGGTAGAATCTTATTGGATAATACTGTAGAGTCAAATGGAAAGCATGATTAAGATTATTTTATGTAAGAAGATGGTATAATAGCAGCTATTGATTATAATATTGTTAAAAAATAATTTGGTGAATAAGTAAAATATAATATAAATAAATTAGTAATAAATATTAGAAATTTATACATAAGAAACTCTTAGCAAAGTAAATAAAGTTAAGGATTATAAATTAGAGGATTTATGTTACTTAAAAACTTTAGGATGTGGATAATTTGGAATGGTGTATTTATGTTAATTTAAGAATGAATTACAATTGTTTGCATTAAAAATAATGACAAGAGTTAATATCAAATAATTTGGAATAACAAAACATGTTACTAATGAGAGAAGAGTATAATCAATTTTGGATCATCCTTTTATTATGCATTTTTTTAGATCATTCAAAGATGATAATAATATTTATTTATTAAATGAATATATTCCTGGAATTGAATTATTTGATGCTATTAGAGATATAGGTTTATTAAATAAAAATGATTCCTAATTTTATATATCTTAAATGATATTATAAACAGAATATTTGCATACAGTTCATTAAGTAATGTACAGAGATTATAAACCAGAAAATCTTATTGTTGATGATACAGGTTATCTTAAATTAATTGACTTTGGAACAGCTAAATTAAATTAACCAGGATAAAAAACATTTACTATAATAGGTACTCCACATTATATGGCACCAGAAGTTATAAGTGGAAAAGGATATAATTAAATGGTTGATTTATGGAGTGTAGGAGTTATGTTATATGAATTCATTTGTGGAGGATTGCCTTTTGGAGAAGATGCAGAAGATCCTTTTGAAATTTATAAGGAAATCACTAAAAAACCTTTGTCTTATCCATCATATATGTCTGATAAGACTGCCAAGAGTTTCATTGAATAATTACTTAGTCGCATACCAGAACTTCGTTTAGGAGGATCATATTAGACTTTAAAGTAACATACATGGTTTAAGGATTTTCAATGGGATATTTTGATTGCTAAAAAACTCAAACCAGTTTATAAACCATCAGCTAATAAAATTGTAACTAATGGATAGGCTTAAGTGATGAAAAAGATACCATTATTAGAATAGATACTTAAAGATGCTTAATATTTCAAAAAATCATAACCTAATCCCAAAGATAGTGAATGGGATTATGAATTTTGAATAGCTCATATTATCAATTTGTTTTTAAGATGAATTCCAGATGGTGATATCCTATTTGGCCTAACTCCATATACATCATCATCATCTACATATTTCCTTCTTTAAATTCTTTTTATCAATTTATTTTCTTGATATGTTATACTTTTGGCAACACTTTTCTTTGATTTAATAAATTGAAAATCATTTTCAGCTTAAGAAACACTAATATTTTATTTTTTTGCAAATTCCAAAATTAGATCATATTCTCCCTTTTATAACCCATATACATTAGTATAAATTTGATTTGATTATTTGATGTTTTCGATATATTTATTTAATGATTATGATCTATCTAACATTAATTTTTCATTCACTTTTTAATGTTCTGAATTAACTCTTCTTTTATTGTTTACCTTATCTAATATTATATTATTTTATTTATTACTTTTAGTTTATTCAATTTCTTTTAATGACTCTTTATCAAGAGGATACTCTTTAAATTCAGGACATTGAGGTCTTTCTGCTCTCATCCTTCTCATTGCTTATACTGAATGCCATTTAGCTGATGCCAATGCTGATGCTGATAAACCACTATACAAAATATTAGAAACTGCATATTTATGATTGTGAATTTCTTATATACCCTCACAAATAAACTAATCTTGATATTATTTAAGAAAATGTTATTTCATTCTTGATAAATTAGGTATTATTTCAGGTTTTTTTGGATTTAAGAAGCAGTCATCTAAATACATCTAATGATTCTCTTATTCTAAAACCTTACCAAACTATTCAGATAAAGAGAAATTCATTATTTTACGAATATATTCAGATAAATCTTCTTAAAGTTCTTTAGACTCCTTTATTTTAACTCTCCTAGCATTTTTATATGGAACCTTTTTATATCTATTATTGTTCTCACAAGTACTAGCAGATTAATTTCTTTACAATTCTTCTTTCATTAACGATTTATAAACAGAGTTTAATAATACAATTTATTTGATAATAATTCATTTCTTAATATATAATATGAAATCAATTCAATATAAAACTATCATTCATATATATACATTAATAACTAAAATATTGATGATTTATGTAAATATATTCAAATTTAGTTGTGTTATAATTCAATACGAAATGTTACATCCCTTGGAGATATTTGAATCACATTATTTTAATTGTCCTAGCTATAATTAAGAAAGGTATCACAGAATAGCTTTGGCGATTATACAATCTAGTTGTTTTGGTTAGGCAAATTCTCAATTTTATCTTTCTATTAGATTATATAATGAATTTTACAAATGTTTGAAATTTAATAAAAGAAGTTAATTCTGATATAATAATCTATTACTATCTAGGATATTTGAAATTCTCAATTATATAACAATCTTATGATTTACTCTATGTAAAATCTAATAACTTCTATTTAAAAACATTAAAACTTTCTTCAAAAAAAGCTAGCTTATTTTTCTTCCTATTACTAAAAAAGAGATGATCATAATGAATTGTGAATTTTTAAACCATTTATGTCTTAATCATTGTTTAGATATTTTTTAATGGTCTAAAAAAGATTGGTATGATAATTATTGAGAGCAGCAATAGAATAACAGCAACAATAATGCAGTAATATAGAAATTATGTTATTTCAGACATTATTTCATCCTGCAATTCTTAAGCTCTGGTTACATCAGTTGTAATATGAGCCAAACTCTAAAATCTATTATGTTAATAAATATACTTTACACAAGCAAATAAAATTGACTTGATATGTTTATCACAATTATTATTAGATCTTATTTAAAGAATGTATTATATCTACAAAATTGTTTTATATCTTTATCACTACATTCAATAGTGCCTTAACCTTATTAATTAGCCTCATTCACAATTTATTTCCAATCATTTTCATCAAATCCAGTTGTACCTATTTCATATATATATTTCTTTTCTTTTGATAAATCTATTTCTTATTCTATCATTAAATTTGACAATAACATTCTACCCTTAAGATCAACTAAAATGATATTCAAATCTTTATATAACAAAAGCTCTTTGTAATGTTCCAAAGTTTGATCAATCCCAAATATCCCACGAAAATGTTATTCTTGATCAGTTATCCCTTTTGTTAAAGTGAATTCATATTTTTAAGTTTCAAAATCTTGATATATACTCGAAATAACAATAACATCATTCTATTTTGTTTGTTAAATACTCTAAATTTATTCTAGATACCATGGTCTTTATGATGGTAAGTAAATGTCAGGTACAATCTTTGGCGGAAGAATAGCAAAATATTCTTCATCTGAAATGAAAGTGAAAAACATCGTTTTTTGAAATTACGATATTGAAATAGGTAAAAATATCGAATTCAATAAGGCTTGATATCCTATTATATGATTTATTAATGATTCATCTGATGTTATTATATTGGTCTTTGTGAATTTATAACAAAATAAAGGCATCTTTGAAAAAAAATTAAAGCTTTCTTCAACCTATTTGCAATCAAGCAATTTATTTATTGAAGTTTGTTGGTCTTTCAATATCATTTAATTCAATCTATTGAAGCTTTCAAGAAATTTAAATCCTTATTCTAAAGGGTAATGTGCTTAATATTTAATAAACTGAGATTAAATATTTATCTGTTTTAAATTTGTTTTTATTTCTATTTCTTTAGTTATCCTTTAAATGATATCATCCATCATATTTTTGTTAATCATTTGGGAAGTAATTATGATAAGAAATACTAAAACAAAAATGGAAGACTGTAGTATAAATGTTTGAGTTTACATCTTCATGTTTCTTATGCATTTGAAATGATGGATAAAACTATTAAATCTTGTGAGTTTTTACATTAATTTGTTTAATTATCATTTTATAAGAATACTTTATAAATTTATTTAGGATGTTAATTATTTAAATATCTTTTATAAATATAATATAATATGTCTAAATTATAGTTATCCTGTAAAATTATTTTGATTCATCAAGATATATTAAATAAATTAGCAAATACGAAACTTATACTAAAAATCAAAATCATAAGAATCTCTATGTAATTATTGGCTCATTATTTAACTATATATTTTCATCAATTTCACTTTATATTGTCTAATTACTAGATATGTAAGAAAATAATGATTAACGTAATTCTTGGTATTTTGGAGTCTATGATACATATACTATTTCATTTTGATCTTGAGATTCTACTAATAAATTTCTATTTTCATTCACATTTACAAACTTAATTTAATTTCTTATTTGATAAAATTCAGATGTTAACTAACTTTTAGGATATTTAAAGTTTTCTATTAAATGACAATTTTGACATTTCTTACTATTTATATCATTAATTTTTATTTTTAAATTCTTTAAAGCTAAGCCAAAATAAGAACTCTTTTTTTCAAATTAAGTATACATTTTCATCAATGAATTCTAACTTTAAAATTTGCTGTATAATTAATTCAGAAACACTTATCTAAGCTCTTTAATAGGGCGAAAAAATAAATATAATCCAATCCAACTAAATACCAAGAAGATAACAGAAGCCATTACTAAACAAATTAAATATGTCTCAAAAGAATGTATAATATCATTCTTTCTTTAGTTTGCCTCCATTATATTGTATTGTTATATTGTTACATTTTGAAATCTATTAATGATATATATTAATACATAACTAAATAAAAGTCTGGATTAAGATTTAAAACATGCAAAATGATATCTTGATTGTAAATCGAATTATATCTACATAAATGTTGAATATGAAAGGAGCAATTATTTAAGTAGGATTAATTCTTAGCTTGAGATTTAATTTGATCCCAATCTAATTCATTAAAACCTGTTAGGTTGTATTGATAGATATATAATAAACTTTCATTTAATTTTAAATTAAATGATTTAATAAAATTAGTATGAATAATCTAGCCTAGATTGTTCAATAGAAAATAGCTCAATGATTTAAAATTTAACTAGTTTTCAATTTCCCTAAAACTTAAATCATAACCCATAACTCCATCAATTCTTTATTCTTCCTAACAACCTAAATAACTTGACAACAAAGAGTAGGTAATTGTTAATCCGTATTCATTAGTTCCAAATGATTGATAGATGTTTGAAACTTAAGCATTTTCACTAGAACTCTTTGACTTTTCCATATGATTCTTATACCATGGTCTATCATGTGGATTGAAAGATGGAATATTAAAGAATGGAGGACAAGATGCAAAAAACTAACTTGAATCTGTACTACTTATATAAAAATCATTAATTGGAGACCATGTTAATGGTATAAGTAACTAATTTAGTAAATTGATAAAAAGATTAAATTGATGTTTTTCTTATTCTTTTTGCATTTATTAATTACTTACACAAAATTCAGGTAATTAAAATAATGTATTCAAATGTTCTTATTGGAATCCTAAAAAAGTGGGACATTCTAATGGTTATTAGTTGATAATAATTGATGTTTTCAGATCTTAATAGATTATACCAAAAGTTTTCATCATTTCAAATCGCTTAACAATTGGCCAATTTACCTGATATTTAAGCATTTCTGTTTATAATTCATATTCCTAAAAGTTGTATTTAAATATTAATTTATCTGAAATCTCTGAGATAAGAGCATCCATCATTACTCGATTAACAGTAAGAACAATCAAGCACAAAGAGATGACAATGCAAACAATAAGTAATTGTAACAATGATGTTGCTCTCCTTAATGACAAACATCTGATACAACTAAGTAACTTATATATCATTTTTAATATAGATTAATTTATATATTTATTTTCAATTACATGCTTCTATTTTTGTTGATTCTATAGTTTCCTAAATATTCTTATTTCAAAACATCTCAGTAAATACTAATTGAAAATAATAAAAGATTATTAGGACCATAAGAAAAGAAATAATGAATTATCTTAATGAATAATTCAAATAATCATATTATTTATATAATTTGTTTTAGAAAGTAGTTTTCTTTAATAATAATTTATTTTTATACAATATTAAAACTGAAACAATTCAATATATAATCTTTATTTTAGTTGATAAAATATATTTGACTAATAATCAATAGAAATAAATCATGTGTTCCACAATTTCTGATCATTTCCCATAAAGTTAAGTGATTCTAATTATTTTTATAATTATAATATTATTAAATCACAATTCTAAAATTAAATAATTAATAAATAATTAATAAAGAAGTTTAAAATTTCTATTAATATCACTCTTTCTGTTTATTATTTGCTTCATTCATCTATTCAGATTCCCAAAGTACAAGATTATCACGTAATAATTAAATTATTATAGTCACATCTTTATAATTATCTTATGATATTTGATCTAATTCTGAAAGTGCCCCATCAAATGCCTCTAATACTTGAAAACATTACTTTTTAAGCTATTTTACAAGCACTAACTTTATCATTCAAAATTTCATATGTATATACTGCTTAACTTAGTGCTAATCCTAACCATTTTGGATCAATTTTTGAGATCCCCCCTTCAAATATATCTTAAATTTTCTACTAAATATTTGATTATTTATTAAACATAAATTATTTTTTATCATTTGTTGTTATTTCTGAAAGATATCTTATAGTATCACTTTTCATTTTACAAAACATTATCTTATCCTCATAATTATATTACTTCTTTATTAAATTATAATCTATCACACTAATTAAATCTTCACAATAAGAAATTAGTTCATTCTCTATTTTTTATTTATAATTTGAAATTATACTACTTTTGCTTAAGTGATCATTAGGTTANATTAACAGTAAGAACAATCAAGCACAAAGAGATGACAATGCAAACAATAAGTAATTGTAACAATGATGTTGCTCTCCTTAATGACAAACATCTGATACAACTAAGTAACTTATATATCATTTTTAATATAGATTAATTTATATATTTATTTTCAATTACATGCTTCTATTTTTGTTGATTCTATAGTTTCCTAAATATTCTTATTTCAAAACATCTCAGTAAATACTAATTGAAAATAATAAAAGATTATTAGGACCATAAGAAAAGAAATAATGAATTATCTTAATGAATAATTCAAATAATCATATTATTTATATAATTTGTTTTAGAAAGTAGTTTTCTTTAATAATAATTTATTTTTATACAATATTAAAACTGAAACAATTCAATATATAATCTTTATTTTAGTTGATAAAATATATTTGACTAATAATCAATAGAAATAAATCATGTGTTCCACAATTTCTGATCATTTCCCATAAAGTTAAGTGATTCTAATTATTTTTATAATTATAATATTATTAAATCACAATTCTAAAATTAAATAATTAATAAATAATTAATAAAGAAGTTTAAAATTTCTATTAATATCACTCTTTCTGTTTATTATTTGCTTCATTCATCTATTCAGATTCCCAAAGTACAAGATTATCACGTAATAATTAAATTATTATAGTCACATCTTTATAATTATCTTATGATATTTGATCTAATTCTGAAAGTGCCCCATCAAATGCCTCTAATACTTGAAAACATTACTTTTTAAGCTATTTTACAAGCACTAACTTTATCATTCAAAATTTCATATGTATATACTGCTTAACTTAGTGCTAATCCTAACCATTTTGGATCAATTTTTGAGATCCCCCCTTCAAATATATCTTAAATTTTCTACTAAATATTTGATTATTTATTAAACATAAATTATTTTTTATCATTTGTTGTTATTTCTGAAAGATATCTTATAGTATCACTTTTCATTTTACAAAACATTATCTTATCCTCATAATTATATTACTTCTTTATTAAATTATAATCTATCACACTAATTAAATCTTCACAATAAGAAATTAGTTCATTCTCTATTTTTTATTTATAATTTGAAATTATACTACTTTTGCTTAAGTGATCATTAGGTTACTTAATTTTATTTAAATTCTTTTTACATCTTATAATTATATAGTATATTAATTATTTAAGATTCGCCAAGCAGATCTTAACATTCCTATACAATTTTTAAAAGATATTGAAAGCAAGTTTCTTTCTTCTGTTGATAGTTCTTATTCCATAAAAGCTACTTGTCTTATATAATTAAGCATATCATCATATCTTTCTGCTTATTCACAAATTTTAGCCATATACACTAATTCTTATCTAGAGAGCATAATTTCTTATAATCAAATAATTGTAATTTATTTATTATAAATTTAAAAGACATTTCATATCAAGACTAATGCTCTCTAGATAAGAATTAGTGTATATGGCTAAAATTTGTGAATAAGCAGAAAGATATGATGATATGCTTAATTATATAAGACAAGTAGCTTTTATGGAATAAGAACTATCAACAGAAGAAAGAAACTTGTTTACATTCGCTTATTATTATTGTGTCGGTTCTCGAAAAACATAAATGAGGTAGCTTTGTCATTTAGAAAATAAGGTGACATAGAAAGTAAGTATTATTCGATATTTTAAGGTAAACACAAATCCATAGTTTTCAGCAATAATAGTATTAAAGAAAAGGATTTTAAATGAGTTAAATGACTTCTGTAATGAATTTTTGATATTAATTGAAAATCAACTGTTGAAATTACACTAATAAACTGAATTATATTTCCAATATTAATTCTTTAAATGTAGATACTTAAAGCATAAGGTGGATTATTTGTAAGATGAATAGGAGAGAGATATAGCAATTAATATAGCATTGTTATAATTTGAATAAATTTATGAATAAGTAATAGCATAATTGTTACCAACAAATGTGAGAAGACTTTAAATGGTTTTGGACTTCAGTGTTTTTTTGCATGAAATTTTGGAGGATAATAAAAAGGCATGTGAGATATGTGATGAAGTATATAATATGATATAATAAAGGCTCTTATTTAAGCAAGAAAAGAGATTGATAAAGAACTGAATTAATAAGAAAAAGTATAAATAGAATAAGTATTAAATCTAATAGAACAAACTCGAAATCTTGTAATGGAAGATATGAAAGAATGATTATAATATTGAAATTAAAACGGCTTATAGTATTTTTTAATTTTGAAAAGATTAGAGAGATTTAGATTTTAAATTGAAGAACGACTTAATGTATGTAAATTGAATAAATAAGAAATTAATTTGATTCAAATAATAATAAATGTTATCAAAAATATTATTACTATTCTTAGTGATATTGATTAGTTGTGATACTGTATTAGATAAAGCATGTACTTGTAGTCAAATTCAGAACGAAAACGATTGTAAAAGAATACAATGCAAATATGAGAATGGTTAATGCAAAGAAAGAGAACAAGAAACGTATTGTAAATTACCAAGCATCATAGCTTAATGTCCTGTTCTAGGATGTGCTTATTATGAAAACATATGTTAAGCATTTGCTGGATGTACTGCTTATTTGGGTAAAACATTTGATTCTTGTAATAAAATATCAAATTTGTGTACATCAGATGGTGAAAGATGTGTTCCTTTATCTACTTGTGATACATATATCACTAAAACATCATGTTATATTGATAATACTAATTAATATTGTTACTATGATGAAAGTGATACAGCAAATCCTAAATGTAAAATAGTGACTGCTTGTAAAAATTTACCTATTACTTTAAAAACAAATCAAGAATGCAGATCTAGTCTTGCAACATGTACTGTCAATGAAACCAATTCAGGTTGTATTGATTCAGGTAAGAATTGTAGTGATCAAAAATTGAAATCATAATGTGTAACTAATTTAGATTAAAGTATAGAATGCAAATGGAATGAAACTACAAGTACTTGTTATGATTATATATGTACAAATGGAAATGGTAAAACAGTTGATGATTGTTAGAAATATAAGAATACTTGTGTATTAGCAGAAAAATAAGATGGTATATTAAGTACATGTAAAGATATTGATGAATGTATCAATTATAAGTTTTAAGATACATGTAAAATAGGAATATAAGGTAATTGTCTTTGGTTAATCACTTAAATTGATGGTAAAGATGTTGGAAAATGTGTTGATTACAATTGTTCTTAAGCATCTGATGATTATACTAATGATCAATTATGTTACAAATTCTTAGCTAATTGTACAATTGATGATGATAATCTTGGATGTAAAATAAGAGAAGCAGAATGTTCTTCTTATCTATAAGTTACTTAATGTGTATCAACTATTAATGAATAATAATGTTATTGGAATAAATCTAAATAATTATGTGTTAATTATGATTGTGATAATGCATAAGTTGATACTTATACAGCTGAAAATTGTAATAAATTTCTAAGTATTTGTACTGCTAATATTGGATAAACATAATGTATTAAAAAGTAATGCACAGAAGCATTAACATCATAATTATGTACTAAATTAGGATCATGTATATGGTAAGACAATAAATGTGTCTCGTATACTTGTGCTAATGCTCCAACATCTTTGACTACTGATGATGCATGCAATAAATATTTAGATAAATGTTATACAACTGGAGCAGGTTGTTCAAGTAATGGTACATGTACTGATATGAAAACAGAACTTGCTTGTAAAACTGATTCATTGAAACAAAAATGCATATGGTTAAGTTCTGCATGTAAAGTTAAGACTTGTTCTGATATTGTATATATTAGTCATTCTGAATGTAATAATGAATTAGATACATGTACATCTGATGGAACAAAATGTATTACTTAAGCAGCCAAATGTAGTGATTATAAACTTTCATTAAGTTGTGTTATTGCATAAGATGGACCTTGTTTATGGATTGATAGTTAATGCTTCCTATTTTTGGATTGTTCTAGTTTATCTGGTACAACTCATGAATTTTGTAATTTAGCAAATAACAAATGTACAACTGATGGTACAAAATGTGTTCCAATAACAAGTTGTGCAAAAACTCTTTAAACAGGATGTTATGTTGGTACAGATGGAGATTGTGTAAAAAATCTTGATAAAAATAATAATACAGTATGTGAAAAGTTTACAAAATGTACATAAATGAATTTTACTACTCATTTTTAATGTTTTCGTGAAAAAAAGACATGTACAGTAAATGCAGATAAAAAAACATGTATGGATTTATCAAATTCATGTTCTACATATACTATATAAGATAATTGTTAAATTACAACAGACAATAAATATTGTTAATGGGATACTACTACATTAAAATGTAGAGATTAAAAATGTACAGATATAATAAAAACTACTCATGGAGATTGTTAATTAGCAAATAATAAATGTACAACTGATACTAGTAAATGTATTGATATTTAAAAATGTGATGGTTATACAATAAGTGATTTATGTAAATATGGATCAGATGGTATCTGTATTTATGATACAGTAAATAGTAAATGTAGATTAAAAATATGTAGTGATATCACAGATGTTAAATAATGTACAACTTTAGCCAACTGTTTAGCAGATACATCTAATTGTTTTGCTAAGTCTACATGTGCATAATATAAGACTGAAAATAGTTGTGGATTTGATGGAACTGATGGTGTTTGTACATGGAATAATAATACTTGTTCTGTGATGACTAAATGTGAAGATGCTAATACATTTGAAAAAGGATGTAAGAAGAAATCAGATATTTGTAAATGGACACCTAAACCTAGTAATGGTGGTTCAAGTTCTTGTAAACCATATACTTGTTAAAGTAAGAATTCTGGTAGTACTTGTCTACCTTTAGTTGCATTTAGTGAAAATGAATATTAAGTTTGTGCAGAAATATAATTGACATGTTAATTAGCATCAATTTCAGATTTAACTGAAGATACTTGTTTTATCAATAGTGCTAAAAGTCATTATTGGGATAAGATTACAAATAAATGTTTAGCTTGTAATGGAACAATTGTTAATGATACTACAATTATTGATAGTAGCAATTCTTGGATTATAGGTACAATATATTTATTAAATGCTTTCCTTTAATTTTGACAAATTATTAGACATAATATATTTTTAATTTTAAAATAATTAACGATTTTGAAATGGGTGCATGTTCATCTAGTAAACCAATTACCAAATAGTCTAATCAAGCCAGTAATAGATAAGTGTTAGAGAATCCTTCTATTGTTAATAATAATGTTGATGAACCAGTGTAGGTTGTGATTGAAAATTCAAAATAAGAAGATTTAAATCAAGACAATTAAGATTAAAATAATCAATATTAAGATAACTAATTATCAGATATAGATCATTTAGAGATTAATGAAGAAGACAATAAAAAATTTATTGATGAAGAATTATTATTAGATAATACTGATGATACAATTCAAAAACCTGCAGACACTGTAAATTTCATTAACACTGGATAAACTCTAATGTAACATAGAAATCAAAATGATGTTAAGGTCTTGCAAAAGTAAAGAATATTTTAGTGTGACAAAGAAAACATGTTAATATCTTGATATACCAATTTTTTTACTTTAATTTATGGATAATTTAATTATTTATGTAATAATAAGCAATCTAAGATATTGAAACATAAGCCAATTAGTTATTGGAGAGCGTTTATCAAAGAAAATCTGAATCGATTAACTCTTACAGTAAACTCAAAAGACAAGAAGAAGTAATAATAAATAATCCCTTATATAAATAAGGCATTAGATTTAGGATTTGCATCTGTAGGGTTTCCAGATGAAAGTATGGATTGTGAAGCTGTCTATGAAGTAATTAACTTTATTAATTTAGATCCTGTAACCTGGATTTATCTTTGAAGTTATTGTAAGTAAAAAAAATATAGCCAAAGGAAGGTTAGATGTAATTTTACAAAAATTTCTTGCCTTCAGTGATAAATGTCTCACTTCCTAACACTAAGTGAGATAAGCCGATTTCTAATAATTTAAAAAATAAAAGCATTTATTATCATAACTAAGTCAAATCAATGTCATGAGAATGAAAGGAATCATTTATGAATAAGATGTGGTATTAAATAAAATATATATATTTAAAGATTGAGGATTTCTCCATTTTCACCTATTATATTAACTTTGAAAAAATTCAGGTGGGTGATCATTTGAATGCAGTACTGATTGATAAAACAAAAATGACAATGTCATTAAAAAATAAAAGTATTATGGGAGGTAAATAATGGAGTTTGAAAAGTTTACAAAATCCATCTCATTTTGATAATTGGTTATATTTTAGACTTGGGTATGCTAAATAAATTGGAGTGAATTTTTAATATTAAGTAATGAATGAAGAAGAGAGACAAAAAGCTTAAGAATCAATTAATGCAAATCTCAAATTCAAAGAAGAAACAGGAATATTGAAAATGGATTATTAGATTGAATAAGATGGATTCTTTTCAAATAAATAGAATTATCTTTTCATGATGTAATCACTTGGCTTATCTCAGAATGCATCATTCACAAATAGAAACAACCTAAAAACATTCATGAAGATAAATTTAGATCATAGAAGGCGTTTATATTAAATTATTTATTTTTTCTAGACTTTCAAGTTTGTCTGTCTAACCAGATATCCAATAGATTTACGTTCGCAAACAGAAGAGTCAAAGCAATAATTGAAAAATAATAAAAAAATAAGAAAAATATTATACATATCTATAAATTCTTCTATCTATATATTTAATTTAAATTTTATATAAATATATAAATATATAAATATATAAATATATTTTATTAAATTATTATGCTACCTAAGTTTTAAAACTCGTTTGCCCAAGATAAGAATCTATAAACACTTATTGAATCATTCAATTAATCTTAAAAAAATCCAGGACCAATACCTAGAAATAGAATTTAAAATAGTTTTCCCTACATTCCTGGAACAATGAGACCTTCAACAGGATAATAAGCATTAAGTAAACTTTATTTCTAATTTATATAGATATATTCTAAGAAAAACTACAATTCATTTTATAATCTAATCCTGTCATTAAGTATTTGTTTTATTAAAAATTTTAATTAGTACAACCTTCTTAAATGATCAATAAGACATAATATTTAAATTTACACTTGGAAGCAAAATTTTATAAATAGTCACTCTTGATAGACCAATGAAAGATTAAAAAGAAGATGATTAAAGTATGAATCCTTATTTACAATCAACTTATCCTTATCATTCATTACACAAATTAAAAATTGATTTTAGATTGGAAGATACTGATGAAATAGAAGTAAATGGTAATGATAATACAGTTACCATCCTCACTAAAGCATAAATTAAATAATAAAAAAATGATTAAACTAAAAAATAAATATAATGTATACATTAAGATATTGTGAGTAAAATTATATAATTATTAGTTAGATAAAAACGAAGCTTAAATTGTTTAAATTTAAATGAAATTCTTAAGAGAATGGCATTTGAAATTAGGGAATAATCTCTATGTTGCTAGAAAAGCACTTTAAGATTATTTCAAATCTCTAGCAATGCCAAAAATTAAATTTATTGCTTTTGATAATTAGGTCCCAGGTCCAGAATAACCTATCATTCATTCCTCATAAGATTTAAATAAAAAGCAACAAATTATAAAAACTGAAGTGAAACAAGAACCAGAAAAAGAATAGGAAGAAATAGAATAACCTGCATAAATATCTGATAAAGATCTTTAAAACTTATTTCCTTTAGTAAGTGAAGAGTTTGTATAGAGATAGAGAGAAGCATTAGATAAAAGTATTAAATTTAATATAATATTTTTAGAGAATTCTACTACTGAAGAGAAGATTAAACGTTTATTCGAAGAAGTTCGTATTAAACAATTTAAATCACAACCATATAGTGCTGATAAGAACTTTTTTAGGTGTCCTTATCATAAGTGTTAAAAAGGATACAAGAAACCAAATTAATTGAAAAATCATATGAAATAGAATCATTAAAGATTATCAGAAATAGGTTTCACAATTGATGATAATGGAGAATTTAAATATAATGAAAGAATTTTAGATTATTGTTTACTTTTATGGAAAGTATATCCTAATTTTGTTAAATCAGTTATTAATGAAGTATATATATTCATTAATAGTATTTTAGACAAGATAAAGAAAAGATTAACCAAATACATGAAAAAATACAATATATCATCTATATAATTTTATCTCTTTTTTTCTATATTTTGATTCTTTTTTATTGATTAAACAAATTTATAAATTATGTTAAGCAATCTAATAAAGAAAGCTGATTTATTGGTTGATCCTTATGAATTTAATGTTTCTCATAAATAGAAATCATTAACTCCAATAGGTGCTATGATATATTAATTTATAGGTGGATTTCTCAGTATATTACTTTTAGTCTTTACATCATTTTATATTATTGGAGTCTTTTAAAGGAGTATCTAAAATTAAACTGCCATTTATGCTGGTACTCAAAGTGATCAAAGTGCTGAATTCATTTTAAATAATGAAAATACTATTTTTTCACTTGAAATATCAACATTAAATGGAACAATTTTGAATAATAATACAGATGTTAAGGAGTACTATAAAATTATATTCATTTATATAGTTACTTTACTTTAACTGCTTAATATATTTAGCAACAAAGAGTAGAAGGAAAGATAGGATTTACCAGAAATTATAGTCAATTAAATTAAACAAAATGTTCCTAGGATTCCATTTCAAAATTCAATTTTAATTCTGCCTCAATGACAGAAGAATAATAAAATAACTTAATTTGTTTTAATGGAGATTTCAATCTATAAGGATAATTCTATGAACCTTATTTTGCTTATATAAAATTGTCTGTGAGTGTCTGCAACAATCGTACTATTAATACTTGTAAATCCGATAAGGAAATTGAAGATTTTATAAATAAAGGGTAATATTAAAATAATCAATAGAGTTAATGTGGATATGTTTATTAGAGGATCCAAAATTAAACAAACTCTTAATTTAACAAATCCAGCTGATATCTTTTCTACTAACATATTTTGGAGATTAACTACAGGTATAGGAGATAATGAAGATATTTACATGCAACCTTTATAAATGGATTTGAGTATCTATTTAAATTTAATATAGGAAAAATTCAATTTTTTAGTGATTTATTTAATATTGAAGATACTGAAATACTTTATAATAGTTCTGTAGTTCAAAGATAAGAAAGAAGATAAGAACCTATATAAATAGTATCTGGAGCATCATTATGCACTTTTTATTTAAGGTAATTACAAATTAATTAAATTAGATCATCATCTGACACATCTTATTATTTTGTTAATTAATAAGATCTTCCATCAATAATATTATCAGCTGTATCTGAAGCTACTGCTTTATGTCTAGCTGTAATGTAGGCTATTAAAATGGTTTATAAATATTATAATCAGCATAAAACATTTGAAATCTTAATGAATTCTGTATTTAAATTTGATCTTAAAACAGTATAACAAAGAAAACAAACTCATATTCATTAATCACAAATTCCTAAAAGATCAAATTCTGTTGATAGCAAAAATTCAAAAATATAATTACAATAGGTAATATTGATTTGTAATCTTATTAGATTTTAGATTATACAATTCATTATTCTTTCCATAAATTTCTACTTTATTAAATTAGAAGATTATTCAAAAGATTTTTTGGTAAATGTTTCCATTTATCTAATGAAAAAGAATTAGTTATTTCATAAATAGCAAAGTCTAAGATAGAACTTGATTTAGATTTAACAAATATTTTAAAAAAGTTATATGAAATAGATTGTTTAAAATTGTTCTTATTTGATGATGATTAATTAGTGTTGTTTAATACTTTTAGTTCTCCAGTATTTTAAGATTAAATGTCAGATTAAAAAGAATTATTTGATATTTTGAGAGCTAATGCTAAATAAGGAAGATCATTAAATTAATTGTAATAATAGCCTATCACTTAAGCTAATTTAGATAATCAGAATTTATATTAATATGCTGCAACATCAACAAGTAAATAAATTTTTTTAATTTAGTACCAATAAATGTAAGATTAGCTAAATTGGCAAGATTTTTCAAAGCATAGTTAGGGGCTGAAAATGCAGAAGATTTAGTTGAAAATTTTTAAAAAGTAACTTAGAATAAGAATTATAATTGGTAAATAAATAAATAATTAATGCAATTTGCTATGTAAAATTAGAGTTTATTTCGTTTGGTTCAAAAGAATTATATTACAAATGAAATTGAATAAAATTAAGATTAATAAAAATAATTAGATGATAATTTTAAATTAGAAGTACCAGATGAATTTGATGAAGCTAAAAATCATTCTGAAGCTATTGGTAGCAAAGATTCATTTAAAGATTTAGAAATTAATTAATCTCCTGATAGTTTTTAGAATAGATTAAAGTGATTATTAATATTTATTTATAAATTATAAAATAATATTAATAATATTTATTTATTATATAAAATATAATAGTAAAAATAATAAAAGTATAAACATTTATTAAATCATATATTAAACTCTTAAAATATCTTCAATATTTTTTATTTATCAGTAGGTTTTGTAGATACATAATTAAATCCATATTTGATACATTTTTCTAAATCTTTTTTTCCACCATAACCAGTTATAGCTATAATTGGAATTTTCCTCTTAACTTTATATTAATCTTCGAATATTCTTATTTATTTGACACAATCCCAACCATTCATAATTGGCATATTAATATCCATTAATATTGCTTTGAATCCTAGACAACAACAATTTTATATTCTTTTTTATTTAATCTTCTCCAAAGCTTGATATCCATTAAAAGCCATTGTAATTTCATACTTCTGATTATGAGAATTCAAATTACGAATTATATTTGCCAAAATTTGTAAATTAAAAAGTTCATCATCAACTATTAAAATATCATTAGAATTACAAACACTATTTGGTTATATTACCTAATAAATAACAAATAACAAATTAATACCATTGATTTAAGTAAACTTCTCTTAGTTGGACTTAATCTTACTATAGTTTATTCCTTATTTTCTGGTTCAGGAACTAATTCATCATTGTGATACTTCTTTATAGAATCATAATTTAAAAAAAAGTAAAACTATGATCCTCCTCCTATTATTGATTCTAAAAATAAACTATTCAATCCTTAAGGACCCATAGCTTTAATAATATATTAACAAACACTCAAACCTAATCCAATTCCAACTGAATCTTTAGATATTTTTGGATCATCATCTACATAAAGAAACTAAATAATAATAATAAAATTGACTTACTTTTTTATTGAGTATACCCTTCAATTCTTCTTTCATACCAATTCCACTATCAATAATTCTAATTTACACTAATTATTGTAATTTAATTTCCTTAACCTCCTCTAATCCAGAAATTGAATCCAACTAAAAATCCCTACTTACTTAAATTGTTATTCCTCCTTACTATGTAAACTTAATTCCATTTGTTAATAAATTTATCAATACTTACTAAAATCTATTTTTATCTCCTATAGCTATAATAGTTTCAGATGGCATTTCTACATTTAAATTTAATTTCTTTTCTTAACATTAACCTTTTAATAAATCAACACAAATATTTATAGCTTAATTTAAATCAAACTTCTCAATATTTAATTCAAATTAATCTTCTAAAATATCCCTATAATCAAAAAAATCTTATAATTTTAATTACATTAAATTAATGTATTTTAATGATAATTCTAAATTCTTATTAAGTTATTGAATATTATCTATTCTTTCATAAGCTTCACTTATATAACCATTTACAGCATTCAAACTAGTTCTTAATTCATGAGATAATGATCTCATTATAGTTTTCTTGACTTATTCTAATTTCTTTACTGTATATTACAAAAGTAAAGGACTTAATTCATTAATACAATAAATTTAGTAATCTTATTCTTCATTTAAAACATCACTAATTTGTATCAAATTGACCATCAATCTAACTTTATGATTAGTACTTGATTATTATCCAAATCCATCATTAACACATTTAAATTATTCACTATGTTCAACTAAATTATGATTAAGAGTTTCTGTATGATTTGGAGATAATTTCAAATTGTCACAATATATTGAATTCTACATTTCTTATGCTTTTGAAAATTAACCTAAATTTCTAGAACTCTATTTACTAAGATTCATATTATTTGATGATTTCTTTCTTCTTTTTGTTTTTGCTGATAAAATAAAAGATTTAGGTTAATGACTTATTTGTATTTATAAATGTATTGTTGTAACATAACTTTTTCTAGAAGAATTGAGTAAATAATCATTTGTATTGATATCACTGAAGATGTCTTTAGATTTCTTTTTTAATGAGGCTGAATTTGGACACATAAAACTTACATTTTATAAAGTATTTTATGATGGTTATCTTTTAAAATCTACATTAATAATCTTATATTAATCATCTGTTATTCCCTCATCATTTATTTAGGGTATGAAATCAGAAATTTAAAATCCATCATTTTTAATTTCTTCTAAATTTAGATTTCTTATAAAATCAATTTGCTATTATTCTTTGCTCTAATTATTTATGGATTAGGCCAATTCATCATTCACTTATAAAGTCTAAGCTAATTTCTCAAATAATTAATTCGAATATGTTATCTATTTAGTGTTTTAATCTAAGATGCAAACTGCACTAGGCATTTATTCAATTATAGATAATAGCTTTAACTATTTTATATAATTGCCTATAAAGTGTGATTCTAATTAAGAATTATGAATAAATGCTATTAAACATATGATACAAACTTCAAGAGTTTCTAACCTGTAATAAAATATGATTGTAAAGATAAAATATAAATAGAGCAAAATCTTTATTATTAAGTTAGAATGACTATTAACAAGTATCAAATAAAGGAATATGAAAATCTTATTTTTTTCTTCATTTTATACTGTTACCAAGATATAAACCGTAATTAGGCAATATTATATAAGGAAGTAAATCTATATTTTCTTACAAAAAGAGTAGATGCATATAATTATGATCTCTAAGACAATAAAAAGTGTTAATTGTACAATATTCCTCATATTTTCAATTTTGATAATTTCTACAATTAGGCTAATTATCACATAAAAAACACTAAGAGTAATAGCGGTATGATAAAACATGCTCCTTTTACAAATTAAATCATTCTATTTCCATTAAGAATATTTTGAAGATTTCAATATTTTTTAATAGTGTGGCCATTGTTTTAAGATTGAGTTTTTTTAAAGCTCCTTCATTAAATTAAGTGGAATTTAATAAATTACTTAAATACATTAATAAGATCAACATTCTTTAATATAAGATAATATCTGAATTTATAACAGAATATATATACTTCCGATAGGTTAAGCTTAATTAAAAGAAAATCTTTAACAGTATTACTTTTTATAAAATACTTAAAAAAATCTCTAAAGATCTTAAAATTTTAAACATTCTCACTTAAAGTATATTGAAATTGTTGATTAGATTATTGAAGAACATAAATATTAGAAATAGAAGTCCTTAATGAATTAAAAATAAAAACATAGATATTTAGAAATTATTATGCATAATTAGTAAATCACATTTTTATAAACTTGGTATTATAAATTAGAATATTTAATTAAGAGAACAATAGAATTAAAAAGTTCATTCATATTTTTAAATCTGTTTTTTATTAAGTTTTTTAATCTAAGATCTATCTAATGTAATTTATATTGTCATTAGAAAATGTCTACTTATTTATGAAAATCATTTATTATCATAAGGTCAGAGAGAATAATAAGATAAATAACAAATAAAATAAGCTCACAATCATTATAAAATAATCATGAAGGAATAAGTTAATAAACAACTTATTGAAATATTAATTATATATTTCAATTATTATATATGGGTTGCAATAGAATACAGTTTTAATAAAGTATTTGATATAGTTTCAATAATCTATGCTATTACTAAATGATTATTTGATATTGAAATGAAATAAAAAAGTAATAAGAAATAGATTTTATAAACCCCGCAAAAACCTTTTTTTAATTTTTTAACGATCAATTATAAAATTATGTTCTAAACCACCAGCAGTATAAATTCTTAGCATTCTCCAAATAGATTTAAGTTTAAGTCTAAAGTTAGGTATAGAGAATAAATGAGTTTAGTTTTTTTAATGACAATATGGTACCAGCCACCACAACTAAGATTACAATGCAATACAAAGAAATATTAAGAAATATGTTATCAACATTATAAGAGAAAGCATCATTTGCTAATTTGAGTGAGTTTGATTAATTGAAATCTAATCAAATAGCAATTTCAATATAGAGTTGTTATAATCCAAAGTTTAAGAGTACTGGTGTAGATGAGACAAAAGAAGCATTTTAAGATCTTTTAGATGAAATAAAACAAACAATAAATAGAAAGTATTTATTTTTAGAAATATTTTTAGATTTCCATTCTTAAAGGTGTTTCGTTAATAAATTAATCATCCTGATCATTATTTATAGATTTAACTATTCTAACCAGATGTTCATGCTGTTGTATTATATTCTCGACAGTTTTCAAAAGAATAAATAACTCCTAAATTGATTGGAGATTTAGTATGGCTTCATTTAAAGAAATTTAATTTAACAGTTAATGTAGATTGTCCTATCAAACATGTAATTCCAGTTTGTGAAGATGGAATGCAAAAAAGTATAATGGAAGGACTTTAAGTGACTGTCCGTTAGAAAGAAGTACCAACATTATAATCAGCATAAACTCCAACAAAGTAGATTGTAATAAGAACTTCAATTTGTTAATAAACAGGAAGTGGTTAAAAAAGTGCATCTAAATTAGATATTTATAAAAGTACAGAAAATATACGTGATATGGAAAAATCAGTAAGAGTATATTTTTCACCAACAAAATCTCAGGCTTGGATGACTTAAACAAATGTATCATAAATTGATCTTTCTGGTTAAAAATAAAAAGTTTAATCACCAGAAAAGAAATTCACTGTTAAATTATTTTCTTAAACAATACCAATTAGTTGTTTTGAAGAGGCTAAATTTATTGATTTAATTTAATAAACAAATTCATATGAAATAGAAATAAATGGAAATTGTATATAAACAACTAAATAATAATTAAATGTAGATGAATTATTAGATGATAATACTGATACTATTTATGTATCTACAAGAGTAGAAAGAATAGATTTAATAAAATGTATTGTTAAAGCTCCTGAAGATGCAACTATTAATATTACTAAAAATATTACTGAAACATTAACATATGATATTAATGAATAAGCATTTATATTTTATGGAAGAGATAAATAAGAATATATTATTGATGTTTCAAAAAAGGATTGTTTTTCATAAAAAAGAACAATATTTTTATAAGGTAATACAGATGTGAAAATTGAATTTGATTTAGTAAGTTGTGTAGAAACTACTCTTTAATTTAGAGTTTATAATATACTATTAAGAAGTGGATAACATAAAGATATTGAAAATTGTAGATTAGAAGTATTCTAATCAGATTAAGCTGATTAAGAACCTATTATTGGAATAACAAATGAATAAGGTTTATTTAATTGTCAAGGATTAATGTTTAAATAAGTTAGAGTACATGCATAACGAAAAGGATTCTTATAAGTTTCTTATGATTTTGATGTATTAGCCAATTCAACTGGTTAAATACTTAATATTCCTATGATACCAGATTATTATAGTCTTATTAATCAATATCATATTTTAATTTATGTTCCAAATAAAAATAACTTTTAACTTGATTATTCAATGATATGTCCAGGTATATTTAATGTTATTAATTTTAGATGGAGTAAAAATTGATTCTAAAAATAGATCACATAATGTAATGAAATCTAAATTAGAAATTAATAGAATTAATTAATAAACTATGTTATGGAATTTCTCTGTTCATGTATAATCATTAGATCCTTTTTTATCTGATAATTCTTACTAATTTTTTATTAATAATCAAAAACCTAAAAGAACTATGTTATGTTAAGAACCTTTATCACCTTAATGTAAAGAAAATAATGGCAGTTCATCTACTAAAGCTTCATGTTTTAAGACTGTAAATTTAAATGAAATGTTCTTAAAAACAAGAGTTATGCAAACTGAAATTAAAACTTTTGTAAGATAAGAAAGTGATGTTATTGCATAAAAGATTAATAATTTCTGTGCTGAAGATTCTGTTAGAATATTTGTAACTTTTGGACATAAAGTTTTAGAAACCTTTATGATTTAAACTAATTTACTTATGCAAAATGAAAAATGTTTTGGAGTAATTGATTGTAATTATTTTATTTCTTATTTTAGTGGATAAAAGATTATTTATAAGAGATAATGATACAACATAATAAAATATTAAAAGAAATCTATCCAAAATGCCAACTTTCAAAAAAGATATGAAAAATACAAATGAAGATCGTACTATGACTACTATCTTATCCCATATTACCAATTAAAGGTTTTAGGAATGACAATTATATATGTATATATAATTTACTTATTATTTTAAATATAATTGAATCTTTATTTATCAATCACTTGAACTTGAATGAGAACTTGAAGAAGAACTCTTTCTCTTTCTCTTTTTTGATTTTTTCTTTTCACTACTCGAGGAAGAGCTTGAAGATCTATGTTTTCTTTGTTTTTTTTTCTTCTTTGAATGGCGCCTAATGTCACATGTTCTCATACCTGGAGTCAGAATAAGATCTTCTATTCAAACGACAATTTCGAGCACTAAAATTATATTCATTTCACTTACAAATGCCCCTATTTTCCACATTAATAACAGGCTCCATCTTTTTTCTTTGCTCTTGCTAGCTCCACAATCAAACTTCTTCCATTTATCTCTTACTAATTCATCAATCTAACAGCATCTGATGCTTCCTCAGGTTTGGTATAAGCCTAGACCCTAATGCCAACTCCCACGTCTTACGATGAAACAAAAGCGTCCTTTCCATGAAAACTCCTAAATTTCACCATGTCTTGCGAATGCACTCTTAATATCCATTTCTGATTCTTTAGCTGAATATCCTGTCACATAGATTCTATTTGTTTCTTCTTTTTTATGCTAATGTGAATCTGATGATGACATATAATAATTATTTTAATGTTAATTTTTTAACTTAATTCATAAATATCAATCTTACAAATAAATTTAAAATCTCAAATATTTTATGTAATAAATCTATGAGGTACCCTTACTCTTTCATCATTAATTTCTTCTTCTTAGGATTCAAAAACCTCAATGTTTTAATGATTTAAATTATTCACATTTTAATTATTTTCAGTCACTTATTAATTTAAAGCTTAACTTTATTTCTGGGTATTACACTTTATTAAATCATATAAGCTCTTATTTAATTTAGTAAATTTGATAAGTTATTAATTCATTGATTTATTTTCATTATCATCTTTGTATATCCTTTCATAATTTAAATTTAAATTTTTTGCATCTACTATTAATTGAGACTTAAAGAACCAATTTATTTTTGCTAATCGTTAAGTTATTGGTACTAATCATATAATTCATATTACTTTTAGATTAATCAGCATCTCTGATTTAATGAGAACTTAACATACCCTAATTTGTTCCAATCATTCTTGATTACAATCTTATTTTTATTAATTAATAATTTATTACTGACATGTTTATTGATCATTTTCAATTACATAATCTTATACTTGTTGAATTTTAGTACCTTAATTCAATAGTTATTCGATTTATAAAAAAGTCTATCTCTATTATTCTGTTTAATCTGTAAATACTGGAAAACTAAATGAATTAAAAATCATTAATTAATCATCATCAAATAAGAATAATTTTAAACAATCAATTTCATACAATTTTTTCAAAATGTTTGAAAGATCTAAATCATATTCTATCTTCTCTTTAGCTATTTATGAAATAATTAATTCTGTATCTTCTGCTTCTACCATAAATTTTTTAAAACAATGTTGTATTATATACTTAATATATTTATAGAATGAATAATCAACTGTTGGTTTTAAAATCTAAAATTTTTCAATTATTAAATACTTAATCTAATTGTTCCTCTAGAATTTATGTTTATTAATTAGTAATTGCTTTTTTAATTCTTCTTTACTTAACTTTTGACATATCAAATTTAAAAATCTAATTCATAAGCACTTCTAAAGTCTTATGTTAATTATAATATTTATAAAAGAATTTGATAAACTGCATAGCAGCAAATAATAAAGCTGTCCCTTCTGATATTGCAGATAAAACTATTGAAATTAAATCCTACTATTTTACAAAGAAAAAAGAAGAATCTGAAGAAACTCTAAAAATATATATCCTATTATTTATTACCTTAAATATAAATTGCATAAACTAGTTTAAGGCTTAATTGATATTGGTTCCATAATAGTTTCTTTTTTTTCTACAATTGAACCACTAAATAATTGTTAAGTTTCCTCAATTCCAAACATTTCATAAAAAAATTGAATTTTTTCTATTATTATTGATTAAATTTGAATTACTAATATCCATAGATATTGGTTTCAAATAAATATTTTCTCGATTTCCTAACATAGTCATTAATCTTGAATAAATATTGACTGGACTAACATTATCTGGAGTGATAGGGTCTAATTTCTATTTAATCTTAGACCCTCGAATAAATAAGTTCACATTTATACTAGAACATAAATTTTAAGAATTAATACCCTTATTGTATAAATTCTTCAATTTCTTTTACATCTTTGCAATTATTGTTCACCATATTATCACATATCTCAACTGATATTTTTATGTAGTTAAATTTTGGATCATAATATTATCCCGATAATTCAAAATGTCCTGAAAAGCAAATTAAATTTTCTTTCTATTCTTCTGTCATAGATGCAGGATTGAAATTTAATTTTTTGATTACTGCTTGAGAACATTTTTCTTTTTTCATCTAACTATAATTTTTAGTAGATCCTAATATTCCTTCAATTCTTGATTATTATACATAAAATGCACTTATTGTTATATAACTAAGTATGATTATTTAATTTCTACTTTAATAAATCAGTCATATTGCTTAAGATTGATCCATTATCGGATGTTAATTCTAATGCAAATATTGTATTGTTTTAATTCAAAATAAGTTCAGGAAATGTCTCTGATTGAGTCCCAGCATAGATATAATTCTGATTTTCATTGAATCTGAATATAATCTCAACTATATAAAATAATGTAAAAATAAGCAAAAGTATGCTAACAATTCCACCTAAATAAAAATAACTTCATACCTAGAAGTGTTAATGATTTTTCCTTTGCAGATGTATTAAATTCATATGGATCAACTAGAAGATCAACCTTCTTTATTAAATCTTAGATCATCTGTTATTTTATAAATAAAATACTAAAAATTGTAACTCCGCAGCAATTATTTATAAGAATTAAAACAAAAAAAATTCTATAATGAATAAATATAAATGCTTCTTACAATCTACCATATAATAATAAATCGAATATTCTAACTCAAATATAGTTCAGGTAATGATCATATTAAAATTTTTCAAAATTCTAAAGAATAGAAAAAAACATTTTATATATCAATATAATAATAACAATATAAATTTCATATGACTTTTTATCATTAAAATACTATAATAGAATATTTGTTTTATAATTTCTTTCTTGAATATATCAATAAAATTTGATATCTATTTTTTAATTATAAAAAAGAATAGTAAAATATATAATTATATAAATATTAAGAAAAATAATTATAAGTTGATAAATTTCAAGCTAAAAAACGCAAATCTTGTGATATAAAACTGTGAACATATGCATTCTCCATTAATCTGTCATATGGAAATAATGTTAATATTTTTTTATTTTCTGAATATTGCTTCTAAGCATTTTGTATAGAAAATTTTGCAATTAATAAGGTCAAAATTGCTAAAAGATTTGCCAATACAAACATTACAGTATTTATGTAAAGTGTTTAAGATATCAAATCTTATGTTTCATCTCTGAGTAATTCTATAATTATTTAAAAACTGAATTGTGAATATAATCTTTCTTTTTATATATCTACTTGCAATAATAAGGAAAATTTAGAAGTTTCATTATAATTTATAGGCTATGTGTTCTATACAATATCATTATAAATGGAAAATAATTCTTAAGCAACGTATATTAAACCTTTTGATAGTGAAGGCACTTATAAACACTAATCCAAGGAAAATAAATCTTAATATTCAGTATCTTATAAAAATCTAAGAAAAATATAAAATTTTACATTCCTTCTTAAAAAACACTGCAAACTTCATTTACTAATATTTTTTCAATAATGCTATTAGATTATTCTTTAAATGTTGAGATATCTGTAGTTAATTACTTAAATTCATTAAAAACTCTATCTTAATATTAAATCATTTCTTCAGTAATTGTTTAATTGTAAAAAAAGGCTTGGTGTGAATAAGCAAAGATTAAATGATTTGCTATGTTTTCATAATATGTTCTTTAAAATTAATTTGCTTCAATAATAGTAAGTACTTATTTTTAAAGTAAATAAGTTCCAAAATAATATGATGAACTGAAAATAGATATCATAAGCATCATGAAAAAGAATAATATTAAATTTAAGTTAACCTCTATAAAAATTAATATATATATATATTACATGGAGTTTAAATTTATTTGCCAACTCTAACTTAACTTTCTAAATTACCTTAGGTTGAATTCTTCTAAAAGTAACTAATCATTGATGCTTCAAAGGATTCCTCATTAGTTTCATTGGTTTTAAATTTAGCATGATTAATTTAATTATACAATGAATGATATTATATAAATTAATCTTTAACAAAGTCTTTTGAAAAAGTACAAAATAATTTATAGAATTTTATTTTCATCCTTAGAATTGAAATATAAAAATAGGCATAACTGAATAATAGTAAAAATAACACGATTTCTTCAAGGATGAAGCTATAAAAAATAATAATAATAATTAATATACTAACTGAGCAAACTTGAAATTTGTAAAGTAGAATTAGCATCCTCAAATTTATCAAGTAATATATGAAATGCATATGTATTATTAAAAAAATCTGAAAGTGATATAGTTTAATTTGATTCGTAAACCTCAAACATTTGTGAAAGAATATTTATTGTTCTTCTTTACAATGTTTAATCATTTATTATATTAATTTAAGGCAAAAGAGATACTATTTCATCAACATTTTTCTAATGATATTGATAATAATTTAATGAAGCTTTCATTAATTGATTGAATTTAAAATCTTTCTCTTATAGATAAACCTTAGCTATTACAAATTCATTATAATAATAAGAGAATTAATAAGGTAAATTTTCATAATTTAAATTGACATCAATCTTTTTAAAATTGAAGTATAAAATACAAAAGTTTAAGATGTACCCAATTAATAATAATGAATAAAATAATAATAAAAAGATCTAAATCCTAATATTTGATCCTTTATTATTTTAAACACAATCTTTAATTTACAATTTAAATGTATTGCTGTTATTTTAAGAAGATCTACTTCCAACTGATCCATTGTATTATTATTATTATAAGAAATTGTCTTGTTAGAATTATTTTTATTCAAATTCATCACTTTTTTAAGATACTATATGTTAAGGCATAATAACAATTTTAGTTTCTTAGGCATTTTCGCATAATAATTATTATTATTACTATATTAAAGGTTCTTTAGAATTATTTTATATTGTATTATTAACTGATGCTAATTAATTTCTAAATTCCTCTATCATTCTTTTTTCTTCTATTAAATTATCATAATCTAAATCACATTCATTTATCATAGTTTTAGTTAGAGGAGGAGTGTTCAAAGGTGAGTTTATTACACAAGATTTATAAGTTGGTAAGTCTGATTGATGTGTAAAATTCACTGATGTTTTAGGTGGTTACACTTAATATAATTCTAATTAACTTGCATATTATTTATTAATAGATTACTTATATTCTGGAATTTCTACAATAACTACTCTAAATATAATTATATATCAATATTACCTTAGATTTATTGTAGTTAGACTAGTAAGATGAATATTAATTTAGTATTTCATAATATTTTAATAATTGTTCTTCATATATTCAGTAAGTCTTTTATTAATTTATAATTTATTCCCATAATTAAATGGACATATTGGTGAAACTGCTTGTTTTTCTATTACTGGAATCATCAATTAACCTTCTAAATATAAGTCTAATTTTTCAAAGTTTTCATCAAATAAACTCTACCATATTTTAGATAATTCAGGAATCATAATTAAAAAATCTAAACCCTTTACAAAATCTAATTCTAATCTTAAATATTATTTAAATATATCCTCATATATATTCTTGGTTATTTCTTCTATTTATCCTTATTCATTAAGCATTAAATAACCATATGAATAATTTACTGGAGTCATAAGTGCTTAAGCTCCAAATTCTAAAGAATTCACTTCAATTCTTAATCTAGTATTAATTGGAATAACAAATTCAGATTTTAATTTTACTAATATTATTCTTAATTCTCTTTTTAATACATTAATTCTTCCTGTTTCAACAAAATTATTCAAATATTAATCATGATCACTAGCAATTATTGATGGTATAAATTTTTTAATGTTTTAATTCATAATTTCATCATCTTTATATTATATTACTTATTAAAATGATCTTGTGTATTTAATAACATTCCCTCTTGGTTAGAGTAATGTGATCTAAACCACACAACTATTTTAATTATAAATTATTTAATCAACAGATTGAATAAATTCAGCCATTAATTGTCCTTCTCTTTTAAATAATTTTGGCCTAACTTTGTTAAAATTAATATATTTTTGAAATAATTTGTAGATTGTATCACACTCTCCATTTTATGGATTGGTTCTAAAAACAAGTTAAATTTAGTTTTCTAAATGATTAATATTTGTGACTAAAAGTAAACCCTTATCTTATAGAACTGATGCATCTATGATTGGTGCAAAAAGAGTTTCATAGAATTCCTAAAATAATAATAAAAAATTGTTACTATTTCTTATTTAACAATTAGATATAAATTTTATTTCAAAACTTTTAATGATTCTTCAAATAGATATGCTTTTTTAAAATCAAACATTTGATTAACTAAATTTTACTTCTTTATTAATTAATTAAATTTTTATAAAGAATTCTATTAAAGCTGATGTATTATCTATTAGAATCTCAAAGGAAGCTATTTTTGAGCAAATATTTACTTCTACTAGAGTTGATACTCTTATTATTTCATAAATTGCTGAGATAGATGCCTTTTTAATTTCAATCAGATAACATATATAAGTTAAAATATTCTAAATACTGGCATCTTCCTTTAGTTCATCTTCCAATAATTAACCCAACAATAATTTCAAAAATTCTTTACATTACTCTAAATTTTAGAATGATTCTTTGTGATTTAGAAAAGTTGAACAAAAACATTTTTATTTGAAAGTAGCCATTTTTAACATTTTTCTCATCCTTAATTATTTACAATCTTATAAATGGCTTCTTACTATTGTATATATTTAAAATAGTTTTCGTTAATCTTAATGTTATGACATCTTTTTAAATTAGAGTTGTTTTTTTGCATTCAAATACAATCTTCTTAAATATTATTTCTAATCCTTTTATCTAATGTTCCATTCTGATCTTATATATAATTAATGGATCACAAAAATTATCAAAGGAAAAAAGAAAAGTATTAATAAAGATTAACTGATTATAATTTTAGGATATCCAAATTCACATAAAATTAATACAATCTAATAAAGTAACATTAGACAATTAATCTAATTAGCAATATTTAACATTCTGTGATCTATAAAGGTGAGTTATCTACTATTATATATGGCCTATATACTATTTATTAGTAATCCTAAAGTTTGAATAACAATTGTATTTGATTGACTTGCAGATAAAACTATAATACTAGGGGGATAACCACATATATTACAATAACTTCAATCCATATAGAATATGATTTTCTAATCCTTACAATTTCCCTAATAATTCATAATCTTTTATTCTATAATCGACCTTATGAAAATGCAGGAATACACCAAAAAGTATTTAACAAATAATTAGCATTAAGCTTATAAACAATCCAACTTATTCAAATTGATTTAAATTTTCTACATTATAATAATTAATACTGAGACCAATTAGATCAGTGACAAGACTAATAGCACAAAATAGTATTGGTGTTTACAAAACTTCAAGATTAATCTAAATATACCAAGAAAGTAATTATGATTGCCAACATCTCTCAAAATGATAATTTTATTTGTTCTAATATTTTTCATTTTATTACTTGATCTAATGGTAAATCATGAAGAGATAACTTCTATTTTAGATATAAATCTTAACATAACACTAAATAAAGCAGTCTTAATAAAATTAAGGATTTTATTAAAAATCCAACCATTATACATGCAATTCGTACAGTAATTGAGTTTCCAAATAGAGTATAAATCCTAATATATATGATAATTAGATAACCTAAAATAATTGATTAAGGACTGAACTTAATTAGGAAATTGATCATACTATATTGTATTAAAGCTATTAGTATACACTGATAACATTTAAAGGTTTTCTAAAAGTATCATTGCCATAGCCATTTTTAATGTTATCCTCTTAGATTCTTTGATAAATAAGAAGTCTTTAACATAAAATGCTTTTATTTTAAAAAGGAACTTTTTCATTATTATAATACACGATTAATTTATTAAAATGAATATAAGTTTCGTGGGTCGATAATAAAATTAAATCATTCACAATAATTTGATTTTATCTTATGTTTATTATCCATCAACTTAGTATATAAACTTAATATAGAAAATATTAGATTATTTAAACAATTAATAAATCTTTATCTGCCAAAAATTGGATTCAACAATAAAATCACTAATAAATTATGTCTAAGAACTTTAAATAGATGTTATATGATTTGAATAGCTAAATAGGATTGATAATAAATTTATGGTTGCAGTAAAAATGTACTGATCATTATTAATAAACATTTTTGAGTGAATCGAAAGACTTAGATTATTGATGATACCATAATTTTATTAGAATAGAATTGAAAATTATAAATAATTATCCAATTTTATACATTTTTTATATTACAAAATAAAACCTTTTATAATTAAGTATTTATCTCAGAAATAATAATTATTAATCAATATTATATAAATAAGAAAAATCTAGAATATAATTCTCATCATAGTATAACTGTTGTTTTAAATTAATTTATTGATTAAAGTATTACAAAAAAAGAAGAAAAGCAATCTTTATAAATCTTAAATACATAAACTCATGGGTTTTTATATTTTAAGTAATCAAAAAAGTATAAAATATATATGTGTAAAGTTTTTTATAATTTAATTTTCTAAAATTTTGGAAATGCAATTATTTGAAACTTTAACAAATAGTTATTTTCATTTTTTTCAGATTAAACAACAATTTTTCTTTTATTTTTATATATAAAAAAGATTATTAATGTATTTTATGTCATAAACATGTATACATGATCATATGCTTCAGAAAGATATCATAAAATTTTATTCTTAATTAACCATTAAGTAAATTAATTTTTTATTAATCAATAAATTATCCAAACTTAAAAAAAAATTATTTAGATTATTCTTAATAATAAAATATGATGATCAGATTAAATTCATTGTATAATTAAAATTATTATTATATTTTATATATTTATTTTATTTTATTAAAAATTATCACCCAATAATAATTCTATAATTAATACAACTATCCATTGATTCATAATTTGTTCATAACGAATCCTTTAAAAAATTATATTCAGATTTGATAATAAGTTATCTCTTAAAAAATTTTCAGAATTCTATGTATTAAGTAATTCTTTCTTAGGACCAATTTGGATATCGATTGATAGAATGAAGCTGGAAGCAAGGAAACTAACATTTATACTTGTTAGGCTATCAGATATTTTGAACAAAATTTTGTTTTTATTTTATGATTGATGTTGGGAAATTCAGTAATAGAACTCTTGCACAAAAAATTATGTTTGAAGGGATATATGAGATTTAGTTATTAAATATTCAAATAAAATTATATAATTTAATATTTATGTTGCTCCAGCTCTTCTGCAGGCTTTGATCATTCCAATCTATTTCAAAGTCCTTAATAAGTGCTCAAGATCATATGGGAGATAAAAGGTCTACAGATAATTCATTACCCTTCAGAATTTTTTTTTTCCTTTAAGTCTAGAGGTTATCCCTAATCACTTAAGGGATTGGATGCATTTAGGACTCTATTGATTTAAAAGAATTTACATAAAATTATGATGTTTTATTATAATTTATTAATTAAGGAATCGATAAATTTTATATTAATACAAAAGTATGAAAATTTTGAAGCCAAAAAGTTAAAGTCAATTGGCTCATGGCTTTTCATCATTTGTGCAAAAAATTAAATAATAGAAAATTGTTTATGTTTGGTAAAGAACTTCACAATATAATATATTAACCTAATCTGTTTATTATAAGTATTTAAATATTTTCTTGTAATAAATCTCCTCTATTAAAGTTTTCTCATCCAGCAGTATACAAGACAGATCTAATGATCAAAGTTGGGATAAAAAATTGGAGTCATTATTTCTAAAGGAATTGTGTTTCTATGAAAAAATTGATAGATGAAATAAATTTATTGAAGTGATTGAGAATTTTTGTTTAAGAAGCTTTATAAAGGAATAAATTAATTGATTTAATTTTTAAAGCTAAATCTGACTTGATTCTAAAAAGTAGTACATTTAACAACAATAAATTGTTAATTTATAGTCACAAATCAGAATGTGAAGTTAATCAATATTTAGGAATCTTTAGTTAATGCTTTAAAAATAGTTTTCACCTCTATCAAGTACAGAGCTAATTTTAGCATTACTAAAGAATGGAAAATACAAAAATTAAATAAAATAAGACTTAGCAATTTAGAGAGAAAAAGTATCTGATTATAACATATAATCATTTTTGAAAACCCTTAGACTATTATAAATTGTGTTCAAGGATTCAGATTTAGAAGATTATTAAGGTATTCCTATAGATTTAATTGTATTAGTAAGTAGTTATTAAAAATCTTAAAAATTTATTTACTATTTATAATTATAAGAAGACTTTAAATTAAAAATAAAATGAAAGTCATATAATTATGAATCAATAAATGTGATGATGATTATTATTTAACAATTTAAGAATTATAATGATATATGATATGATAAATAGCATTCTAAATTTTAAATATGGTTTAATAAGTTTTATAATTTTGCATATTGATTATATATAATATTTGAAGAAAATGGGGAATAGAAGTTCTAATCATCAAAATTAAAAAATTGGGCATGAAACTAGATGTCCTAATTGTGATCGAAAGTTTGGATCATCTACTACTTATAATGTTTTAAATTCTCATATAGATCAATGTCTATAACATGCCCAAATTTAAAACCAAATGGGATTTCAGATGCCTCAACCATAACTTCAATTAGGAGATAACTATATTTGGATCAAATAAAATAACAAATGGAAAAGAGTATAATCACAGGTTAATGGTGGATAGATTTAGGTATACATAAACAATTTAAAAATAGAATTTAAAACCTATAGATATCTAAAAGAGATCTTTTGCTGAAAAGTAGGTTTGGTTTAATATGCAACTAGAAAAATTTAGGATACCTTGGCAATTAGGTTCAGATAAATTGATTGTTAATCAAAATGATTTACTCTTCTCCTCATTAAATTCAGCCAGAGGAGTTGATTTTTATAAAGAAGTCAAAGTAGTATTTTAGAATGATAAAGTTCAAGATGCAGGTGGTTTATTAAGAGAATGGTTGACTCTTATTTTTAAAGAAATGTGTAAGGAAATATTTGTTTTAACTGAGACAAATGATGTTTCCTATAAAATAGCTAAGCAAAGTTTCTATTTTGATTTAGTAGGCTTGGCAATAGCAAAAGCCTTATTTGAAAGGATGACAATTTGTGTTGAATTAGACAGACCTTTAATAAAAAAACTCCTTGGACAAGAAGTAACACTCTAAGATATAGAATTTTATGATAAAGGTCTATATCTAAGTTGGAAATATTTATTAGATAATTAATTTGATGAGAACTTATTGCAATAATACTTTATTATATGTAAAGATGATGAAATTATTGAATTAAAATAAGATGGAGCAAATATATTAGTAAATAATTAAAACAAGTAAGAATTTATTGATTTATGGTATTAATCTAATTAATTATTAGTATTAAATTTTACACTGAAAAACTAATCTCAAATTAATTACATCAAATTTAAACTAATCTATATAAATATGTTCCAAAAGAATATCTGAGTATTTTCACTGCTGAAGAGTTTGAAATGCTTCTTTATGGGGTTTCCTTGATTGATTTAGATGAATGGAAATAGCATTCCATATATAAACAACCATATTCTGATAATAATTAATAAATAATATGGTTCTGGAAAATCTTATCAGAATTTGATTAAGATTAGTTAAAGAAATTTTTGCATTATTGTACTGGATCATATAGAATACCAATCAAGTATTAAATTAATAATATGTAGTGGATTCAGCAAATTAGAATCTAATAGAGGAATGTATTCCAAATTTTAGATAGTCCCAATTGAATATAAAAATGCTAATTCATTTCCAATAGCCCATACTTGTTTTAATAGACTTGAATTACCAAAGTATTCTACAGAAGAAATTATGAGAAAATATTTGAGATCAATTGTCTTAAATGATTTAGAGGGAGTTTTTGGAATGGAATGAAAATAATTTAGTATTAAATTTATTTTTAGTTAAAAAGATTTATTCATTTTTTTTTGCATAAATAAGGGTTTTTTGTTATTTTCATAATTTACAAATAATTTTTTATGTTCAAAACAATAGATTCAAACAACTTGACTAATTATAAATTCAACAATTCTAATATATTTTATTATTTATTTATTATAATAATTAATTTGAAGAATTTTGAATATAGATTTAAGTTACCATTGTTAATAGGCATTTTACTTTATAGAATGATCTTAAATTAAGTAAACAAATTTATGATTGAAATATTTTAGAAATCATATAAAGGATTAATACTTACTAAATTATTACTTCATTTATAAATGATATTAACGATTAATGTTAACGATAATCAGTATTTGCATTTGAGGATTTTCTGATTTCAAAAATCGTAAGAATACACATTTAAAATTAAGATCCTCATTAAACTTTTAGAGATAATACATAAATAAAATATATTTATATTTTTAAGAAAAGTGAAAATCAATAAAAATATATATTAGTTGGTTAATAAATATTAAAAATTTTGTTTTTGTAAACCAAAAATTTGATTTAGAACATAAAACAATTTTAATGTCATAAATATTCTTAAAAAATATCTCATGCTTCCATCACTTGATGACTTACATTAAGTTGAATAAATTATTTAGTAAATAAATTCCAAAAATAGAATTTAAATATATTCTAATATAATATTTTACAATTTATGAATAGTAGAACACAATTTAAATATTTAGAAGAGTGAAATTCAACTTTAGTCTACTAATTTTGTGAAAATATAATTTTCCTTATTTACAAAAAAATTAAACAAGCTCATCATAAATAAATAATAAGAAAATAATAATTTTTGTTATTTTTATTTGAAACTGTTTCAGTAAAATTTAGTTATTAATACGAAGCTTGCTAATGATTATTCGAATAAAGAAGTTTAATAGTGAAATTCTTATATATAGCTATATATGATACTTCTCTTTATCTAATTATTTTATGATGAAAATAAAAATATAGAAAGCCTCAAGATCAAAATATAAAAGTATAAGCTCTTCTGAGAGAGCTTTAATAATAAATTATATTGAAGAATACAAATACTCTACTTCACATGTAAAATTTTATGTGATATTGTCAAGGTTTCTATGATAACAGGTCACAATGCCTCAACAATAAAAGCGATATATTCAGTTTATAAAAAACAAGGTAGGATAAATAAGAAAGCAAAAAGGGATAAGATTTTGAATTTAACCTTTGGAATAATATTGTTTGTAGTTGATGATATGTATATATATATATATATAATGCAGACAAGGAAACTTGACTAAAATTAGTATGGATTCATAAGAATCTTAGCATTAAATAATAGAAGAAGGGCAATTCAAATTATCAACTTGTCATGAATAAGCCATCAAAAAAAATTTAGAATAAAACAAACACAAAATAATTAGCCTTCTGGATAATGCCACATCATTAGATACTTTTAATAGAGAAGTGAATCTCATTACATAGTAAGAATATCCCAGCGAATAGTTTTCTTCCTTAAAACTTTTATCACATTCTAGTAGGAGAGAATAAGCCAATTTCAAAATGAATAACAATTTTAGATCTTTTTTTGGCTTATTCTCAGAAAATTAAGAGGATTTGGCAAAAGATGGAGATAGCAAGTCAATTATTGTGAAAAAATTACATGAATAATATGAATTAATGAAAATGTGAACTTGCTATTAGATTATTCATAAAAATTAACAAATCATTTAATTTCTAATTCTTATTATTCATTAATAAAAGAATAATTATTTAATTCTGAAATAAATTTGGAAAAGTTTAATCTTTGATAATGATGAGATTATATAATTATTATTTAGTATTTCTTTGTTCGTGAATGAAATTTAAAATTAGAATTACAAAATTTAACAAAATAATTATTTAAATCACTAGTTAAAATTTTCTATTAACTCTTAATACAATCATATTATAATTTATAAAATTAACATTGATTACAAGTAAATCAATATTATTAATATACAGAAATTTGTATCAATTATTAAAATAAGAATCAGAAATAATTGATTCTAATTATAGAAAATATAAAATATTTATAACCCACCACAAATTTTATTAATTTTTGCATATAATGAAATAATTAATTTTTATTATCATTTTTCAACTTTAAGTTCACCAGAATTAATTCTTCCAATTATTGTTTTAACTGGTTATCCATCAACTGTAGCACCAAGAGATTATGCAGTACCTAATACTTATTTGACTGTTCCTGTAAAGGTTTTAGCAAGAGATTTATCTTCAATAGCTCTAGCAACTTTAATGACTTATTCGAGTGTTAAATTTCCATTATGTTTAACATTTTTTGTTTTCTTTCTGTCCCTTTCATAACCCTTAATAAATTAATTTATGAATATTTTATACTCCAATTTCTTTGATTAGTAATGCACTTGAAGTAGGAATGACTGTAACATCTGCATTTCTATTTTGACATCTCAAATTGACCATAACTCTAATACCTTTCCATTTTCCACTTTCAGCAATAATTTTATCACCAACTTATTTAGGATTCTATTTTTATTTTATGCAATTATAATTACAAGTCCAAGAGGACCCAATTTAGGAGCAAGAGTTGATGCAGGTCCACCTTCTCCTCCAAAGACTTTAATATTAATCAATCTAACTTCATTTGGGTCGACTTTAGGAGGCATTAAAAATAGATTTTAATTTTTTTTATGTTTTATTTATAAATTATTATTATTATTATGTATATGTCATCTAATTATTTATAAATTATCTAGAAATCAATTCAATTCAATGATTCTAATAAATTGATTGATAGTTTGATATATGAATAAAGCAAATTAATTTAATAATAATTAAAGAGGATTAATGATAATACTCATTTTTCATTAAAAAACAGCCAATCTGCTTTATCTGGTTCGAGTAATGATCATAGAACGAACTGAATTACGGTCACTTTATACAACAGATTGACCTTAGTGACTGAGAATAAAAGTATTTGATGTTTAGTTTCTTGATTTAAATGCTCTAGGTACATATTCTATATCATTCAATGTTTCTCTACACATTGGACATGTTAATTATTTTTAAATCCATTATTTTAAACAATTATCATGCATGATATGTTTGCATGGAGTTTATCTACATAATCTGTTATCTAATGGATCTAAACAAATTACACAATCTAAATCTTTGACTGGATTTACTATAGGCATTAATTAAATAACAATATTATCTGATTATTCCTCTTGATTTTCTTTAGTTTTAGTAGATGATAAATATTAACATCTTCTTCTAACTATATAAATTATAATCAACAATATAATGAATGATATTACACTAAGAATAGCTACCAAAATAAAATCTTAAAACTTTTAATCATTATCCAATAATTGATATTTGAGTACCATATCTTATGATTAGGATTTCATGTTTTTTAATACTAAAACAAATGAGTAATAACTGGCTTAAATATGATACTTTTTAAATTTATTAGAGTAATCAATTTCTTATGGATTTGATGTCAATAATCCATCATAGATAAGTTTATCTTCTATTAAGTTTGATCCTGGATATTGAAATGGTTAAAGTAAATAAATTTTTGAATCTATAGTAGAGGATGACTAAATTTAGAGATTTCTTGTCTAACTCAAAATTTTATAAACTATTACTCCTAATCATCTATTAATTGATCTTGTAAATAAAAGACTGCAATAATTAATGTTTAATGAGATTTAAGACTTTCAGAAAATTGGGTCCTATTATAGAGTTGAATTACTTCAAATTAGCATCTATCTCTAAATTTACATCAATAAAATATACCCTGCAGTCATAACTTAACAACGACATTGTAGGTTTTAACAATCTCCTTTATTCGAACAATTATTTGGACAACTTTTAAAAGGGACCTCAGTAATAGTATAATTATTATCTGGCATAACAAAAATATCCAATTTATATTATGATCCAATTTTGAGTTTGTAATACATATTTAGATATTGAGTACTTTCTTATGTTACTTCATTCATTATAACTTAGTTTTCTGCAACCTCAATTTTCATATCAATCCAATCCTCACTGAATATTTCAATAAGTAAATAATTCTAACTTGCTTGAAATTCCTTTATTAGACTATTAACAACAAATGAAATCTAAAAGAATAAACAGCATAACATGTTCATAACTAATTTAGAATATTAATATTACAGAATATAAAAGTTAATTATTTTAAATTATATCATAACGAATATCAATTCAATGATAAATGTAAATGAGGATCCTCAATTCCATTTTCTATGTTCTCTAACATTTGATTTCTCAAGCATCTCAAAGCATTTCTAATATCTTTACATTTTTTAATAACTATTTATGATAAAATTGGAGCTAATTAATATAAAGCTCTATCATCCTCTTCACCATACCAACTTTAAATACAAATACCATTTTCTGGTTAATGCTAGAAATTCTCAGCCATATTATCAATAATTATAGTAGTATTTAAATCTCTACCTACAAATGTTAAATCTTTAACATGTGTTCCATCTATTAATGTAGTATGCTATCTATATAATCTATGAGAAATAATGTTGCTTTTATCAATTAAATCTAGAATGAAATCTGCATAATCTTATAAGGCTGCTGTGAATATTACTATTTCATAATATTTACTCATTTCTATTAAAAATTATTCAGCATATGGTCTAACTAAGAATTAACCATCATCAACTAACTTGATCAATCATATAAAAATACTTCTTAATAATGAACTAAAGTTTCATCTAAATCAATTACTAAAGTATAACCATTATATTTTGGCAAGTAAGGTATTTTAAGTTCCAAATGTTTTTCTATTTCTTCTTATTCAAGAGTCTTTTCAGTTTCATTTGTATCCATAATTTATCTCATTTTATTGATTTCCAAAATAACTTTATCAAATTATTATTTGATTAACATAGTTCCTTATTATAATGAAATCTAATCAATATTTAATAATAATTTCTCAAGTCTTGCACACTTTAAATCATTAGAATTTTCTATACTACAATAATAATTCAAAATATTACAATAATATTAATAAAGAATGAACAACATTAGCATGTTTCTTTAATTAAGTAATATCTTAAATTGATTTATTAGATTTTCTATTTTATTATATTTTACTTAGTCTATTTTATAGAATATTCTTTTAATCTTCTGTTAGATTTTATTTAATTAAAAACTCTAAGTAAATTACCATACCACTATGAATATAAAGTAATAGATTCTTAATATGTTATAATTCATCATCATAATTTTCTGTTAATGCTTAGAGCATAATTACAAAGATTCCCATTCTTTCTAATAACATTTATTTACAAACAATTTTCTATTATATAATATCTTTACAATCTCCTTATGATTAAGGAATAGCATTCAAAAAGTTTTAACATAATTTTATTACTTTTCTTTATCTAGTAACAACAGCTAAAATAGTAAATACACATTCTTCTTAATTGACTAAATTTATTAAATATTATTCAGTATAATCTGAAGTGGGTGTACATTATGTTGAAAATTTTGATTCTTCTGTTCTTTATTTAAGAAATTTTGATTTTTGTTTATTGGGATTTTTTTAATTAGATGTATCAGCAAATTTTTGATGGATTTAATTATATATTTTTTTAAGTGATTCAGGCATTTAGTAAAGCTTAGTAGGTGAAACAGATCTTTATGATGTATTTTGATTACTAGTATCTAATCTAATCAAAGAGGCTTTTGGATTTTAGATATCTTAAGAACTTTAACGTTTTGATAGCATGTCACTTATGATTGAGTTTATTTTATTAGCTGATTATTTTTTACCAGAAGTAAATGATTTATTAGTATATTTAACTTCTTAATCATAAGGGTTTCTATTTACTCTTTCATTTAAAGGTGTTCTTTTTGATATCATTTATCTTAAGTTTGTTTTACTATTCATCAGTTAAATTAATTATATATATAAAAAAGTTTGTTCATTCTTTTTTTGTTTTTATTTCAATAGCTTTACACTATTCCCCCTTTTTTATCTTATTCTTATCAGATAAGAATTCTTCTCTTTTTAATATCAACTCAACCCATTCAGGCTCATCTGGAATTACTCCTTCTATTACAAATTTGATTCCAATAACAATATGTTCAGCTACTATAAGAAATAGAAAATTCCGAAGTCCAAGCTAATTAATATATTATTATTTATACATTGTTTTAATCATTGGAAGTATCTGGATCTTCTCCAATTAAAGTATTTAATTATTTCTAATTAGCTTAATAAATTGATAAACAATTTGATACGATTCCAATATATCCAACTAATTGTAGGATATCATTCCAAACACCTATACTCTTTTTTGGTTCTGCTAATGGTCTCTTAACAAATTTTCTATAACCATAAAGAAGACCCTCTATATTGAGAATATTAAAGATTAAAATTGCAATAGGAATTATTTAAGATCCTGCACTAAACATAGTGGCCATACAAAATTGAGTCATCTATAATTAATATCATGATATACAAAATAAGTAAATTATTCTACATGATTTGGAGGATCAATCATTCTTCTATTTAATTCAATTTAAGATAGAAAGTATTAAGAAGATAATCCTTTATCTATTGATTTATTAATGGCACTAGTTTCAGTATCATAAACACTTATTCTTTAAGCTACAGCCAATTATTTTGAATTGGTTTATTTGTATTTGTTGAAATCCCAATTAAATTTAATCTTTATAAAAGCAAAAGATATTAAAGGATATAATGTATATCTTATTAAATGTACAATTGACCAAGTTATAGTGAATGATATACTTAATAAATCTAATTCTTCAGAATCAGGTCTAATTAAACTTCTATAAAATAATCGTCCAAATGAATTCAAAAAAGTAAATGCAAACACTTTTAAAATGTATACATTTTCTCTTTCATCTTGATATTAATGATTTTCATAATTTAATGTATGTTTAGCACAAAAATTAAAGATCTCATTTGTAACAAGTATTGATAATGCTAGAACACATGCCCATAAAGAATCATAAAACTATTCTCCCTCATTTATTTATTTGAGATAATAATATCCAAATTGTTCTCCACCAATAAAGAGTATAGCCATAATAACTAAAGGACAATTTGATTTAAAATACTTCCATTATACATTCCTTGTGTCCATAATTTCAATAGTATGAGTTACATCTTCAATAATAAAAGCTCCTTTATATTAAGGAATCATCCTTCTTTATTCTTCAGTAACATGCATATCAAAATTGTACATAGTTTCACTTTATTTTCTCTTCCAAAACTCAAAAAATATTGTTGCCCAAACAGCCATACATAATGTATAGATTGGAGCTATACCATTTATAGAATCTCCATTAATGAAATGAAATATCCCAATTAATAATCCTGGTATAGCAGGTAAAAATAGCCATGTAGTAAAAAAACATAAGAATACAAAAAACATTCCTACTTCTGCACCAAAGTAAGAAGATAAAGCACTAAATGTTCTACTTTATGATTTTTTTAATTAAAATGGTTCAAATAAAATGTGAAATCTTTCATTTCTCCAAAATTTTAAAATCAATTCTTTCTCTTCTTCATCATGTATAGGATATTATTCAATTAATAGACCATCATTAATAAATTAATCAATATCGAATTCATCATATAATAAAGTCTATAATATTTATTAGTCATGAATATGATGAAAATTTTCAAATTATTCTTAAATTTGAATATTGAATGGACATATATAAGATTCTCTTGAATTATATATCATCATTTTAGTTTCATCAGCTATTAAATTTTTAAGCTTTTCATCAACCTTTAAACAATAATATGTATATTATTTATCAAAAGATTCTATTGGCAAATATTTAAACATTCCTTTCTCAACATTCTTTTTTTATTATATATTGTAAAATTATTATTCTAACAATTAATTTTTTGATCTTTGCCATCCTACTAATACATGATTATATCCTGATCTTAAATAATTCTTTTCAGAGTTATTCAATAATTCCCTTTTCAAATGTTTTATCTCTGTAAATCTTGATTAATCAAAAGCTCTATGATTACGAAAATTGTAATAATTAGGATCTGCTCCTTTCTTTATTAATGTTTTTACTATATCAATATGTCCTCTCTCAACAGCTACATGTAAAGCTGTCTATGGTTTATCTTTAGTCATTCTATTTATCACATTCCCAACTCGAAATTCCTTTACAGCTTCTGATTCCAAATAATATTCAACCAATTCTTTTTTATTATGATAAACTGCTGCATGTAATGCATTTCTCCCTTTATAAGATGGTTCAAATGGAGAATATCTACAACTAATTAAATGTTCCACAAGATCCAATCTTCCCAAAGTACTTGCCCAAAATAAATATCGAAGTCCTACTTAAGCTAATTACTTCGATGATTTAATATTAAAGTCACTCTATTATAAATATCTATATGATTCATGCTCATCTAATGATAATTCCAACTTCTTTTTATGTTCATCATTATCCAAATATTAAGCTAAGAACTTCAATATCATGAATTCCAACACCTTTTCATCTTCCTCTCTATCATCTATCTCTTTCCCTCTTCTCAAAGCTAAATCTATTGGAAACTAATCTCTATCATTTGAATACAACACTAGAATCTCAATTCATTCAATTACTTAAACTAGGTTCTACAAACATCAATAATTTTGTTGTTTTTAAGTCTCCAAAAAAACAAGTCCAATGCAAAGGGTTATTTATCCCTTATTTCTTGAATTCTTAAAGAGATGCACCTCTTTCTAAAAGTAGTGAACATATTTCAAATTTAGAACCTTTTTTAAGACTTGTGATATCTTAATTATATCCTCTAACACAAGCAAGCATTAAAGCTGTATTACCTTAAACATATAATTTAAGTCCTACCTTTATTATCTTTCGAATTTATGTTTATACACTATAAATCAAGAAAATATTCAACTACATCATAATGTCCTCTGTAAGCAGCCTATTTTAGTATTCCAATTACATAATGCAAAGCGTTTCTACCATAATAATCTGTCTTTTTACAGGCGTCCTATAACTGTTTTGATGACAAAGAAATTAACTGTTTGCTTATGAACTCTAACTATCCATCTTATGCGGCCTAGCAATCCTCTATTTGGATACCTCCAATAAATTAATTTCATCATGGCTAAACAAATGCATCTATAATCAACTGAAAAAATATAAATAATAATATAATGTTCCATCAATTTCTAGTTATTATCATAACTCTAGATAATTATTCATTTCTTAATCTAATCATAATAAACCGAAAAAATTATGTAAAATCAATCATTATAACAAATATTGTGATCTTTATTCAATTTAATTAAAAATATAGATATATAACATTTCAAGTTAAATTGTTTATTAGAAATCGGCATTTTTATTAATCTTTAGAAATCTATAAAAATATGATCTAATTATTTTTAAATAGATAAAATTTTTAATCTAATCCTTGTTCATTATACTTTAAATTTAAAATCTTCAATTAAAAATTAAAGTAAGACTCTAAAAAATATAACTTTTTTATATCTTATTATTTAATATGATCCTATTTTAAGAATTATTTATTATTTAAATAAGATAATAAATAATTCTTCTAAATTTTTATTATATAAATATAGAATTTTTATTTAATAGAACAAATACTAATAAATTCTATTTTTTAATTCACTATTAAAATCAATATTTATTACAAGTTTATCTTTACAATTAACCTAAGTTTTCTTATGTAAACAAGAAGATGTAGTTAATAAAATAAAATAATTAGAATAAAAACATATATTTAATACATTTAAATTATACTATTTAATGATTACACTTAGTTTTTCATCATCATTTAATGACACACAATTTTTTAATTTATTTGCTTTGAAAAATACTTAATATTTGTAGATTTATCAATAATTACTTATTAATTTAATTATAAACAAAAAAAATGTTTAACACTAAATCGCAATTTTATTAAGCTAGTTCAACAGGGCGGTTTCAGTTTAAATTTAAGCCAAGTGTTGAATTAGGAGGATTTCCTAGTTTGACACCTAGTAATTCTGACAAAAGAATGACAAGATTAGATTGGTTTGTTGGTCCATCTGATCAGTTGGGTAATCTAGATTTATATTTTGAAATAGAAAAATAAAAAAAGCATTGTCTCTCAAAAGAAAGCAAACATCATGAAGATTTATCAATAGGAAAACGAACCTTTATTTAAGCAAATAAAGAAACTGAAGGATTGGTTAGCCTAGAGGATATAATGTAAAGAAAATCTCGAGTACCTACATTAGAAAAGAAGAGAAATTAGTAAGAATTTTTAGTTAATCTAAGGATTCCTGTTCATTTTTTAGGAGATAAGAATTATCCCTATCCAGAAATAGAACCAACTTTTTATAAATAAGATGATGGTCTAATAGCAGGATCAAATATCAAACATCGATTTCGACATCCTTTCAAAATATCTAAAAAGTATCACGGTTGAGTATTTGATAAAATCATATTTTATCCACTAACAAATCTCATTTCTAGAATTAGATTAAAATTTTGTCGCAAATATATAATTGAAAATAATATAATTTGATTACTTTATGTTTGAAATAAGTTTCTTTTGGATTTATATTTTCTGGTCTATTATTATTATGAGTATTAATGTAATTTAAAGACTTGTTAGATTACTTTTTATAAATAAATGAAATAATCTCTAATATTATGAATGATATTATTAATTATGGGATAATATATTACTTAATTATGCAAATATTTTAAGAAAGATGCTCCTTGCAAAGTCCAACAATAGCCAACTGCCTTAACATTATCATTAAAATAACGAACTATAATTAACAATAATTCAGATGAGTATGATTCTGATTGTGAAGAGAAAGTAACTATTCAGAAAGAACCAGTTACAATTAAGTCTTGGAAAAAAGGAGTATTTTTAGGGTAAGGTTCCTTTGGTGTTGTTTATTAAGGATTTGATTAATAAACAGGACGTGTATTTGCTGTTAAATAGATTGAAATATTTCTTGTTGACAAAGAGTCTTTAAACTCATTTTATAAAGAAATTTAGGTATTGAGTTTATTAAAACATCCCAATATTGTTGAATATTATGGTTGTACTAATGATGGTACTCATTTAAGTATATTTCTTGAATATGCTGGGGGTAATTATAACTCAATAGAACCTAGGTGGGTCAATTGCATAGATACTTAAAAAATTTGGTAAGTTGACTGAAAGTGTGATCCAAAAATATACAAGAGACATACTCTAAGGCTTAATTTATTTGCATTCAAAAAAAATAATTCATAGAGACATTAAAGGAGCAAATATTATTGTGGACACAAGAGGAATGTGTAAATTAGCTGATTTTGGTTGCAGTTTAATAGGATAATAATCTTATTCATTAAAAGGAACTCCTAATTGGATGGCTCCTGAAGTATTAAATTAATAAGAATCTGGAAGATATTCTGATATTTGGAGTTTAGGATGTGTAGTCTTAGAAATGTTGACTGCTCTTCCTCCTTGGGGACATTTTGATAGCCCATTATAAGCTTTATTCTCTATTTCATCAAAGAAATGTCCTCCACCAATTCCAATAAATATTTCTGATAATTTAAGAGGATTTCTTGAATGTTGTTTATAATATGAACCAAAGTAAAGAAAGAAAGCTAAAGAATTATTAAATCATCCTTTTTTATAAATTAAATCACCTAAGAAATCTTTAAAGAGCACTAGAATTGAAATAACATAGATTGAAGAACCTAAAGCAATACCATAATAAGATGAGTCTATACCTTAAGTTGAAAGGGAAGACTAAAAATCTATTTTTTCTGACCTTTCTTCTTTATAAATTGGAGATGAAAATTAACAATTTCAATGATATTAATTAACTGTATTTTATATGTGTAAAATGTAGAATTATATATTTCTCTTTCTTAATTATTATGATTAAAATAAATTTTATAAATAATAATATTTATGTTATATATAATATTACTTAATTTTATTAATACTTAATCTATAATATAATTTAATTATTATAAAAAACTATTATATGAAATATTATTTATTATTAATAACTAATACACTTAAAAATTCATATATCTGAAAAGATTTTAAGGTAATAAAATAAAACTATTCTAATTGATACTCATAATTATTATTAAACAAGTTCGAGTAATTTATGAATATTAATAGACATCAACATTTTAATCAAAAAATTTAGATTTATACACTATGCTTCTTGTTCTGTTTCTTATTTATAATATCATATTTCATTTGATTCTAATAAGATAAAAAATAGTTAAAAAAGATTTATTTAAGAAACGAAAAAGAATAAAGATATATATTTTTGTGTTTTAATGAAAATAAATAAAAGACAAGAGCATATATTATTGAATATTATTATTTATATGAATCAAGAATCGCATCCATCGATATACAATTCTTCAATACATTCCTCATTATCAAAACAAAGTCTTGAATCACAACAGACTATTTTACTTGTACCACAATTTTATCCTCCAGCAGCTGTACATTGATTTATACAATATGAATTAGTTGGGTAATATTTTCCAGTTACTTTACTTTTTTCCTTTCCCCAATCTCCTTTAGCTGTGGCTTTTTATAAATGAACCTTTTTCAATTTCAGATCAGCTATTATAGATTATTTATTAATTACTTGATGAAGCAAATGAAAACATGAATGTTGTAACACAGATTGCACATACTAACAAGATCAAAATAGTAATTTTTCTAATCATTTATTTTAAATTAAGATTTTTATTTCAGCTTTCAATATATTTATTTGAGCTATAAATATAATTTATATATACGAAAATTAAAATGAATTATTTAAATTGTATAAAATCAAAATATTACTCTAGTTTATCATACAAATTTGTTTGTTGTTATCTTCTATATGTATCTATAAAAAAAAATTAAAAAATATATTTAAAGTGAAATCTATTTTTATAAAAACTCTGAAAATATTTTTATAGTATTTATATAATAACCTAATTTATATCTATTTCATTATAAGAAATAAATTATCTTTAATAAATTATAGAATTAAATTTCAAAATAAATATTGTTGGTTATTTATATATTTGAACTACTTGAAACAAATGATAAAATATCAATGAAAGAGTGATATTAATATCAATTCTCATTTCAAGCATTTAATATATAATGAATATAATACTAATTTTTATTTTCCATTTTATTATATAAAATTTTGATAAATAATAAGTAATTACTTCTTTTTTAAGACCTGTTCTTCTAAACATTTAAAAAATATAATTAAATGAGGCATATCTTGTTTTATGACTATTATTTGTCTAATAAATATCTAAATATAAACAAATATTGTAAGAGACTTTCAGTTAGATTACTTATCAATATAAAGTTTTTATTGTGTTGTTTGATGAATGTCACTCAATACATTTAATCAATTTTGCATGATGTACTAAATAAATATGAAGAAAACAATTGTTATGTCATTTTAGATTTCAAATGGATAAGAGGAAGACAATATAGGATTTTATGATTTTTGAATATTTAAAAATGTATGTGCTCATTTTCACTTTGGTTTAGTACATCCTTCAACTGGTACTCTTGCTTTGCAGACCAATGAAGTTCCATACCAATTGTCTTCCTCGACGCATTAATCATTTTTACAGCAATTTTATTGGGCTTTTCCACAACTCATACCTTTAGCATCTTTGCATTTTTTTTGGCATTCTTTATCATAAGAAGTATATCCATCAAATCCCCATTCATGATTTTTTGAAGCAGAAAATGAGTGGCTCTTTTTCAATTTCAATTCAGCGTCTTAGTTTACTTGAATATAGTACCTGATGGGGCGAATGAAAACATGAATGTTGCTACACAAACAACACATGCTAATAAGATCAAAAGTGTGATTTTTCTATTCATTATTTTAAATTAAGATTTTTATTTGCAGTTATTCATTTATATAGTGATTAATTACAATAAATATACACTTAATTATGGATACAGAATAATATGGTGATAATAATAATATTTTAGATATAGGAAAATTAAGTATGAACTTTTTAATGTAAATATAGATAATAAAATAATATTATCATTTTTTAATATTTATTTTCTGTTATTTTTTAACAAATTCTAATTATGCCAAAATACTATTATATTCTTATTATAGTTAATCTATTTTTCTTTTTGAAATTCCATCTTATAATCTTAGATTTTCCATCTATTGTTTATAATATTAAACTATCGATTTTTATTTACTCTTAAATGATATAAATTTATACTTAAGTTTCTTAAATTTGTTTATTTAAGTTTACAATCATAGTATTTTCATTCTTAATATTGTCAGCAATTTGTTTCTATTCATCTTCAATTACTGCAATCTAATTCCAAAGAAATTTATCTAAATTCAATTATTATGTAGTCAATTATTGTGCCTCTTCTCTTAATTTAATTAATCTTTCTTCAACTGCTTAAGTACGTTCTTTGGCTCCTTATTAACATAAAACTACTTGAGATTAAGCAAATTTAAAATCTTTTTCAGCTTATGTCTTTTTCACAAAAAGTTATTCTCTTCTTTTATCAACATATTCCTATTATTCTCTATAATCAGTCATTCCTTATACTTTATGACGAAGATGAGGAATAACATTTCTTTTTCTATCTTAAATGTTATCATTTAATAATTTCTCAATTTATTAGTTTGTTTCATATGAATTAAGATTCTTTTTAAAACTCATCTTTATAATATCTTTATTCTTTTTAATCAATTAAATTGCATACATAGCAGTCTAATCTCCCATAAGATTATTTGAGAAATCATATTCTTAAATATTAGATTTTAGAAATATTTTAAATAATTCCAATCCACTTAAATCAGTTAAACCACATCTTTTCATAATAATACATTTTAGATTACATGAACCCTAAAATCCTTATACTAATGCTAAAGCTCCTTGATCTCCAATAATATTCTTACTAATATCCAAAGTTCTTAAACTTCCATTTCTACATAATCCAGATGCCAATTATTCAATGAAATTCTAGGTTAATGAACAATTTCTCAAAGAAAGATATTCAAGATGATTATTATATACAAGATAATTACATATACAAATATTGTTCTCTCCTATAAATGTATTTTCATCTAGTATCAATTTATTTAGATGTGTATTTCTTTCAATTTATTCTAAAATAGCAAATAACTAATGTATTGTTAATTTATTTCTTTTAAGATTTATTTCTCTTGCATGAACTGAATCAGAACCTTATCGTAGTTATTCACATATTTATACTACTTATTGTCCAAACATATTATTTTAAGCTTCCAATCTTTCTAAATAAGATGGTAAGATAAGAGCATCCTTAAGTTCATTATCAGAAACATTTATATGTAATAAATTACGATTCTCTGCAAAAGCACTGTTTAATTTTCTTAAATCATAAATACCACAACCGCTGATATCTAAAATTGCTAAAATTCTATTTTTTTTCAATGCTTCTGCTAATTAATTTAAAGCTAATCCAAGTCTATTCCTCTCATTAGAAAAGGGATTACCAATATTAAGATTATAGAGTGTTTGATTTATTGAAAGAGTTTGAAAAAGAACTGCAAAACCTCTAGGACCTATTCCACAATTACATAAAGTCAAACTAACCATAGGAAGTTAGAGATTTCTAATCCCATCATAAAGTGGATTTTGGGAAAGTATTACAAATGGAATATTTTTTACAACTTTATTGATTAAAGGTATGCAATTGGCTGGTAAAGATAATTCTGATAAATCTATAGTATGTCCTGAGTATTAACTAAAAACCTTTTCTTGAAATCTTGCCATTTGATCTAGTTATAACTGAATCTTTAATTCTTCACATTTCTTGGCATACAAAGTTTCAAGAAGGTTATGCATACTAGGAACGAACCTTCTAATCTGTGGAGACAAGCCTATTTCCATAATTTATGATTATGCTTTAGGAATGGTAGACAAAGGTCTTCTAGAATTTGCACTCTTGACACTTCTCATTTATAATTAATCATGAAGTATATATAATCATTTCAGAACAAGCTGTTTATTAGGAATAACAAAGTTTTTCCATTTTAGATTTAGAATTTATCACTTTTCTTAACCTATCATAAAAGCACTAGAAAAAATAACATCCTTTTTCTGTTTATTATTTAAGGAGTCTTATATTAAATAGATAATTTCATTCTCATTTCTAAATTTAGTATAACATTGAATATCCATTATTTTTAAGTTCATCAATCTCTTTTAATATTTAATTTCAATTATATATAATTCTCCTTCATCATTCTTAAAACATAAAGACTTGATCTCTATTTAAAGAGATAATATGATCACTGTATTACATATAAATATTTCTTTCATAATGGCACCCTTTTCTTCAAGTACATTGAAAAAATCAAATTATTAAACTACTGTGAGTTTTAATTGTTTGGCAATCATTTATAAAGCTTTGGATTTGTGAGCAGCTTAAATTACAAATCTTCTGCCTTTTGAAATGACATTTTTAAGAGTATATTGTTACACTTAAACTGTTTATGCTTATGTAAACTTTTAAAAGTCTACATATGGTTCATATATGTAATAAAAGAATAATGGAGACATCTTATATGAAAGAAAGATAGGTAGAAAATTTAACATTTTTATGGTTCTTTCTCGCTTCTAATTTTAAAGATTCTTTCTAATCATAAAATTAATGAATCATTCACCTTTAAAAACTGATGTGAACATCACTGTTAGAGAAGATGATGTAAGACTCAATATGGGAAGATTCAAGTTTACAGCTCAGCAATTACAAAATATCTTCACTTTGAATTAGAGAAGAAGGATGTGTGAGGAAATAGACTTCCTTGAGTAGTTAGGATGTTTAGGTATAAGTTTCATATAGTAATTTAGATGGTTTATTGGATGGATTGTGTACTTCGATTAATGGAGGTATTGAAAGTCATGACATCAACAAAAGGACAGAATTATATGGTCATAATAAAAGAGTTGTTAGACCACCTTAAACATATTGTGAATTATTGATGGATGCTATGGGAGACTTCACTATGAGAGTATTGACAGTTGCTGCATTTGCTAGCATTGTCATTTAAGTTGCAACTTCAGATGACGATCATAGATCATTAGCTTGGATTGAAGGTTTTGCTATTTTTGTAGCTGTACTGGTTTGTACTAATGTTGCTGCCTTAAATGATTATTCAAAAGAAAAACAATTCCGTAAGTTAAATGCTGTAAGTGAAAAGTCTAAAATTGTGACTATAATACGTGATGGTAAAGAACATAGAATGCATGAAGAGAATTGCTTGGTTGGAGATATTGTTAAATTAGTAGAAGGTATGGAGATACCAGCTGATGGAATATTAATAGAGGCTTCTGAAATCAAGATGGATGAATCATCAATGACAGGAGAAACTAATTCAATTAAAAAAGGAACTATATAATAATGTTTGTTGAAAAAAGAAGAATTGATTAATGAAGGAGCTGAATTTGGAGAAAAAGATAGATTTTTAATTCCATCTCCAGCTTTATTATCAGGTACTAGAGTTTTGGAAGGGGAAGGACTTTTTGTTGTTTGTGTTGTGGGAGATTTATCATGCTTAGGATAGATTAAAGCCTCATTAGAATAGGATGAGGATGAAGAGACACCTTTATAGTAAAAATTAACAATCATAGCTGAAGATATTGGAAAATTAGGATTATATGCTGCTATATTGATTGTGATTATATTGATGATTAGATTGGCTATTGAAAGAGGTATTGAAGGAGAATGGGATCATAGTAAACATTGGATGGAAATACTTAATTTTATTATATTAGGAATAACTGTTTTAGCAGTTGCTATACCTGAAGGATTACCTTTGTCAGTTACTATATCTTTAGCATATTCAGTTTAAAAAATGATGAATGATAAGAATTTAGTGAGAAAAATGTATGCTTGTGAAACTATGGGAGGAGCTGATTCAATTTGTTCAGATAAAACAGGAACTTTGACTATGAATAAAATGACATTGACTAAAATGTGGAATTAAAATTATATAGATGTAAATTATCTGGCTAAAGAATAAGATTTAGGAGTATTTGGTAAAATAAAATAATTGATGATTGAATCAATTTGTTGTAATTCTTCAGCTGAGTTGGATCCAGAATAAGGTTCTAAGACTGAAGTAGCTTTATTAGAATATATGAGAAGAGGATAAGTAGATTATAAAAATGTAAAAAGTTCAGTAAAATATCTTTAAAAAATACCGTTTAATTCAGGTAGAAAAAGAATGAGTGTAATTGTATCTACTTAAAAGAATGGTTTACCTATAAATCGATTATACATTAAAGGAGCTAGTGAAATAATAATAAAATGTCTAACTCATTAACATACTTTTAATGATGAAATTATTGCTTTATCAGAATAAGATATTAAATAAATAGAAAATATAATAAGTGAAATGGCTAAATAATCACTTAGAACTATATGTGTTGCTTATAGAGATTTAAATGGAAATGAAGATTTAGTAAGTAATGATGGAAAAGTTTATTCGATAGAAAAAAGCAATTTAACATTTTTGTGTCTTTTAGGAATTATGGATAATTTAAGAGAAGGAGTAAAAGAAGCAGTAACTTTATGCAAGAAGGCAGGTATTAAAGTTAGAATGGTAACTGGAGATAATTCTGAAACTGCAAGAGCTATAGCATTATCATGTGGTATTATTGAACCTGGAGATAGTAGAGCTTTAGTAATGGAAGGTGCTGAATTTATGAATAAAATAGGAGGAATAATTTGCAAGAATTGTTAAACTGAATCTTGTAAATGTTCTAGATCATAAAGTGAAGCTGAAAAGAATGGAACTTAATTAAGAGTAGATACTTTAGGTGATATGGGTTCATTTAAAAAATTATATCCATAAATAGCTGTTTTGGCACGTTCTAGACCTACTGATAAATATGCTATGATTGTTGGATTAAAAGATTGTGAACACATTGTTGCTGTTACTGGTGATGGTACAAATGATGCTCCTGCTTTAAAAAAGGCAGATGTAGGATTTGCAATGGGAATCTCAGGAACTCAAGTTGCTAAAGATGCAGCTGCCATTATTCTTATGGAAGATAATTTTAGTGATATTGTTAAGGCTGTAATGTGGGGTAGAAATATATTCTAATCTATTCGTAAATTCCTTTAATTTTAATTGACAGTAAATGTAGTAGCTGTTGGATTGACATTAATTGTTTCAGCTGTACTTAAATAAGAAGTTCTTAAACCTATATAAATGTTATGGGTGAATTTAATTATGGATTCTTTTGCTTCATTAGCATTAGCTACTGAACCTCCTAGTCCTGTCTTATTAAATGATAGACCTTATTCAAGAGCATAATCTATAATAACAAGAAAAATGCTAAAACATATCTTTGGCTAAGCAGCATTTCAAATAGCAATTATGTTGATTGCAGTATTTTTAGCTCCTGATTTTGTTCCTGAATATTATGATGGATTTGATGATAGAATTAATAATTGGTTAGATGATAAATCTTTTTCTGAATTTCCTACAAATATTAATCATCCAAAATACAATTTAGATTACTATCCTGAACAATTAATGATTAGAAGTGGAAGAATGTTAACTGTTGATGGTAAAGATGATTATGAACCTGTTTATAGAGAATTTATGGTTCCTAGTAGACATTTCACTTTCATCTTCAATATGTTTGTTATGATGCAATTGTTTAATTTTCTAAATAGTAGAAAATTAAATGATGAATTCAATATATTCTAAAATATTGGCAATAAGTATTTTGTATTATTTATTGTAGTTCTCTATTCATTATTATTGTATTCTTTATATTTGGTCTCTAAATTATTTTGATTACTTTTGCTGGAATAGCATTCTCATGTTATACTTACTATGGATTAACCATTCAATAATGGTTAATATGTATACTTATTGGATCAATTGGATGGATTGTTAGTGCTCTATTAAAATTAATTCCAGAATAAGCTGTATGAATAATATTTATCATATCAGATATGTCCAGAATCTATTGAATAACCATCCACAGAATAAGAATAGCGAAAGCCATCTGGAATATTAGAATTACGTCGTGGTTCCTCAGTTAGACGTTCACAAAGACATCAAGAGATATAACTTTGATTTTTAAATAATAAAATCAATCATCATTATAAAATTTCCAAATATTAAATTTAGATCAATTAATTAAATTCTCTTCAGTTACATTTAATTAAATAATCAAGTCCAATCATAATATTTTTTGATATTCTAAATTAATTAATATTAAAACAATACATTTCTAGATACCTTATAGTCAAATAATATTATCAAATTAAAGAGAAGATATTTTTAGAAATATATTATAAAAAAGAAGATAGGTGAAGTAATTGAGAAATAAGCTAAAAATGTGAGACTAAAATTTATTCGAAATAAAATTATAGAAAATAAAAATATAAAATTAAAAAATAAAAATGATTAAATAAAAGGAATTTAGAAAAATCATTGTTAAATAGGGATCAATATCAAAATATGATTATTAAATCAATATTCTCAAAAATAAGGAATTTAAAACAAACTATTTTAAGAACTCATTAAAGATTAAGGATTAAGTATTTATTTATTAACAAAATCTATTAAAATTAATTAGAATTAATATTAAAATAACTATAAGTAATCAAGATTGCTCACTCTCCTTTCTACTTGTTTAATTAGACATTAACAATTATTCAAATCTATCTTATTTTCTACAAATTGATATAAATATCTTTAATCGACTATTTATTAATTAAATCAATACCTTTTACAACTATTTATAACTAAATCATCTCTTTTAAAGTTTAGTTTCCTTCCAAAAATTTTGTAAAGATGATGAAATCTTTATAAATCAAATCTAATAGATTAATCTAGTTTTTCTAAAAATTATCTATATAAACATACTTGGATGCAAAGGAACCATTAATTTTAAATCTTTAAATTACTTTTCTACAAATTCCCTTTATTCTACAAGATCAATACATTCATTATGTAAAAACTAACATTTAGTCCCAAAAGAACATTAACCACTAAAATAACGTTTACATGGCTTAGTCTTAATGGATGTTGATGAATAGAGACTATTTTCAGTTTTTGCGGGTGTATGAATAAAAAAACACTAATTAAGATTTAAACAATATTACTTGATCTCCATATTTACAACAACCATAAATTTAGTAATTTCTACATAAATCCTTCTTCTTTTTAAGTGGTTCCTCATCTTAATAGCATTTTTTGATTCTCTATTTTCTTTAGACAATTTCAAAGGATTCTTCAGAATTTTAATCAGACAGATTTTCAAAAGAGTGATCGGTACTATTTGATTAATGATCAATTATTTGAATGTGGGACATTGCTTTTAAAAACAAATTATAATTTATAAATTTCTAAAGAAAAAAAAGAGCAAAAAATTTATTAATTATCGTTAAAAATATATGATAACAGACAGTCCCTCTCAAAAACGTTCAAATAAGGAGAACTCTCCAAAATACCTCTCTATCACTCGTTAAAGCAATATCTCACATAAAATAATCAATGAAGTGTTGAATAGTGGATCTGACTATCTATAAGATTAAATGGAATAGATTGATATAAAAATCATGCAATATCAATATAACATTAAATAAAAGATTACTACACTTTTAAATGAATCATCAACATCTTTAGATTAATCAATTTATCAAAAAAAACTATAGGAATTAAGGATTGAGGAATAAAAGTATGATCTCTCAATAAATTAGTTCTTAGCAAATGTAAAACGATTTAGATAGACAATAAACAATTGTATATGATTACTATGAAAATGAATTTAATAAACTCAAAACACAATATGAATAGATTAATTAGGAACATCAATATTTTGTTAAAGAGCGCAATAATTTTTAAGAAGTTTATAATTAGTATTTAGAAACCAAAGCACTATTATAAGAAGATTTAAATGGTAAATTATTATAAAGAGCTGAACTTGTTGGTTAAAAAGAAGAACTTGAAGAGTTTGTTGAATAAGTTAAAAATGAAAATCCTTAACTCACAGAATTAGTTGAATAAATTTATAATTGCAATTAAAAAGCATAAGATATCGATTAAAATATATTAAATTTAACTAACACTATTTAAATGTTATAATAATAACAAGAAAATAAAAAAAGATAATTAGCATCATTTCATTAAACAACATTACTTGAAGTTTAGTGTCATTAATAAAATTAAAAAGTGAAAGCTTTAAGAAATAAAATTGTACCTATATAAAAAAGTTTAAATTTATAACATCCTGATTCAATCCTTAATGAATTTATTAATTCTTTTGGAGGTTCCTCATTTTAAATAGAATCTATTGAATTTTAAGCTAAATTATAAACATTTACTTAATAATTTAGAAATAATTTATTTAAATAAGGTAATTAAAGTAATAATTGGGGAAGTATGAAGGAATTTGTTATTTAATTAGAAACATTCATTTTAGCATCACTTTAATAAAAATTAATTCAAAATCAACTATCAGTAAGTAGTTTATAAATATATTATAGGATATGAAGTGTTCTTTAAAATAACATGGAGATGAATTTTAATTATCTAATGATGTATGTTCAATTGATTATTAAGTTGAAGTTAAGAAATAATAAATTAGAGAATTTTAAGATGATAAATCTTCATTAGATTATAAAAGAGAAATGTATTTAATATTATTCAAATTTAGGTTTTATGAATAATTTCAAGAAAGAATTCGATAATAAACAGAAGATGCTTTTCTTTAATATTAAGAATAAAATGAAGAAAATTTAAATCATATTAAATAATAATATGGGAATGTTGAATATAAATCAATTCTTGATTAAACTTATAAAGAAATGTAAGAGTTGATGTAGGATTAAGAAGAAGTAATAAAAATATATAATATTTTAGGAATAATTTAATAATACAATGAAATTAATTTCAAAGTATTACCTTTAAGATTAAGCTATAAAAATTAATATATAAATGGTTGATTAAGAAATACTTCCATAATTGAAAAATATTGTATAATAAATTTAGAAAGCCAAAAAAGATTTAGAAAGAGTAAGTGGAAATGAGAAACCATTTTTTGATAAATAAAATAAAGTAGAATAGGAAATTTAAGCATTAGAATAAGAATTTAAGAAAAAGATTGAGTAATTTAATATATAAGAAACGGATATCTAAAAATAATTAAGTACTGTTAAATAAGCAATAGAAAATACTTAAGAATAACTATTATCAAAAAATAAACCTAATAAAGCATTATTAGAATAAGAAATATTATAATTAAATAATCTATTAACTTAATTATAGGAATAGAAAAAATAATTAGAAGGAGTTTAATTTTAATTTAGTAAATCACCATAAAGAGTAGATGCAAGTAGAAAAAGTTCAAATGGAGGTATATTAGCAATATCAAAATCATTAAATTAATTTACAAAAATGAGAAAAGAACCTACAGTTAATAGTTTTAACAATAGTGTAGTCAAAGGTATTACACCAACAAAAGATGCATCTAATCTATATTTGATAAATAAATTTGTAAAACAATCAACCTGTAGGTCTTCCTAAGAATTTAGACTTAAATCAAACATTTCAATCAAATAGATTAAATGATTTTATTCAAATAAAAATTACTTAAAATAAAAGTTAACAATCATTAAATAGAGTTAAATTTAATATCTTATTATGATCTTTATTAACTTATAACTCCAGTTTAATTATCTAAAGGTGTTGATTCTAATTATATTGGACTTGAATCTTAAGATTTCCTATCTGTTTAAACCATCAAATGAGTTGTTTATGATATTTTTGGTAATCTAAAATGAGGCCATGCTTCTGGTTTATTTAATGTTTATCTGTAAATGTTATCATATCTTTAATAAAAGAGCATATATGCATATTCATTTTACACCATTTTTTTAACATCTTAAATTCTAAACACTTATTCATCGTTGTACATATACCAAGTATTATTTTAGGCTTTACATAAAGCCACATAATGACCACCATAAGATGAACCATCATGTTATGCTACTGCATATAATTAATAACATGAAATGGCTTAATCAACACAATATTATGCCATATCTAATTCTAATGGAAATTCGACTACTGTATTAAGTTTGACTTGTTTTCTATGTTGATATTCAAATCTTTTTAAATGAATAATAAGTTGATTAGGTAATTTCCATAGTTAAATTTATTTTTTGAAATCTCTATTAATTTTGCAATTGGGACATTTCCATTAACATGAACCTGATAAAAGTTCTGGTTCTTGAAATAAATCTAAACATTTATAGATTGAAACTTTTTATTTAGGAATTGGAAGATTAAGGAAGAGGAAAGGTTCAAATTTATGACTTTAGAATCCACATTCTTAACATTTACATGTAGATTTTAATTATCCTTAGAATAAATCTACAATAATGCTTCTATTAATCTTTAAATGTTCACCCCAACTATCTGCTGCCCATTTTGGATCAATATATTCACCTGTGTAATCTTTTGTTACACTTTTAGAGTTTGGCTATGATCTATTTAATTCTTGATGTAGTAAATCAAGAAGATAAGATAATAATTCTTAACAATCTTCCTAATCTGACAAATAATGAAAATTTGATTACCTCCTAATGCAAATCGTTTGCTATACTTTTGCAAGAGATTTAAAAGCTTTATTGGATTTATACATTTATTATAAGGTTTAAGTTTTTAACCTTATACAAGTAAACGAAAATCCTTAGATTCTGCAAAACAATTTTCATCATCCCATATTTGTTCCATTAGAGATACAAATGCTTTTGTTATATTTCCAGATGTTGGACAAGAAGAGTTAATTTTATAGGCTTTTGACAAGAAATAATCCACAAGTGGTTAAGTATGACTTATACAATGAATAGCTGTGTTAAAGTAACATGTATTCCCTAGATTTTTGAGTCCTACAACACCATGAACAACAGCACTATTAATGGTTTCTAATCGTTCAATCTTTTAATAATTTGGTTCTATTTTTAAATATGCTTTTGGAATATTTTGTCTCTAATTCTATACGAACCTATAACTGCCAACATTTTTATGATTTTCAAGATAAACTACAGGCACATTTAATTATCGATTCTACCCACTACCCATATAAAATAATAAAAAATAATATATATATCTCTAAACATCATTTTATAACTCCGATTATACTAATTTATTATAACATTAATTTATAGCTTATTCACCTCTTTTTCATAATATCCCTTTTTTTGATTGAGTTTTTAATTAAATTACATATACTTGACTCTTTTGATAACAAATTATCATATCAAATAATATGATATCTAAGACTTTGTGTGATCTTTGTTAATATTAAGATTCATTAATCAAACTTAAACATCTTATCAAATAGAAAAATGTTTTATTTAAGTAATAAAAATGTTTTATTTATTTAATTTTATACTATAAATACTTTAACAAAACATAATAGAAATTGAAATAATTTTAAAGATCACTTAAATTCATTTTATCTCTATATTTTATAACAAAGAATCCATTACTATTGTTGTGGTTATAATTATCTTTATAATTGTAAGAATTGTTCATGTTATATATTTAACTAATTTTATTAATCAAATAGATTATTAATCAATATATTCTAAACCTAGAAATTAATATTTTTTTACAAATTCTCGGATAGCATTTTATTTATAAGCATTATACTTATTATATAAACAATCTGATTGATTAAAATTAATTTAATTTATTTTTCTATTTAAAGAAACAACAATAATGCTTATATAAGCCTTTTTTTTTTATAATTTATCTTCTTGTTTTACTATAATATATTCCTGAACACTATCGTATTGAAATATAATAAATAGATATAATTAAAAAATAAATAACTTAAATATCGATAATATTGATCAAATAAAGACTCTATTTATAAAACAGATATTTTATAAATGATAAAATAGATTTGTACAATTTCAAAGACATCTTCAATATGCTTCTTTTAATGATATTTATAATGATTTCATATTATTTTATAATAAAAATTATAATTATCAAATCGAATGGATATAAATATTATGAGAAATGATGTCTCTCTAAGAAAGAAATTACTAAAATAACAATATTTCAAATATATATAATGAATATTTAATTTGATTAATGATGCTATTGAAATAGTTCTAATATTCTAAGATGTTAATAAAGAGAATAAATATGATTTGAGAAATATTTGTAATTTGATTATCTATTCTAATAGTAGATCAATTAACATCCTTTTATTAATTTTAGATTATTAAATATAAATAAATAGAGTAGCAAATATGACCATAATAATGAATTTAGCAATTTATGTAAATAGCCAATTATTTAAGATAGATGATAAATGAAAAAGGAATTGAATAAATATATAAATAAGCAAATAAATATGTATTAAAGAGATGAATATTTAAAATAGATTGAAAACTAAAAGCAATAATGTTAAATTAAATATGTATTTAACATATTAGAAGTACTTTTTATATAATTATCAGAAATGATAAAGTATGATCTTACAATTAAAAGTAAGTAATACACAAATCTTTCATCACTTTATTCTATAAGTTTTTATGATCAATGCATCATGAGATGGTTTTCTAAATATCATTTATTATTGTTATCTTCCTCCTATGTAGATTTATTTTAGTATAGTGAGAGAGACAATGCTTTTTATCGAAGGTAGCATTCTTAGGAGGTCAACTTTAGTTTTAAGTTTATTTCTTTCGGTTTCTTGTTTTTCAATTTACAAACTATCTCTTTTTGTTGATGGTAAATTAAGTTAGATCTATGAATGGTTTGTTGTTTCTTAGGATATCTTGGATTTCTTTTCATTAATCTATTTCAATTTAATTTCTTTGATAATAGTTTGTTTTTTCTTTTGACCAGCTCTAGTAAATTACAGTAACTTCAAATCAGAACTAATCGCTTATTGTGTTCTTGCTTCAAAATCATCATGTTTTCTTTCAAACCTTGTCTTTGGCCCACATCCATCACATGAGCAACTCTTACGTCTACTCATTTCTTTGATTCTTTTGATTGATTTGTGATGATATAATTCCATGTTATCTGTGAATAATATTGTCCTTTCTCTTTCTCTTCTACTTGGTCTAGTCTTCATTTTAACTTCATTAGAGAGTAGTGACATATGATAAAGGATACTCTTAGATCTGAATCCTAAATATAGAATTCAACATTTTAATGTACCTTCATCAATTAGAGATTTAGGAATTGACTTTGTATGAATAAAGGGACGTTTAGATTAATTTAAACTTGTTGATGTCATCATTCGATAATGCTTTAATTTTGAGGATTCTCTTAATTCCACAATAGTTTATTCATCAAATTAGGTGGTAAATCGTGTAGTATGATAAGATTATTTTACAAACATTTTTAATAATCAAAGATTATTAAATGAATATTATTATATAGAAAATTATATTCAAAATTGAAGACGAATCTGTAACCCAAACATTTGTAAATGAAGAGAAGTTTTAAATTAAATATAATATAATATTTGATTTTCAGACAATTATTTAAATATGAATTAAATTTAGTAAGACACTGAAGACCCAAGTTCAAAATTGAATTAGTTAATGTTAACTGATGAACCTATAGGTGAAATTTAAGATTTTCTCAATTATTCATTATCAGAAGGTAACTTTTCAATACAAGGATCAAAAATCAATGGAAATAATAATTAGAAGAGTCACAGTTCTAAATAAAAAGCTCATGAAGGCAAAAGAGTTTAATTTGATTCAACACCCAATAGTCCCTCGGCTCATTTCCTTGTAAATAATAAGAGTATTAGACTCTCTGAACCTCCTCAACAATTACATCAATAATAACAAATATACAGTGTCATTTAATTTTGTTTCATTAAGAGGTTCATTAATCGAATAAGTTGGAAAAAGAAAATAAATGCTTAATTTAATTACTATCAATATAACATACTAAAAGATTTAGGCTCATCATTTAATCTAAAACTCTTTAGAGATAGTGCCCTTAATCTTAAACCAATGATTAGTCAATTTAGTAACTCAAATGATAATTTCAATTAGAGTCTCAAAAAGAAGTAATCATAATAAATCTAATAAATCTAGGGAATTCACAAAAAAATTATCAAGACATTATTCTAATTTAAAATCTTGCACTAACAATTTATATAAAAAGATAGAATCAGAATTAGAAAAAATACCTTTGATCTCTCCAGAATCTCGATTAAAGATAGTTTGGGATTGTGTAGTAATGATAAGTAGATTATATTTTCTATTTACTATTCCATTGGATCTAGCTTGGAATCAATAATAAATAATTTATGGCCAATTATATACACCTACCATTCTTATGATAATGCTTTTAGTCATAGATTTTATTCTAAGCTTTAATAATTCATTTTACTAATTTGGATAAATTGTTAGTAACAGAGTTACAATAGCCAAAAATGTAATTAGTAAAAGTTATGGTTTAGAAGCCATCTCTATTCTGATTTTAGTTATATATGCTATAATTTTTAATTCTTCTAAATAAGGATTTAATTTGATGGATGATTGGTGGGATCTATTAATGTTGTTATTTTATGTACAATGCAGGAATATTCCTAAATTAATTAGTTAAATAGAAGAAACTTTAAATTTATCCAAACCCAGTAGTTCATTATTAGAATTATTTAAATTGCTATTAGTTTTATTCTTTGTTTTACATTGCTATTCATGTCTTTGGTACTTTGTAATTATTAATATAAATTATTTATTTAGGTTGGTTATTACAGTTAATTATATTAAGAAAAAGGAAGCTGGTTAGAATTTTATCATATTGAAAATGAAACTTGGTAAGTCTAATATTTGTATTCTTTTTATTTCTCTACTGTAACAATGTTCACTATTGGTTATGGAGATGTTGTACCTATTAGTTATTTAGAAAGAATTGTTGCAATCCTTTATATGATGATTTGTAGTATTCAATTAAGTTACAGTGTAAGTACTGTGGGAGCAATCATTGATACAATATCTGCTTATGGATAAGAGAAGATGAGAAAAATGAGAAAGATAAATACTTATATGCAAAATAGAAAAATTGAATATGAATTACAATATTAAATTAGAGAATATTTAAATTATTATTGGGAATCATAAAATCAAGTAGAAAATGATGAATTAAATGAGATTATAAATTAATTATCAGAAAATTTAAGAGAAAAATTAATGAATTAATCAAATTCAATGATTTTAAATGAATGTCCTTTATTTAAAAATAATTTTAGTGATGCTTTAAAAACTAAATTAGTTCATAAAATTAAACCTGCAGTTATTTAACCAGAGAATATTATCAATTTTGATTCAATATTCCCTTCAGTACCAGCAGGTTAATTATATGTATGTTTTGTTGAATTTGGAGATATTTAAATCTTTATTTAGAATGATCAAATTGATTAAATCTTAGAAAATCCACAAATTGCTGAAGTTAGCAAAGTTGGAAAAGGTTCAAGTCTAGGTATTATCAGTTTTATTAGTGGGAAATAATCATAAGAAAGATTTAGAAGTATAGGATTTTCTAAATTATTAATGTTATCTAGAGATGACTTTTTAAAAGTCATTTAAGATTTTCCAGAAGATTATGAAAGATTTAGAAATCTATATGATAGTATTTAATTTGATGATGTAAGTGCATTACACATGAAATGTTTTAGTTGCAATTCAAGTTATCATAGAGTTCTTCAATGTCCCTTATTACATTATATTCCAGATAGAGAATTGATTATAAAAAGACATTAATTTAGTTCAAATTAAACAAGAAATAAACATTTTTTAAGAAATCCATTTAGACAAAGAGGATATTTTGCTGCTCGATTTGATTAAGAAATTATTGAATAAGAAGCATCTTCATTTAATAATAACAATTGGAAATGGGCAGAATTCTATGAAGAACCTGATGATGAAATACTAAAAAAAAGTGATGTTTAAAATAATTAAGTTACCCTTGATTAAAGTAGTTCTAATCTACAAATTTTAAACTAACCTTAATTATAATAGATATCCAATTCAACTTCTTTTCTTTCTGTAATTGATCAATCTCCAAAATTAAATTTAGAACCTCCAATTACAAAAAAGAAAGCTACTCTATTTAAATAAAGAACAAAAACTATTGAATTAATGGATATAGATGATAAAACTTTGAAAGCATCTTTAATGAGTAAAGCCAGAAATTAGAATATTTTGAATAATAATCTGATGATTATTAAAGAAGAGGATTAATTTGAAAATTCTCCAAAGAGCAAATTCAGTAAGATGAGACCTTCGGTTACTATTGAATTAAATCCTCATAGAGTTAAACAAAACATTTAAAAAATGAAAAGAGTAGTTAAAGTAATTACAAACATGAATAGAATAAAAAAAAGGCAAAAACTTAAAAAAGAGACTAAATAAATTGTAAATTCGTTTTTAGAGATTATTTAAACTTAAAATTATATGAAAGGAATATAAGCTAAAGTGAGAATTCGATTAAAATAGATACAAGATGGTAAAAAATAAATCTTATCAGAAAAGGATATTGCAGATACTATGTTATTAGAAATTAAATTAAAAATGTAAATAAACCTATTAAATGAATACTAAAAGAAAGATTAATAATTAGTGATGGAATCATATAAAAAGTTTAAACATTACTAAATTTAAAATAATTTAGATTCAATATTAGAAAGAATGTATTTTTATTAATAGTAGCATTTATTGAATAATTAAATTAAAGATTATTAATCCTAATTATTGAAATATATGATCTATCCTGAAATATTCTTTGAAAAATACAGGTATTAACAGATTATTATACCAAAATTTGATATTATAGAATCTAGAAGAGACTCTGAAGTTGAGTCTGAACATACTTTAAGGCGAAGTAAAATGCTAAAGAAAAGCTTCAGAAATGTTAAATCAACTTAAGTGAGACCTGCATCAGAAGGAACAGGTAAATTGCATTTTTGAGTGATGATTTATTTTATGTATTTAATATATAAAAATCATACAAATTAATAATTATTTCCAATGGAAATTTAAATTAAATATCAGTTACACATAACAAAATAAAATGTTAAAAATTTTAGTATATTGTATTTTTTCTATAGATATTAATTTATTTCAAAATGACATTATAAAAATATTGAAATTTATAGATAAAGCTTAATTTCAAGTTGTTTATAAAGAGATAAGAAAAAGGAATTAAGAAATAAATGCATATAAAGAATTACATCATGAAATCAAAATCGAAAATAAAGAAAGGTATTGATTATTAAATGATGTTATTGTATTAATTTACATTCATTCATTGTATATTACTATGAGAGGTATCAATATTATTGATAAAAAAATAGCTAACATTTTATATGTCATACTTAAATACATCTCTAGAGTTAATATGATTAATCAAATTAAGAATTTCAAATTAGTAAAGATTTCATAAATCTGGTAGATATTCATTCATCTATATTCTTTGTCTATCAATAGATGTCATAATAGAACTTCAAAAATTTACATTGAAATATTAAATCTGCAAATATATATATTCTTAGTTAAAATTACAATATCAAACTTGGAGATTTTGGGTGAAAATTCCAAATTTTGTAAAACCTAAGCTGAACAATTTTATTAATTGACTCCAGAATAAATCAATGAGACTCATTTTTTTGAAAGTATTATTATATGGACATGAATGAACAGTTTGAAAATTCCATTTGAGGCCACTAATCAATTCAATTTAGGCATAAAAATAAAAACTAGTCATTTTGATAAAACTCTTTTATGATTTTCTGAGTATTTTAATCTATTTATTATTTCAATGCTTGTTGTAGTAATTATTTATGATAAATATAGAATATTGAAAAAAGATCTAGTTATAATGGAGATTCTAAATAAGAATGAATTAATTATAGAATCAAAGAGAAAATGAATATAAGTATAAGTATTAATCAAATTGAAAGAAATAAGAAATAAGGAAGACAATAGTTAAAATGATGATAATAAAGGTTGAATAAGTAAAGTAATTGTGATTATAAAATCTTAAATCAATACATTAAAAAATTATTCTTATTTATGTATTTATTAAGGATAACAATGATATATTAATTAATAATCCTTTTAAAAAAATATGAACAAAATTAAGTTTTAAATGAAAAGTTATTATGTTCAGGAATTTTTGAATATCAAAGAATCATGGAGGAAATCATTTAAAGTGGCTGTAGTGATTATAGTGATTGAGAATATCTAAATGTTATCCATATATACTTTGAGATTGCATGATTTTGAATACGATTAATTTTAAAATCATATATAGATTGTAATAGATTATTTTAGGTCAAGTTATTTGATTATATATTAGATTTTACACAATAGTTGGAAATTCCATCACCTTAAGAATTATTTTTATAATAGGAGGATTTATATTATAAGGACTTATTATTTTATTACTGCTGTGTTAAATATTGAAATAGAAAGTGTTTTTGACGAAAAATAAAGATATTCAAAATTTAGCAATTGAATAGGTAAAATTAATGGACTAAATTAGAATCTTGAATCAAATGTTTAATAAAATCATATAATAAATTTGATTTTTTCATTTTTTTTTTAGATCCATTAAGGAATTTTTTAGATTCCATTACTATTTTGTGGATTAAGTTTAATAAATGATATATTCAAATAGTTTGTTTCCTACCAAAATAAAGAAAGTAAAGGTTATTTTGAATTGTTTGGTATTGTTTCTGGTTTTATTATAATTGGTTTACAAATTTTAATTGGATCATTAATAAATTTACATTAGTTTGATCATCGAATGAAAAATTTTGATTATTTAGGGAAATTTTAATCATAAATGATCCATTTTCTATATGCACTTTAATTATTGTAATTATTTATAATAAATAAAAAATTAGAGTAATATTATTGGCTGGTATTTAAGCATAAGCCTTACTTGTATAAGTTTTAGGAATAATTATATCAGTAATATAAATAATTTGCGATTATAATTAATATATTTATATAGATTATAGAATATCAAGATTAAATCTTAGAATAGTTGTGTTAACTCTTATGTATTAAATTTAATTAATTATATGTTAATTGAGTTAACCTAAATTAAAGATTAGTATCTTATTATTAATTTTATTATTTTATCCTCCTTTAATATTATTAACTAATGAAATTCTGATTAGATAAGATATAAGATATACTAAAATTAAGAATGGAGATTTAGAAAAATATCTAAGAAGATTATATATTATATTTGAATAATAAATGGATTTGAAAAAGTAAAAAGGATACCTAGATCCTAAATAATCATTAGAAATTTTCACATTTATATCAAGTCATTTAAGTGAATGTAAAATATAAAGAGAAAAGAAGATGCAGATGAATATCAAACTAAAATATAAGTGTTTTTGTTAAGATTTTTATACTAAAATGGATTCTTTTTAAAATTTTGAGTCAATTAAATAATTTACTAAAGGTTTGATTGGATAAAAATTTGAAAATGAAATTATTGAAAAAGTAGATTCTAAGCTTATTTTAACTTATATATACTTTTTGGTTTAAATTAAAAAAGTACCAACTTAAGCAATTTATGAAGTCATTCGATTCTCCATAATTTAAAAAGTATTGATATTATTAAATATTTATAAGGACTAATCAATAAAATAAAAGGCTATTATTTCGAAATTAAAATAGGATGCTTTATAAAAATTTAGTGAATTAGTTAAAAAAAATGATCTTGTTAATTAAAAATTTGTTTTTAAGAAAGTTTATTAATTCGAAGAATCATTAAAATCTATAAAACATAATTTATGTATTGTGATAAAGTAAGAAAAGGTATATATTTAAAAATAAAATAGGATTTTTATGGATGTATTCTATAGTAAGTTATTAATATTGATAAGCTTTTAGATGTAGGACATAAATTAATTGAAAATATAAAAATTCTTGAAAATTAATTCTAATTATTATTTAGAACAAATCCATTAAATAATGAATGTGACACAATTTATAACATTTTTCATAAATATGTAAATTATAATAAACCCAGACCAAAATTATATAAAAGAGAAGGTCAAATAATGATGCAATTTTTATAATCAGAAGAGAAGATAATTTATGATCCTGGTAGCTGTGTAATATAAATAACTTTAATGTAACCAAGAGGAAATGTAATAAGATATACTAGATCATTTTAAAATGCTATAGGATATAAAGATGAAGAGATTTAAGATCAAAATATAAATAAATTTATGCCATAAATAATAGCAAATGATCATGATTTATATTTAGATAATTTTGTTGAGAGAGGTAGAATAAATGTAGTTAAAAATGCTGTAAGAGTAATTTTAGGAAAGAATAAATCATAATTTGTAGTTCCTATTAATACTAGATTAAGAATAGAAGCAAGTCCAACTGAATTTGGAGCTACAGCTCTAATTACACCAGTAAATCTAACATATGGATATATGATGTTAAATGAATAAGGATAAATTGAAGAATTAACATAAAATTTATTTGAAGAAGTTTTTGAGAAACATTTAGGATTTGAAGTTGATTAAATAAAAGGATTAGATTGTTTATTTTTTATTCCTGAATTATCTAAAATTTGGGATACATTATTTGATGATAATTTTGATAGATTAGATAAAAAATTAGATTGTTAATTAATACTACCTTTGATGACTAAATAAATGACTAGAAGTTTAATACGTTCAAGATCTAATATATTTTCAAAATAAAATGTTTAATCAAGTATTGCTAAATAAATTGAAAATTTACCTAATGATAATATAATTTATTAAGTTTCTCTTCATTTAATGAGTTTAATTACTATAAATCTTAGGTAAAATTAATATTTATTTTTAGATTAGTAATTGTTGAAATTCCTGAATATAAATAATTAATGAATCAAAAAATAACAAGTAGATAATTAGTATAATTAAGAAATAGATCATCAATATTAATTAATACTTAATCATAAAAGGAAATTTAAACTTAAAAAACAGATATTAATTTATTATCTATGAATTCTCCTCCAAGAGGTCTTTTAAATGAATGTAATTTAGAATATGAAAATTTAATTGAAGATATTAAAATGATTGAAGAATTTAAAAATTAATTAGCATCAATTAATATTAATAGAACTGCTTAAAATAAATTAAATGATCTATTTTTATTATAAAATAGTGATAGAAGAATAAATGAATTTCAAAATGAACCTTCAGAAAAGAGTAATGATTTAAGTGAAGCAGATTCAGAAGTTAAAGATAATGCATAATAATAATAATAATAATAATAATATAATTGTGGATCTGTAGGAAGTTAATAATCTTAAAATAATACTACTGCTCTTAAAAGATAAATTAAAGATTGTTTATCAGATTCAAAGGGAACCAATATTAAAACAAAACTATTTCTTCTTTTAATATATGTCATAATAATGTCAGGATTTCTTATTAATTACTTGATATTGTATTATAATTTCGAGAAAATTCATGAAAACTAAAATTATGAAAATTTACCATTCTAATTTTCCTATTACTATAATGAATTCATCATTGACTAATCTTTCTTAGCTTATGATTAATTTAATTTTACAGAATTAAGTTAAATTGCTTTTAAATATTTCATAATAAATATTAAAAATATTGACAAAACTATTGTTTTATTACCTCACATTAATATAATTAATAATCTAACTATGGAAAGTAGAGTATTAAATATTATATCTTAACTAACTAAAGTTATTAATATGAATTATAAAATCAATTAAAATGAATTCTATAATAACACTGATGCTTTTAATATTTAGATCGATGAAATTGAAAATACAGATTCCACAAAAAATCTACGTAGTTTATCAATCTTGTAAGTATATCGTTTTTCATTTTAGCGTAATTGTTGAAGAAATAATCTTATTTATTTTACTAGCACAATACCTATATTTCTTTATTTAAATAATTAAAATGAAATAAAAAATTTATAAATTGTTTTGTACTTTCTCAAAAGAATTAATTTCAGAACTTTTTGTTTAATTCACTTCACTTTATGCTTAATTAAACAATACTAGATTTAGAAATTATGAAACAGATGAAGAATAATTTGAAACTACAATGATGCGTCAATATTAAAAAACAGTAACATCTAATATGTTAGAACATCATAAAAAAGTTGGAAAAGAAATTTAATTAAAAAGTAAAGTATTTTAATAAATTATATAGAAATTAATTCAGCATAAATCTTATTCTTTTTATTCATGTTTATGTATGCCATACTTTGTTCTTCTTATTTTATTGGAAGTTTGATCTTATAATAAGTTACTTAATAAAGTGTATCTGCAAGATATCAAGAAAAAACTTCATTTTCATTAACATTAAATTCTTTAGCATCCAATTTTGCTTAATAAACTATACTCTTAAATCATACAATAACAACTGAAATGATTGATACTTATAAAATTGCTGTATAATAATTAGGGATATTAAGTACAAGTCTTCCTTTATATCAAAAAGAGCAAAACTCTTAAGTTTATGGAATCTTAATCGAAAATTTGTGCGATTTGTTTTAAAGTTAATTGTAAAAATAATATATTAAATATAGATCTTATAGTTATGAAGATTATTAGGATCTTTTCAGTCTTGAATAATGTTAATCTATATCTAATCTTGATCAGGGATTAAGTTCAGTAGTTTAAGGTTTATATTAGAATTAATTTGATTTTTTATAAACTATTTCTACAAGAAGTTTAAATGCAACTTAGAAATACACTTATGATAATCCATTAATTCAAGTATAAAGATTATATGCTTAATATGGATTTTAAGTAATAGTTGAAATACTTACAAAATAAATCAAGTCTTTGATAAACTCAACATTTATAATTAACACAGCCGTCTTTATTTTAGCTTGTATAATTATGAGCATTTCATTGATGACCACTAAAATTATGATTGAAAAAGTTAAATATTAGTATTAGGATTGTAAATAACTATTAACACTTTTTCCATTTGAAAAATTAATGGAAAATGCATATGTAATAGGTTTTATAACACATGATTTGCGTTTTAAAGTTTGAAATATAAAGCTATTTATAAATTAAAATATGTTTTTATATCAAATTTAATATTTTTCTGTAAATTCATAAACTTTTTAAGATGAATCAATTTATCCTAATGATAGAATTAGTTATAAAATAATCATAATGAAATCAATGTTCATAATTCACATGTTAAATCTATATGTGAAAATATAAATACAAAGTTTAAAATTTAAATATTAAAATTTTACGTTGTTTCACAAACTTGTCAGAAACAATTCTTATGAAAAGTTTATTTATTTGTATGAATTATCAATATATTACTAAAATGTCTCTTTCAAATCTAATTTGAAATTTAGATTGATTGTTTATGATATGAAATGTATTTAAAATAATAATGATAAGGTTGACAAGCCTTATATTCTTTATGGAATAAAATTGATTAGTTTTTTAAGAATTATAATAACATGATGTCTTAATTTACAAAAGGTAGAAATGTATTATAAAATCTAATTAGGATTAGCAAAATGCGACGTATTTGGTTAGACCATTACTTTAAGAATGAATAAATAAAATTTTTACAAGACAGCTTTTGGAGGATGTGTATCTCTAGTATTATTTATTACCATGTTGTTGATTTTTTCTCAAAATTTAATCTCATTTTTGAATAAAGAAAATTTAACTGCCACAGTATTAACCTCATTTGAAGAATTTCCATCTTTGGCTACCTTGAATGATAATACTTTTGCATTTGCTATTCAAATTGAATAAAGTGATTTCATCTAAAATCCTTATTTTAATATTTAAGTTGAACAGAAACACATAAATAGATATTTAAATGGATCAAAAATTGAGAATACTTCTCAACTTACTCTTATACCATGCACATTAGATAGATTTACAAATATATTTAATAAATATGATGTGAATATAACAAAATAATTTTATGAATTAGATCTATAGAATTTCTTGTGCTTTGAGTAAAAAATAATATAAATTAGTTTAGTTATAATTCTACTTTTACTATTCAAGGTACCAATTCAAGTAAATATAATCAAATAATTTAAAGATTAACAATTTTTGTATTTGAAAATTTCAGTAAATAATTGTGTTTCAAATAAATAATGTGCTACTGAGACTGAAAGATAAAATGAAATCGAAAAGAATGGCTCATTTAAATTGAAACTTTATACGGTCAATTAAGTTTATTAAATTTTTATATTTTTTAGATATTAAATCCCTAAAATCCTGATGAATAATTTTTATAAACTTTCATTGATGATTCTTTTTACTTTAAATTTTTACCTTCAGAAGTATTCAAAACAGTAGATATCTTTTTAAAAGAATATGAAGTACTTAATGATTTAAGTTTAACTCCATTCAGTGATATCTAATTATCAAAATTTTATATTCTAGATCAATCTGAAGTAAAAGAGAGATTGGAATTTAAATCTAAATCTTCAAATGATATAGCTACTATATTCTTTCGAAAAAGTCCTTATAAAACAACTGTTTACAGAAGTTACTTAAAAATTGATGAACTATTATCAAATTTAGGTGGAATCTAATAAATATTCTTTTTTTTTCTTGGTATTATTCTATCACTTTATAACAGATTTTAATGTATTATTTTTAATTAAATTAAGTACTTGTAGAATTAGCCAATAAATTATATGAATTTTCTTTAATACATTTATAACATGAAAAAATTCAAGAAGAAAATTTAGAATAAATAAATCATTTTACTACAGAAAGATAAGAAGAATTAAGAACTCGTAGAATTACTGATTAAGATTTAGAAATTAAACTTGTTAATCCAAGTTAAATTAAATAAAAGGAAAAAAATGGAATTTTAAAATTTGGTTTTAAGCTTAAAGAAGATGATTAAGAAATAAATGATTAAGATGATGAGGATAAAAATATTAAAGAAATTCATAGTAAATTTTAAAGAACATCAACTAAATTAATTAAAAATCCATTTGCAAATAAAATCATACCTGAAAATGGTTTATAATATTTCAAATAATAAATTATTACAATAATAAATAGATCATAACCAGTTTTATTAACATTTAGTATGATTATCAATTTCATAACATGTAATAATTGTTGCTCAAACAAAAAGCATATTTAATTAATGAATAAAGCTATGTAAAATAAACTTATTTTTCATTTTAGAGACTAGATTACCGATTAGATAGATTTATTTAATATACTTACTAAATTAAATGAATTAGATAAAATGAAAGAAGTTATTTTTACACCTGAATAATTATTGATGTTTAATTTTACTCCTAAACCAATGATATCATTAGATATGACTAAAAAGACAATAAATAGATAATATTTTGAGTAAAGATCCAAATGTGATATTGAAATTTAGTAAAATATTTAAATAATCTTATAGGCCTAACGAAAGAGAATAAAAAAATTATCAAAATAGATTACCTTCCCAAAGAGGAATGCATTTAAGAGGGGATGCTTAATTATATTAGGATATTTATAATGTAGAATTAATTCTAATAATAATATAGGCATATGATGAAGTTCTTTAAGATTAACAAGAAAATATTATCAATTAACAATTGATAAAGAAATTAGGTCCTGAAGTTTAAGCTATTTTTAAATTATCTAAATATATAGATCAATAAAAATTGTCTGCAAGAACATAAAAAAGGAAGAATCTATTATAATAACAAGAACCTCCTAGTATTGATTGATTTTAATGATATTAGCACTATATTATTTATATCTTTCTAAACTTTAATATTCAAAAATTAAATCTGGTTATTAAGAATAATTTATTTATAAAATCTAGATTATTATATATATATATATATTTTTAATTAATCATTAACTTTATTAATGAATCAGTAAATTTCATAGGATTAAAATAATATAATATATTAGATAAAAAATAAATATATAATTATAGTTAAAGTTAGTATAATTTTGATTTAATAAGACTAGATAGTAAATATAATTTATTATATTATAGAATTTATTTCCTCTTTAATTTCGTAGTCTATTAAAATACACAATCATTATAAGGTGATATGTAAGATTTATATTAAAATACATTATTTATTGATTTTTAATTATATAAGTTTAAAATGATTTTCAAAGGAGACATATAATAAGGAAATTTTTATAGCAATTTAAGGAAATAAATTATAAATAAACTGATAATAGAGATATATGGATTTTACAGATTTTCTAAATTTTAATAATATATAATCGATCAGAGTAAAAGATTAATGAAAACAAGGAATGTAAATTAAATTGTAAATAATAAGAAATAATAAATTTGATTCTTATTACTAATACATTTAATTTGTGATAATCAATACTTATCTTTATAGAAATGATATTGAAAGAATTAAGAATTTATTATTATTTCATGTTTTATTGTATTGTACTAAAATATTATTGCTCATTATTTTCTTTATACTTTCTTGCTTGCACCTCTTTTTTAATAGAAAACATCATCTCTTTTGAATTCAAATTCTATATCTCTTGTTGTTAATAATTTATAGACAGCTTTTATTGCATCAAGTCTAGGCTCTAATTCTGCTTAGTCTTATTCATCCAAGAAGCTAAAATTATTTACTAATCTTTACATTCTATAGAATTTTGAACCATCAACTCTTACTCTTGTTCTTCTTCCTAAAATGAAAGTTGGTGCAATAAGGTCTTCAAGAATTGCATCATAAACTGAAATGAGGGTTCTTGAATTTGGTCTTGTTTATGATCTATGCTTCTTGACCCATTTACTTTCAATTGTTCTTTTGGCAACAACAAGAATAGTTGCTTTAAGTCTCTTTTCTAATTCTGGTAATAATTTTGAGCTATTTTAATTTCACATTTTATAGTACCTAACTTTATTGAAAACGGATAAGCAAGGATGAGGAATGTATACTAAATAAACCTACTTCTTGGCATTAATTTTAGCTGTATAATCAACCACTGATGAGAGTTTAAGATTCTTAGCATCAGCTAGTGATTGCTCAATTTAAGTCAATGCAACACCAACTTATTATTCAAGATTTGATAACTTATAAATGAACAAATTATTTACTTCTATCTTTTTCCAAAACTTGTTAGCTGCCATTCTTGATAAAAATTTGATTTTTTATTTAAATCTTTTTTATTAATAATTCAGACAACCTTCTTTTAATACAATCTACTCCAATCAACATATTATTCTTATGAAAAATGTAATAATGTATCAAAACAAAAATGAGAATACAATTTTTGTAATTTTTACTTATAAAACACAAACTTTATTATATAAACATATATTTTTGAGATTATATTCATAATTTAGTTATTTACAAGAGAGATTAAGAGTTTAAAATAATTTCCAAAGAAAAAATTAAAAATTATTTGTATTGATTTAATTATTATATTTTTTTATCTTCTCTCTATTAAATAACTTAGAATAGCTAATAAATGTTTAATACTCTTTTATTTTATTGAAAAATAAGTTTGTTATTCAATATATATGAGAATTTTATTAGTATTATATTTAGTTTTCATCATTAGAATTAGGATGTTTTTGACATTTTTTTGACATAAATTCAAACAAAATAAATAAAAAGAAAAATATTTTTTTTTTTTTTGAAAATTAGAAACTTCTAGAACTAAAATTTGAGTATAAATGAAATTCGATTCACAGATTAATTTTAAGTTTAAATTAAATAATGGCAACAGAGTAAAAGAAAGAAGAGTAATTCCATTTCAATGCAGATATCCAACAATTAATGGGTTTAATTATCAACACATTCTATTCTAACAAGGAAATTTTCTTGAGAGAATTGATCTCCAATGCTTCAGATGCATTAGATAAGATTAGATATAAGTCTATTACAGACCCAGACACTGCTGGTTTGAATGTTGAACCAAATTTCAAGATCAAGATTGTCCCAGATAAGAATAACAATACTTTGACTATTTAGGATACAGGTATTGGTATGACAAGAGATGAAATGATTAATAACTTGGGTACCATTGCAAAATCAGGTACCAAGGCTTTCATGGAAGCTTTGAGTTCAGGAGCTGATATTTCTATGATTGGACAATTTGGTGTTGGTTTCTACTCTGCTTATTTGGTTGCTGATAAGGTTGTTGTCATCTCAAAAGCTATCGGTGAATAATAATACAGATGGGAATCATAAGCCGGTGGTACATTCTTTGTCTTTGATGATTCTGAAAACCCAGTCTAATTGACAAGAGGTTCAGTCATCATCTTACATATGAAATAAGATAACTTAGAATTTTTAGAAGAAAAGAGAATCAAGGATTTGGTTAAGAAACATTCAGAATTCATTGGATTCCCAATTGAATTATAAATTGAAAAGACAACTGAAAAGGAAGTCAGTGATGATGAAGATGAAAATAAGGAAAAAAAGGCTGAAGAAGGTGAAGTTTAAGAAGAGAAAGATAAGGCTGAAAAGAAGAAGAAGAAGATCAAGGAAGTCAGTACTGAATTCGAATAAGTTAATAAGAACAAGCCTTTATGGATGAAGAAATAAGAAGAAGTCACCAAAGAAGAATATGCTAATTTCTATAAATAATTGACCAACGATTGGGAAGAACATTTGTCAGTCAAATAATTCTCAGTTGAAGGTGGTTTGGAATTCAAGGCAGTTCTCTTCATTCCAAAGAGAGCACCATTTGATTTGTTCGAAACAAAAAAGAAGAAGAACAATATCAAATTGTATGTTAGAAGAGTATTCATTATGGATGATTGTGAAGAATTGATCCCTGAATATTTGGGATTCGTTAAGGGAGTTGTTGATTCTGAAGATTTACCCTTAAATATTTCAAGAGAATTCTTGTAACATAACAAGATCTTGAAAGTCATTAAGAAGAACATCACAAAGAAATGCATTGAAATGATCACAGAAATCTGTGAAAATGCTGAAGATTATAAGAAATTCTATGAATAATTCTCAAAGAATCTTAAATTAGGTATCCATGAAGATTCAGCCAATAGAACCAAATTGAGCGAATTCCTCAGATTCCATACATCAAAGAGTGGTGAAGAATTAATTTCACTCAAGGATTATGTAGGAAGAATGAAGGAAGGATAAAAAGATATCTTCTTCATTACAGGAGAATCAAAGGCTTCAGTTGCTGCTTCACCATTTGTTGAAGCTTTAAAGAAGAAGGATTATGAAGTTCTTTATATGATTGACCCAATCGATGAATATGTTATCTAATAATTGAAAGAATTTGATGGAAAGAAATTAAAGAATTGCACAAAGGAAGGATTAGATTTAGATTAAACTGAAGATGAAAAGAAGAAATTTGAAGAATAAAAGTCAGCATTTGAAGGATTATGCAAATTAATCAAGGAAATCTTGGGAGACAAGGTTGAAAAGGTCTAATTAGGATAAAGATTAGATTTATCACCATGTGTTTTGGTTACAGGAGAATATGGATGGTCTGCCAATATGGAAAGAATCATGAAAGCTTAAGCTTTGAGAGATCCATCAATGAGCAGCTATATGATGTCAAAGAAGACATTAGAAATTAATGCCAATCATCCAATTCTTACTGAATTAAAGAAGAAATCAGATAAAGATAAGAGTGATAAGACAGTCAAAGATCTTATTTGGTTACTTTATGAAACTGCTCTTCTTACTTCTGGATTCAGTCTTGATGACCCAACTCACTTCGCTAACAGAATCCACAAGATGATTAAACTCGGTTTATCAATTGATGATGCTGGTATTGAAGAAGAAGATGAAAAACTTCCTTAATTAGAGGTATTATTAATAATTTATATTTTTCTTAGAAAAAGGAAGATGCTAACACTGAAGCCACCAAATCAAAGATGGAAGAAGTTGATTGATTTATGTTCATTGTGTGTGTTTTAAATATACAGTAATTTAACATTAAATAATTCGATTATCTTTTTACTATAAAATATTGATCATTTATGTTTACATAAATTTTATTTATCTAATCCAATGGGTTGTCGAGTATCAAATATTGCACCTCATATGTCATATTCGACTAAGGTTTAAGAAGCTACAGAAGGACAAACTGAAATTAGAAGAAATGTGAAATATACTACTTAATTACTCTCTATTCCTGAATAAGGGATTCTGAATTTACAAGATTTATTTTCAAAAAAAGCTGAGAAATATGCTGTAAAATAATGCTTAGGTTCATTTATTGGAGATGATTTCTCTTTTATGACTTATTCATAAGTTTAAGAAGAAGCCATCCATTTAGGAAGTGGGTATTTGTGTATAATAGATTATTTAGGATTAAAACATGGGGTTTAGCAAATGAAGTTAATGAATATAAGAATTATAAAATGAAATTAATAGGAGTGTTTAGTAAAAATAGAAGAGAATGGGTGATTCTTGATATTGCTAATATATTATATGGATATACTATGGTTCCTTTTTATGATACTTTGGGTAAAATTAGATTTTAATAATTAATAGGTCCAGATTCAATACCATTCATCTTAAACCAGACCAATATTGAAACAATGTTTTTAAGTGCAGATGCTACAAAATCATTACTAAAATGTAAAGATAAATACAAATTATAAAATTTGGTTTTATTTGATCCACTTACAGACGAATAAGAAAGAGTATTACTATCTGTGCAAATTAGGAATTGAAAACTAAAGGATATAAATTATTTAAATACTAAGATGTTGTATAAAATGGCAAATATCAAATCTAACCACTTGCTTAAATTTATCCAGAAACTATGTATACTATTTGTTATACTTCTGGAACTACTGGAAATCCAAAAGGTGCTTTAATAACACATGGTAATTTTGTGTCTGCTGTAGCTAGTACACTAGTTACAGATGCATAAATAAATGAAAATGATGTCTATCTATCTTATTTACCTTTACCTCATGTTATGGAGAGATTAATAGTAATATCATTACTATATGTGGGTGCATAAATAGGGTAATTTATATATATATATCAATATTTTTTAGATTTTATAGAGGAGATCCAAATTTGTTAAAAGAAGATATTTTAAAATTAAGACCCACCATTTTTGTATCAGTACCTAGACTTTACAATAAATTCTATGATGGAATCAAAGCTAAAATTTAAGAAGTCACAGGATTAAAAAAGATGTTTGTTGAATAAGCTATTAGTTCTAAATTATCTATTTTAAGGTAAGAAGCAAGATATACAAATTCATTATTTGATAAGGCTTTTGAAGGAGTCAAACAATTATTTGGAGGTAGATGTAGATTGATGGTAACAGGATCAGCACCAATTTAATAAGATGTTATTGATTTTTTAAAAATATCTGCTTGTTGCCCTTTTTTGGAAGGTTATGGATAAACTGAATCTTCTGCTTTATCATTTTCAACAGCTATTTGGGATCCTGTATCTTCTCATTTAGGTGGACCAGCAGCTAATACTGAATTCAAATTAGTTGATGTTCCTGAAATGAATTATACTGCTAAAGATACAATAACAATTCATAAAGGAGACTAAGTTGAAATATAAGCAATTCCCAGAGGAGAAATATGTTTAAGAGGACCTGGTGTATTTGTAGGTTATTATAAGGATCCATAGAAAACAGCAGAAGCTTTGGATTCAGATGGATGGTTACATACAGGTGATATTGGAATGATTACTTAATAAGGAGGTGTAAAGATTATTGATAGAAAGAAAAACATTTTTAAATTATCTTAAGGAGAGTATATAGCACCAGAAAAGATTGAATCAGTTTATAATAGAGTTTAAGGAGTAGCAGAAAGTTTTGTATATGGAGATTCACTTTAAAATTAAATTGTAGCAATTATAGTTCCTTAAAGTGATTATATATAGAAATAAGCAGCTTTGATGTAAATTTAAGGAAACTTTGAAGAAATTTGCTAAAATTAAAAGATGATATCTTTGATTTAACAAAACATTGAAATTTTTAGTAGATAAAATTAACTTAATTCATTGGAAATTGTATATTTATTAAAAATAATATTAGGCAAAATTAATTTATTTAGAACATTAACCTCTATAAAATTTAGGATGTCTCACTTCCACTTTAAAATTGCAAAGACATGTTGCCAAATAAGTGTTTGCTAAATAAATTGAAAATCTATATAAATAAAAAGTTTGATGATGCAATTAATGAATACAATTAAATATATATTTGAGAAATTATTTAATCAAACTTAAAAATCAACCTAATGATCATTCTTATACTTTTAAGTATGGATGTTGTTTACCTTAATATTTCTTTAGAATTGTGTAATAAAAACGATTCTTAACTTAATTTTCCTTAAAATAGAATGACTATATTACCGATCTGTTTTTAAGTATTTTGGCAATAATAGCCCATTTAGCTCCTCCTTTATTGTATTCTTCCAAAATGATTTTATCCTCTTCTGTTGACCATTCATTATGTGTTATAGATGGATCTATTTAATTCACATATCTATCTCTAACTTATTTTGAAGTCCTACCTGGTAATCCTAAATACTAATAATAACTTGTACTTTAACTTATTTTGATCCATTGTCTTCCAAATTCTTTAAATGCATCTATTAAAATTTGATCTTCAGCAATCGACCATTTCTTTTTTGTTCTTTTTTCTTGATCTTATAGCTTTCTGTATTTTTGAGAACATTATGATATATTTCTACCTTTGAGATGCTTGATTATTTATTTCCAATTGCCCTTGTACTTTTTATAATAAGAAATTAGATTATTTATTTCCTTTTAAGTCCATAATTATCCTTTTCCTCTTATAATTCCACTAGCGTTAGTATGAATTTCTTCATTTAAGGGTTTAACTTAGTCTAATACACTATTAGTATTGTATTCAGTATTGCCATTTCCCTAAGGATGTCCAGAATTGTATTAGAATGGGATATAATAAGGAACAAAGAAGTAAATAGGATTTGATTAATTGATGTACATTGATATTTATAAACTTGAAATTATTGTTCTATAATTAAACCCAAAATTATAGAATAGTCTATAAATACAGTTGAGCAATAGTGAGAATTGAATTAAGCAGCACCATTAAAAAATATATCAAGACATTATGAATTTCAATAATTATAATAGAATCTCATAAGAAAATTATTTAAAAACTTTGATGAGATTGTCTTTTAATTTTTAATTCAAATCTTTGAGTTCAATAAGATTCAAAGCCTCTCCAATATTTACTACCCTCCAATCTAGATTAATTTTATGGATAAAATCTTCAATATTTTCAGGGAAACCATAATTAATCTAAATATATATATATTATTATCTACATCTGAGATATCTAACACTATAAGTTGTAATCCACAATTAGCCCTTTCATTTATATAATCTTACATTATATAATCATTAAATCTTTATTTTACATATCCATGAACCCATAATTAGTTTTATGCTTATATGTGCATTATTCCAGGTAAAACATAAGAAATTGTCTTACTTTATCATGTTTCAGTTATCGCGACTATATCATGACCATCAAAGATTAATAGGATGATTGATTATAGAATTAGAGATATTAAGTATCTTGCTTTTAAAGGTTCCCAAAGATTTTCAAGTAGACAATTTAAAGTTTATTATAATAGATTTTGATAAATTTATCTAATAAATGGATAATTTATATATTCATCATAATTATTATAATTTAACATTATTTTTGCAATTTATTAATGAAGAAGGCTTCTTTCTAATATTCATTTTAAGCACAATATTTTTTTCTTATCCTTCTTCATTTATACTGTCATCATCAATAGAGATTAGCTTTAAAGTATTCTTTCTAATTTTTAATAAATCAACTATGGATTTATCGATAGAATTTATTAATTTCACATTGATTGGATTTTCTATATTTTCAACTATCTCTTTAAATGCATTTTATGCATCTTCAGCTCTTTAAAAATCACTTTTTATTGGTTTGAGTATTGAGTAGTAATTCTAACTTATGTTAAATTATTTTGAATTTGGATTTAATGGTATTGTTGGTTTTTAAAGATAATCAAAAACTTTAATTTATGATTCTGTTAATAAAATCATTTTTAATTTATCTATTTCTTATAGTTTCTTCATTATATATAAAATATCCATTTACTTAATTATTTTTTATACAGAATATTCAATTTATAAACTTTTATAATTATCAGATCTAAAATAAATATTTATATTTTACTTAACAAAGCAACTTATAAAATATAAATAATCAGTCCATTTCATCCTAAGTTTTTTTGAAATGCTTTGGAAATATTATTTAATTGAAAATGATATAGCTTTAATTAATTATTATCTAGCTTCTTCTTTTGATTATGCATCTAAAGCCATTGATTCAATTACTTCAATTTGTTTCTTCTTTGTTTTAATAGATTATAATCTTTAAAATGCTCTGTTTTAATTTTCAATAACTGATGCTTACTCTTTGGATACTTAGAATTATTTCCCATTCATTAATTCATATTATTGTGCATTTGCATTCTACTCTTCATCCATTTCTATTGTTACTTTCTTTTTCTTCTCCTATTCAAATTGAAATAAGGAATTCAAAATTCTAACATAATAAGATAGCATATTTATAGGTTTCTATATTAAAAAAGCTATTGTAAAAAATACTTACCAAAGTCCTCCCATTTAACTCAAAATAATTTGAATTTTTGTATAATTTCTATAATATTGTTATTCAATTTAATCTAATCTTATAATCACATTCATTATTAAATCACTTTCATTTAAATCAATCATTTCTGTGTGTCTTTTGTATCTTAAGCTTTTTTATACTTAATAATCTTCTGTGACAAGACCTAGATCTGTAAATACTGTTATTGGTTACATATAAAAAGAAATTTCTTTAAATATTTTACTGGAAATTGTGGTAAAAATATCTTCACCTTTTGAAATATAAGGCTTTTGTTCATTTTTTACATCGATAACATAAGAGGACATTTAAAGTGAAAAATAATTCTATTCTAATTATTTTTTAATTTCATCTCTAGACCTACATTCTTTTGATTTTTTTGTTTGATTATTGCACATTTTAAATTATAATTAAATAAAACTATAATTTTCAGCATCAAAAGTGCCTTCCAAATTTAAATCTTTTATTTTATCCCAATCAATACAATAATTAGTTGGTAAATTTAAATGAGAAAAGTATTCCTATAATTCAATCTACCTAATAAGATCTTAAGTGCATGAGGTTATTGGAAGGTCTTATGATGTCCACTCATCTATTTTCTTATTATTGACACTAAAACATTAGATAATTAATACATCTTAGTATTTTTAGTTGTAATTTTGGCATCTACAACATAAACTGATTCATCTAAATATGTTGCGTAATCTGGAGATTGAATTGCAAAAGTTAATGTGAAATTTTATTCATTAAATTTGAAATACTCTGGCTGTGCATGAAAAACCTCTGTGGTTAATGAAGTTGGATTTTTTCGTTGCCCTAAAGCATAGAGATTTATAATTAGAAGATAGAGAAAGAAAGAAATTAATGCCAAAGTAAGACAAGCTCCAAATAAGGTTTTATGTCCCTCTTCTTATTTTATTAGTAGTTGAACAGGTTATGAAAAAATATCTACTTTTTTTAGACCTTTTATTGCCTTTTTCTAAAAATTAATAAACATTTTTAATTTATTAAATATTTAATTTTATTTAGAATGAAAATTACTATCTTATGTACTTCTCTATCAATTATGGGATTGTAATTAAGAAATATTACAAATACTATAAAATTATAAAAATATATGTTTACAAGGATTATATTTTAGTATTCAATAAGCATATAAAATTTAGATTACATAGATTGTTCTATTGATCTATGAAATCAAATCTATTATATAATTCATATTAACTATTTAACAATGTGTTTTTACACTAAATTATTTAGATAAATTTTCAAAATTTTTGATACATCTAAAAATATTAAACTAAATCACTTAATATTTCATTTCATTAATTCATACAAAATATTAATTTGAACCTTCTATTTTAAATCTTGAAAGCATTAAATAAAATTCAAAAACACATCATATTTATAGAAAGCATCTACTTATAATTTCTTAATTAATAAATATAATAATATTTTTTACTAATGTATTTGTTATTCATATATTGGAAATTTCAATAAAGAAAAAGGAGAGTAAAAATATATATGAATCCTCAAATTTAATATAAAAAATAAGAAAATTTAACTCCTTCAAATTATCAAAAATGAAATTGATATTTATAACTACATATTATTTAGTTTCTATTGTTTTTGGAAATAATTATAAGAGAGGAAAGGTTTGATGAATATTTTTATATCATGTTTAATTTATTATAACGATTAATTAAAATATTGTATTTAATATCAGAATTAAATGAGGTTGATAATAAGCAACTAAATAAATATAATGAAAAATATTTAAGAAATGCTAATTTGAATATTATTATGACTTTGCCAGCATTGAATAATGTACTATTAATAATATAATTGAATCATTCCTTTAAAGCAAACTTTCTCAAAGGGAAATTGTTTTATCTTTTCCATTATCTCACTGTCTTTTAGGCTATTAATATATTGAGCCAAACTTTACCTCTCTCACTTCTTGTTAATCTTTATCTGATTGCTCTGGTTTTTTTTCCTCTAAGATCAACTGGAAGATTTGAAGCATTCTTTGTAGTTGATTTAACTTAATTTCTTCTTTATTCATTGATGACTGTTAAATATTTTGCAATTCTCTTTCTAACAAGCTGATTTATAGAAATTAAGGTCTTACTCCAATTCTGCCAAGTTTTTAAGCATTACCTGCTGAAACTTTAACTGTTCTCAATTGAATGAGTTCACCCTTGAGTTTTTCTAAATCCTTAAGGAGATCTTCTGGCTTTTATTCTCTTAACTTTCTCACTTTGAACTTTTGGGACATATTTTAAAAAAGGATTTAATTTTTTATTAAAAATGGGGAATTGTTTCAATTAAGAAGAAATTCAGAATTCATCTATAAAAAAGATAAATAAAATTTAAAGTGTGATTAGTTAATCTTTACAAGATACAGATGAAAGGAAGATGGGTTTATAATAATAATTAAACAAAGGAGAGATTGGGACGGTTAAACAATAAATAAATTTAAGGGATAGTTAGTAAGAGTATTATTGATTCAAAATGTTTTACTTTAAAAATAGTAAAGTGATATGTAAAGATTTGAATCTAGAAAACATTTTAGTAATAGGAAATCTAAAATTAATAGATTTAGGATTGTCTAAGCAATATAAATTGGATAATAAGTACTTAATTAGAAATTTTTCAATGGTTTAGATTGCTGGTACTCTCTTATATCAAGCAATTGAAATAATAAATAATTAAGGACATAATTACATTGTTGATTGGTGATGTTTAGGGTTCTCCATATATAAAATGTTGAAAGGGAGAAACTTTTTTTTGATAAATAAAACAATAGACAAAATAAGAAATAATAAATAAAGGAAGGTAAGATTGAATTTTTGAATTTAATTAACCAAGAATCCAAAGATATTATTTTTTAATTGTTGAAAAAGATCTAACTCTAAAATTATGTAATTAAATCAATATAATTAAGGTCATAAATCCATTTAAGATATAAAAGAACTTGCTTTTTTTATCATATATATTTGGATGATATTGCTACTATAAAATTAATTCACTTTTTTTTAATTATCTTAAAACTAGACAGATATATATAACTCTATTCTGAAAAAGATTCTTAGAACCTTCGAATTTTGATGTTTTTTTATAAATTATGAAGAATTTTGGCCTACTATTTTCTTCATGTTAAATGTTCATTCTAACATAATTGATAAAAAAATTTATTAATCATCAAATAGTTATAAGTATCTTAACTGGATGTATTAAAATAAAATAAATTATTGAATACAAACTATTTAGTAGGTTTAAATTCTTGTTTTTAATTATTATGAATTTTATACTATTTAGTCTAATAAAATTAATTTTTATTTGTGGAATGCTATAATGATTATTACACATATATATATTTAATTATTATTTAATACTTAGCTACTTAATTTATATATATATATGTTTTAAGGATAAGAATTTCAGAATATTCATATGATAATGAAATAAACCATATTACAATATTTTAAAGTCATTTCTATATCTAAATTGATTTTTATGAATGAAATAGTTTTTTATTTGTCTGAAGAATTGGCATCTCTTCAATTGAACAATCTTCAGGAATATCCTCACAATATTATTAAGGCTTTGTGCTTTCACGTAATACTTTTCTAGTTTTTTCAATTATTAACTGGGATGATTTAAGTCGAATTAATGGCTCATTGCGCTTTTCTATGTATCCAATTAAGTAATTTTATAATGTTGCAATTATATACGGTTTGTGTTTATGAATAGATTTTTGAAATAAAATATTAGAGACATCTTAATTTTCATATTATTAAATTTCCATTTAACCTCCAGGATGTTGTGTGATGAAATCAGTCAGATCATAAATTGCCTTCTTATAAACGAATAATGACAGTTGATTTCTTTTAGCATAAAATTACATCTCTTGTATATCATTAAAATATAAAAGTTGATTCATATTATTTATCATTTCTTAATATCAATAAAACCATTTAGATTTATTTCATATCTCAATAAAATAACTCATTTATCATATATAAGATTACTGTTGTGAATAAACATTACAAATTTAAATATATTAAACTTTGTAATGATAAATATTGTAAAATATCTAATCCTATAAAATTCATTTTAAGCTCAATTATTAATATTTACTTCTATATCATCAAATTATATTAATATAAAGTAAATATAATATATAGTTATGCATAAAGTTATAATCTGAATACCTTTACAAAAATTACATTATTAATTAGAATATCTAAAAATAAAAAAATCATTTGATTTTATACTATTCATTTATATTTAATAGAACATAAATATCTTAATGAAATTCAATAAATGAATTAAAATTAATAATAAATAAGAAAACATATTATTATAAAATAAATTGATATTAAATATACTAAAATATTTAAGTTTAAATTAAAACAAATAGAAATTTATTATATCTTGTTTATTAATCAAAACTTATAAATTAAATTATACTCCTTCTACCCAATTTACTACATGAAACTGATAACAATCCTGATCCAAGAAAATTTAAACTAATATCAATAGAGAATAATTATTATATTAATTTAATATTTTTATAGTCTTTCTCATAGAAATAATACTTTCAATCTAATAAATATATACATTATATTAACCATTCTATGTTTAATTGCTTTTATTATTATTGAGGAATGAAATTCAATTGAGAAGTTGGAATTTGAGATTTAGTCAGATGTATTTGAATATCAATAAAATATAGATAAGTTTATTATAATCAAAATAGATGATTAGGATATTGAGAATATTTTATAAATTATAATTATTAGTCAATTCTATTGTATGCTTGGTATGATAATTTAGCTAAAAATTGAATTACATATATTAATATTTTATTGGTATTTTAAATGAATTTTTAATTGTAAATTTAGTAAATTAGTTATAATTGTACAATTTACTTAATTTTAATAGTTTCTAAGATATTATTTCATTGTTTTGAATATTTAAAAAGTTGCAAAATCTGTATAATCCAATATAATTTTAGACTGTGTAAATATATATAAAAATAAGAAATAAATGAATGTAATTTACTCTATAAATGTATTTTAATCATTTCATAAATGAATTCAAAATATTTGACAGGCAATATATTTTTTATGTTTAACAATATTTCTCAATTCCACTTCACTTAATGAACTTCTTGCACTATGTCTAATTTCATTAGCAAATTAAGCACTTTTTCTTAATGAATTATTTTAATTAGATTCCTATTTTAACTAATCGATATTTTCATTGGAATTAGTAGTATTTTATATTTAAGATGAAAAAAGAGCTTCATATTTTCTAAAATAAAGTTTAAAATATACGGTGTTAAAGGTGTCTGTATTGGTTCATAAACTGGATTTGAACTATTAATATAGGAAATATTTTTTACAAAGACTTATAATTATTCATAATTTTATAATTTTAATTATTTAAGCAAATCTGAAATTTTAAAATTTTACTATAGGACTTCTTGTAATTCAATAAATCTGAAAAGATGAAATGGAATTCACATAATTTGTCCGAAACAATGTTAAGTATAATTTAATAAAAATAAAGAACTTGACTTAATTATTAAAATATAATAATTATAATAATCTAAGTATATATATATATATACTAATAATTATAATAAATAAGTTAAGTTTATGTATTTATATAATTAATATATATTAATGTACAAATTAAATCAATCAGTATCACATTATGATTCCAAGTTTTATCTTGTATCATGAAGATTATCCACTTATTGTCTCTTCAACTTTTCATTAATAGAATAGGAAATAAAATTACCAAATAACCCTATTCCAAACATAATTATCAAAGTAATAATCGAAGAGGCTTCAGTGCCAATCTAAATTTCTTTAATAATTTACCTAAAGTATAAGAATTTCAGGGATAGCTTATAAAAAGTTAAATCCATTTCCAATCAATCCTAAATATGCGATAGTAGATGTTTCGCTTACTGGGAAACTGATTTCACAAGAAAATTCAAATGTTAAAGCTAAAATACTCGAACATAGACAAACAAAGAAATAGCATATATAAAATAACCAATGAGCTTTAATAACCAAACTCAATATAAGGAATCCATAAAAAAAAGTAGTTGATGCATTACAAATTTACAATACCATTTTATATCTTCCTAATTTTTTCACAAATGATCCAACTACAACATCTCCAATTAATCCTGCTATTACTCCTACTAAAATAACATTAGAAATTGATTCCAAATTATATCCAAAAGGTTTAACAACAAATTCCATTTATACAGTGAGTAACAATACTGGCCCCAATATTAATGAAAATGCAAATGCTAATTTCAAATAATCTGAATTTTTTATTAACAATTTTGCTGCTTTTGTGTAATTCTCCCTAACACATTACTAAAAATGTAATTAATTAATATATACTTCAGATGCACTATAAGAAGGAGGATGTTTAGGTTTAGCCTTAAAGAAAAATAAAGTTGGAACTGTTGTAATAAACATAATTCCTGATAAAAAAGCCATTAATTAAAACACATATGTTTTACCTTAGGAATAATTATTAAAGGCATCTTGTTCAACATCATAATCACCAAATATAAATAAGGGTATCTTTATAGATATTCCAGTGCTTGAATTGAAGAGAAGAGCAATAATAACCATAATAATAATTCTATTCTTTGGATAAAACCAATTAGCTGTAAATTTGGATGCAGATATCAAACGAAAAGGAAATCCTACCAAAGATACTAATTCTCCAAGATAGAGCCACCAGAATGAATAATTAACTAATAATGCCATTAATGATCCTATAAATGTTAGAAGGCAACCTTAATAATTTTATGCCATATATACCTAATTTAATATTATATTATATTCCGTATTTTTCGCTTAAAATATTTCCTGGAATAATCATAATTGCTGAGAATAGGGTAAAGCTCACACTCAACAATTAGAGCCACCTATGTTCTCTATCATATGTATTACGTTTAGGAAACTCCATAAATAGTTGAAATTTCTTTTGTTATGGGAGATAATGAAAATCCAAACATTATATTAGATACCAAAGCTCCTAAAAATAATGTTAATTAGAAATATCGGCTAGTTGATTCATAGTATACATCAGTGCTGTCTTAGTCTAATGCGTTGTCTAATAATTTCATCACTATTATAATTTAATTATTATTATGATTACGTATTGTGTAGAACTATCTGAAATTTTAATACACATATTCAAAAGTTAATTTATGAATAAAAATAATCACAATGATCTTTGAACATAGTTTATAAATCTTTGTAACCTGGTTGATCATATAATTATTGCATATCTTCTTTTTTTGCTAAACCAAGAATACAACAATTAGTTGTCTATTCATATTTCTCATGATTCTCATCAATTGTTATAGCAACATCTACATAATTTTATTATGTAAAATCACAATAAACAACTTATTATTTCTTTTCGAAATAATAATTATAATTACATTATAAATTGCATCATTATTTTCATAAACTTTTAGATTACTAAATTAATCAATATATAATTGATGTAAAACTGATACTAATATTTTTATAGCCTCTTTATGATTAGGTATTTTTATAAATTATGAATACCATTCATGAATAAGTAAAACTCTTTACACAATAACCTATATATACACATAATCCATTTAAATCAATTTACTTACTTCTGCATTTATTTATCTCTAAATATATAATATTATTACCCTATAGTAACATTTGGTCTCAAATATACTCGATCACTTACAAATTTAGGATGTCCTGGTAATAAGAATCCCCCTTAAGATGATATTCTCTTTACAAATTGTTTATGTTCATCACTTAAAGAATTCTTTGTCAAAAATGCCATTTTCTTAAATAAAATTGTAAGTATTTAAAAAACTATTTTAGATTTTAATTCAATATCTGTATTATCAAAGATATTCCAATTTTTTGTAAAATATCTATTTTTATTACATTCAACAACAAACAATATGAATACTTCTTTATGGTTCTATCTAAATTTTATATTCAATTACAAATTCATGATCAAATTTATCTATTAATTATTATGCTTCATTTTCATAATATTATTATCTTCTATCTAACCATACTCTTCTTAAATATTTTTTTAAACCCAACCCAATCCTAATAAACCAAAAAGCACCACCAAGTTTTCTTCTCAATTATACTTTCTAATCTTCTGTAAATTCTTTAGGTTTTTTTGATTTTATTTTAATTGATGATCTAGTAAATTTGCTCACATTACTATCATGCAGAGATCCTTTACTTGTTTTATTTTATTATGATAAATCACGACCTTAATCCTTATTTCTATCTCTTTATGAACGATTTCTATTCGGTTCCACCCTATCTTTGTAATCTTCTGAATAATCACTATAATTTGAATCTCTTCTACTTCTATGATTATCTTGCTCTCCTTTTTATAAGATCTTTAGAACTAATTTTTTATAAGGATCAGACTTCTTTTTTGGTGCTTGATTCTAAGATTGTTAATACATCAAAGGTTAAGGCATTTGATAATAAGGATTCATATACATGTATGGAGGTATTATTGTTTATATTTAAGGTTAATGAGGAATAGGTAAATATTGAGGTATTATAAAAGGATTTTAAACTTAATTAGTTTTAGGCCCATTTTCAATATTATTTACTTATCTCCTTAGTGTTTTCACTTCTTCTAAAAGTTCCAATGTAAACTAATCTTGTTCAAATTTAGGCATTCGGTTAAATCTTGGCTTATAGGATTCTGTTTTAGATTCTTTAACTAAAGTAACAAGTTATTTTAAAGTTTCCTTTTGTTCATCTAGTTTCTTTTTAAGTTCTTGGATTTATTTTGAATCTCTAAAACTTTTATTGTCTACATCTGGCAGACGATTTGCAATCTTAGACATTATAAATATATTTTTTAAATATTACTATAAGAATCAAATTTATTTCTATACTTCATTAAGTTAATCAAGACAAGGTTTAAAAACATACGAATCAACTTCTTTTCAATAATTAGTATTGTATAATTAATTTTTTGGTAATGCTAATTGTATGAGTATTATTATGTTGATGTTTTTTTTATTTTTGGACATTTCATAAATATCCTGGATAAGTTTGCAAAGTTAAATGATTTATTAGATACTTTATAAATATCAACTCTATGTCTTCTTGTTTAAGGTTGAATTACAAGGTTTAGTTTTATTAATTTAAGTATTGAAGTTTTAAAAATTGTTATTAAAGTATTTTTTATTAAGATTTTGTTATTTATTCAATTATATTTTCCAATATCTTATAAAATACAAAAAATTTAAAATACATTGAAATACAAAAAATTCATGAGTTCTTCTAATATATTAATATTAATTTAATCAATGAATGTAAAAAAATGAATCAACATGAAGATTAATATACTCATTTGGTCAAAATCTTGATATATCATAATTTAATTTCTAGCTATGATGATAAATTATTGAATTTTAATTCAAATTGGAAATACAAAAAATTAATTCTAATAGAATTCATAAGAGTTTCTTTATATTTGTTGTCATTTTTAAAGAAGTTGTCTAAATATAATTATTATCTTAGAATGTAGGACATATTGAAATTAAAGAAGGCATATTCAATTTCAACAAAAAAATAATTATTTTACAGAATATACTGATTTATTAAGAAATGGCATAAAGAGATTATGAATAATATAATTGATTAATCTTAAATTTATTCAAAAAATGTTAAACAAGATTGGAAATGATTTAAGAATGTAATAAGTAAAGTTTAGTAAAAAGTTAATACATAAATATTGAAATAATTAGTTATTGGATTATAAGTGAATGAAGAAAATAAATTGCTAATTTAAAAGCAAAAGAAATGAAAAAAATCTAAACAGAAAGTTTGATTTAATTAATTCATATAATAAATTTTATTTACTATGGAATCATAACTCAAAGACTATGTATATTCCTTATTAAAAACTTAAATTACTGAAAATCTTACTTTAACAGACAAAGAGAAAAAACTTAATCATTAAACTGGATTTATGTATATAAGATATCTATATTTATATAGATGTTTTCTTTAAGGTTATTGTCTTGAGATTGGACACTAAGTGTAATCTAATATCAAGTAAGCAATATCTCATTACTTATATGGCGTTAAGTATTTTGCAGATCCATTATGTGCATATTAATTAGAGCAATATTATACTAAACATAAGAATAAGATCTTGGCTTCTTTGTAAATAATCATAATATGACAATTTAGTTGCAAATATCTATATTACTTATTGATTGAATTGGTTTATGAAATCAAACATTCCCTCAAAAAAGTTGAATGTGAAAAATACAATGATGCTATATAAGAATTAGCCCCAACACCAGATATTCCTTTAAATTAAATGAGCAATTTTCTATAGGCTCTTTTTCTTTTTAGAGAAAATGAATCATAATAACATTTTGATTCCCTGTTAATGAATTATGAATAAATGAGTGCTAAAATACATGCCTATCCCATATTTATTAAACAATTTACTTAATAAACAAAAAATCCGGATAAATGTCCTGATATCATTTATAAATTATGTTAGCTGGTTAATCCTGAACCCTTCTTAAATTAGGTATTAATTATATTTTAACAACAAGATAGTGTTTATTTAATATATCCCTTTATGGGATGATTGATAATTCACATTTGAATTCCATTCGTTAAATTGTTTTTGAGTTAAGTTATCTTAATAGACCAGAGAATTATGTTGAAGTTATTGAATAATTGTATACTAAAACAACATAATATGCAATTAATAAAATATAAATATTCCAAAAAAGAGCTAAAGTATTAAAGGAATTAGATTTAGAGGAAGAAAAAATAAAATAGATAGTCTAATAAAATTCATTGATCAGTCTATATATAATAGGTAAAAGACAAAAGGATAAATCAAAGAATTGCCTTTTATGTAAAGCTAAAGTATTACTTAAAAATCCTTGGCCAGAAAGTCCTTTTATTACTTTTGTTTATATGTTCTATTAAGCAAAATTAGAATTACATCATCAGAATCATGATGGTTATACAAGATTGATTGATTAAAGTATATTTGAAGAATCTAAAAAGTTTTATGATAGAAATGCTGTTATTTTTTAATAAGTAAGGACATTTTAATTCTATTGTATTCGAAGAAGATTAGATAAATAAAGAGATAAAATTACATTTAAAAACAAATAGATTCAAGCTATGTTTGATTAAAAGATAATTAAATAATTAGATCTTTCAAGAGACAATTTTTAATCAATTCAGTTAAGTTAAATTGAATTAAGAAGATCAATTGTGAATCAATCCCCAGAAAAGAAAATCATAGATGCAATCAAATAAACATATAGTATTTATGTTAACAGTGGCAATAAGAAATTAAATTTTGATAGAACTATTTAAGGGCCTCAAATTATATTTTAATTAGATGAGAAACAAATACAGAAATCAAGATTCATAGAATTAGAGAATAAGATCAGATATACTAAATTAAATTTGATATAATAAGAAGAAATTTCTGGAATTTAATTTATTAGTAAAAGTAATAGAGATGGTCAATTAAGCATAGGTAAATATTAAGGATAATTGATATCTATAAAAACATTAGCTTATATGAATTATGATCAGATTTAATAATATTTTAAATTCATAAAAAAGTTTTTAAATTTAGAACATTAAAATATTAGGACTATAATTGGATATAATATAGATGATCTTTAAGAATAAGATTTAAGTGGTTAGATCAATATTTTAACATATAAATATGATTATAATTTAAGAACTTTTTTGTAAAAGAATAATATTTCAATTAAAGAGAGATGGCATATGGCAGTGTAAATAATAGATGCTATTTATTATTTACATTAAAATGAGATTATCTTTTGTAATTTACATCCTAATAATATTCTTATTGATGGAGATTTACATGTACCTGTACTTATTGATTTTGATCTTTAATTTGATAAAGATTATATAGATATTTAATATATGGCTAAAGAAGTTATTGAAGAAGAAATGCCATTATTTACTGAAAAAATTGATATTTATTCAATAGGATGCATCTTACTTTATTTATTTTTTGGTTGTGAATTTCAATTTAAGCAATCACAGTATATTATTATTATTTATTTATTTTATTAGTCATTCTATAACTCTAAATTTAGAAGACTTTCAAGACTTGAATCCACATTAATCTAAAAATGTTGATTTTCATATACCTACTAATTCAGATACTTTACAAGAAAAGGCTAGAATGATTACATTAAAATGTTTAAATGGAGAGCTTGAATTATTAAATTTGCTTCAACATTTTTATGATAATGCTTGATGATCTATTATTTGATATTATTTATATTATTATTAACAGATGAACTTCAAATAATAACAAAGTTTATCTAAAATAAAATCTAATAAGACATTGCTCTTTAAAGGTGATAAAATAAAAGTAAATAAAACAAAATCTATTCCAAATACTCCCACATCATCTAAACTCTAACATATAGGTTCACATGCAAGAATTCATACTGTGATTGAATCAGAAAATAAGGAAAAAATACTCGAACCTAACAATAAAAGAATTACTCGAATATAATAAATATCTCTTGATTCTGAACCTAAACATCTCTTTAGAAAAGCTAGTTAATTAACTATATAAAGTGATTCAGATTTAGCCAATTTTATTCAAATTTAAACTACTAGAACAACAAGAGAACTTAAATTGGAAAAATAGAATGATATAAAAACACCTAACAAATTTTTTATTGGAAAAGAACAAAAAATCAATAAATTCTAAGAATGCGAGTCTTAAAAGAATAATAAGATTTTGGATTTACTTTTATTAAATACATAATAATTGAAAGATATTTTCTAGAAAACAAAAGAACCTCAGATTAGATAAAAACCAAAAATCAATAATATTAAAGGATTTCCATCTGATTTCTTTTCTATATAATGAGTTATCTAAAATCATTTTCCTGGTTCAATTGCACTAGGTTTCTTATTATATTAATTGCTTAATGCATCTATCACTCTATGAATTAATTCATTCCAACTTTAAGGCTTATTATTTTCCAAATGGGTACTCAATTATTCCATCTTGCTCTCCAATATTTAAATTCTTCCATCTTTATAACAATCTCTAGGTTTAGCAATAGCTCTAAATTCATGTTATTCCTCTACAATTTTAGGATAATTCCATAATTCTGGTGGTCTCCTTTAAATTACATATATATTTGCATTATCTTTCTCTTATAATTTATTGAACATTTAACTTGGATCATTCTATTATACTTAACGTGGACGATTTCTAAAATAAATATAAAAAAATACTTTGGAACCATTCCCTCTTTGATTATAACATCTTCTATATCTTATTGAACAGCTTAATTGATATGTCTAATTAATTCAACACATTCTTCAAAATTGGCTTTCATTTAATCTTAAGCATAATATTCCCAAATCCAAAATCTTCCATATTTTTCAAAATCTAATTTTTCTTATATTTTCATATTATCTTCTTCTTTTTTTCTCAAATCATCATCTGCTTATCTTTTTTTATCAGGTGACAAACCTGACATAGCAGATTAAGCTTCAAATAAATTAGATTATGCTAATGGTTATGTTTTTTATTATAATTTTTATTCTTTCAATTCATCTGCTATTTTTCTATCTTTCCATGCTCTCATATACAATATTGTATGATATGTAATTAATTTAGGAATACTTCCTTTAATACAATTATCATCTCTTTTAATAAGAAATTCTTTTGCTTATGCATTAGAATTAGATATTACACTTAATACTTTATATGTAAAATTTAATTAGTCTCTTTTTAATGATGTTCCCATAAGATGTTCAGCTATCAATTCAGCATCAATCAATTCCTTCACATCCTCAACAAATTACTATTTCTAATTCAAATTAATACAGTATTATCCATTAAAGGTGCTTTATAGTAATTAATTCCTTTTAACATTAAACAAAGTAGATTGTTTCTCATTTTATCAAAAGCTTCTTACAAAGGAGTTAAATAAAAAGACTCAATTTTATTCTATTACCATCCTTCATATCCCAATTTATTAAAAATTAACTTAACATTAGGATTACATGAAATAGCTTTTGATTCTAATAACAATCTCTAAGCTTCTTATAAACATATACAATATTATTCAATATCAGCCTAATAATAATAATAAAATATTATAAAACCTTTAAAATAAAGTCTTTAGTTTATCTTGCTTAATTTGAAGTATTGACAAGATCAAAAAACATCATTTTTTTATTAATCTCCAATAAAGCTCTTAAAGGTCCTAAAACAAGCATAAGTTTTTCTTCAATAACTTTATGACTTGATTTAATAAGAATTGGAAGTTTTTTCAAAAAATCATTTAAAAGACCTACAAATGCTTTTCTTTCTGCTATATAATTTTCTGCATTAATATCAAAAAATTTATGATCCTCCAATGCTTTAATTATAAATAATTTTAATACTTCTAGCAATTTTAGCAAATAATTCTTTAACATGTTTAGCTCTGTCTTTATCCTATTTCTCAACTGAATAATAGAATCCATCTAGATATTATTTTACAACTGTTTTATTTATTTCTACATCTTCAACTGCAAAGAAGGCACTTCTCATATGACAATGTTCAATTTATTTAAGTTTAGATTTGCATTTGAATATCTAGCACACTTCAAGTAATTTATCATGATAAACCTAATTGAAAGGAATGTTTTTAAACAACAGTTTACTTGCCAATTGCCTGTCAAGTCTTTGGAAGTTTCAGATATATTATTTTCCATTGATTTATAAATTATTTATAACTCTGACCAGATTCTATATTCATCACTTTCCTTCCATTGTTCAAATTATTTCTAATTTACTTAATTTATTATTATATACAGCTTGTAATTCAGGATCAATCTTTTTTGCTTTAGGTGGCATAAATTATTAATAAAATTAAATATAATTAATAATAAATAATTCTTCTCTAAACAATAAATAATTAAGAGTATATAGACATTAGAGTATGATGAACATATTTATTTATTATAACTGATATTTTTATTTATAATTCCCATTAAAACAAAATTATCTTATAAAATTTTTAGTTATTTAAAATGGCCAATTCCTCTGTTGTGCTGATATGTATACAAAACCCAGATTTCATCAATATAACAGTGACTCATGTCTATTAAAATTTCATCCAATTTGGTACAATCGAAAAAGTATTGCATGATCAAATTCATAGATACTTATCTTTGAACGAAATAAGCCCATTTGGAAAGCCTTAATTTAGTTCGATAGTGTCCGAACAGCTTAAAATGCACTTCAATTAAATAATACAATCATGCATGGACTTTCGATATTAGTTTATGAGTCTAATCGTAAAGGTCTTGACTTTTAAGCTCGTAATCAATATGCAAGATGTATATTGACTATCCTTATTAAGAGATTATACTGCCTAACAAGTTTAAGGTATAGTGCATTCAACTGAACTGCCAAAGAATGACCCTATAACCAAATGGCTCCCTCATTCTTAAATGTTACCACCCTAAACTGGAATCCCTCCTATACCAACTTAGTTTGCAGAAGCTTTGAACTTTGATAAAGCAGACGGAGCATCTGACTATGATTCCCAAGAAGAAGAAACAGAAGATAAATAAGAAGAATTGTAAAAAAATTTTGTGAATTATTTCTTAAAAAGGTCTAATCAATTTGTTAAGTGTATGGGAGACAATTTAACCTAACTTTTTCAGTTCTCACCAGGCTAACGTATTTCTACCTCATAACAACTACCAAATAATACACAAGTAGAAAAATAAATATTTCAATCTGAAATTCTTCCATAAAGTAAATCTGATCATTTCTACTTAGAAAAATTGATTACAAAAGTACTATATGCTAATTGGTTTGATCCAAAGTAAACATCCATGACCATGATATATAATATATTTAGCACTTTTGGAAACATTTAAAAGATGATTTTCTTTAAGACCAAATGCAATGTTTTAATTGAATATTCAACTGAAGTTAGTGTTAAATTCTTATTGACTAATTTCAATGAAGGAAATCCAACTCTTTTTGGTTAAAAATTAAAGGTAATTTAAATTATTCATCTAGGTGTATCCTTCAAATTATGAATTTATATTCTTTAGAAATTGTGAAGAAGGTTAATTACCAAAGAATACAGAAGAGGAAGAGTTTTATTTAGGAAATGAGGCATCATTTAGATACAAAGATAATAATTTCAAATATCTTGTTTCACCTTCATAACAAATTATGTTGACAAATTTAAAAAAGGAATTCTGTGAAGAAGGTATTATTTTTGATACTTTTTCAAAATTTGGATAAATTGAAAAAATTAAGTAAGAATATTTGTTTAATTTAGAATATTTTGTGAAGAAAAAAACAAAAATAAATGTCTAATCAGATTTTAAGAATTAGATTCAGCAATTTAAGCTATGGCAATAATGCATAATTATGAATATAACAAAAGAAAGATCTAGATATTTTTTTCAAAAAATAAAACATGAAATAAGACTTGAGTTTTTGTTATTAATTAATGAATTATTCAATTTTGAAGCAAACATTTTCTAATAGTATTGAACCAGAAGAAAGCAAACTAAGTCTCATCTATCTGGTTACTTCAAACTCATTAGGGATATCATTAGATGATCTTATTACCCTCTTTCCTAGATGTTGTCAGAATTTTATTGCTGAAAAAATTGTGACTGAATCTTTAGCCTATAAACAATTTCTTTCACATTTTATTACTGAAGACTCTGAAGGATAGAAAGTCTATGTTTTAGGAAAGGATAAATTCTTATTTGATTATTTGTATAAGACAAATACTAGTTATTTATTTTCTAAAGGTATTTTTTACTTAAATAATTATAAGCATACAAATATTTACTATAAAACACAATTGAAATTTAACACTTAGATTCATTTGATAGAACATTAAATCCATTGATAATATATGAAAAGTAACATTTATAGGATAGTACTAATCCTTTGTATTTTCAATTATATCGTATTTCAAATATTGAATTATTATTGAGAGAAGGATTGAAAAAATATCTATTTACATTTACTCAAAACAAAGAAGAATGTTACTGTTTAATTTAATCAGAGAAGTACTATGAAACCACAAAAATTAATTTTTCAAATTTCGAAATAGATTAATTTCATATTGAACTTAGTAATATTTTAGCTAATTTTTAAACAAGTTTAAATTAAAATTTTTCATCTATATATTAATTCCTTAAATTTTTATTAGGATGTAGAATTATTTATTAATTGAATAAACAACATATAAGAAATTTATCTTTAAGATTGATTTGTCAATCATTTTGTAAATAATTCTTTGATCATTATTTATTCATATATACAGAATTTCATGAATACATGATTAAATTTATTCAAATGGAATGTGATTCACTTACTTCAGGTATATTAACAAATAGTTTACCTAATCTTAGCATTACAATAAGTGCATATTGTTAATATTATAAAATTAATAAAAAAATATTGAACTTTGATTATAAAAAACATATAAAAATTGGAGATTTTTTAGATTTCTATTTTATGTTTGATTTACTTTATTTGTAATTCTCTTAGGTTTCATCAATAGAAGAATATGCTGTGATAGTTGATTATTATAGATTGAATCTAAAGAATCCTTATCCAAATGTTTTGGTGAGAGAAATCTTATAAAATATAGCCACATCAATTGATGAAGGTCAAAAGCCCAAGAATTTAGATCCTTTTGATTTTATTTCATATGATGTTTCTCCATCTAGATTGATGACTAAATTGCAAACTTTTCTTGTAGAAAGACACCTTTATTTGAATAATTATGAATGGCAATTCTTTCTATTTGAAACAGTAATATATATAATAATTTTAATAGTTTAGTGATATCAAAGTGAATAAGAATTTACTTAATGATGAATAATTTGTATAAAAGAAAATTAAATATATCTAAGAGAATTATGAAGATACTAAGAAAATTAATTAGGTAGAACATATATTTATTAATCTATTACCTCTTACATCATAAAAATCATTATCTGATTATATTTTACTTGTGTTGACTATTTTAGATCATTCCCTCTTTATAAAATTATTTAGTTTAATAGTTTATAAATATTATGCTCACTCGTAACATACAAATATAAAAGTGCTTGAAGGTATGCACATCAAAATAAAATAGACTTATAAAAGTTCTTATGTATTCCTGAGTATAATTATTTATTGATTGGAATTATTAAACTTATTAATTAATGGAAGAATGAAATTAAAAATACCAAGGATTCATTTTAAATTGCTTTAGATTCAGTTAAATGGAAATATAGATAAATTGGATTAGTGTTTTTTCGATGTGGAAGTTTTGTAGAATCTGTATATTATTTAGAAAAATACTTAGCAAAGAAAAATCTACTCTTTAAATTTGATTTAAAAAAATTATCACATAAACAATAAGAGAAACTACATAATACTTTATTATATATTAATATGGCAAAGAGTCATTTAAATAGTTCTATTCCTCCTGAATAAATATATTAGAGATTGAATTTTAATTTCCCCTTCAATCCTGATTCATTACTTGAAGTTGGTAATAATTGGTATAAAGAATAAAATGTGGCTATGAAAATGAGATAAAAATAAATACCTTTGGATGTATCATTATACAATTTTAAGGAACTTAATTAAAAAGGTTAATATTTAAATATATTGGATCCTTCAAGATTAGATAAAATAGTTATTTCTTTAATATCAGATATCTCAAGATATGTATCTTAGGAATTCAGTAAGGAATAAATAATTTAGAGTATAAAATATGTAAAATTATCAATTGCTCTATCTCTAAAATCAACCAGTTTATCAAAAATAATATGTTAAAATATAATACAAACATCATATATAATAAAAAGACTTGAGAATTATTGGGAAGGTATATAGGGTAAAGAAATTAGAATAACATTTGTAAAAAGATTTTCATAATAATATTGGATGTATTTGAACACTTTGGTGAAGAGAAGGTAATTTAAATGAGATTATATTTATAGTTCAAAATCATATAAAATAATAAATTATAGAGAATAGTATGCTAAACACCTTATGAAAATAGACAGATTTGAGGAAGCACTTGCAATTTGTAAGAAAAAATAAAATCTTATTTAATGTCGTATATATGAAAGAATGGGATATTATTATAAGGCAATAAGTTTAACAGGGATTGATCCTTTTACTTATTCATAAAATAAGGGATTTTTTATAACAGATATACAGAATTGTTCATAAAAGATAAAATTTTTAAGATATTTAATTAAAGATTAATTATTTCATAGAGAACGTGTATTATAAACTTATAATGATATTTGGAGTTCAAAACATTTACCTCCTTTATCAAGATATTTTGAGAATAAAAAGAAATTTAGTAAATTTTGTTATCATTATGCTTAAGAATTGGAATAAGAATATAAATGTAAATGTGATAGTTAAAATTAATAAAATTGTTTAAAATTAATGGATTTATTTTTAAGTAGTGTAAGTGCAGGTGATAAATATGTATAATAATCATTTCCAAAAATATTTAGATTATGGTTTATGCATAAATAAAAAGATTAATTTGCTTAAAAATTTGATACATATTTAAATTCTATAAATTGTGTAAAGTTACAATATTGTTTAGAATTATTAATAACAGGAGTTGAAACATTTAAAAATGATCGTACATCTAGTAGAAGTTTAGCTTAAGCACTTTCAATATTAGCAAATAATTATCCAAGTCAAATGATATGGTGGTTAGCTCCTTTAAAGAATTTCAATTAAACTTCATAACAGTATATATATATATAAATATAATTATAGTAAAATATTGATGTATTAAGAAGTATTAAAATTAATTCCTGAGAAAAGAGAGAAATTTGAAGATTTAGAAAAATAATTTAATGTGATTTTAAGAATCTGTTAATAAAAATCAAAAATAAATTAATAATAAGGTTGGACAATAGAGAATATTAATTCTTAATTATTAAGTGAATACAATAAAAATAGAGAAAAGATTATATATCCTGGAATAGATAATTTATCATAACCTTTTAAATCAGAAGATAATTTAATAAAGATTCTTTAAATATATCCTTAAATGAAAATAGCACCTTCTAAAGATAAACCAAAGAAAATATAAGTTGAATGTAGTGATTCAAGCATAAAATATTTATTATTAAAGAATGAAGTTTAAGATTCTAAAAGTAATGGAGATACAAGGAGAGAATAAAGAATAATTTTGATGCTATAATTTTTTAATACTTTATTAGATCCTCTCTAATTAAAGTATCCATTATTTGCATCAATGAGTTTAAATTAACTTAGTTAAGTTATTGAATGGGTAACATAAACAACTACATGTCGTGAAGCTATAGGAGTTTCAACAGTAGGTGCTAAGAATAGATAAATTTATAATTAGACAGAATGGAAATAATTAAATGAATAAGAACCAAAATTAAATAATTACTTCTTTTCATAATATTAAGATCCTTATGTTTGGTATGATGCATAATAAGGATTTATAAAATCTATGGCTTTATGGTCAGCTTTTCAATATTTAATAGGATTTGGTGATAGACATTGTGATAATATATTGATTCATGAAAGTGGAGAATTGATTCATATAGATTATGAATGTGTTTTTCATAAAGGAAAGTTTTTACCAGTACCTGAGATAGTAGATTTTAGATTAACAAAGAATCTTAGATATGGAATGGGTTATTTAAGAGAATAAGGTTAATTTAGATAATTACTTGAATAAATTATAGAAGTATTTTAAAAACACAAGGATAGTATATTTGCATTTCTTGATCCATATATATATGATCCATTATTATGTAGAACTTCTTCAGATGTAATTGAATTAATAAAGTATAAATTGAACAATCAAATAAATGTATAGAATTTAATTGAACGAAATTGTGATTCAGAAATACTTAGATAAATGTATTATGGATGGGCACCTTATTAATGATATTACTATAAACATATGATATTTATTTATTTCAACTCAATTTACCCATCTCATACTTTTTAAGTAGAGCAACTACAGATTTATGAATCATTCCATCTACAATACTAGCTATTGTAAATACTCCTCCAAGAATAGCACAAATCTAAACTAAAAAGTGTAAGAAACTTTCTCTATATTACAAAAATTTCACAGTTACTGGTGATAAATCATATCTATTAATTTTCTTATTATATATAAATACCTAAAATAAACAGCTGGAAGATGATCAGTTTAGACTTCATTACTATTTGCAGTAAATTGATGAACATAGTATTCATTTCCTGATACATCAATGTATGTTGTAGGTACCACAGATATATAATATTAAAACATCATTCCTGTTCCTCCTTAAGGTTAAGCAACTTTCTTAGTATTATCAAGTGGATTCAATACTCCTTTCTAAAATTATTTCTTTATTTTTATTAAATCATCCTCTTCTCCAAATGAAATATGATTAATTGTATGTGATAAATCTAATGTTTATATCTAACTTCTTTAAAACACTTAATGCAAGATTCCTCCAAAAGCATGAGCTGAAACATGGAAATTACCTAATAAATATACTCATCTTCATTACCTGGTACTTTGTTTACAATAATATATCCAGCAATTTAACATCCTTCCTTTTCTTTAAATGCTTATTCTATACGCACAAAATCTATTGATGGTTAACCATGATGATCGTGTCCTTCATGATTTGAATGAACTTCTTCAGAAATTATCTTTCCATTCTTTATTCTCTTTTTTACTAATCTACCTTCAACATTAACAACATGAGACCCCATTATATCTTAAACATCCAAAGATAGAATATCACATGGAAATTTATGAAATTCTATGTCCAAGTTAACACGAATTTATTCACCACCTCTATTTATATCAACAAACATCTCACTACTATTATCAACTTCAATATATGCCTATAAACAAATTATTCTAATAAGGATTACTTGTAATTCTGTGATAAATAGTATAACTATCACTATGGTACTAATGACTGAAATCAATGCACCAGCTGTAGTTGGCTCAGTTAAATCAGCCGGTAATTTACGATAAATATCCAATTTTCTCAGTCTAGATTGCACTCCACCTATCATTTAATTAATTTATATAAAATTACTCAAATATTTATAAAGACTTTTCCAACTTTTCTTCTAAAAACCCTATTTTCATATAAATTATCATAAATTATATAACATGTTATATCAAAAGAATATTACTAAATGTAATAATTGAAAATGAAGTACTTCATATAAATTATTGAAATTAAAAAATCTAATAATTTAAGAACTATTCTATTTATTTATTATCTTATATATATATATATAAAGACAATCAATAAAATTAGATATATTTATAATATTTTAGAATTGTAAAAATAAAGGTTAATTTTTTACTATACTCAAATTCCTATTATTTAATTCACAATCTATTCACTTTTTTTCTTTTACATTTAATATTTCATTCTATCTACATGAATATTTCTTGTTAAATGCTCACTATAATTTTATGATTCAAACATTGCCTAAGGAGATGCTCTAGACACTTTTGACATTAATACAGTATAGGTTTCAACTAAATTTCTTGGTCTTTCTCTTAAACGAGGAAGTAGTGTATGTTATTATTTCATCATTTTTTCAACCAATTCCTTTTCTTTATCAAAATCTCTCATTTATAAACATAGTTTAACATTATGCAGTTTCTCTTTTAATGAAGATTACACATTATTATATTCAACAATTTCATTAATTCTATCTTTAGAGATAGTATTAGAATTAGTTTTTGTTCTATTAAGTAATATACATTATTGAAGAATATCTTTTGTATTAACACCTTTTAAAACAGCTTTATTTGATTCTTTCTTTTATAAGGCAATCATATTATGACATTTCTTAATCCATTCTTAACGATAGGTTTCACTGCTAATTCTTAAATCATTCATTCTCTCTCTCATAAATTTATCTAATCCATTACAATTCTTTTTTGGTAGAAAATATATAATAGTTTCATATGAACCAGAAATAGCAGTATAAGTTCTTAAATCTGGATTTTTTAAATCGAATAATCCAACAAATTATCCTTCACAAAATTGATTAACTCTAACATTATCTGAAATTATTTCAACAATCCCTGAAAATATCAAATATAAACCATCAACTATATCTCCTTATTTAAATATTATTTAATTTATAGAGTATATCTTTTTCTGAAAATCAAAACTTAATTAAATTACATTTTCTTTGGATGATTAAGGAAATAATTTACTTAACATCCCAAGTGTAAAATTTAATTTCTCTAATTTAACTTCAAAAATTCTTAAATAATTAGATTTATTAAGAGCACCAAGATGTAATGTCTCTGATGCAATCAATGTAGCTGCTCTTGGTTCATTTCGAAATAAAGAAACTTCTCCAAAACATTCTCCTTCTTTCATTACATTTACTTTCTTATATAAACATATCATTTATCCATTTTATAATTTCTAATAATATCTACTCTTAAAAGGAAATAGTAATATATCTTCTGGATTTTAATACTCTTATAATTAAGTTTATAGTTCTTGTAATTACTTTTACAATTATTTTATTTCATCCTTCTTTTTAGTATTTGCCAAATCTTCTTTACATTAATGTATTTTCATTAAGATTGCTTTCTATTATGTAAGTTCGCCTTCTCTAAAAAATATATCAAAATTATTAAATACTTCTTTGGTACATAAACTATTCCAGTTCCTCTTAGAATTAAATAAAAGTAATCTCCTCTTTCTCCACAATGAAATACAATATTACCTCTCTTAACCTATTTATATTCCATACTAGAAATAGTTTATTCAATATAATCAAAATATTCTTCTTGTGATTCTAAGGCCTTAAAATAACTGAGAAAATTAAGATTATAAGTTTACCTGAATTCTCTAAGAATGTCCTACATATAGATTCTTGCTGCTTGTTCATTGAATTATAGATTCTTTTATAAGATTTCTATTGCTTTATCAAAAGAATCAGATGGTAGATCATATTCTCTTGTAAAAGTGAAATTAAGTGTACTTCGTCTCACAGCCAAAGGTCCAATAGAAGAATTAACAATTTCGGAATCATTATTATAATTATTCATTTTATTACTGCAATCTCGATTAACAATACTAGTTCAGTATTTGTTGATAGGATTTCTTAATTGTTTAATGATTGGTTCTAAAAGTTAGACTATTCTAAAGATTTGCAATGCTTTTTTTAAGTCTCTTATTCTCCCTCTCAATTTCATCAGAAACTTCTGTTTTTTCTTTACGTATATGTGGTAATTTAGGAAATGTGTACTTTTGATTAGTAATTTTCATAATAGCTTAACGTATCTTTTGATTACTATAGGCTATACTTTTGTTTTCCTCAAGTGATTCAAAAGTTTGAACTTGATTTTTTATCTTCTTTATCATAGAAACTTTGTATATAAAACTAACTTACTCTATCGAATTACACCTAAAGACTCTTCTTCAACTTTATTTTTTCTAGCCTTTATTGATTTTAGGGAGTTAATATGATTGGCAAAATATTGTTTATGGATAGATTCAGGGAGAATTGAAGATTTCATACTTAATTTAATTAATCAATTTCCATATAATTTTTCAAACTCCAAATATTCTTCAAATTTATCAATCTAAGCTATTTCATTTTCTTAATAATCCAAAATCTTTAAATCAGAACTATAAATATTAATAATAATAAAATACTTATATCTATTTAAATTCTTTCTTTTCAATTATTAATCTATTTAATTTATAATGATAGAATTGTTAAGGGAATTAAGATAGCTATCATTATTAAAAATCAATATACCTTTAATCTCTAGAAAAGTACTTTTCAATTTAATATTCTTTTTTTTATTGATTTTTATTCACTATAGGTAAGTCTGATTTTTGTAAAACTTTATTAGAACTTGAATTTATATAATGACTAGTTCTTTTTTTATGAATTTAGAATTCTTATGGTGTAAAACTGAAATTCTTAACATCTCTCAAATGTCCTTTGGGTCTTTGTCTATCATTCAAATGACCATATACATTTTAATTATCATTCTTTTCTATGAAATCTGTGAACAATTCTATTAAAATCTATAAATAATATATACCATTCTTTCTACCAAATAGCCCTGTTTTTTATAGAGTTCGATAAGCAAGTTGAAAAGTTTGTTCATCCCCTTTAATTTAAGGAGTCTAAACATAATGTACTTTATTAGTTACAGTACTAAAATAATAATAATAGATTAATACTTTACTATTTTGACATTTTTGTATCCTTAATTTGGGAGATTGGCAAATTTTTATTCAGAAACATTATAAAATTCAAAGTTGTTGAGAGTACTACTATGCAAGGATTCCCATTTGCTATGAGGTTTAGCTTTGACTTTTAGAAATGGATTGTCATAACTATCTCTGCAAATTAAAGTGTTAGGATTACGGAAGAAGGAAGGGGATTCAAGAGAATTACCAAATGCATATTAAGGTAAGATCTTCTTTCCTTTATAAACTTTTGATGGCTCTTAAATTTTGATGGTATCAGAAAAGGAGCTTCTTAAATAATCTGGTAATTGTTCACTCTCAAGATTACCGCGATTTTACTAAGCTTGAAGGTGAGATTACTCTTATTTGTCGAAGTTGTTTTTGTTCTTTTCCTGCAAGCATCAAAGAATTAGCAATTAATATATTGAGTATTATTTTATAAATAATTAAGTGTATATTAATATTTATTAAATTATTAATGTACGTTTTGCTACTTCAATTAGTGATTCTAATATAAGGATATCCAATTTTAGAAAATGGTTAGTTACTAATTGGAGCTGGAGGTTTGGCTTGTGAAAAAGACACAATTACACATATCAAATTCTTAAATGTTTACAAAGCATATGTTCCATAAGTAATCTTTGTTTTGAGTAATTACACAAATGAAATGCAATTCTCTGATTTTGCCTTAGACATTCATGTTGAATTAATGAAAGTTAACACAACAGGTAATATAGAATCTAGATATAATTAGGATTCACAATTCAAGTAGTTTGCTCTAAAAGCTGTATAAAGTCAGTTCTTTATACTTGGTATGCTTTTGGAGGAGATACTTATGATTCAGGATGTTTTCCATTATAAGAAAGGGCTCAAGTAACATTAGAACAAATTTACACTTCTCCTATGCAACATTCAGTATTCATTTCTGGTTTTGCTGGTTTCTTCAAGTATGGTGGGAAGAAGCCTATGCTAAAATTATATTCCTCTTTTGATAATTAAAATCTAACTATACAAGTTGAATCTACATTTTAATATGTGTACATATGCTATATTCTAGCATAAGATATGAGTTCAACAACATTAAATGATACAGAAGTAGCAAGTAATTTTTAAGTAGTATATTCAATAGCTCTGGTTTAAAAGGGGACATATTTAGATGATACATTGATAATGGGAATGGAATCTTTTTAATTATTTGGCAATAATCTTTAAATACAAATGTTAAATGATAAATCCTTCTTTCCTAAATAAATTGAATTAACTGTTAAAGTTGCTAAACTATATGAACCAACTTATAGGAGTTGTCCAAAAGTGTATACAGAATGTATGTTCTAAGGAGATCCTATTTATGTTTGTGATGAGACTGTTAAATTAACTAATATTTGGAAAGAATTCAAAAGTTTAAGAGTGTATGATCAAAAAATGAAATTCAAGTTGAACATTGTTAGCAATGATAATATCTTGGTAAAATCTCATTTATGATTCCCATTCTAGTGGCTTTCTGAAGACATTGATTGTAGTTATGACATGTATGATTAATTGATGGAATTCAAAATAAAAAATTAACCTATAGAGAGATAAATAATTAGAAAAAGAAAGATGATGGGAATGCTTTATGATGAATAAACTGAAGAGGATTAAGAATACTCTGAAGACACTATTTTAATTGGTTAAGCATGAATATATTTTAATTAAATAGTTTTATCTAAATAAATAAATAATTAAATCAATGATCCTCCAATCTCTATCTGAATCTTTCTAAAAACTCTCTCTCTTTTTATTCTAATGTTTTTTAACATCCGTTTTCTGTTTATATTGATCTTCTCTAAATAAAAAAAGAATTTCTTATAATATTTTGATTAATCTCTTTCATTTCTTTAACATTAGAACTATCTCTACTCTCTTTACTTTCTCTTAAATCAGATTCAGGTCTAATAATTCCAACTTATTTAACTGTATTTTGATCAATTGATTTTGACAAATTCTTTACAGGATTTAAATTTTTTCTACTAAGTTCTAACCGCTTTGGTTATTATTGTATTTGAACTTTCTATTTTTATTAATTATTTCGTATGATATCATTGTTTTCCTCTCTAATATTTAAATATATACCATACAATCCAAGTAACTCTGTTAATTCTTATAAAGATTCTGAAAATTTAAATTGAATGGATCTCTCTTCTTCTAATTTAGTTATTATACCAAATTATTTGCCTATCAATGCAGCGAATTTCTAATGATCAACTGATTCTAGAATTTACTCATTAACTTCTACCTCCTGTTATAGCCTTTACACATCTCTTGGCTAAAGTATACATCATTTTGTATATACAATGATTGTATTCATTTTCTAGTTTTCTACTTGTTGACATAAAAAAAAGAAATAAAGAATTAAAAAATTAAAATAATCAATGTTAACCTGCATGACCATCACTTAATGTAAAACAATGATCCCCATAAATATCTTACCAATCACATTCACTTTCTTTATCAGGTGATCGAGGAGATAATTGAAATGTTTCTTTTTATTGAATTGAACTAGTTTAACCTTGAGCATTAGAATTATCTTATTTCTTAGGGAATTATTTGCTAAATGTTAATTTCACTTCAGGATCCAAGTTATGGACTTTCCTACTTATTTTTGTGTCACGATAAGTTTGAATCACAATCCTAGCTTATTCGTTCTCCTGAACTTCTTATGTGTAGTGTAAAGACTTTTGTTCCTGTTGCATTTCAGATAACTTTCTTGATGCAACCTCTTGCTTATTGAGGATTGATCCCATTAAAATAATTTATATTATTTTTATCATTCCAGTTAAGGGTATCCTCCCTCACTATTCTTTCATCTTGATGAATCACAGATCGCAAACCCATCTAATAACAAATTTTCTATTGGCCCTTAAACAACTAACTATCAATCACTTTCTACTAACGTTTTATAACCCTAAAAAAAATGACCTCTTTTTCATCAAAACATCTAACTATAGATTCTTAATTCAAAGTCTTTTGAAATATAAAAATTATCTAAAAAATGCTATTCATTTCCAATAATAACAAACTTTTAAATAACTCTTGTATTACTCTGTCTAATTTTGTATATTAAAAAATTTATTCAAAACAATTTCTCTTTAACTCTAAACACATGAGTTTAAGATTATTCAATTACTCAAATTTATACATATTCTCAATCCATAGTATCAATAATTTCTTATAATAAAAAATTTCTCTTTAAAAAAAATATTGAATTTATGGTAGTCTTTATCAATATTTCTTTACATAATTGTTCAAATGATAATAAATACTTAATTCTATTCAATAATTTCTATCTAATTTATATTTGTCTTCATTTACTTCTTTCTTTTATAGATCCTTAAATCTCAAGTGGTTCCTTTATATTTCAATTAAAATTAGCATTTCTATCAATTATTGTGAGGTGTATGATAATGAATTCAATGTTGATTTCTCTAAATTAATAGATGCATTTTTAAAGCCTCTATTTGAAATTAGCAATTTTCATAAATTAAAATATATGAGAATAATTTTATCGTTTCTGACACTTTTCTTTGTAAATGCATAGAATTAATATTGCAATGTACATAATAAAGGAGTCAATTCAGGATTGGCTAATTAACTTGCTCACTCACTTAATTAAATCAGAAATCAAGTTGCAACTGGTTAAATTAGCTTTGAAGGATCTTAATCAGCTTCTAATATGAATGTTATACATTGGAGTAATGGCTATGCAAAAATGGCATAAACATGTGTTGAGAAATGTCCACTTAAAGCTTCCACTTGTGGTTAAGTATTACTATATTTAATTAATAGTTTTAAAATTATGGAGTACTCTTTTTTAAGAGACACTTAAATCAATAAATGAGAACTAATTAAGTTATGGAAAAATGGTTTAAAGAACCTGAAAATGCTAAATAATTACTCACAGCCAGATCTAGTGCATTTGGATGTGGAAAGGCTGAAGATAATGCCTCAGAATATATCGTCTGTTATTTTGATGAAGTATATAAATAAATTTTAAATCTTTATAGAAATATACAGGTGCTAAATAAGCATTTTTAGCAGGACCTGTTGGAGCTAGTTGTAAATTAGGTCGTTCTAAAATGTATAGTGGTCTTTGTGCAACAGCTTCATCATAGACTTTGATTCATTAATCTTCACATGTTAAGAATAAATAATAAAAGAAATAGAAGAAATAGAAGAAATAAAAGACCCATAAAAATAAGAAAAATACAGAAATGGATGTAGCTCTTATTTCTATGACAGATTTTAAAGAATTTGTTTGATAGAGTTATTAATATTAGTAATAACTAATTATTATGATTATATTTAATTATAGTTTCTCAATAAATAATACTTCATTTCTATGTACATATCATATTGATATCAAATAATTTAACAATATTGATTTAACTTTTTTTAAAAATCCTATTTTTAAATTATACACCAAGATTAAATCTAATATTTTTTAATTTGATCGAAATCGATATTTATTGCTATGATTTAATTTGATTATATATTTAGAATGTCATTTTTTTGAGAAAGACAATTATTTTTTCTTGATATTTGAAGTTTTATTTGAAAAAACTTATTAATTTGGGAAAGGTAAAATCAATTGCTTTAATTCATTAATTATTTTATTTTGATGGAATTGATTCAAGAAATAACATTACTAAAAGAATCCTTCTTGGAATTTATAATCAAAGTAACCCCTGTGTTTACAGAACCAATAATGGAATAATTTAACTCAAAATGGAATCCAATGAAAAAGCTATTAAGTGATCCTTCTAAAAGTGCGAGTGATGTGTTCCTATTTGTTTCTTCAATGTCCTCCTTAAAAAAGAGCAATACTTCATCTACATCAGCTACTTCCCCAAATTCAGATTGCAGTATCCAAAAAACTAAATAAACAGACAATTTAGTAAAGAAATGCAATTAACTTCCTGACCATAAAGAGATAACTAAAGTGAAAGAACAAGCTAATCCATTGTTGTATAAAGAGCTTAAAATTGGTAATTTTTTTTATCAAAACGTAAAATAGAAATTAACAAAAACATATTCCTAAATACTCCAAGACTAAGACCAACTTCATAATAAGAATTAGGTGGCAATGGTGAAAAAATATATGAGGAAGATATTAAGGCAAAGATATTGAAAGACGATATAAAATGTATGATTTTGTTATTTACTGAGTTAGTTTTAAATAAAGTTAGAGTACCTACTCCAGAGAAAAAGGTTAGTGTAACAATTAGATGCAATCTAGGATTGAAATTGTCTGAAGCTATTTCTTAATTTAGAAAGGATAACTTCACTTTGAAAACTATTCATGAAAGAAGTATTGAAATAACAAGTCCTAAGTCTGAATGTGTAGAATCACCACTTTTATTTGTTTAAAGACCTAAGAATTAATATTTCTAATAGCCAGTGTTTATGCAATAGTAATAAGCAGGAGCATTAAAAGGATACAGTATCTATTCTAAAAAAGGTTATATACAACCAATATAATTTGATGTACAATTTTAGATGATGATACAACAGTACTAGAATAATATGGCTTATAAGAAACTATATTTTTGAAGATTATTCAAGGATGATTTAATTTTTGTATTATGTATATATAATATTAATAACAAAATTACATAACAACCCTCAATCAATATTATTATTATAATAATAGTCGTAATAAATCAATTTCTTTTTATAAATCTTCTCTTTTTCTATTCCACTTTATCTCTTTATATTGATACCTTGTAATTAATTTCGTTGTTTTTACTTAAATATCTTTCAATCCCTATTCCTTAACTTTCTTCTATATATTAATACTTTTTATTCAAGATCTTAATTATTTAGCATTTCAAATAGCCACTATTCTCTTTCAAATTTAGTCATTTCAATAGGCAATTTATGAGATCGTTATGATAATTTCATTTACAATGAATATTAATCTAAATTTGAGTATTGTTTCTACTAAGCAATTACCTTTTTATTTTTCTCTGATAAAATATTTAATAGTCTCTATTTCATATCTGTTGAGCACTACTATTTTGAATTCGAATATTACATAAATTAATATAATATATCATTATGCAAAAAAAAAATTTTTGAATAATTCCCATATAAGTGTATTCAAACACCCTTTTAGATTTGAAAATTATAATTCATTAGATGAAGAACATGCATTTAAACACAATAAATTTAGTAGCCTAATGTAGAGTAAATCTGAAAGCTTAATAAATTTATTATATTATTCATTTGCAAAGCAAGTTATAAATTTTGCAATTAGAGAAAGCTTATAAGAATTTAAGGAATTTGTGGAAAATATGATATAAAAGAAAGATATAAATTATTTGTAATTTAATCATATAAAATATGTTAGATTGAACTAAAATTGTATTTTTAAAGAAAAAGTGAATAAGGATTAAACAAATGTATATTTGAGTAATTTAAGTAAGCTAAGTAAAATAAAAAAGATTTATTGATTATTAGAATATCTAATAAAAAAAAATAAGAAAAAGTTATAGGATAATGACTGAAAGAAATCTTTATTGAGTTTGGATTTTTGTTCTCAAATGAATTATTTATATGTAAGAACCTTTAAACATTCTTCAAATTATAATTTTATCAATGCATAATCTTTATAATGATAGATTTAGTGATGAAATTCTTTATTTACTGTTAGTATAAAAATATAATCCTTTAGAAATATTACATGAGTATTTAGATATCAAGTATTAATAATTAATAATTTATTTAAATTTGCCTAATCAAATATGGATTTTCATGTCTTACAACAAAAATAGTATTTATGAATACTTAAATAATAATCATTAAATTTATGTAATATTAGATTCAGTTTAGAATTCAATTATAGTTAACTATACATAAAGGAAAGAAATTAATAATAAAATAAATAAATTAATAGAGTGGACAATTATTTATTTAATATATTAAGTTTAATTACAATCTTAAAAATTGTTATATGAATTAATAATTAAATAGGATGGATCAATAGAAACATATTTTTAAGAAATCAATAATTTTTATTCTAGAATATCAACTTTATATGTTGATAAATCCAATAAAATATTAAAATTTACTTAGGCATTGCTAATTCCCTAAAAATATACATGCCTTAAAACAAGGATTTTTAATGTATTTGAATAATGTAATGTAATTTTACTTTTCATAATCTTCTTCCTCTTCTACCTCCTGGTCTTCTAGTTGAATCTGTTGGAATTGGAGTAACATCTTCAATTCTTCCAATTTTCAATCCCAAACGAGCAAGAGCTCTTAGAGCAGCCTAAGCTCCTGGTCCTGGTTATCTAGTATCAACACCTGAATGAAATTGATATAATTAGATATACCTCCTCTTGCTCTCAATTTAATATGTAATGCATTAATTTTGAGTGTCTTTAACTTCTCATAAACATCCTTAGCTGCTTGCATTGCTGCATATGGTGATGATTCCTCTCTGTCTGATTTGACTTTCATTCCTCCTGTGACTCTTGCAAGTGTTTCTCTTCCTGTCAAATCTGTAATATGAATGAAAGTATCATTCCAAGTTGAGAGAATATGAGCAACTCCAAAAACTAATTCATTTCCAGCAACATTTGGTCCTAATGTAGCAACAACTTCTTTAGGTTAATCATCTCCTTAATTCTTTTTTCCTTTCTTTCCTTTAGCTTATTATGCAACAGGTTATACTTTGTTATCAGCCTAAATTAAATTGGTTTACATACCATTCACCTAAAAAAATTTAAATCTTTTTTAATATAAAAAAATAGAAATCAAACTTAAATAAGAATAATGTATATGTTTATTATTGTACTTTTTTATTTGTTTAAAATCATTCAGCTGCTAACTTGTTTTGAGTTTTCTTTACTCTTTAAGCCTTATTCTTCTCTCTTCTATCATTTTACTCTTTCTCAATCTTATCAACTCTAACCTTTTCTTATTTAGTTTCATGGATAGCTTCAATAAGTACTTTCTTGTTTTTGTATTGATTACCCTTTGAAGCTAAATAAAATTCATGATATCTATGCAATATTATAAACAAATATATTTACTATTATCTATCAATTTTTTTAGCAGCCCTGTATTTTCTCAATAATCTTCTCAAAACTCTTTATCTACGAATCCAAAGTACTTTTGTTGGCATTCTAGCCTCTCTTGTACCTCTTCTCTTACCAGTACCTGTATGTCTGCCTAATCAAATATAATCAATATAAATAACTCACCTCTTCTCTTAGCCTCAAGGTATCTTCTAGCTCTTGCTCTTGAATGAATTGTTCTCAATCTTCTCATTATGAGTCCATCCTTAATCAATTTTCTGATTGACATTCTAGAATTTGCAAGACTGATTTCACTTGCTTCATTTGGATCTAACCAAACTCTATTAACACCAACCTTTAATTATGTTGCAGCCAATCTTTTCTAGAGACGTAGATTAACCATTAAAAAATTAATATCTAAATATTTAAATTTTTATATAAAATTAATATGGGAAATTGTAAATGCTCTAGTTAGAAAGGTATCATATTTAATACATCTTTAGTTCCCATTTAAACATAAAAATTGTCACAAGAGGAATGGGAAGCCAAATTAAATGAACATTATTAAGTAAAACATAATAAATATTGCAATTTTAGTCTATTTTGAATTCCTGTGATGGTACTTTGAATTGTTCTTGTAATATCATCAAGCAAGAGTAAAATGGCAAACTAATTTTTCAAATTTAGGGTTCTCTGATAGAATAACTAAAAACAATCAAATGATAAAATAATTTTTGTTTTTTCACATCCCAATCTATATTAAGATTTCTTTTAGATTCACTTTTATTTATCAAATTTTTATGAATATCTAGAAGACTATAATTAATAATTATATGCAAATAAAAATTTATAATGGTTTCTCATTTCAATGATGAAAATATAATAAATATAAGTTATATATTTAAAAACATTTAGAGCTCATTTTTAATTTGCAAAATACATAGATAAATAGATTATTTTTTAATTTGTTTTAATAATTTTCTTATTTTTAGAAATAATTTATAAATTTTTGTGAATTATATATATATACTTTCCAAGTAAATTCATTATTATTATTATCTATTTAATTCTTATAATAAAGAGTTATATTTTTATACAATATTCTTGCAATATGCATCTTATACAATAGGAGATGGGATTTAATCAAATGTTATTTTTTATTTATTCTATTTATTCTCATTTTATAAAATTGTTGAATTATTTCTACTTTGTTATTACTTTTATCTAGAAATATTTGATATGTTATTTAAAACATTTTAATTATTTGGTTTATATGATGAAGTATCTGAATTCAATAAATGAATAATTAGATCATCTTCATTATATTATTATGGTTATTAAAATTAAGTCTATTGTATTTCACTTTATTATTCTGATCTAACTGTTTATTACGTTGGAATTGATTACTATTCAATATTTAATAATTTCTAAAAAACATTTTGAATATAACTAGTATTATTCAATTAAGAATTCTAATCTTCAGATTTTCTATTTGTAGTTAATTCAATACTCTATTTTAAATGAAATTTGATACTTATTCATTTGAAAAATTCAATCTATTTACTATTTTTTCAAATTCTTATATCTTTTTCATAAGTATTTCTTTCTTCTTTTTGGATGACTTCTTTTATTATACTATTGGTTATTGTTAAATTTGTTATTATATCATTGAAGTTTATATTTATTGATCAATTTTAATAGGTGACTCTCTTTATGTAATAGGTATTATAAATGAGGAACTTTAATCTTAATTAATTTAGTTAAGGACTTTAAAGTTTGGACTTTAATGAATATTTTCATCATCATTTTCAAATTTATACAATAACTTTTATTTGCTTTAAGTTTATAATTAAGGAGTTTAATAATGTGATAGTTTTTCTTAATCTTATAATTATGAAATTTCTTCATCAAGTTTTTCAATTTCAGTTTATAATCTTTATTATTTTTATTCAGATTATTGCATATCTGCTAATTTTTTTAATAGTATATCTTTTTCTTCTCTTTCTTATGCTAATCTTTTAATCAATTTACCAATTTTCTTTTTATCTTCTAAACATAAGTCTTTTATTTTAGGTTTTTGATTTGAGTCAAATTGATATGTTTTATGCATACGTTAAATATTAAATTATTATTATAATAATGATTATAATAAAGAATAATGAAATGAATAATGTCTTATATTCTTTTATAATTTAATTATAATCACAAATATAGATTCGCCAACAATAATCTTTTTTTTTTAGTTTGAAGTATTTTTTATGCTTCCTTTCTTGGCATATATTTAATATTTGGAATATTAAATAATTCATCCGCATTCTCTAAAGATACAAAATTACAACATTAAATTGTAGCATGTATAGAAAATTGAAAAGGAATTTGTACCTTAATTGGAAATCCATTTAATTCAATAATCTCCTGCATTTCTGGTCTTTAAAATAATCCATTTAACTTTTCCATTAAATGATTACCTTTAGCCAATAAAGATACAATATTTGCAAAATCCTTAAATTAAAGTGAATGATTCTTGCAAATCCATAAAGATATTGTTCTAGTTTCATTTTATTCTTTAGGTTTCTAATTTTAAAGTAAATCTGTATTAGGTAAAATATCATTTAATATCCATTCTTCATAGAGTTCTCTCTCAACAGCAAATTTAATTTAAGTATCATTACTTTTCTTCAAATAAGAACTTTTATATGTAATCTTTATATCAAATCTCTATCTAATAAATATAAATACTTTTCACAAGAATATTATCCTATTTATTCAATTACTTTTCTACCTCTCCAATCTACACATTATTTTATTGTACAACTTGTTATATCTAATGCTCCACTAACTGGTTCACTATGTAAAATATCATAAATAATTAGTTTTTTCTCTTCAGTATCTAATTCTTCTAATGGATCTGTATAAAATTGATTGGATCTATTAATTTAAAATAATTTATTTTATTTAAATAACAAAGACATGTTTCTTCGTTTACATTAAAGCTTAGAAAATCCTACTAGTGTACTATCTAACCTTAATTATTATTTATATTTGTATAATTTAATAGTATCATTAGGAGCTAATAATTTAATAAAAGGTAAAGGACTATCAAAATTCCAATTCATATCTAATTAAAAATTAGGTACTTATTATAATACAGTTGACAATTAATGAAATTAATTTAAAAATTCATTTCTTTTAATCCTATAACATTGCTGAAATAATAAAGCAGTTGCATATATTGATCTTTAAGATAGAGATTCATCCATAGCTGACCATCCAGTTAATTTATTTTTAATAAATGGATCTGGATTCATTTTTAATATTTCTTTTAATAATTCATCATATTTTTTATGAAAACCATATAATTTTATTATAGTTATTAAAATAGTATTACCTAATATGTCATGTTAATTTAAATATGAAAATTTACTATCTATTTTAAAATAATGATAAATACCTTTCATTAATGTTTAGAATTTAACAACATCATTATTAAGCATGCTTTAAATGATATGTTTAAAATTAACTATTGTATTATGTTTCTTAAATGCAATTATTGGTTATCTAATAATATTTGCTTCACTTTTAATTCCCTCAGTAAAGATTTATTATTTGCCATTATTTACTTATTTAAATAAAATCTCATTTTCAGATAATATTCTTTCAATTTATCTATGAGATTAATCTTATTAAGTTTAAGTTTATTGTGTTGATTATTATGGCTACTTTTTATCTTTAAGTAAATCTTAAAAGCATTCACTTTATTCAGATACTGTATATTTTTATTGAGAAGACTTAGGTGAACCATTATTATTAATTGGAGAGGACAATAAATTATTTTAACCCACATTGAGTTTATTTAATGATTAATGAATTATTAAAGCTTTTTATTATATTTTCTATGGATTATTTATGATTTAAGGAGATTAATCAGCATAATATAATTTTGAAGCTAATTAACTATAGCTAGCAGAAACTTTAGATCTATCAATTTTACCAGCAACTGGTACTTATTTAATTGAATTGATATTTTGTTTTGATTCTTTTTATGAATTTAAATCTATTTAACTATTTTGTCTAGATAATGATTCCTTATCAGTGACACTTGGTATATCACTTAATTTTCTAATTGGTTATTAAGTGCTTTAAAATGGGTTTTTTGTTTTATGTTCTTAAACTCCAGTTGTCATTTTATTTACTGTAAAATTTTCTTCATATTATTGATCAACAAAGCAAGTTTTTAATTTTGAACTAAAAATTTTCTCTTTCTTTTTAGGCAATACAATTTCTACATTATTTGAATGGAAATTCTATAAAGTCACTTATTTAATTTCAATAGCTTGTTGTTCTCTACAGGTATCATCAACATTACAAATACTTGAATCTAATAATATAAAGATTATTCAACCACTTAATGATCCTTAAAAGGAATCTGGAGGAGCATGTTAATGATTGACTTGTCTTTCTATTTTTGGATTCTATTTTGTTCTTGCCACATAACAATTTATCATGATAACAAATTATATTATATATATACTTTTATTATTATTATAATAATAATAAATATGATTTATTTATTTGTAAATTATTTTTAAATGTTATTCTTTAAATTATCTATAATTCAGTAGAATATTTTGATATAATATGTCTTATATATTATGTTTAAATAAAAAGAACTAATTTAAATGTTAAATAATAATTTTAGAATAAATCAAAACAATAACTCTTTTATAATAAAATACTGAATAAATTAGAAAACTACTCATATATCATTGTAGGAATTATTCTACTAACTGAAAAATACTTTATATATCTTAACATAGATTAAAATACATAAAGAATATAGAACAAACGTATTAGATCTTTTTTTATATATGAATTGTAATATCTATTTTTATAATTTTCATTTAATAATTATATATTTTAATGATAATCAAATTAGAAAAGAGATATATATTAATAATAATTGTACTAATTATTTATAACTTATAAATATAGTAAATTAATGTAATTTCATTCATTTTTCTGATTATTTTCAATTTTCTGGAAACTAAATGTTTTAATAGGTATCATTTTATAAACAGGTTTAGGAGGAAGTTCAGCAGGAGGTGGATAAACTAATCTTTTTTAATTTTATGATGTATTCAAATTTTAATGTTGATTAGGAAAAACATTCTTTCTAATAGCACTTATAGGTCTATTTATAGCTGTAATGCTACTAAAAGGACGTTATTAAGAAGTTGTTCTTGTTTAAGGAATTACAGTATTTCTTCCTGTTAATTATTATAAAGATTATCCTTCCAAATCAGTAAAAGATTAGTTAGTTGATAATCTTTTAGCAGGTTTTAATTTAGGAGGTTTACCTTCAACCTAGATTTTTAATGTTTTCTCTAAATTCTTGGCTTATTCAAGCTATTAATTAATAATCATACTGTCTCTTTCTTTAGGTTTAGGAGGCATAAATTATTCATAATAATCTTTATTCTTCCTGTTAATAGATATAAATGTACTTCATCAGGATAAATTTTGATATATCCATTTAAATGCTTATCTTCAATGAGACTCATTTTAGATGATTATTTTTCTTTCTCTTCCTAACTCATTTTGATTGGTCTTTAATACACTGGTGCTCTTTTTTATTCTAAGTATATATTTTTTGGTTTGTTTTTGACATCCAATAATATTAAAGTATCCATAATGAGATTTTTTTTGATAATTTTATCTAAGGGTGTGTCTGTAGAAAATGAAGGAGTATGATTAACTTCAAGTAACCATGGTTTAAGTGAAGAATCTAAGAGAATATCGAATCCAAATAATTCAAAACATTATTCTATGCCATCATTATTATGTTATTATGATCTATATAGGTGAGACAATTCACCTTAAACACTTTGAATAGTTTTAACAATAACTTATTTGATTTGATTTAATAATTATTTTACATCATGACCTTGATCTTGTAAATACTTTTATTATATTTATATTATTACTTTTAAAACAGATGTTAAAGATCTTTTATGTCCAACATCATCTTTATTAGTATCATTATTAAATACGAAATCTTTGCTTCTTTTATTAATAGCATAATTGGTCAGATGCATTGTAACACTGCCTAGATTTTTCTTTTAAGGCTTTACATATTTTTTGGTTGAAAACCTTGCAAGACCCTCCTAATACATAAATACCTTCAATGGATAGATTGACTTTAAAAGTACATAGATTCTAGATATTTTAATTTATTTATACCTAAGATCAAATTTCAATCCATCAATTAAATATGGATTACATAGATATTCTTAAACTACATAATGTTTATCAAGAAAAGGATCCAATTTTTTTGTTAAAAATATTCCTCTGCCTTAACAATTTGCTTCAGGTTTAACAATAAAGATTCCTGTTCCTTATTTCTATCTGACCTCTTCACTTTAATAAGGTAATTGCCATGTTCTTGGAAAGAAATCATAATCATCAGGAAACATTTTACGCATCCTATTTAAATTACGACATAGTTCATTCTTTTTTCCGAGCATGTACGATCCAGGAAAATGATTAATTCTCTAATATGGCAATAAACGACGATATTCTTCATCAGTTACATAAGTATCTTTCCAAAAGATATGACATTCAATCTCTGAAGGTGTGATCTTCCATTCTAACAGCTGAACAGCTTCTTCAATTACCTTATATTTGGTTTCTAGTTTTATCAATACTAGTTTGTACATTCTAAATTGATCATGATTTTTCTTTTCATAAAATTCTTTGGTAACTAGGCTAATTATTATAGAGACATTAAATCACTCATACTTGATTTTTATATTTATACTAATTTATAATTCAAAATATATTCATCTTTATAATTATCAATATATCATCTTTATAAATGATATAAGGTTGTAGAATTTCATCAAAATTGTTCATTAAATCAAAAAAAAAGAAATAACATTAATTAAAAATATATTCTAAATCTAGAAAAAAATAATATATGCATTATTAATATTCAATTTACTTTTTCTTAAGAGTTTTAAATTTTACTTTATATTTATTATTAATATATATAAATATATTAGTATTTCTTATTTAAAAAATATATGGCAATTTTAAGAATAAATAATCAATAGTATTTTATAAATAATTAATTAATTACTACTATTCCACTTAATTTATTTAATATATTATTATTATGTTTTAAGTGGAAGCATTAATTGTTGTAATTATATTAGTGAGCTATATTCTTACAGCACATATTATTGCTGTAAAAAGAATCAAGTTCCTTCATGAATCAGTCGTTGCAATATTGATGGGTATTGTTACTGCTCTCTTCATTAAATATGTATATATGATAATGTGAATATAGATTTTTAATGAGGATGTTCATTTCGATTCAGAATTATTCTTTAATTTTTTATTGCCTCCTATCATTTTTGCAGCAGGATACAATTTGCATAGAAACCATTTTTTCGATAATTTTTGGCTTATTTCATATCATGGAATAATATGCACAATCCTAACATTTGTTATACTGAGTGCTTTTGCTTTGTTTATGAATGAAACAAGTTTAGTGTAATAGAAAATGGGATAAGATGAGATTCTCCTATTGACAGCTACTTTATGTGCAACTGTAATCGTGTTAAAAATATTACTCTTTAGGACACAGTTGCTGCCCTCACATTAATTAAAGAAAAAGAATATCCAATACTTAATTCAGTCTTGTTTGGTGAGGGGATATTTAATGATGCTGTATCGATACTAATATTTCGGTCGGTTAAGAAATATTTATCAGAAGATGGAGGATTTTCAAATTTATCAATGACAATCTCTTTACGTCTATGTGTTGATTTCATATATTTATTGATGATGTCTTTAATTGTAGGTGTATTAGTAGGTGCTTTATCATCATTATTATTTAAATATTGCGATTCCTTAATTAATCATCCTGTTAAAGAGACTTCTTTAATATTATTATTGGGTTATGCATCATATTTAGTATCTGAGTCTTTACATTTAAGTGGTATATTGAGTTTATTTTGTTGTGGAATAATAATGGCTGTATATACATATCCAAATATTTCAGAAGAAGCACAACATGGTACATAATTAGCATTTGATACAATTGGATATTTAGTTGAAGCTTTTGTATTTGCGTATTTAGGAATTACAACATTATAAGTAGATTACAATTAAATTCCTTGGAGTTTTTCATTATTATTGCTATTATCTGTAATTTTAGCCAGATTTGTTACAGTTTTTGTATTACCATGCTGTTACTTTCTGATGAATAAACAATTTAAATTAAATACTTAAGAATTATTTGTAGTTTGGTATTCTGGTCTAATTAGAGGTGTAATAGCATTTGCACTTTGTATTACAATTAAAACAGCTAATAGTGAAATAATATAAGGATGTGTTTTAGTGATAGTCTTAATTACAACTATATTTGGTTCAATTTTATTGGATAGTTTTATTAATCTTATTGGAATGAAGAGAGCTGATCCTGAATTGAATTAAATAAATGAATTTATGTTGAGTTAAACAAGTGAAACAGACACAAGTGTTTCATATTATAAAAGTATAGGAGAATAAAAATCTAAATTAAAAAAAGGATTATGGGGAGGAATAGAATAGAATTTTGTTAGACCAATATTTTAAAAGCCTAAAACTAATTAGGTTTCAGAAATTAGTATGCATGCAATGTGAATTTAAATATATATATATATATATATATGTATTGTTGATAATTTTACACTTTCTCAACAACACCCTGAGTCGTCATTTTTCTTTTTCTTTTATGGTTATAGCTACTATTATGTATTAGCATTGGATTCAGATAATGCAATAGATATTTTGTTGTCATTTTTACGCATGGTTTCATTTATATAGTTTAAGAAAACCAATTTGGCTGCTTCGGTGAATGCATATTATAGAATTCACTCAATACCCGTTCAACATTTTAATTGCTTTTGGCACTCGTCTCAAAAAATAAATTGATTCCCTTCTCATCTATAAATGATTTTCCTTCATCATATGAGACTTGTCGTCTAATAATGATATAGAATTTATACTGATCATCCAAATCATTTTATGCACCAACTAAAACTGTCACTATATTTGGTGAAGCATTCTCTTTTGCCTCCTTTAACCATCCATCTAATTTCTCTAATGTCTCTCGTCTATTTTATAGAAATTATATTATACTTTGTAATATTATAGACTAAAAATACTGCAGTAACATTCCTATAAAAGGACCTTACTATTGATCTAAATGATTCTTATCCAGCTGTATCCCAAATTTGTAATTTTATTTTTGTATTTTAATCAATTTCCACTGTTTTTGAAGAGAATTCTACACCAATTGTGACATTGTATTCAGAGACGAATTCATCCTTTGTATATCTCAATAGTAGACAAGATTTCCCAACACCTCGATAATATTATTAATTAATACCACTCTCTCCAATTATGATAAATTTAAACAATGGTGTTTTATCAGCTGAGGAATTCATCATCCTAAATTCTTTTATTATTTTAATTAATGTCTAAAAAATAGAAGCACACTTAAAAATAGACCAAAAAAGTTCTATCTTAAGACATAAATGAGAGTGATCAAACTCATTATTTTAGTCTACTAGGTGATGATTATAATGTAGAACCTATTTTCAATTAAAATAGAATAATGACAATATTAAATTAGCTTAAAAAATACTTGGGGATTACAAAACACTTTTAGAATATTCACCAAGTAAATTTTGGGCCACTTTCTCTTATAATTTAAATCTTCAAACTTCTTTAGACTTATTTTTGAGATATGCACCAAGAAAACACTTTTTAAAAGAACCATTACATTTCACAGGATATTATGGAATATTAATTAAAGAGATTTTTAAATGTGTCTTTGCAATCTATATTCGATTAATAGATTTAAAAAATGAAGATTCAATACTATATGAATAAATTAGTGTATATGATCTAGTTTATTAAAAATGGATCTTTGATGTCATGAAATTAACTGATATCTGCACTATATATGCTCATAAAAATGAAAGTAATATAAATTATTTCTATAATATTTAGATGCTGTTAAAAAAATTTGTTAATTTGTTTTTAATTACTAAGCCTATTAAGATGATTATAAAACTACTATAGATTCATTTATGAAAAATGTACTTATTAAAATCTATGATGATATATTTTAAATCAATAATAAATCAGCTAATGAAAATGAAATCATTATTTTTGATGTTCAATAAAAAATGGAATTGCTCACTTTAATTTTAGATTCTATTGAAACTGTAATTGTTTGGGCAAAATATTTTCCATAAAAATAATATCTTTTTAAACCTGAAATCATTTAATGTTTTGAATAAATATTTTATGAATTGATTCTGGCTAAAGGATATAGTAGAGGAACAAATTAAATCTCAAGTGTTTGGAAATCTCAATGTTTATAAACCTTACATCACTTTCTTAAATAAGTTATATAAAGATTTATTGATTTCTTTGTTATTTATATGAAATATTTAGAAGAATTAATTGTAACAAAATAGATTAAATAATCTTAAGAACATATGAATTATTTGATTTAGAATTTTGGAATTATAAAAAGGAAATTTAAATTTTAAAAAGGAAATTAAAATCAAAATAAAGAATGGATTCTATTCGAAGCTCTTTATGAAAATAGTTTTAATATGATTGAACTATTAATAAATACACCATGGAATTAAATAAATCTACCTAAGGACGACATTGAAGAAGTAATTCTTCAAATGACTACAATAATGGAAGAAAGAGAGAAACTCAAAAGTAGACTTAATAATAATGAACCAGAAAATTTTGATGCTTTTGAAAACTTTGATCCAACATAATCTACACTTCCAACTGACATTATAGAGAAATAAGAAAATTATGAAATTGATGTTCAAGAATAAGGGGTTTAAGAAGAAGAAAATGAAATAATTGCAGTAGATGAAAAATTAGTTGAAATAATATCAAAAAAGAAATAAAAATTAACATATGATTAACCATTAAAAGATAGAATAGAAATGGCTGAAATTACAGCTAAACTATATAATGATGAACCTGATGATACATATGATTATCAAGAAGCTTTATAAAGACCTGAAAAGGAATATATTAGTAGTGATAACGATGAAGTGGATGATTTTGTTCCTAATGATCATTTTATAAGGTATGCAAAACCGTTAAAGAAATAATAGATCAATTCAGAACATAGTATGAGTTAACAAAATTTAGATTATAATAATTATGATAAATAAATAAAAATTCTAAGAAATCCAAACATATAATAACAATATAATAGATAATAGAAAAATGAATAAGGATTTAGTGATGAAGAAGATGAAAAATTAAAAAGAGAAAATGGAAATAAAAAAAATAATAATAATAATAATCGTACTTATTAAGAAAAATCTATGAAAGTATATATTATGGATAATCATTAATAGAATAATAATAATGAATTTCAAAGAAAAAACAATAATAATAATAATTATCAAAAGTAAGATTAAAGAAATAAAAATAAGAATTAAGAATATTCAAGGAATGATGATTATTAATAATGTGAAGACTATAATCGAAATGATACAACTTAAGGAAATAATGATTAGAATAAGGTTCTTTAAAAGGAGAGAAACAGGGATGGTGGCTATGTTGGAACTAATAAATCCAAAACTTAATTAGAACATGAAGAGAAATAAGAAACTCAATAAACTTAATAAAACAATTACAAATAAAATAATAACAAATAATAATAAAATAAAAAGAATTTAAATATAAAGGCTCTTCCTTATGATCTTTATGTACCTAAAGAGGAAAATGGAAATAATGAATACTAAACTTAAGAATAAAGGTAAGAATAGAAAAATCAAAGAGGTTAAAAGAGATATTGAGTATATATAAATAAATAAATTTAATCTAGAATTTCTAGAATTTACTATTAAGAGACTATTTAATTTAATTGTGGGTAATTTTCACTAATAAATTATTTGTCTATAAATTGTTAATGATTTCTTCATCTAGAAAGCTCTTTGGCAATATTGTATTGGGAAAATCCCTTGTATCTACTCCAGTTTTCTTTGCAGGAAAAGAATTGAGTTTTGGATAAGAGTGCAGACAACAAATGTTACGTGGTTGTGACAAATTAGCTGATGCAGTCCAAACAACTCTTGGACCAAAAGGAAGAAATGTAGTCATCGATTAAGCTTTCGGTGGACCCAAAATTACTAAAGATGGAGTCACCGTAGCAAAAGCTATTGAATTCTCTAACAGATTCGAAAATATTGGAGCTCAATTGGTAAAGTCAGTAGCATCTAAAGCTAATGATGAAGCTGGTGATGGTACAACTACTGCCACAGTTTTGGCTAGAGCTATCTTCAAGGAGGGTGTCAAGAGTGTCGCAGCTGGACTTAATGTAAGATTTATGTATTTATCTCTTTTAGCCAATGGACTTAAGAAGAGGTATCAATTTGGCATGTGATGCAGTTGTTAAGGATTTGAAAAACAGATCAAAACCAGTTAAATCAAAAGAAATGATTGAGAATGTAGCTACAATCTCTGCAAATGGAGATGTTGAAATTGGAAAATTGATTGCCGAACTCATGGATAAAGTAGGAGAACATGGAACCATCACAGTATCTGATGGTAAAACTCTTCATCATGAAATTGAATTTGTCGAGGGTATGAAATTCGACAGAGGATACATCAGTCCTTATTTTGCAACAGATCCAAAGACTTAAAAGACAGAATTCGAAAAACCATACATTTTAATCACTGACAAGAAGATCTCAAATATTCAATCAATTCTCTAAATTTTAGAACATGTTGTAAGAGAAAACAAACCAATTTTACTTATTGCTGAAGATGTTGAATCAGAAGCCTTAGCTCAATTGGTTTTAAACAAATTAAGAGGAGGTCTCAAAGTATGTGCTGTTAAAGCCCCTGCTTTTGGAGTATTAATTTATTTCATTATTTTAGGATAACAGAAAAGCAATCTTAAATGATATTGCTGTTTTAACTGGTGCCACAGTCGTCACAGAAGATGTTGGATTGACATTAGAAAAGTCAGATCACACTGTTCTTGGATAATGCAAATCTGTTATTATCACAAAAGATGATACCATTATTATGGATGGTATTGGATCCAAAGAAAGCATCAATGAAAGATGTGACATCATTAAGGCTCAAATCACAGAATCAAATTCTGATTATGATAAAGAAAAACTTAAAGAAAGATTAGCTAAATTATAAGGAGGAGTTGGAGTCATCAAAGTTGGTGGTGCTTCAGAAGTTGAAGTTGGAGAAATTAAAGACAGAATCACAGATGCTCTTAATGCAACTAGAGCTGCTGTTGATGAGGGAATTGTTGTAGGTAATAATATTAAATAATTATTTAGGTGGTGGATGTGCTTTATTGTATGCAACCAGAGTTTTGGATACACTTAAGGGAGACAATTTCGATTAGAACATTGGAATTCAAATTGTTAGAAAGGCTATTGAATTACCATGCAGAACTATTGTTGAAAATGCTGGTGAAGAAGGAGCAGTCGTTGTTGGAAAATTGTTAGAAGGAAAAGATGAAGAATTCGGATATGATGCTTCAAAATCAAAATATGTCAACATGATATAAGCAGGTATCATTGATCCAACAAAAGTTGTAAGAACTGCACTTGTTGATGCTGCCTCAGTAGCCAGTTTAATGACAACAACAGAGTAAAAACATAATTCTATTTTAGATGTATGATTGTTGAAGGAAAAAAAGATGAAAAAGCAGGAGGAGCTCCAAACATGGGAGGCATGGGAGGAATGGAAGGAATGTATTGATATAGTGATTATTGTTCATTTAGTATCAAAAAAGTTATTAAATCTTTTTTAGCAATGCTCCTAATATTAAACATATCACACTAACGATTAATAAATGTCCTATTAATATTTATTAATCCTCTATAAATTATTATTTTATTAGTACATTTATTATTTTCTTTATTCTTAAACATTGCTTTAAATTTTAATTTTTCTAACTCCTCACTCAACTAGTCTTTGCTTATTTTGATTTAGTCTATTTATTTAAGTATCTATTATTCTTTCTACTTAAGCGAAGTAATTAGTTAAGTCTATTCAAATTTTGCGATAGAAGTTTAGGATTTTATTCCTGATACCTCATGATTAGAATTTTCGTCATCATTGCATATAAAATTACCAGATGCATAAGGTTCATTATTATAGCTTTATTCAGGATCCATTCTATCTTAGAATTCTTCATTAGGTTCTTGAGGAATCTCGTAAGCTTCTGTAAAAAAAGTTGGTTATTTCGCTTCTCTACTCATATTAGCACTTAATCTGCTTGCATCCTATAGAATAGGACTAATGCTTGGATTATTGTTTGAGATATATGATGCTCTACTTTCTTAGCCGTCAAGACTATTTTTATGGACTATTTGCTCTTAAAATCGACTAAAAGTATGTTACTATCTATGTATATGCAAAGGTTCCTATTTAATAACTTCTTCAAAATTTTATTTTTAATCTGATTACTAAGTACTAGAAGAATCTGTATTGATGTTCATTCTGATAGACATCATTTGAGTGGGTAATATTCCAGGTTATTTTTCAATCCATAATTGAGGGTTGGAGTATTCAAGCATATCAAGATATTCTTCAACATAATTAATAGCTTCAAGTAAAACATCAATATCAAATTGACTAGTTTTATTGGTAACAGATATTAATTTCCTTTCGTTAGGAGCAATCATACCATAAGAAGGCATAATTCTTATATGGATATCATTTTTGAATCTAAAAAGGATTGGGTGATCAACCATATTGATAACTTGAAAAGTGGTTTGTTTTCTATGATGAATTTGAAATGGAGGTTAAGGTGAGATTGAGAAGAGCATTAATTTGTATATCTTTTTTTAATTAATATTTTAAAAAATTAAATGGCCAGAGCCGCAAAAGACACAAGACCAATTGCAGATTAAGCTACATCCGAAGCTGCATGTACATACGCAGCCCTCATTTTATATGAAGACAATTAAGATGTACTTGAAAATGTGATAATAAGATTGATGCCACTAAATTATCTAAGATTATTAGAGCTTCCAATTTGAGAGTTGAACCAATTTGGACTAAAGTTTTTGAGAAAGCACTTAAAGGCAAAAGAATTGGTGATTTGTTACATGGTAGCAGTGGAAGTACAAACAGTGCTCCATAAGCATAAACTACATCAACTCCTGCAGCTGCTGAGACCAAAAAGGCAGAGCCAGTTAAAGAAGTTAAGAAAGTTGAAGAACCAGAAGAAGATGTTGATATGGGTGGATTGTTTGATTGAAAATGAAAATAAAATCGTACATTAATATTTTAATATTATGAAATCTAATAAATTGGAGAAATACGAGAAGAAAGAGAAACTTGGAGAAGGTACCTACGGAATTGTGTATAAAGCATTAGGTATAATTCATTTTATTATTTGCATTTAGACCGAAACACTAGTGAATATGTGGCATTAAAGAAAATTAGACTAGAGTCAGAAGAAGAAGGTATTCCTAGTACAGCCATTAGAGAGATCTCTCTACTTAAAGAGTTGAATCATCCAAACATTGTGAAGTAATACATATTCTATCTAGATTAATGGAGGTTGTGCATTCAAATAAGAAGCTTGTACTGGTCTTTGAGTATGTTGAAATGGATCTTAAGAAATTCTTTGCTCAATTCCCTAAAGAGAAAGGAATGGAGCCTGTCATTGTCAAAAGTTTCCTTTATTAGCTCTTAAGAGGAATCTAAGCATGTCATTAATAAAAAATATTACACCGTGATCTCAAACCATAAAATCTTTTGGTCTCAAAAGATGGAATACTTAAACTTGCTGATTTTGGACTTGCTAGAGCTAGTGGAATTCCTGTGAAAAGTTTCACTCATGAAGTCGTCACTCTGTGGTATAGACCACCAGATGTGTTATTGGGCTCTAAAAACTATAATACATCAATAGATATATGGAGTGTAGGTTGTATCTTTGCAGAAATGTCAAATCTTAAACCTCTTTTTGCTGGTAGCAACGAAACTGATCAATTAAAAAAGATATTCAGAGTTTTGGGTACTCCAACACCTATTGTAAATTACTCTATCTATTTAAGGAATATCCTAAATTGAATGATCTTCCAAATTGGAAACCTGAAAACTTTGAACAATATCAACCTGACAATTTAGCTAAGTTTTGTCCAAGACTTGATCCAGATGGTTTAGACTTATTGATCAAAATGCTTAAAATTAACCCAGATTAAAGAATCACAGCCAAAGCTGCTTGTGATCATCCCTTCTTTAAAGAATTACCAGAATAAGTTAAGAAATTATATGTCAACATCAAGTGAGAATTCATAAATCAAATATATATTATATTTTAAATTTCATATGAATTTCTCTCTTGAATGAACTCAACATACAATGTTAAATATATTTTCCAAATTAAATAATAAGCTAATATTTTTAGTATTTATTGAAATGATTAATTATTAATATTTTAGAATATTTATTTATATTAATCTATTCAAATTAAATATGTAATTTACAGTAAGAGATGATGGAATTTAAGATATAATTTAAATGATGAATAAATAAATTACATTATTAAACAAATTGTAAATCAAAATATTCAACTACAAAAATACAATAGGATCAAATAATATCTGACTAAATCTTAAGTAATAATCCAATCCCTTTAAAAAGTTCATTTAATTTCTCCACTTCTTAATTTCTTAATGAAACCAAATCTTGTCTAACCTAATACATTAAAAACATATTTAATACTCTATCAATTTCAGATTTCCTCTTAATTTCACTTTCTTCCTTTTCATAAAATCTCTTCAATTATTACTTCAAATATTCATTTTCTTACTTCACTTTATTCACATAACTATCTAATTCACTTAACTAATATTTTATTTAATTATGACTTTCCTTATATTATTGCAATTTAACTATTTCCTTCTATTAGTCTTATATCACATTCTTTAATTCTTCTATTTAATTATTTATTTCTATTCTACTTTATCTCATTTCATTTTCAATTTTCTTTCTTTCATTTTTATAATTTTTTAATTCTTCTTTTAATTTCTAATTTTCTACTTTAATTGGTTCCATTCCAAATAACAAATTATCAAGCTTTTAAATTTCAGTTTTTAAATGCTCATTTTTTATCTCCTATTACATTCTCTGTTATTCTATTTCATGTTATTTTTCTAAATGTAACGACTAAATTTATATATTTCATTTACATTCAAATTATCATTATCCTTTCTCAAATGTTAAACTATGTCACTTAATTCTTGAAAATCTCTTAATAAATCATCTCTTTCTTAAATATATTTCTTAGACCTCTATATCTCTTTTTCTTAATTCTTTATTTGTTCTTATAAAGCAATCCTTAGCTAAACAAGATCATCCATTAAATTTTTATTTTGAATCTACAATTCTCCTATCACTTAATCTTTCTTTAAGAATTCAACTTTTAATACTTCCATCTAAATTCTATTTCAATATATTTATACCCTTTCTCTTTATTCTTTCAATTAGCTAATATAGTATTATTCTTGTTCTATTTATTTCAACTCATTGATTCTAAACTTATCATTACTATTAATAAATTCCATAAATTTTCCTGTCTGTTATTGCATTAATAAATTAATTCAAAGATGTTCATTAATTAATATATATTATTTTAATAATCCAGTACAATATTATTCACAATATTAAACATAGTATATGCAAACAATTAAATTATCATAAAATTATCATTTAGACTCTAATGTTAATCTTTTAATGAAATTTAATCATAATTAAATGAATTAAGTAAATATTAATTTGAATGATTATAAAATAGAAATATTAATATTTTCATTTACTAAAGATTCCATCAAAATTGATTGAACTTAATTTAACAGGTACTTTTGTATTGGGTTGTTATTAAATTTACATTGTTGGAAGTACTGCTTGTCTATCAACTAATTCTAATCTCTCTCTCTCTTCTTAAGTGACTTCCTAAAGGAGAATAAAATAATTTATATACTCTGCCATCCAGATACAAAATTGTTGGCAATTTTCTTAGAACCATTTATCTATAACCAGGTCTTCTACTTAAAGAATTTCCAACTAATTCTAATTCTTTAAGTTATGTTAATGGGACTATATATTCAATATCTGGTAGATCATTAATTCTATTTGAATTAGCAAATAAATGCTAAATTTAATGAATTTATAGATACCAATAATTTATATAATTTTTAAATATTCTAAAAATTCTTAAGTCCATTTCCATCTATTTTCAAACATCTAATAGGATTAGCTCCAGAAAATGATTGGGGATCGAATTGTCTAACTTTATTTTAATTTAAATCTAATTCTTTTAATTATTTTAGATTCTCTAAGAAATCAACTCTAACAATTTCATTTTTTTCACATTTCATAATTTTTAATTCTTTAAGTAAACAATATTATAATCCATTAAATTCTTTTAAACAATTTTAAGAGATATCTAAAATTTATAATTGTTAACATCCATTCAATCCTTTCTTTTAATTAATATCATTTGGATATAGAAGTGTATCAATTTTATTTGATGCTAAAATTAAAATTTTTAATTAAGGCAAGAAACCAAGCATTTTTGTAGAAGTAAATAAATTATGACTCAAATCTAATTCAACAAGTTATGGAAATTATTGAACATTAAATACATCTTCAAAATCTCTAAGTTCACAATTTTATAAACATAATTCTGTTATTTTATTGGCTGGTTACCCTTACAATCTAGAATACAGTATCTCTTCTGTCAATCTACCAGTATATAGATTCTTTGCCATCTATTATTCTTAAACTTCAATAGAGATACCATCCAAAACTTTAAGTTTAGGAATAATATAGAGAACATAAGCTCTATAATTAGTATCTCTAGCAAAGGGATTCCCTGAAAGATCTAAAATAATTAGTTTTTGCAAATGTTTTATATTATTAATTTCCTTCTAATTTGTAATATTATTATTTCCTAAATATATTTCCATTAAACTTTTAAGATCTGGAAAATCTCTTAATTAAAGTATAGCATTATCTTCCAATGACAATTACATTAAATTAATTAGATTTGAAATTCCATCAATTATTGATATTCTATTTCCACCTAATTCTAATTTCTTTAAATATTACATATTATCTAATTCTTAAATTTGTATTATAGAATTCTTTTCTAAATTTAATTCTTCCAATAATACTGAATCTTATATTGAAGTAATCTATGTAATTTTATTATGACCAAGATTCAAATGTCTCAATTATACTAAACCTTCCAATCCTTTCATACTACTTAATTTCTAATGTGTAATCATTACTGATTAAATATTTTACTTCCAATCCATTTAGACCTTACTAAATGTTTGAAGCATGGCAGTTGTAATTAATTAATTTTAATTATTAGTTTTCTCTTTATCTTCATCAGTTACTGGCAAATGATCCAAAAATTATAAATTATTCAAAATCATTACTATCTCTTTTCTTGTTTCTTTATACTCATTAATTGGATTAAAGACAACACACAAATACTTTAATGACGAATTGTATTTGAGTAAAGCAATTTAATCAATATCTTAGATATTATTATGAGTTAAATCCAAGATTTCTAAACTATTCAAGTGTTATAATCCATTTAAATTACTTATTTCATTATGTGATAAATCTAATCTAACCAAATTTGGCAATTCATTCAAACCAACAATAGTACTTATTTTATTATAACTTAATATTAGAGTATGAAATTATCCTTTTATAAATGTAATATCTTGAACACAACAATTACTTAAATTTAAAAATTAAGTTTAGTTCTTAAGAATTTCATTTAAATCTGGTGTACAAACTAAATTTGGATTTAATTCATATAAAGTTGATCTACTAAGACAATATTTAAAATAATTTATTAAAGCAGGTTTTAAAGAAGCACATTCTGATCTATCTAAATCTTATGCTTTAAGTTCATAAGTAGGATATTCTTCTAAATTCTCAAATTAATAAGTATTTAAATCATCAGCCAATTAATTATATAAATCATTTATACTTTCCTTCTACAAATTAATGTTAGCAGGAGTGATGAAATCATCATCTTCTTATTCTAAAACACCTAATGCAGAACCAAAATCAGCAACTTTATTTTGTAATGGCGATTACATAACATATTCAAATTCTGCAAAGTATTCTGGTAATACTAAATTGTTATCTAACACAAACCATAATTTATGTCTATTATCATTCTCCATTTATCTATAAACTGTATATTCATCTTAATATTATCTTCCATCAATTGGTTATTTCTGAAACATCTCACTCCATGGTTATTCAGGATTGAAATAAGGATATTTTGAATCTGGAACAGATTTAATCATAAGAACTTTACAAATCAATAATACTCCTGGAGGAATCACATTGTATTTTTAATAAAACAATCTAAATATATAGATATATATAGAATAAATTACCTTCTTTTTATAAATCTTTTATTTAATTTTTGATTATGCTCTTATCCATTTAAAATATATTGAATTCTTGATGCATCTGCTCCCAAAATACTATTTACTAAAGGGGTATATGTACTTAATCCAATAGATTTTGATTCCTTTATTTAATATATTTATTTACTTAACAACCTCTAAATCCCTCCTCTATTACATTATAAATTTCAGATTAAAAATTTGGATCCACTCCATAAAAGAGATATTCTAATGATTTTTTATGACTTTGATTAGATACATCTACTAAAGATTCCATTTTTTCTTCAAATTTATTTCTTATGAATTTATTATGAATTCTAACTACTCTCTTTATTTATATATCTTTAATTCCATATTTAGACATATTATCTTAATAAAATCTAGAATTGATAAGATCAACACAAGAAGTATACCATTTCTCACTTGCTTTACCTTCTTCTAGTCTTATATTACCACCTGTTTCCAATTCAGTTATTAATTTATGTATACTTTAATTGCAATATTCATAAACTTTTTTTTTTATGCTATTGTAAATATCAGTTTAATTTTCATATTCCTCTTACTTATTTTCTAACAATTATTATCTTTCTTTGTCTACTTCTTATGCTAATTTTATATTCAAATTTGAAAAATCTTCACATAAAGAATCTGTTTTAATTTTCTTTCCTTTTTTCAATAGTTTACACAAAGTTGAAAATGTCCTTTACATTGTTTTAATTCTCATATTATAATACATCTTCTTTTTCATAAAGGTTCCTTCAGCAAAAGATTTCTACTCTTCTGAAATAATTAAAGTATCTAATTTGAATATTTTTCTCAAATGATAAAGAACATATGTCTAATAGTTGCAGAGATTACAAATAGGATTATCACCAAAATGAGGATCATAAAATGCTAAAACTTTTAAGTTTGGTAAACGATTTAAATTTAATGCTTCTTTAAAACTACAAATTTTATTTCCACTAATATTTAAATCATGTAAATTCTTTAATCTATCAAGAGATGTTCTTAAATAACTTATTTAATTAGCTGCTAACCATAATTATCTTAAATTAACTAAATTTTCTAAATTTTAAATTGCATCAATTTTATTATCACAAAGCCATAAAGTCTCTAATTTTGTTAGATTTTCTAATCCCTCAATTTTTTAGATTACATTATGAGAAATATATAATGATTTTATATTAACAATCCCTTTTAATCCACTCAATTTTGTAATTTAATTCTCATTCAAATTTAATTCCTCTAATTTAGTCAATTCATCCAATCCCTTTAGTTTAATTAATTAATATATACTTCAATTATTGTAACCCCTACATTTATAAGTGTTAAAGATCTCAAATTTTTGAATGCTTAAATAACATTCATTCTCCCAAAATCCTCAAGTGTAAGCTCAATTCTTTCAATTTTATCTAAATAATTCCACTCCTTATCAGTGAAACCATTCATAATTTTCTACAGATTTAATGTATTCTTACTATAATTTCCATTTTCCCACTATCCCCTTTCTTTTTCTCTTCTTATTACATTATTTATTATAATATATTTTTAGATTTTGCAACTTGAAAAAAATGAATTATATATTAATGTTCTTTCAATATTCATTAACTGATACATCAGATGCTACTATATTTAAGGCTGTATACGTCTAATAAATTAGAAGAATTCTAAATCATCTTCAACTCTATGATTACTTTCTTCAGACCATGCAGGCAATTTTATAGTCAGACTTTCAGAGTTTGACAAATAATTATGATCCTTAGTCACAGGCATAGGTGGATACTTTATTCCAACAAACGGTTTCTTTGCCAAAGCTAATTTATTAAGAGTCAAATTATACGATTGTAAACATAAATATGCTTTTTATTTGCATCAGAACTAGTTAATGACTCTGTCTTATGGGCTATGTTCAAAACAACATCAGTTTAACTATTCTATGATGATTATTAATCTTATTCTGGGTCCAACACTATTGCTTTATCGACAAAATTAGATTAATCATTTATTGCTTCAGGTAATTCTTATGCTCTTTATTATCTATTGTAAAATTATACTAGATCTCATCATCAACTTTCTCAATTTTCAATGATTCCTATTACTCAAAATTTTGATCTTAGTCTTTGCATTTATTTTTAATATAAATTACTTGATTCTATTGACTCTTCAATATAAACCATTGGGGTATCATCACTTTTGAATACTGCTAAACTAGCTTCTACATCTATGTTCTCTTTGCCTTAAAGAGTCTCTGCTGAAATATCACTCTTCCCAACATAAAACATTTAATCTTCTTATTCACTTTGAAATATTGCTATAAATTATTATTCATCAATACCTTGTTCTTCTTCAATTAAAGACTTTGAGGAACCTCTTAACATTTAAGAGCCACAATAACAAATTAATACTACAAGTATTAGTGTCTTCATTGAATATGTATAATATTAATAATTAAAAAACGAACAAAAATAAATTATCACTCTTTACTTAATTCAATACTAGACCATATGATTTTAGTAAAATATCACTAAAATAATGATAATCCATCTCATCTTAATTAATTTAAGATTATTGATATATTTACAAAATTAAATTACAAAATTTAAAATAAACAATTTTCAGTTATATTAATTGTAGTTTAGATATGAAATCATATATCTATTATTGAATTCTTAAAATTTATGATCTATTCTAAAATTAAATCATTTGATATTTATTCATTTCCTTCACATATTACTATTCCTTTTTCAGAAAGTTTGATAAAGGATTTTAAATAATAATAAAATTCTAAACATGTTTTTATATTTAATATAACATATCTTCCATTTCTCAAATTAAAAATTGAAATCTATATATTCATTATATTAACAGAATTCTATAAAATAAATAATTCCTTTTTTCTATTCTTATATAATTATATTAATATATTCATATCAATCTTATATTCTTTTAACTAGAAATCAGACAATTTTTTAACACTCAAACAGTTATTTTCAATTCAAATTCTTTAATTTATCTAATAATAAATAAGTTAAGTTATTAATGATTTTACAATTTTCTATAATGAAAACCTATACAATAATTGAAATTTCATAGTTTTTGAGTATATTTTTAATTTATCCTTTATTCACAACCTATTTAATGAATTAAGAAGGGAAATATGTTCAATGTAATGTAAACTTAATTGGATTAAAAATTAAGTAACACTAAATTACGGTATTGCAGTTTTTTCACTATGTTTAGGTATTTATCGAATAAAATTTATCGTTTTTTAATACAATATTTAATATATATCTTTAGGAATATGAGTACTAGTTAATAAGAATTCTTTGAGTATATGAGTGAGACTCTATAAACATCTCAAGAAGGACTTATGGAAATGCAAAAATCTAACCCATAAAGTAAGAAGAAAATTCTAATAATTTTTAAGATTTCCAAAAACTTATAGAGAAAATGAAGCGTACAATGAGAAGAGAGAAGGCAAAATAAAGAAAACATAAGGATGAACCTGAAATAGTTTAAAGTAGTAAGAAAATAAAAAGAAAGAAATAAGATGATGATCCATTAAGAGATAATGATAAAAAAACTATATAAATGATAAGAAATAGAATCAGTGCATAAAATTCTAGAGATAGAAAGAAATAATATTTACAACAATTAGAAAATTAAGCTCAAAAAGAATTAAATTACAATATTGAATTGAGAAAATAATTAGAAGAGCTACAAGCTAAACATTAAAAATTAACAAATAAGAGTTCAAAAATAAGAGATTAATTATCTATTCTTTAACAATTAGGTCGTTGTTCAAGATTAGGTAAAATAGGTCTCGCTCTCTTGACTCTTGTTTCAGTTTTTTCTGTAATCTCTTAAAAGGAAACCTAATAAACAATCTCATCTCCTCTTGTTAAAGTTGAAGATATATCAAATGAGAGTGCAATGGCCCCAATAAATTATGAAAAATCATATTCTGTAATTGATACCAACACCTTTTTTGAAGAATAAAAGATTAGTGTTGGTATGTCTGAAGAATCTGAGAATTCATATCCTTAATTATTACCAAATGCCTTATATCGGTTGAATTCACATTTAGAATATGATTTTCTGTAGTAAAATTGAAAAAGTTCTATTGAGTTTATGTATATTATAATGAGAGTAATTATATTAACAAAATCAAAATCATACCGATCTCTCTTTAGGTGGTTTATATTATAATCCAAGAATCCTATAAACATCTATTTCTTCTTCACAAGCAATGACCTCTCCTTTCCACATCTTTTTATTATGAGATCCCCTTTAAGTTGGATAGAGACCATGATCACTTAAACTAAATCCAATCTTTTATGCCCATAATCTCATACTTCTGTTATATTAATCAGAACCAGTAAAATACAAAACTGCACAACCATACTGTTCTTTAGGATATAATTTTAAATCAATTCTACGATGTATTCCATGATTACTAATTCTTCCAATACCCATATAAGACTCATTATCATGTTCTCCCCTCTTAGGTAATGTAAGATGATGAGTTAGTAATTTCCCTTCTAATCTTTATATTAGATTCATTAAAAAACCTTCAGTATTCTTTCCATCACATCTAGTAATTAAAATATCCATATCTCCACAACTTTCTTTTTCTCTTCTATAAGATCCACAAGCAGTAGCTTTATACAATCCAGACACTCCACTTAAGTCATCTATTTCCCTTTTTACAATTTCATAAATTATTGTAGCTTCATCTCTAGGAATACGTTATTCTAATTCTTCAACTAATGACAGACAAACTTATTAATTTTTATTTAGCAAATGTTAATTTTTTTTTAAATCATCTAATGTCTTTATACCTTTAAAATAAAAAGTAGTTGCAGTTGTAGGTCCTATCCCCCAAACTCTAATTAATTAAGTAATAGCAACATTTTTTTCTTGTCCTTATAATTTTTAAACTTTTAATAATGAACCTGTTTAGATAATTTCAATAATTTTTTTTTTAATTTTTTCTCCAATAGTTGGCATTTCCTTTAAATCTTCACTTGATTTGATTGGAAATGTTAATGACTTAATAAAACCAATAGCCTTTCTATATGCAATACATCTTCCTACATCTTTTTCATTAGTGTAAATTTTAAGTAGTTTTTCTAATTCTTCAATAATTTAATTATTAAAACATTGTTATGCAGATCCAGCATCACAAATGAAAAATTCCTTTTTATTTTCCCAAAATTGAATTTGTTTTTTGAATCCTGGATTAAATTACTTAGTCTCTTTTAATTATGCATTAATTAAGGGTTATTCTATATTAACTACTGCTTTTCCCATATCTAATCCTTATAAAACATCTATTTGAGGTTTACGAATTTCTGTAATTTAACAATCTTCATCTCCATAAAATTTATTCTATTAAGGGATATCATGTTCTTCTTTTTTTAAAATTTATAAATCATCTAATAAAAATTCATAACCATCATCTTCTTGATGATGATAATTATCAAGATCTTTATCATATTCATAATCTAACATAAATCGATTATCTTTAATTATTTATTTTTTATATTCTTATCTCTTTCTCTCATACTTTTCTCTCAATTCAGGTTTAACAATTGTATATTCTTCACTTTCCATATCTATCTCATCTTATGCACTTTCTTTAATTGGAACAGTCTTTGCTAAAGATTCTATATATACAAATCTTGTATCTGTTTTTTAAGGACTAAATTGTTGTTATTTTTTTAACTCTATATCTAAAAATAATTGAAATGTTTTAAGATCTAAAAGTTTTTTAGCTTATAGAGATTAAGAAATCCAATCTGCATTTATGAATTAAGTTCTATAATGATCAAAGTCTAAATTCATTTTTTATAGTTATTTCTGACAAGATTCTATTGAAGCATCAGAACCAACAATCATGAGGGTTTGAAGATTTAAATTTATAGTTCCTCCATTGAATTCAATTAGATTTTTTAAGGTTTTAATTCTGTTATTGGTTAGATTGAGAGTAGGAAGAGGAAACATAAATGAAATAGCTTTGAACATGTAAAATATCTCTTAAAATTATTTTAATTAAGATTATAATCATATAATGAGTGATTCTTTAACGTCGTTAGTAAGCAAATCCTTGGGTTATTCCTTGATGTCTAATTTCATTTTAAAGGAATACTTGTGAGAATTGAAATCAAGTAATGGACAGTACCAACTGTGATCACATAGAACAAGTTTTCAACAAGATAAAATAATATTTTCTTAATTTTTTCGTGACTTGTAAATTTACAATCTGTTGCATCTTCTTCTGTTAATCCTTCTTCCATAATTAAGAGATTGAAAGCATAAGCCAATCGTATTATTATTAATGCATAAATTGTATAATTGTATTTTTGGAATCGTCTAATTGAAGTGTATTTAATAGCTAAATATAAAATAGCTGTAGCTGCCCAAAAAAGTATGTCACTGATTATATTTAGTAAGTATAGTATACGTATCTTCTAACATCCTAATTTTGACATGTAATAAATTGAATAGCTGAAATTCATTGTGTAATAGATCTAAAAATCATTATTCGTAATCTTACTGATATCAAAACATATGCTATCAATATGCAAATCGAGGTCCTTTAAAATACTCGTTCAAATCTAACTAATCTTGATATTGGATGATCAATTTCAAATTAAACAACACTATTATTATTATTCATATTAATCAAAACAAATCAAATAACAATAACTTCTATCTCTAAACCATAAACATACTATAGTTCTAAAACATATAAACAAATTCAAGATTCTTAATCATTAGATAATTTTGCTCTAGAAGTTGAAGTTCTTCTCTAAACTTATTATGGATTCTAAAAATTTGCAGATCCCTCACTTCTCATAACAGGTTTCTATGACATTTCTTCCTCTATCTCTTCTATGCTTTACCTGTATTTTTCTTGAAGATCTAGAGCAAATTTGATATCATATTTTTGTAAGTTTTTAACAATCTTTTCATCATCCCTTATTAGATTCTTAATAACCTATATCTCAATTTCATTTTACAAGATTTCCCTTTCCATTTCATAAATTTCATCTAATTTTGCTTATTTTTTTAACTTAGCTTTTTCAATGTCAACAATTTAATCCTCAATCTATTATACTAATGTTGCTTCATTAAATTAATGCAATTCTTATAGTTTTTTTCCTTTGATTAGCATTTCCTTATCTTGACTTTCAAATTACATCTTTTCTGCATTATATTATATTTTTAAAATGTCTTCTGTATTGTTTCTTAAAGTGAATAAATGAGACTCAAGTGCTAGAGTTCTCATTTGAGTTTTTTGTTTCTTACCACCACAGAGAAACATGATTACAATTAAATATTTATTATCTTTAAAAAGTATGTACACATTCCATACTAATTTTTATATTAATCTTCTAAATTTTAGAATAATAATATAAACAAATAATCAGGATTTTTATAATAAATCACCTTTTTCATTATGTAAATATACTATCTTTACAAATAAATCATATTGAACATATAAATTATTATTAGTGAATATATATCAACAGATTTTGTTTAGAATAATTTAATATGATGTTAGGATCAAATAAGATAGCAAATTGTGAATATCTATTAAAAATATATATTTCCATTTATTTAATATAGCATTTCATAAACATGTTATTTATTAATGGATACTATTCATCGAAAATAGCATATATAATATATACATAAATTTTATAGTAATTTTATTAATGTAAGTATTGTAATAGGTGAAAAAATTACACAAGGACCTAAAAAAGCCAGAAAAGAATCATAAGTATAGATAAATCATTGAAGAGTTATCAGAATACTTTTTATTTGGAGATCATCAATAAGAAGAATTGTTTGAGTACTATTGAATATTTATTAAGCTATTTTGCAGAACATAATATATTACACTTATTTTATTAGAAACTCAAGTCTGCTAATCATTAATTAACTATTTTCATAATTGAAAGGATGTCTATGATTATGTAAAATGTTATTTGATTATAGTACTAATCTATAAAATCCACTTAATCTGAATTATGTATTGAGTAATCCTGTATTACATGAATTCATCAACTATAATTATGATTTTAATAATCCAGAAATTGTAGATTATTATGTTAATTTCTTAAAAACTATAGCTATCAGAATTAATCGAGATAATTTTTATCTTTATTTCAATTAAAGATATTGTACATTCCCATTATTATGGTAAGCCTAGAAATTTATTAATTATCCTGATTAATTAGTTAAGAATACTATCTAAAATATAGTTTTGAGTTTATCAAAATGTAAATAATTATAGAATATTCATCATAGTGTCAACTGAACCTAAAAGTGAAAAGCAAACATAATCAGTAATTTTCAATTAAACTAAAATTATGATTCAATTTAAACATTATCTTACATCATCTCCTTTCATTTAAGTGTACATAAAATATATAATACAAATATAAAAATTGATAGAATCTTTAAATATTGATTCTTAAGATGAATTAGATAAATTAGAAGATATTTTGATGTTTTTTAATGATCTCATTACTGAATGTCCTTTTTTATCAATATTACTAGAAAAATTAATTTTAGATTAATTAATTTAACCAATTTTAGATTGTCTATTGCTAAATAAAAATACATCAATGAGAGTTAGTTATGAAGTAGGTTTATTAACAATATATTTATTCTTAACAAAATTACCTTTAATTAATACAATAATGTCTTATTTTTGTAATGATTAAATTTATATTGATGATACTATTTAACATTAAAAATTATAGAAATAATCATAATTATGGGTATATGATACAAAAAATATGGAATAAGAATTTTAAAATATATTCTAAAAGGAATTTGATGATATAGAAGAAAGAAATTATTAATTCATTTAACATAAGTAAAACAATGAAATTGAAAATCCATATAAAAATCAATTTCTGGAACTTTTAAGAGTATTAATTATTATATTATATTAATTAGTCAAAACATAATACATTATTATATTTATATTTATCAATATGGTTTGTAGCAAAATAAAATAATTACTAAATACCATCCCTTTAAATTATTAAGGTAATTATATTTATATATGATTAGTTATTACAATTAAAAGAAGAAATTGTATTTTCAAAATAACTTATTGAATTAATAATTCTATTAATGATCAATGAAGATCTGAAAGAATTAGAATAATTATATGAATAATTATAAAATAAAATCATATCAATGATTTCTAATTTAAAAGAGACAAATAAAAAATTAAGTGAAGGATTATGTGCAAATTGGGATATTATTGAAAATTTTGATTGGGATAAGTTTAAAGAATCATAACATAAAATAAAATTGGATGATTTAAAACCATATGTTGATAATAGCAAACTCTCTGAATTTAAATATATTTATTTATGGATTTTAGTAAAATGTTTAGTTAAGAATTTTCAAAAATAAAGAGTTGAAAATCCTTATAAAATTAATTAGGAAATTGAATTAAATCAAAATTGTGAGTTTATTTAAATAATGAATTCATAAAATGTAATAAATAATATATATATAATATAGTATTTGATTCTTGATATAGAATCAGGATATTTGATACATATTTTTACTTATTAAAACTAAGAATTTGGAATAGTGAAATTTGTATAACCTTTAAAAGCAATAGAATGTTCATTTATTAATGATACATTGATTCTAGAATCTAATTAACTTTGTCTTAATTCATTTAAACCATATCACATTAAATATTAAAAAGATGTAATACCATCAGTAATCGACAGAATTTACTAAGCATAACAGTCAATGAGTTTATTAATTATTAATAAATTGGAAGCACTTTTATGATGAAAAAACTGATTTTGTTAATAAATTGATATAACACAAAAAACTACATAACTCGATTTTCATAATATTTCCATGTTGATATTACTGATCAATAGATCATACAGCATTCTGTGGCTTTTTTATTATGTTTATTATCATAATTTAATTGTTTCCAACTTTCCACCATTATTATAGTATGTAGTTCACCCTTTTTGATCTAATCTTTAAAAGTTATCCCATGACTTTTTGATCCCTTAAGAATTAGAAACCCTCGTTTATCAGTTCTATAATTTAGTTTTTTAATCATTGGACTTAAAGCAGTATGTGATGTTAATTAAGTTTGACTTTAAACTTTTTCCATAATTGTTAATAATTTTTCTCAAGAATTTAAATTTACCTTTTTAATCATCAAAATAGATAGTTTTATTACATCATATAAATCATTTACAATAAAGGAAATGTTTAGCATTCATTTATATAAGACTTCTTAAGTTTTAATGTTAAAATTGAATCAAATAAACAAATACATAAAATTACTCAAAATTCATCATAATATTATGCAGCATTCATCAGCAACTATTATATCATTCTTAGTTGTTTATAACATTCAACTATAAATTGATTTATCTACAATCATTTCAATATAAATGTGATCTTGTGTGTCTTATTTGTTTTACAATTGGACAACCTTTTTTATCTAATTGTATCACTTTTTTAATTATTATTTCTTATTCCTTTAAACCTTGGTTCTTTTTGATTTATTTAGTATTTTATAGATAAATTTTTATTTTACTATTTATTATAAGTAATACTTTAATAATTTTGATAATATGTTGTAAAATGTTACAATAACACTGTTATATATATTATTATTTTTTTGATTATCTTTTTCAATATAATTTTTCATTAATATTTTGTGAATATTTATTAGAGATTATAATTTTTGTTTTTAACATGTTATTTTTATTTTTATAAGTTTGTATCGTTTTTGGACGAATTCCATTCTCAGAAATTGCAAAACATAAACATCATATACCTTGTAATCAGTTATAGGATGCTAAGGAATATTTAGACATGATAGAACATAAGGATTAATTAATTGAAGACTCAAAAATATTAGAATCATATATTGGAAGAACTACAAAATTTGAAAATAGAGATTTAACTATGTAAGATTTAGAAGGTATCAGTTAATTATTGGAATATTATGATAATACTGAAGATTTAGATAGAAGGGATCAATTATTATAGGAATTATACAATTAAATTGTCACAATGAAAAATTCAATAGATTATGATCTTGAATAAATTGATGATTCTTAATATGATCGTATTAGTGATTTAGTAAATAATGCAGAATGTGAAGATGTCACAATTATAGGATCATTTCAACCATTATTTAAATAAGAAGAAAAACCAAAGAAAGAGAAAGTATAAGAAAGAATTAGATTATCAAATAATTCAAAAACAATTAAATTACCAAGAAGAAGAAAGCATGCTAAGAAATATGTGATTACTAAAAAACCTTATGAATGGGATAAGGATATTAAAAATTATGACAACATTCCTATTCCCAATTATAATGATTATCATAATATTGATGAACTTGATGAAATTGATTGTTTTTTTGATTGATAACATTTATTGCTATTTATCATATAGCTTAAATTATAATCTATGAAACTTTCTTTTTTTAACTTAAAGTTAATTTTTGATTTCCTATAACATAAAAAGTGGAGTTGTTTATAATTTTTCTCAATGATAATAAAAATAGAATATAAAAAGGCTTATTAAAAACGGTTACATTTCTAAAGCAAGTATGATCAAATGTTTCATCATAAATCCTTGCAAGATAATGTTGGAGGAAGGGTTTTATTTTATTGTTATTCATTTTTTATTTTTCATTTGGGTTTCCTTTGATTTTCATCTTAGTAAGGATCCTCAGGTTGGGGTTCATTAACTGTATCCTAATTACTAAAATCGGGGAAATCTACAGGCGGATCATCAAACAAACCTTTCTTAAAATTAATTTATACTTTCTTAATTTAAGTCATCTTATTCTTTATTAATTTAACAATTATTCATTTTATTACTTAATCAAAATATCCTTAGTTTTATTTGCAAGCTTAATGAATATGTTGTTAAAAACTCAGTAAATGTATAAAACTTAATTATATATATATCAATATTAAGATTTATTCATTTTTTTTTTATTTTTAATCTATTTTTGTCTCTATCTACTAATATGTATATAAACTTACATAAAATTATTGATAAAAATTTGTTAATATAATTTATTTGAATTTTGAAATGAGTTCTGATCTTTAAAATTAATATGAAAATTTTAAGAAAACAATGAAGAAAGCTGAATACAAAGAATAATTTGCATTTGATTATGTTAAGGATAATAACCCAACCTTTTTCTTGAGAATACTCCACTACATTTTAATTGAATATAATTCAGGCTTTTATAAATGTACCTATTACTTAAGATTGTTTGTTAGCCTTAGTAGACAAAGGATATGAGCTCTATTCCAAAAATGATTTGAGATTTACAGAATAAGTATTCAAAATGTTACAATTAGAATTCAATTACAAATTGTCAATAAATATTGCTTAATTTCTTTCAGAACAATATTTAGAGCATAAATTAATCTTAATAAATGATATATTTAATGAGGTATTGTAAAGAACAAAAAAAGACAAGAAAGTGAATCTATTTAAGGGATAAGAAAATACTTCATACTTATAAAACACTTAAAAATAACAAGAGTCTAATAATAAATAAAAAACTCAAATACTTGTACAAAGAGAGAATTTATAAATTGAAGATGATGAAGAAGACATTGAATAACCAAAAAGACCAGAACCTTATAAAATTACTTCATAAAATGAATTAGTTCAAAGAATGCCTTCTTATAATTAAGAATAATATTAAGAATTTGAATAATAATCCAATTATTAATTACAATATTAATAATAACCATCTCCTCCATAATCTAATTAAAAGAATGAATATTAGAATGAAATTTAATAAGCATTCAAATAATAAATTAATTAAGTTTAATAAAACTATCCAATTTAAACAAATAATTATATTTAATAAAATTGTGTAACACATCAAGATCTCTAAAAATTAATGTAAGTGATTTTATTAAGTAATGATAATATTAAATCAATTATGCAAAAATTTTCAGAATTATAAACTACAGTAAATATTGCATTAGCTAATTTTGATCAGAGATTGACAAGATTGGAATTAAAAATTCGTGATTAATGAATTATTATATTATTATAGTTTTAGTTATTTATTAATATAATATTTCATTTAGACATAATATATTTCTATATATAAATAAATTTTAATTTTTTGTCCTTCATAAAATAATGTGAAAAGTAATATCTAAATTAATTATATAGTTGATCATATCAATATTATACTTAAGATCTTATTGAAAGCAGGATTTTATTCTATATATTATTTACTTATTATTAGAATAAATTCTCATTGCTTTATTTAATTTATCTTCTATATAATTCATTTCTACTATACTTATATAATAAATCTAAATTTTTATTTAATTTGCTATTGAAATTATAGTTATTTTTTATATCTACGTTACTTCTTCTTCAAAAGAGATCATATGTATAATAGATAGATTTTATCATTTTTTATATTTTAACAAATTCAAGTTTTCTTATATAAATAAACATGGCTAAATAAATATTCTTATTATTGTTATTAAAATTGATAAGAATAAAATGAACACTAAGATGAAAATGAATTTAGTTTTATTTCAATTCATTCAATGTAATTATAAAAGAGCTATATCTATGAGATGTATTATTAATAATTTGATTAAATAAATAAAGTAAGTCATATATACATATATCAATTATTTATATTAATTATAAAACCCTAAGTTAGTATTCTGATGACTATCAAAAACTGATCATTTTGTTTTATATGCATAATTTATAATAACATTTCTATGAATTTCTTATTTATAGATGTTGTTATAATATATTTATTTTTATAGATCATTTTATACCTAAATGTTCTCCAACTATTTCTGCAAATTATTTTTTTGTTACTTTTTCTGGAAAAATAGATTCATCCTTTAATTAATATTAAGATGCTGCCATAACTTTAAAAGCATCAATTGCTTACTTTTTAGAAATCCATCCATCTTATTTCAAATCAAATAACTAATAATAATAATATTTAAATTAATTTACTGTAAAAATGTTATCAATTTCTTCTGGTTTGAATAATCCTGTTTTGAAACCGAATTTTTATTTTAACTGCAATTATTCAATCAAAAACTTTTTTATATCTGCAGGTTATTCATATGAAATGGCTGTTGTCAAGTCCTCAAACAATTCGATAATTCTATGTTATCTTATATATAAATCAGCCTTTTCAATTCTATAATTCATTATAATAATTATTAAATTATCACTATATAAAATAACTATTTTGAAATAATTCTTTAAATTCAATCTTCATAAAATAATTTATTATATATTAACATAATAATGAGACAATCTTATTAATAAGATGGAAAATATCTGAAATTTTTAATATTTTATTGATTCATCATTTTACAATTATATTAATCACCATTATATTTTTAATAACTTAGTTTATTGAATATTAATATATATAGATATTATTATACATTTAGATATCAGAAATTTATTTAATAAGAATTTTTAATAAAATACTCAAAACCAAAAATAAATTAAGAAATTAATTTCAATAGTTTAATTATACATTTTGTTAATTTATATTAAATAATATATATAATATTTATTATTAAAGTTACGATAATATTTACCAATAATTACAGACTTCATTTGTCTTTAAGTTCAATTTAATCAATAAATATAATTATTAATCAATTTGATAACCATCTTCTATGATTTCTTGGAAAATGATGTTATTTCCAAATATATTCCTTTTATTTTATATGTTTTTCATTAATTCTGTCATGAAATCTTTGTGTAGATTAATCTCTGTTATTGAATATGTCTTTTACATGATCTTCCATTTCATCTTTAGATAAAACTGGTAAAGCTTCTATTTGCATAGTTTAACCTTCCTTATATTTACAATAATTGATTTGTATTTATTATTTAAGCTTTTCATCCTCCTGTAATTTTTAGTCATACCTTCTTTGTAATTATAATAATTTGCCTTCTGCATTTACAATTGACATTAATTTATTTTCCCTATCAGTATCTTCAATTATAGAACTAAATTAAGATAAATCAGTAGGCATATGATTAAAATGTTTTAATTTCTCTTTGGCTTCTAATCTTTTTAGTTCATTTAACAATTACCTTTTTCGCTTGGTCATTAAATCTAATAATAATGAAACTTAAAATAAATACTTTTATCATCAAGTATTCTAGTTACATATCTTTCTAGCTATTAATTTAAGTAATCATGTTAAGTTTTCATTGATAGATCTTATCTAATGTGTACTTTCAATTATTCCTTACATTTAGGTCCAAATAAAGAAAGATTTGCTATTTTTGAAAGGTTTAGAAGAGCTTAATCTGAGAGACTTTTTTAATACAAGGGATTCTCATTTTTTTCAATATCTGTAAAAAGTGAAGAACTTCCTAGATTATTTTTGATTTCAGGAAATGTAGTTTTTATATTATTTTTAGTTGATGATGGGATTTTATTAACTTCTTTTTTCAAATCTAATCTCATTGTATCTCCTAATTCTGTAATCAAGAGTCTATTCATTAATATTTATTTATAATTTTATTCAATTAGAATTATCTTACTTTCTAACTTTTGAACCTATATTCCTTCTCTTCCCAACAATATCCTTTTTTATTATACTGAAACCTGAGATATCAATAATACTATTAGAATTTGAAAATCTGGCTTCACTCAAATCTGAATCACCATAATATTTCTATTCTATCAAAATCTGAGATCTTCTTTATATCTTACCTTAGGGTCTTTCTTACATAATTCTTGACTATTCCTACTCTTAAATTTGTGAAGGATTCATAATACAATCTTTTTATGCTAAAGTGATATTAGATAAACTTTAATCATTTTGATATAATAATATGAGTTATTTGAGCAACTAACTTTTTCTCTTGGAATATTATCCTCAATATAATAAACATAATATTTATACTGTTTTCATCATAAACTTTGGATTCTTGATATTCTTTATTGATAGCATAAGAAGTATTTATTTTAGGCAGAACACAATTTTCAAAGAATATCTTCTTGTTTGGTTATTAGATCTCATGATGTTTCTCTATTTTGATGAGGGAACCATTGTTAATTGAGAGAATTTAATGTTGTAGAGATTATGGGTGATTAGTCTTTTTAATAATAGCAGTAGTTTTATTTGTGTTGATGTCAGAAAATCTTTTGTTTTTGATAAAATTATAGAAATGAGAATTATGAATGTTTTATTTTGGATCTTTTTGAATTGAAATAGATAGTTATGAATTAGTTTTAGGATTCATATATATTAAATTTTTAGGTTATTTAAATTCAAAATATTCTATGATAAATTTCATTTATAAATTTGAATATGTATGAATTAAGGTTAGAGGAGGGTAATTGATGAATAATCGAATATTAATTAAAAGTAATTAATAGATCATTAGAATATGAAAATAAAAGATATTTTAACTACCACGTCATTTAGTTTATATTCTTAAAATATAAAGAGTTTTCTAGAATAATATTTTTATCATACGTTGATGAAAGCAATATTCTTTGCATTACTAATTGCTCTGTCTTTAGCCAACTTCTCAGGAACAGATGTCCAAGAACTTACTTAAGATGATTTCAATGCAAAAGTTTAAAATTAGAAAACCTTCTGGGTCATAGTCGAATATTCTCAATTGACTTAAGAATAAAGAGATTAAGTTGTTTCAGCTGCTGAAGCTCTTAAGGGAATGATTAATGTTGGTGCTCTTTCTAATGGTGCTAGTACAATCTTAAGAGTATATTCAAATGGATAGGCAATTGAATATCCAGGAGAATGGGAAGCCTAAGAAATTGTCAATTTTGCCTTTGATTAAGTCAGAGATGTATGATTAAATCGTAATTAAACTTAGTTTGCCTTCAAGAGAGTAGGAAAAGTACCAAAGAAATAAGGAGAAAAAACACCTGAGCCATAAATAGATGAAAGTGATGTTATTGTTTTGACAGATGATAATCTTGATGAAACTATTCTCAATAGTAAAGATGCTTGGTTTGTTGAGTTTTATGCTCCTTGGTGTGGTCATTGGTATTCAATCAAAATATAATTATTTTAGTAAGAAATTGGCACCAGAATGGGCTAAATTGGCAACATCTCTCAAAGGTGAAATAAAAGTAGCAAAAATTGATGCCAGTGTAGAAGGATCAAAGTCTAAGACAAAATATAAGGTTGAGGGATTCCCAACCATTAGATTCTTTGGAGCAGGAGAGAAAGTAGATGGTGATTATGAAAGTTTTGATGGAGCCAGAGATTATAATACTCTTCTTAGTTATGCTCGAGAAACTAATAGAAAATTAAAACCTCTTTTCTTTGAATAATTGGTTAACTAATAATAATTCACTGATAATTGTTAGAAATCTACTGGAATATGTGTTTTATTATTTGTTCCACATATTTATGATTGCGATTAAGAATGTAGAGATGCATATTTGAATACCTATAAGGAAACTGTTAAACCATTAAAATCTAAACCATTGGTTCACTTTTGGTCATAAGCAGGAGATTAATATGAATTAGAAGAATAATTTGGAATGTCAGGAGCTGGGTATATATAATAATATTTATAATTAATAGTTATCCTTCAGTATTAGCTTTGAGTCCAAAGAAATAATTATTTTCTAAGATGAGAGGTTCTTTAACTTCAGCAAATGTAGATAGATTCTTGAACAACCTTTTAAATGGTAAAGAATAAGTTTCCAGATTTGGATCAATTGTACCTATAGAAGAAGTTAAAAATTGATATATATAATAATTTTAAATGTACAAATTCATAAAGCTTCTTTTCTTATTGTTATTGTTTTTTTTGGAGGTCCTTATAACAAATCATTATCATTTCCTACAGATGCTTCTGAAGATAATGTATCATTATCACTCATTACTTCATCTGAAGTATCATCATTTAATGGTTTTGTCAACTGTTATCCCTCATCTAAAGATGGGTTTTATCCAGTAGAACAAGTTCTACAACAGTCACTCCAACCTTTGTATCCATCTCCAAAGAAGAAGAATAATGTTGCTGCAACTAATTACCACAACCCTAAACAAATCATAGCTCCTCTAAATGCTTCTCTTTCTTAATCTATTAATTCTTGTGGTGGTGAACCAAGAAGATTGACATTACCACCAAATCCATCATACACTGATCCTCCCAATAAAGGTCCAACTAATGAACCACAACCCATTGACATAATAAATAAAGCTGATGCCATATCAGTTAAGTTATTTCTAATATAGAATTTCAATAATATACTTAAATTATGGATCTGTCACAACCGGAGCTAAAAATTCACTTATCTATGGAATACTAGGAATCATTGAGAATGATTGTGAAACACCCACTAATATCAATCCAATTATAACACTTGCTAATGTATTACCTTCTCCCCAAAATGGAGCTTCCAACATGTTACCACTAAAACATATCATTAACGCCAAAGACATCATGAAAGTCTTCTTAACGTATTTTCCAATTTTAGGTATGATATTAACCATACCAATATAAAAAATAGCAGGAATTGTAAGAATAAAGGCAGCAATATTTTCAGAGATTCCAAAAGATTACATATGATTAATAAAGAATGGATTAAAGTAAGTATAACCAGCAGTAATAGACATGACATTCATTATTGTTACTATAACCTTAATTGAGGTAAATGCTTTTCCAATAGGGAGTTTTTTTTTCTTTTCAAAACTCTTCAAAGTACTGTCAGGAGGTAATTATGTATAAGTTGGAATTTCAGCACAAAGGAAAAATATGGCAATTACGAAGAATGGAATGGAATAACCAAATGCATAGTTCAAAACACTACCAATCATAGGACCAAACAATAATCCCAATCTATATAGTTTTATAAAATATCTTTACGCTGTCATCGTTTCCATAATTGCTAACTTTTTCTAAAATTCCCCTGGCCAAAACATCGGAACATAAGCAAATGTCACAGTAGAATAGACAGATCTACTCATACCTTAAAAAAATCTAGATATAAGGGACATTGAAAAGAATAAGGCTTTATTGTCAGTCATAAAATTGAGGCATCCGAAAAGGATTTAAACAGATGATTGTACTGCTAAAGCTATCATTAAACATTTCTTTCGACCTAAATTATTTTTGATGCAATACCCCAAACTTAAATAAAACTTCCTATTACGAAACTAAACAGAATAGAGCCTAAAGGATTGATACTAAAAACCAATCCTATTTAAGAATATGACAGACCCGCTTAATCTGCTGCCAATCCAGGATAAAATGGAGCAATTTGTGATATACCAACATTGATTACAAAATTAGTGATACAAAATGTCATCAACCTAGGATCAACACATTTACTAAAGAATTGTATATGATTCATACCCTTCATATTTTGAACTGTTATAAGCCTATTCCTTCTTTTCTTCAGGCTCCATAACTGAAAATGGTTACATTAAAGGTTTCTAATCTCCCTATTAGTCAGATGACATAGATATAAATTTGTTAAAATTTATGAAATTCGCAATCGCACTAATATTAAAAGAATTTCATAAAATCTTATCTCTATTCCTTATTGTATATTATAATTCATTTTCACAACTCAATGTCTTCCTGGCATTTATTCCTTTTTAGGTTCTAACTTAATCATATCATCAATTCTCAAAATTGTAATAGCAGCCTCTGTTGCAAATCTAATTGAATAATTCTCATAAATAATACTTAATAGATTTTATTTTACTAACTGTTGGTTCAAGTACACCATGTCTAAGATTATGTCTAACTTCACCTTTGATCAAATCTAAACCACTAAACTTATATCCCTTCTCATCAACCTCTAATTATTGTGATTTACTGTGTAAAACTCTCAATTTACTGATTAAATCAATAGAATCTTTTGCTGCATTTGTAGCTAAGATTTTTGGAATTGAAGTCAAGGCTTCTGAAAATTCAGCTATTGCAATCTATTCATTAGAATCCAATTTTCTTGAATAATCATCTAAATAAATGCTTAAAGCCATTTCTACTGCTCCACCTCCAGCAACAACAGATCCTGATTCTAAGGTTCTCTTTACAACACATAAAGAATCATGTAATGATCTCTCAATTTCATCAGTCATCATTTCATTAGCACCTCTTACAATAATACTTGCTGATTATTCCTTTTTCATTCCTTTGAAAAATATATAATCATTATCTCCAATTGCTTCTTCATAAACTTCCTAAAATTTATATTATATTTTTAAATTACTTCAGCTTCTCCTAAACAAGTTGAATCAAATGACTCTCCAGTTTCCTCATTAGCAAATGTGGTAACTACTTTAGCACCAGAAGCTTTTGCAATTCTTCTCAAATGATCCTTAGGAACTCTTCTTAAACCAATTGCACCTGCTTCTACTAAATATTTATTAGCTAAATCATCCATTCCTTTTGAAGTTAAAATAACATTTGCTCCTGCTTATAATAATAATTGAATTCTTTCCTTCAATACATCCATTTCCTTCTTTCTAATTTTCTCTAAATTATTTGGATCATCCACCAATATTTAAACTCCCATTTACATTTTAAATTTATTCAAATTAATATCCAAACAGGCAATTTTAGCATTTTTAACTTTTGTTACCATTTATTATGATGCTCTTTATAATTAAATAACATATCCCTTTACTAATTCAGATTAATTTGATGATTAACCATGACTTTTTACAATATTAATTGATTAAATTGGATACTTAGCTTTACCAGACACTAAACCTTAGGTCTTAACCAATCTAACTGCATCTACTGCTAATTTAGCAAAGATGGGACTTTCTGGACCAATTACTTTACTATTCATTGATGTTTTGGCAGCATTAATTAATATTTCTGTATCGTCTTCAGTAATTTTATGTACCAAATGTGATTGAATGTATTTTACTGCTTATCTAGCTGCTTATTTATATCCAGATATAATTGTTGTGGGATGAACTTTAATTTTAATTAATTCATTAGCGCGGCGAAGTAATTCAGCTGCTAAAACAACAACTGATGTGGTGCCATCTCCAACTTCTTTATCTTATAATTAACTCAACTCTACAATGACTTTAGCAGCTGGATGTTCAACTTCTAATTATTTTAGAATTGTTGCTCCATCATTTGTTATCACAACATCTCCAATCTCATCAACAAGCATTTTATCTAGTCCTTGTGGTCCAAGACTTGTTTTGACAACATTTGCAATTGCCATAACAGCAGTTACATTACTTGTACGTACATCTTAACCTTAATCTCTTTCACCACGAATTCCCACTGCAGACATTTTAATTAATCTTATAATTATTTGAATAATTTGACAAAATTTATTGCATCTTTTAAATTATTTCTTTTATAGTTCTTTTTATTCATTAGAAGTAATAACTAGTTATATAATATCTAATTGTCAACACAAAATTTATTGTATTAAAATAATTTAAATGTTTATTAGTAGTAATATTATTTAGATTAATATAAAAAATAATAAATGATATCAAAATTTACTTAATATTTTTGATATTTCTTGAAGTTTGGAATAAGACATAATATATTATTGATCATTATTTAAAACGATTAAAAGTCCCCATTTTCTCCACCTATTTTATGAATTCTAAATGTTAGATGGGATTTAATGATTATGTAAACTGATTGATTGTTTCTTCAATTTCTTATTGATTCTATTTTAAATTTTTGATATCCTAATTAAATTTGAGTAATAATCTAGAGATAGAATAATTAATACTATTAAGATATTTTGCGATGATTAAGCATTTTATCAATAGTAGGTAAAACACTATAGACAAGATTATCATCTTCAAGTCTAGCCTCTTCTTTAACAATTTCTACATATTAATTGAATTCAGAATCATCTAATTTGATAAATAAAATACTCTTTACAATTTTAAATTTATTAATTCCAACTCATAAGTTATAATCCATAATTGCCTTTAAGAAAGTTCTTTTGAATATTTTTAACTGCATATTTAACATAATCTCTCCTTTTAATCCCACAAGTACCATATCTCATCTATAAAATTAGAATGATATCATTACTAAATATGAATCCAATACCAATTAAGCTTAATCAGATGAAGAACATTCTAAAACTTAATCAATGGCTCCTGAATTTCCAATAATCATACTATTTAATATAGGATGAGATTGTAATATTTGTGTCAAATATTCAAATGATTATCTTGTTGTTTTTTTGTATTCTTAAATTTATTAATCCAATTCAGAAACCTAAAATAATTATATAATTATTTTACTTTCTTTTCAAGTAATTTCAGATAAACTTTTTTTCGAAGTCTAGAATTTTTGGCACTTTGTCTTAATCTTTTGTTTTTTGATTCACTATTCAATAAATCATTATTCGAACCCAAAAGGCCTGCCAATTTACTCTTATCTTACATTTCAGAATAACTCTCCAAATCTAAATCTTCTTATAATTCTTCATCAAGCAACTTCTCTCCTTCCACACTAAGTAAGGATGTAATTTTCTTAATATAGGCATTTTTAACATTTCCTTTGATTTCTTATATTGGTTAAGCGCAATCCTTAAGACTTGTCGTGGAAGGTATTGTTTTGATTGTTTTATTGACTTTCTTTATTTTTTTACTTTCCTAGTTGACTTATTATTGAATCAAAGGATTCATTAGCATACTATTAGTGAAGATGCTTTATAAATTTAACATTCTTTATTGTTCATGTAATTGCTGCAATAATCGAACATTTTATGCTAGTAGTTGATCTTATGTAATAGCCGATTATAGCATATTAGGAAGGGGATGAAGAAATTGATCGACATCTTCAAATGGTTAATCATTATTCATTATATAATATTAATTAATTAATCATCTTCTCTTGGTATATGACTTGTTATTCAAGTATTCATTCAAGTCATTTTTGGCATAATTGTTATATTGTTTTTTAGGATGATAAACATTCTCCTTATTTTCATTATTAAATGGGGATGATCTCTCTTATGGTTTGGTTTTCTTGTTTTGATTATTGTTGTTACTGTTACATTATAAAAATACTTAACCAAATTACTCATTCAAAGGTTCTTTCAAGTCATTCTTATTATTCTTTTAAATGTATGTTCTACACAATTACTAATCTTAATTAGACAATGAATTGAGGATTTATTATAATTTAGTACATGGTAATTAATTGGTATTCTATAATAAGAGCATTAATTCTGAGTTGTCTATAGATACTAGATTTTCTAAATTATTCACATTAATATCTGATTTTAAGGCTTAGATAATGATTTTAGTAATTATTGGATAAGTCTATTCATCAAGTGGATGAATTAATAAGGAATTAATAGTTTATTCTAATTATTGATGTTGTATTCTACTTTCATCCAACAATTAATAGAGTCTATTTAACAATGGTAATGCTGATGATAATTACTTATCTTAACTATGTAATCTAATGATGATCAATAATAATTAAGTTGATTAAGGTATTTGATGTTAGAATTAATCATATATTTAAACACCATTATGATACTATTATTAATTTAAACAAGATTCTAGAATTAATTGTAATAATGATTCATCAGGATTGATCTGATAGACTAACATAGTTTATACAGTTTCATTTAATCTCTTCATATTACCTCTTCTACAATGTCCTTTCAATAAAGTACTGAATGTAATTAGATCTGGTTTAATTGTTGATTCTACTAATTCTTAGAATAATTTATCTGCTTAATTAATTAATCCATTTTTTACTAATCCATCTAAAAGTGAATTATAAGTTATCAGATTTGGATATGTCCTTTAATTTTATTTCATTAAATTGAAATATTTCATTGCCTCTTCTGTTTAATTCAACTTACAAAATCCTTTTATAATAGTTGTATATAGAACAGTGTTAATTGGTAGATTTTATGATTTCATTTATTCAATGAATTAAAGTGCTTAATCTAATCTATCATTTCTTACACAAGCATCAACTAAACATCCATAAGTAACATCATTAATTGGTATCTTCTTTTATTTCATCTCTTCAAACATTCTAAAAGCTCCATTCAAATCATTCATTTTACCATAAGCTTTAATTAGAATACCATATGTAACAGATGATGGTTCNGTTTAGTTTTCTTGTTTTGATAGTTGTTGTTACTGTTACATGATAAAAATACTTAACCAAATTACTCATTCAAAGGTTCTTTCAAGTCATTCTTATTATTCTTTGAAATGTATGTTCTACATAATTACTAATCTTAATTAGACAATGAATTGAGGATTTATGATAATTTAGTACATGGTAATTAATTGGTATTCTATAATAAGAGCATTAATTCTGAGTTGTCTATAGATACTAGATTTTCTAGATTATTCACATTGATATCTGATTTTAATGCTTAGATGATGATTTTAGTGATTATTGGATAAGTCTATTCATCAAGTGGATTAATTAATAAGGAATTAATAGTTGATTCTAATTATTGATGTTGTATTCTACTTTCATCCAACAATTAATAGAGTCTATTTAATAATGGTAATGCTGATGATAATTACTTATCTTAACTATGTAATCTAATGATGATCAATAATAATTAAGTTGATTAAGGTATTTGATGTTAGAATTAATCATATATTTAAACACCATTATGATACTATTATTAATTTAAACAAGATTCTAGAATTAATTGTAATAATGATTCATCAGGATTGATCTGATAGACTAACATAGTTTATACAGTTTCATTTAATCTCTTCATATTACCTCTTCTACAATGTCCTTTTAATAAAGTACTGAATGTAATTAGATCTGGTTTGATTGTTGATTCTACTAATTCTTAGAATAATTTATCTGCTTAATTCATTAATCCATTTTTTACTAATCCATCTAGAAGTGAATTATAAGTTATAAGATTTGGATATGTCCTTTAATTTTATTTCATTAAATTGAAATATTTCATTGCCTCTTCTGTTTAATTCAACTTACAAAATCCTTTTATAATAGTTGTATATAGAACAGTATTAATTGGTAGATTTTATGATTTCATTTATTCAATAAATTAAAGTGCTTAATCTAATCTATCATTTCTAACACAAGCATCTACTAAACATCCATAAGTAACATCATTAATTGGTATTTTCTTTTATTTCATCTCTTCAAACATTCTAAAAGCTCCATTCAAATCATTCATTTTACCATAAGCTTTAATTAGAATACCATATGTAACAGATGATGGTTCTATTTATTTATTCTTCATTTCCTTGAATAATTACATTCCTTTTTAAATTTCATTAAATTTAACACAAGCATCAATTAATGAATTATATAGAATCTCATCTGGTTTAAATTGACCAGTTTCTTATATTTATTCTAATAAGGATATTGCTCTTAGTAATTCATCTCTATTTGAATGATTAGTCTTAATTCCATTAACTAAAATACTATAAGTAAAATTGTCTGGAAAAATACCATATTATTTTCTCATTTCTTCAAAATATCTCCAAGCAATATTCATTTTATTACATTTAACACAAGAATCAAGTAATGAATTAAAACTTATTCTATTTGGTTTGATACCTATTTATTTCATTTCTTCAAATAAATTAATAGCTTCATTTAATCTCTTCTTTCTTCCACATCCTTTTATTAATGTATTATAAGTAATTTCATCTAATTAAATAGATTATGATTATTTCATCTCATTTAATAATAGAAATCCTCTATTTAAATCACCAGCATTAATACAAGCATCTAATAAACAATTATAGATGATTTGATCAGGTTAATTGAATTATTTATACTCATCAAATAATTGAAATGCTAATCTAAGATNGATTCTAATTATTGATGTTGTATTCTACTTTCATCCAACAATTAATAGAGTCTATTTAATAATGGTAATGCTGATGATAATTACTTATCTTAACTATGTAATCTAATGATGATCAATAATAATTAAGTTGATTAAGGTATTTGATGTTAGAATTAATCATATATTTAAACACCATTATGATACTATTATTAATTTAAACAAGATTCTAGAATTAATTGTAATAATGATTCATCAGGATTGATCTGATAGACTAACATAGTTTATACAGTTTCATTTAATCTCTTCATATTACCTCTTCTACAATGTCCTTTTAATAAAGTACTGAATGTAATTAGATCTGGTTTGATTGTTGATTCTACTAATTCTTAGAATAATTTATCTGCTTAATTCATTAATCCATTTTTTACTAATCCATCTAGAAGTGAATTATAAGTTATAAGATTTGGATATGTCCTTTAATTTTATTTCATTAAATTGAAATATTTCATTGCCTCTTCTGTTTAATTCAACTTACAAAATCCTTTTATAATAGTTGTATATAGAACAGTGTTAATTGGTAGATTTTATGATTTCATTTATTCAATGAATTAAAGTGCTTAATCTAATCTATCATTTCTTACACAAGCATCAACTAAACATCCATAAGTAACATCATTAATTGGTATCTTCTTTTATTTCATCTCTTCAAACATTCTAAAAGCTCCATTCAAATCATTCATTTTACCATAAGCTTTAATTAGAATACCATATGTAACAGATGATGGTTCAATTTATTTATCCTTCATTTCCTTGAATAATTACATTCCTTTTTAAATTTCATTAAATTTAACACAAGCATCAATTAATGAATTATATAGAATCTCATCTGGTTTAAATTGACCAGTTTCTTATATTTATTCTAATAAGGATATTGCTCTTAGTAATTCATCTCTATTTGAATGATTAGTTTTAATTCCATTAACTAAAATACTATAAGTAAAATTATCTGGGAAGATACCATATTATTTTCTCATTTCTTCAAAATATCTCCAAGCAATATTCATTTTATTACATTTAACACAAGAATCAAGTAATGAATTAAAACTTATTCTATTTGGTTTGATACCTATTTATTTCATTTCTTCAAATAAATTAATAGCTTCATTTAATCTCTTCTTTCTTCCACATCCTTTTATTAATGTATTATAAGTGATTTCATCTAATTAAATAGATTATGATTATTTCATCTCATTCAATAATAGAAATCCTCTATTTAAATCACCAGCATTAATACAAGCATCTAATAAACAATTATAGATGATTTGATCAGGTTAATTGAATTATTTATACTCTTCAAATAATTGAAATGCTAATCTAAGATCCATATTATCAGAATTCTTTAATCCATTTATTAATGTAGTATAAGTGAAATTATCAGGTTTTGTAGATGATAGTTTAAGATTCTCAAATACCTTCCAAGCCTTATCTTTCTGATTATTTTTGAAATACTAATCAATCATTGTATTAATTGTAACAATTGTTGGTTGAATTTTAGCATTGTCTCTCATAAAGGTAAGCAACAACTCAGCTATTGTGACTTATTGTTTTCTGAAAGCATAATCAATTAATTTATTAAAGAAGATATCAGATGGATGTAAATTGATTACACCTTCATTCAATACTTCATTGAATACCTTCATCCATTGATTATTTGAATTGCTTAATTCAATTAATTATCTTAAAAGCATATCACAAATCTTTTGTGCAGTTTTCTCAAATTCATCTTTGATTGATTCATTAATCTCTTTATTTAACTTAAATTTCAATAAATCCCAACATTCTGCAACTAAACCCCAATATAATAATTAGTGAGCATAGCAATATAATATTAATGGAAAATATTATATTTAATGATATTATTATAATTCTTCTTTTTAGATCATTTATTCTAATAAATTATCTATTTCATATAAAGCATAATAGCCTTCTTATGCTCCAATTCTAGATGATACACTAAATATCATCTTAATAATTTATCGTGTGAGTAGATAATTCTTACTTGTTAATATAGCTGTTAATCCTACAATCCTTTATTTCAAATATTCTTTTTCTTATTTTACTATCATTTCAATAATGTGAGTAATATAATTAGATTTGACCCAATCTAGATCTTCAAATTCATCTAAATAGGAAAGTATATCAGGAACATTATTCGAAGTCAAATATTACTCTAATCTTGATTAACATACAATAGCTTAATTAGGTGATAATTGAGTAGTTTTGACTGGTCCTACTTAAAAACATGATATTTCTATATCATCATTGGTAGAATGACTTATTTCTCCAGTACTTTAAAAAATAATAATTGAATAATACTTAGCACTCCATGGTGTTTTTTATCCAGAACTTCTTGGAATCTTCTTTTGTTATGAAGATAAGTTACGAATGATGTTTGGATCAATATTTTCCTAATTGTGAATAGTATCAGACTTGTTCATTGACTTAAAAAATTTATATTTAAATTAATTGAATTCAAATTCTTTAACTGTTAGTTTTAAATATATATTTATGCATATAAAACAATGATATATCATTTTTCATATTAAATTCTGATTTCCAAATATATTTTTTGGATCAATTTGTTACTTAATTCTCTTTAAAATCTCTACTCCTGTCTCTCCTATTTACTTTTACATAAATTATTTTCTCAATTTACCCACACCTAATAATTTTAATAAATTTCAATAAATACCATGATGATGAGAAATAGATCCTCCATTTTTCATTATCTCCTCTCTTGCAGCATCTTCAATTTCAGAATAACATTTAACTGGATCTGTAATTCCCTTATATCCAAAACCAAAATAAACATAAATTGTTGCACCAGAATCATAAACCTAAGAAATTCTAAAAGAAACAAAAGGTTCCTTCTCAACTCCTCTTTTTTAACATTCTTCTACAATTCTCCTTTATATCTAATTATATTCAAATCATTATACATTTTCACAAACACTAGGTACATTTTTCCATCCAACTGAAGTTTCAAAAGATTCTGCTATAAATTAAAATTACATAGCAAAATCTCTTAAGTATGCTATCATATAAGTTAAGAAATATCCTCTCTCCCCATTTTCAGCTCCTGCTCTAAATCCTTTATAAAATTTAGCTAATTCAAAAACTTTCTTCTCTTAAAATTCAATTTCTTATTTTGTCCCCTCAAATACAACAGTAACCAAACACATTTAATCTGGATCAAATTACATAAATTGAGTAATAAAGTATTTTTTTATTTTATCCATAAATTCTTCCCTCTTGTTATGAGGCATAGTTTTCAAAGCCATACCAAATTAAAATTGATTATTATCAACTAATCTAACTGATGCAGGCCATACTTTACTTCTGGATAATCGATACATAAATTCAGTACCTAAAGCAAAATTATGGAATAAAATAGATTCATATTTACATACCTTAAATTAAAATTTTAAAATTACCTCTGGTTAAGCTTTAATTTTTATAACTGCTTCAGTAATAATACCTAAAGTTCCCTCTGAACCTAAAATAATTTAATTTAGATCAGGTCCACTGCTAACTCTAGGATAATCCAAACTTTATGATAACGTTCCAGTTGGTGTTACTACTTTAACTGAAAGTACGATATCTTCAATATTCCCATATCTATTCTTTTTCATACCTGATGCTCTAGTGCTTATCCAACCACCAAGTGTAGAAAATTCTACAGAATCAGGCTCATGACCACAAACAACTCCATAACGTGATAACTCTTTTTCCAAATCCTTACCTGTTATTCCTGTCTCAACTATGGCAGTCATATTCTTTCTATCCACAGATCTAACATGATTCATTCTTGACATATCTACAGATACAATCATTCTCTTTTCTTCTTTTGGACATTACAAAGCCCAAGTTACATTAGTACCACCACCATAAACACACAACATTACATTATGTTCACTAGCTAATTTAACTAATATTTCTGCTTATGCATGTGAATTAATATAGATAACACAATCTACAATTCTAGCCAATTTACCATGTCTTAATTCATAGATCTAAAATATTAATATAATTTAGGACTTCTTGCATGGTATGTCCATGAGAATGCAATATTCTCTAAGCATTATTAAATGAAATCTCATTAAATAATCCTTAAATGGCATTTACAAATTATTCATTAATAATTGGAGGATCTGTAGGAATTTCAACTTATGCTTCACAATTCAAACTTAAATCTATGCCTACTTTAGCTTCTGCCCATTCTTTAAATTTCATCATTTTTTAATTAGAAAACCTATACTTATTTCCTGTTAATCTGACTGCTCCATCTTGTTCTAAAATAAATTTTGTATCTTTGTATCCCCATCCATTGTTTTTAAACCAATCTAATTTGTATTATGTTTTCTAATAGGAGATATTGGCATAAACTAATATACTTGCTCAACAGATTGTCCTTTGGATCCAGCAGTTTCTGAAATTTAAGTATGCAATTATTAAAGTCGAATCATAATTTAATTTATATTCCAATATAGAGAAATGTTAATATATGGACATTTCAAAGTATATTCAATTATCTCATAAACCCCAGGAGAGGCAAGGATAAATCTTATTCAAATTGAAATCTAGTATGAGTCATTTCTGGTGGTGTTCTAATCAAACATGGACTTTTGCATAATTCTATTTAAAAATTAAATAAAATAATAATACCATATAGTTTTCTAGATTAGTCTACTGAAACTATAGAATCTTTGAGTCCATGCAGAATATATAGAGGAGATTTTACTTTTAGTATTTTATCTTTGTTTGTGAATCTCTCCTTTAGCATTTTCCTTAACAAAGGATATTTTTCTTAAACGATTTCTTGTAAGGACAAGAAAGGAGAGATCAAAACTAAAATACCTGGTTTAAAAACTGAAGCTACATGACAAGCAACACCAGTCCCTATTGATCTTCCCATTAATATGATATTCTATTCTTCTATGCCCGAATGGAAGGCCACATATTAGTAAATATATTCTGCATCTTTAAGTATTAGTTCTTCTGTAGGCTCACCTTAATAAATTCCATAGCCTGGATATTCAACTGCTAAGATATTCATTCTCATATTATGTCGAAGAAAGTCTAATAGATTGTAGGAAGACTTAAGATCTTCACAATTGGCATGAAAATAAATAATAGTTTTCTTGGTCTATGTGTATGACTTCAAATACAAGCAAGGAATCTCCTTTGTATATTTACAGTTCCTATTTGTTAGTGTGGTAGCTAATTCATTGTTATATATGATTCTAGGAGAAAGTGACAATCTTAATCCACTTCTTATTTTAGGAAAGAAAATTACATTTGATTTCTAGGTTTGAGGTTAGTTGTTTAGGAAATGTGAGGTATTCTTTAACTTGGTAGTTCATCAATATGATCATCATAAATTGATTGTGTACTTACATCCTATATATAAATATATGATTATTCACATACATGAGGTATTTCATCAGGAGGTTTAAAAGGATCTATTTTATGGAACTAGATTTTGGTTTTTGGAGATGTAGATAGAAATTTAAATATGTCATCGTAATATGGAATTTTAATTAGTTCCTAGCAATTAAGACAATAAAGTAACCTTGAGATCTCCTTCTCTATATGTATTTTTGGGTACAGGAAAAATCATAAAATTTAATTCCATTAAATTTATTAATGTAATAATAAGGATAAGGTAGTACCATTTAAGATTTCAATGTCCTCGAAAAACTTGGAGAAGGATCCTTCTCTTCAGTTTATAAGGTATAGAAGATGAAGTTATGTAGGTATAAAGGAAATCGGATGGTCAATATTATGCTATGAAAAAAGTCAATATATCTCAGTAGGCCTATAAAGAGCGAGAGAATGCTTTAAATGAAATTCGTATATTGGCATCACTTGATTCTCCTTATATTGTTGAATTCAAAGATTCCTTTCTTGATTCTGAAGGAAAAACTCTATATGTAATAATGGAATTTGCATCTGGCGGAGACTTAAATAGTTTATTGAAGCAAGGCAAGATCAAAGGAGGAGTTGAAGAGGCAGAAATTTGGAGAGTCTTGACTCAGATAACTCTTGGAGTTAAAATACTCCATGACAACAATATCTTACACAGAGATTTAAAATTAGCAAATGTCTTTATTGGTAAATGTCCAGAAGGAAACCTTTACAAAATTGGCGATCTTAATATTAGCAAAGTTACTCATGGAGCAAATGCTAGAACATAAGCAGGAACACCATGTATAATAATAATCCAAAAATTTTATTAGATTATGCATCTCCTGAGGTTTGGAAAGGTGAACAATATTCTTGGCCTTGTGATATCTGGTCTATTGGTTGTATCATCTATGAATTAGCAGCTTAACAACCTCCATTCAGAGCAGCTGATCTTCAATCTTTAAGTAGAAGAATTCAAACAGGTGTTTATGATCCAATTCCAGGCAAATATAGTAAAGACTTATCTGAAGTCATTAAAACATTGTTATAGGTTAATCCTCGTAATAGACCTAGCTGTGATGCAATTCTAAAAAACCCTTTAGTTATAAAAAAGAGTGGCTCTTTATTAGTTGAAGAGGAAGTTGGAGGCAAGAAAATGGCTAAACTATTATAGACCATTAAATTACCTTACAATCTAAAATAATTAAAAGGAAATCTTCCTAAAGCCAATTATGAAAATAAAATTAAAAGATCAAATTCATAATCTGGAATCAGAGTAAATACTGATATAAGTTAAACACCTTAACCTATAAGAAAAAAACCAGAAGAAGTAAAGCCTCCTCAACAAGCACAAAGACCACCTTAACAATAATAATAATAATAATAACCTTAATCATAATAAGTTAATAAACCTCCTCTATTAAAACCTCCTATTGCTTAACCACCAAAACCATAATAACCTCAAACTCCTTAATAATTATACAACAAAGTACAATAATAAGAATAGAGATTACTCGGATAATAAAAGTAATTGATAAATTTTAAATTTAGAAATTCCAATGTTCCATATTAACCATAATAATAGAATAATCCTATATATTAATCACCGAGATACAAAGAAATGATATAGCTATAAAATTAATAAAAAGTATCTGCTGGAATGCCTTCTGGAATGAGAAGACAATATAGTGCTGGCCCTATTGGAAGGAGATGATTAATATATATTATCTAATTCTATAATATAATTAATAATATTTTTATGCACTCTGAACAAATTTTGAAGCAATATTTAAATGAGTTAAAACTTTAAGTATCAGATTCTCTTAATATTGATTAAGAGAAATCATTTAAGAAGCAATCAGGTCAATCTGAATTGATTTTGATATCCAGAAATGTTGGAAAAATTAATAAGCGAAATACAGAACAATAAAGAACTATTGTGGTTACAAGTGAAAATTTATATAATATTGATAAAAAAACAATTAAAAGAAAGATATAGATCCAAAAAATTTTTGGTGTCACTGTCTCTAGGGCAAGTTTTGAATTTATATTACATGTACCTTCAGAAACTGATTATCGCTATAAATCCTAAGAGAATAGAGATATTATTTTATTTTACTTATCCATATCACTTAAGTTAAACAATAGGGATGGTTTGAAAATATATTTGGTTGATTAAGAGGATCTGTAATAATTTTGTTTACATTAAAAAACTACTGATCTTTAAAAATAAATTGCATTACATCCTAAAACCAAATTATTATTTCTTTATCCTCATGATTTCTAACTCTAATATATAAACATGTTAAATCAGCCTACAAAAAGTTTAAATCCTAATCATAAAATTACAGTACTATTTATGAATGATAAAATGAAATTTAGGATTAAATTAGAAGATTTTCAAAAAAATGCTATTATTAATTCTGGCTCTTTATCAAAAATCTTTTTAATAAATCAAAAAAATGATCGTCAAAAGATTTGGGCCTTGAAAACAATTAAATCCTCTGACATTGATATTGATTTAATGGAATTCTTTCTTAAAAATTATGAAATTGAGCCCTTTATTGAATAATTAGAATTATGTATAAGATAAACAGATTTAATTCACTTTTTTTTTAAGTTTATAAAAGGTGGAGATCTCTTTGCTCATCTATAAAATGTTGGTTCTTTTACAGAGAATTAAGCTAAATATATTATAGCTTAAGTTGGCATGGCATTATAAAGTGTTCATGAAAAAGGTATTACTTATGGTGATTTAAAACCTGAAAATATTTTAATAGATGAATAAGGATATATATATTTAACTGATTTTGGTTATGGCAAATTGAGAGTGTATTAAGAATATAAAAAATAATAAAATATCAATTTTTCTGTTGAATATGCATCTCCAGAATATTTGAAATTTGGAGACTTAACTAGAATGTCAGATTGGTATAGTATGGGAATATTGCTATATGAATTAATTATGGGAATATCTCCATTTTATAACATAAATACAGAAGTTACAATTAAATTGATATGCTAAGGAGATTTGCATTTTCCAAAAGGAATACCTATATCTATTGAATGTAAGGATCTCATCTCAAGATTACTTTAGTAAGATTCTTCTATAAGACTTGGTTTCTCGAATGATTTCAAAGAAATATAAGCTCATTAATGGTTTTAAGAAATAGATTGGTCAGAATTAAAATAAAAAAAAAAAGAATTGCCATATATTCCAAATATTCATGAAAGTGTTTTAATACAAGAGTAATTTATAAAATTAGAATAATTATGTGATGATGAAAAAGGTTGGTACTGATAATTGATTATAAATTACAAAGTAAAGAATATGTTTTTGTAAATATATAAATTTCCATTTTTAAATATTCTTTTCGGGTTTGAACATAACAAATATTATTATATTTTATTAATATGAATAAATTAAAAAATAAAAATACTTTAACATTTCCCTAAGTGACAATAACGATATTTTATATAACAACAATAAATTATTCATTACATATCAAGTTCATCATCAGGGACTTATTTTCTTTTTAATGGTTAAAAGAATGACCAAAATTCATCAGCTGTCAAAGGTGGTACTCTAATAACTTCTAAATTTTATTTTGTATGACGATTGGCTTTTTATCCTATTAAAATTGCTATTTAATTAGATTATTATTATATACTCTTAATAGATTCAGCAGGAATAGATCTTAAAAATTGTAAATGTTTTGCTCCTAAAAATTGACATTTAAATATATCTGATGGTAATGGAACTTACATAAGTGTACCGCCCATTAAAGGAGATGATATTACCAGATTAACTTTTAATTATCTTGCAACAGTTAAAATTTAAGTATTTTCTCCTTTAAATGGTTACCATTCTTAAGAAAAAGCTTCTGGCATCATAGCATTAATTGGCATTTAGACATATTCAAAATGATGATTCTTCCCACCTACTTTTTCTGCAATTTCAACAATCTTTTCTAAAGGAACATGAATTCTATCTTCATCTGGTCTTGCTCTAAAGCATACCCATGTAGCCATTCCATATCTTCTAATTTTACCATTCTAAACACTTTTTTCATATTATTCAAAAGCCTTAGCTACTCTATCATAAAATTTATCCTATCCCAAAAGTGGTAATTAACTTTCAGCAGCATTATGTAAATACAATAGATCTAATGTTTCTAATCCTAAGTGATTCAATGTTTACTATAATTATAATATTCAATTACCTCCAATTACATTTCTAAAAACTTAGGATGCATACAATGACATGCTCCAACTACATCTTCTTATGAAATAAGATTTTTATTGATAAGTTCTCTTATCAATTAAGTTTCTTATATGCCTCTATCTCCATCAGCAGGAATATATCCTCCCTTACTAGATATAAATAATTAATCTCTAGGAATATTCAAAGCTCTAATTGCAGCACCAATTACTCTCTCTGATTTCATATATCTATAATTAATTGCTGTATCAATCACATTAACTCCACCTGATAAGACACTATCAATAATAGATCCATAAAGCATAATATCATTATTTTAATCAGGAGCTCCTTAGTAAGATCCGATTCCAAGACTTGACAATAGTAAATTGTTTCTATAATTTGTTCTAAAATGAGATGCTGGAATCTCACTATTATTTGAAGTATACTATTTTGTTCCATCAGTTGTTGCATATCCTGGAATAGGAGGATATGATAATTTATAGATGTCTTTGAAATGTTATTGATATCTAATGAATACATAATTGAATTTACTTCTATAAATAATGTTCAGAACTCAATTCAATTGTATGACTAAAACTTTTTAGAATTCTTAAATTAAACATTCAATATTAATTAAAATGTAGTGAAAATCATAATTTTATAGATTCAAGGTTAAGTTGGACTCGTTTTCTTAATATGTTAGTTTACTCAAAGTAAATACTGTAAACTTAATCAGCATTATGAAAAAAATCGCTTGCCAACTCAAATTTTTTCAAGCCAAGATATGCTACTCCTATATTATTTAATATCTATCCTAATTAGGCATCAAAGGTTCCTCTATAACATCTGACTGCCAAAGTATAATAATCTATGGCAATTTCTAGTTAGTTTTATATTTGATATACTATTCCAAGTAGATTATAGATTTAAACAAAGTTAAAATCGTAATCATTATGATAACTAAATATTATATAACAAATACAAATCAGTATGTATTTTAAGACTCTTCAACAAATATTCAGTAGCCACTTCAAATGCTTTGGAATAATAGAAGATTTTTCCCAAAGCATAATACGCCTTCCCAACTTTAATATTATTCTCTATGATATTATCCCTATAGATTTCTAAGGCTTCATAGGTAATCAATTTAGCTGATTCATAATCATCTGAATATTAATGAATATCTACTTATTAATGCATAAACGATCCCTAACTATAATAAACAGTCAGCTTATTGTACTTTCCAGTTGAGTCTCTCATACAAAATTAAAGCTTAATAGAACTTATCTGCTGCCTCTTGAAATTTAAGAAGAATTCTATATAAATTTCCTAAACTCAACATTAACTATCCTTTTATGTGCAAATCTGCTATGTCGAAATTTTATAAAATCATGTTCTATGTTGCAACTGCCTCTTCAATAAGTCCTTCTGATTGCTAAACTTTACTCAAATAGTAAAATGCTTAAATGCAAATTACTGAAGACTATTTTTATTCAATTTTCGTATCAGCTTCTTTTATTCCTTCCTTTGAATTAGTTATAATCTTAAGCAATCGTGACTTAGCTTTTTTTAATTCATTCCTTTCCAAATCCTCAATAGATGCTAATAATTCTCTATAATCACTATTTTCACTTAACTCCAATATAAACTATGTTTTTGTTGGTAATTTAGCCATCTTTATGGTTTTTAGTTTTTTAACTTTATTTTAAGTGGTATGAACCTCAAATTGGACTCTGGGAGGAATTTGAGCACTAACTTCTTCTGGTACAATCAATAATTTATCTTCAGACTATCTTTGAGTTAAGATTCCTTCAAAATCAATGGTATGTCCTCCTGAATTAAGCATTAGTAAAATAGATTAATACTTGAGTGATGCTATTTCTATTAAGTATTGGCTCATTCTTTAATTTGTTTATTGCATAATCTTATTCAGTTCTCTCCTCACTCTATAACATTAAATAATATAATGTCAAATACAAAACTAATTATAGTAGTATATATTAAATATAATCAAATATTATGTCTAATTCTTATATGAGGTAAATGGGTGGATTGATTTTATCTTGGAGATACAATTAAGGACAGTAATGGTGGCATACAGATTGATTATTAATTATTGCATTTAATAGTTGGTTTGTTTAACTTTGAAGTTACATATTAATTCAAAACTGAATTTAATCCAGTAATTAAATAAACTTTTTATTATGATTTTGACAATTTTTTATGTACCATATGTTCTTCAGTTGATAATTTATGAACTAAAGATTTCTTAGGTTTCAAATGATAGAATTCTTCATCAGAATCTTATGGTGAATTTAGAGCTGTAACATTCTAACTAATAGCAAAATCAAAATTAGAAGCTGATTTAAATTTTGGATTCAATTATTTCTTAGCAAAGTCTAAAACGTTAAGAAAGGTCATTCTTGGTTATTCAATTCTAGTTTTCAACACTTTTTTCATTCTTTATCTTTATCTAAATCTAATATTCTATACAATCCTATATCTAATAATAAAGAGTAGACAATAAACAAGTTTTCTAAAGATTTTGATATATTTGGAATTTCTATAACGATCTAAAATTTGGTTTTATTTTATAGATTCTTAATATGAATATGATGTTCCATTAAATGGATAGATCTTGAATATTCTTTATTTAAATTAGGAGTCTTTTCCACAATCAGAACAACAACAACTAGTATTTCCAAATTTATTTTATGTAATTTCCAATCTACTAGTTCTCATCAATCTTTAACTCATTTATTTCTAAGTCATATGATAAGATGGTTTTATTTTCTTAATATTTAATCGTTCTCTTCTCTCTTCAATTTATGTACAAAAGAATTACACTTTGGTTTGTCTATTCAATTTTTATTTAGAGTTCATTTTAAGTAATTATTTTTAATAAGTTATCAATTTAAAAATCAGTATATATAATATCAATTTGTAGTTTTAATATATTAGATAAATGGAATTTCAATATAAATGTCAATCTTCATTATTCATCTACTCATGTATTTTTTCACTTAATGTTTTAGATTTAATTTTGATTAAACTTCTATAGTCTCCAATTCCACCCAAAATTATAGTATTTTTTAAAAGTGATTTCTACTTCCATTCTCTAAACTTCTACTAAATAAAGATTATGGAAACCTAATTAATAAATATATATCTATTTACCATGTCTCCACTATTCAATGTTGTCTCTCTAAATTTTGGTTCTACATGTTATTATTTATTGCCATAAACTTTATTATATATTTCCTTGTCTTCTGGTTCTAAATTAACTACTCCATATTTAAAGGTCACAGAAATCCTTGTCAAACTCACAATCACATCATGAAATCTATAACAAAGTACATTTGAATCTACTAATTCATAAATAGGAATCTTCAAAGCCTTTAAGAATTTCTTCTTATTATTGACATCCAATAAATCTGACTACTCTAAACCAAAGATTAGTGCTATTTAAGATGACAATCTCCAAAAAAGTTTATAACTTATAAATCCTTCTCCATTTTCATCAAATAATGACCACAATTCCATAACATCTAATAATTAGTATTTAGAGATAGCACTTTATTCACTTTTATGATATTGTTCATATGCTCCTATAATATTTGCAACCAAGAGATTTAAAATCATTAAAGAAAATATAAGGATGAATGAAGTGAAAAATAGGTAAGAAAGGTTTGATCCACACCCATTAAAACCAACTTCTTTAAATTCATCATATGATTCAATATTTATACAAGCAATAGCTGGTGATTATTCTAAAGTTGTTTCTTGTAATACAACCCACCATTTCTCACCAGATGATACTTTAATTAGAGTCATCAGAGCACCCCAGAAGTCTCTAAAGTGCATATCAAATCCATTTATTGATTTTTAAGGACGTAAATAAGCAAATAAATCACAAGAAACAATTGTGTAACAATATAAAACTACCAACATTATTAAAAGCATTGAAACTGTATTTGGTAAAACAGCAAAAATAGCATGGAACAAATGTTGAATAGTTTTGAAATGTTATGTTAATTTGTATATACGTGTTACTTAAAATGCAACTGATACTACATGAAGAATATGATAATCTAAAAAGCTAGAAACAACACTTAGAATAATTCCAATTATTTCATAAATTTTAAATGTGTAATCTGTTATTTATACTGTACTTATAAGTATTTCAAATAATTGAATAAATATAAAAATCTAGTTGACTTTATTCAAAGCTTATTCATATTCGTATCCCATTCTTGCATAATATAAACTAAGTATTATAATGTTACTTAAGATTACAATTAAAAATGGAATCTATAATAACTAATATACTTTATAAAAGGCATTTAAAATTAAATGAGTTGGAGGTTTAAATTTCTTTTTTGGTTTCAAATGCAATATTTATTCTTTGATCTGAAACCATTCTCTTTGTTTATCATCTAATAAATGAAGATTCTCTATTATTTATAAAATATTAATACATGATTCTTCTCTTGTTTTAATATAAGTTTCAACAACTAAAGTAACAAACATTCCCAAAACTAAAATATTACCTATAAAGAAAAATAGTTAATAATAAATTGACCAATATCTATTTGTATCATGATGTGGTTAATGATCAATCCCAGCAGCTGACCATGCTGGTATCATTAATTAAGTCCATTCCTCTGAAGTAGCAACACAAAATAAGATATTTATTGACTAAAACAAACTATCAAAATTAAGAGGTTTATCTACCCAATTTCCTCCTACGTCAAAACAATCAATTTTAGTTATTAGATGCATCTCGATTGGATTATCTTCCGAGAGACTGCAATAATAGAATTCATGATTTAATAATTGCATACCTATAATACTGTACATTAATAAAATAAGAAGACTAAAAATAGCTAATTAAATCATCTTTGTAAAAGCATTAAATAAAGCTTGGAGTGCTTATTTTAGTATAGGGTATTAATCAGCTCCTGTTTTTAAAAAGGCTAACACTCTTAGAGAGTCAAATAATGTCAAAATAAACAATGGAGGATTCCCTAATCCTATTGAGATTATATTCACTATGATATTTATAATTGATATAATGTTAAGAAATGATTGATTTACAAATTTAATTATCCCATAGGCCATACAATTAAGAATCAGTTCTATCATAAAAATTACTGTTGTTATATATTGAATAATATCCAGAATCAACTAAAATTAGTCAAAATATTACTTTTTCTTTACTTCTAGGATCTGTTAATGGATTTTACACAGCACTTTTAACTGCACTCAATGCTACAATAATCAAGAGAAAAACTCTAAACATTTTATGCTCTACTATTCTTCTATAATATGAAACATTTCTTTAAGGAACATTAGATTTAATCTAAATTCCATTAGGACTAGTTTCTTAAAGTGGTGCTTTTGAATCATCGTGATTTTAACTTTATGATTATGATTAGTTTGAATCTTATTAAACACAAAAACTTTTTATAACTTGCCATGCTCTTTATAAATAGTCTGTTTGTGGATATTTCTAATCTAATTCATTTAACTTCTTTCCAAATTCATTTAAAAATAAAGCTCTTAATAACCTCATAAAAAGTGTATGACATAAAAAGAATACAATTAAAAAAAAGATAAATGATGATACTGGCTTATACAATGCATGTTAATACATTGTTACATGCCATTCTTCTCCATAAAAAATATTAAATACAGCCATTAAAGAATTTCCAATTCCATTAAAATGTACTTCAATTTCATTTGATCCTTTCACATAATGAGCAAATAATTCCTATCCAATAATAGAAATTAAGAATGCAAAAATAACCCATAAAATGATTAGATGTCTAATTTTAACTATAGTTTCTATTAGACATCTAAGCAACAATCTAATAACTCCAAAATATTCTAATTTATAAATTAATTTAATTAATCTAAAAGCTTTGAAGGCTTTAACTATAATAAACACGTTACTTTAAAAATTAAAAAATTCTAATATAATTACAATTATTAAAGCAAGTGATAGGAGTACATCTACTATTATAGAAAATTTTCTCCTTGATCTTTAAAAAAATATTAATTTTAAAAGAGTTAAAATTATTAACAAAAAGTTCATTACCATGTCTGCATAATATTCTTTAGGATTATACTTCTTATCAATTTGGTCCAAACACAATATAATTGTTGATGCAATAATAAAAATCTGATCAAACTACTTGATTCTTGTAATAATCCATGATTAATCTTTCTCTTTAATAGTCTCATCCCGTAAGATCTCTGCAGGTGTCACAAGATTCACTCTATTTTAAGATGAAATTTAAGTAATCATATGCAATTTTTGAAAGTTGATCTAAGCTTTGTTTTAACTATTAACTAATGTTATTGTTCTTCTTCTTTGAGTAAAAAGTTCAGATTTATTTGATTTGATACTATTTTTGATTGCACTACTAACTAAAAATGACTCATATAAAGAAGCCAACAATAAATCAGATAAAGTATAATGTCTATTATAAAATGATTGAAATACAAAATAAATAGCATAAATATGAAATAAATTGCTGTAGCAGGAGGAGTCACAGCTTTCCAAAAATAAAAAGTAGTTGGTGACCAGCCTGTAGCATTAAAAAACATGAATCCACTTAAAAATGAATCATATATCGTATCAAAATTGTAGTATCCATAATAAAAGTCTAAATAATTTAAATCTTCAGAATTATAATGATTAATGCATTCATAACTTAATATTAAAACATATATACCCATCTGGACATTCCCATTCTCCACACAGATTTCTAATATTTAGATCAATAATTCCATCTTTTGCACATCTATGCCCCGTAACTCCTCTTAATAAATGCAGTCCTATAACGGAAAATCCAAAAATCACAATAACTAAAGGAATTATTATTGTATGAATGGTTAAAAAACATGAAAAAAAGGTTTCTACTTGTTCTCTTAAGTAATGTATTTCTTGTAAAAGTCTCACCAATCTTAATAAACGAATAACTCTTAACAATTAAATGAAAGTATTTGACTAATCAAAGTAAATTGACCATGTACAAACAAAAGTTAGAAAGTTTAGACAACTCCAAATATTTCTTAAATATGTTCCTTTACCTAAAATTGCTCCATAACAAATGCACTGAATTATAATCTCAATCCCAAAAAAAACATTACATATTGTTTCGATAATTATTGATGCTATGTTTCTGTTGCTTAAATTATTCACACTATCTCTAATTTAATAGTCATATAAACAGAATGCTATAGTATTTACTATCACCATAATAATCACTAATCGTTGCAAAACATGGATGTTTTCACTTAAGAATAAGCGTATCTTATTTTCTTTACTAAAGCATCCCAATGCAGTTTATACATGTTATTAATCCTCAATGGGATGATGTTCAATTTTCTGCATATATAACTATAAGTTTGTATACTTGATTTTTAATAGTAACCAAATCGGGGTGTAATTCTAAATATTGAAACGTAAAAGGCTCGTATTCAAATCCTAATTATGTCTCTAAACAATCTCCCATTCTTTTCTATATTGATTTCTCTATTTCTTGAGCACCAATAGGAGGTAAAGTAATTTTTAGTTATTGAAAAATCATTAATTTATATATATAATTCAACTCTCATACTTCACTCTTATTAAGTCTTCAATCAAAGCAAAAAAAATAATTTTTATTATCTTCACTTGCCTAAATATTTCAAATTCAAATAAACAAGAGTTAATTATTTTATTTTTTATAATTTTTTTCATAAATTTATGAAAGTGCTCTTAATAATCATTTTTAAGTATTAAAACTTATCTCAAAACAATATAATCTATATCTTATTTGAATATTATATTTGATATTTGAACTAATTAATTCATGTCAAATAGGTTCCAAACTTTAACGCCATAAACACATTAACAACCAGTATTTAAATTAAAATTATAACAAAGAAAAAAAGCTGAAATCATTAGAAAATTTTTATATTAATTTTAATTAATATTCACTTTTCTAAATGTTTATTGCTACTTCCTATTTTTGCTTCAGGTTAGATTATTCTTTATTATTTGGGAAGGCCATTTCTAGGATTAGGTCCATTATCTTTATTTGGAAATTAATCTAAAGATATGTCTATAAATCATTAGGCAATTTATTACCATTTGGATCCTCTCCTCGATTCAATCGTTCTTATTACTTATAATTTAATAGTTATCTCTTATATGCCTACAAAATCTTTTACCCTTTGTCTTTTAATTCTTTCTAATCACTAGTTATTGCATCTTATTTTTAATTAATAATTTACTTAATATTTGTTTTCTTCGAAATAAGCTAACATTTAATTTAAAAGGAATATGTCTATCCATTCCTTTTTCTAATTATCCATTACTCATCTCTAAAATAATATTAGATGACCCTGATACTTTTGAAAAAATCATAAATAGGGTTCTTTTCTCCTTAATCAGTATTTCCCCCCTTTTGAACTCCTCTCATAATTGTTAAGAACTCCTTAAATTCAATTTCATTTGTTCCATCTTCATCAACTTCGCTCATAATTTTTTCCACTTCCTCTCTTGAATTTACTAAACCCAAAGCGATTAATGGATCTTCTAATTCTTCTATACCAATTGCACCAGAGCCATCTCCATCAAGAGAAGAGAAATATTTTCTGAGTTCTGCAATTTCTGAATCTTTGAAATCAATCCTATCTTAATAGCCTCTTTTGATTAGCCATGCTCTCTCTTAAAATCCAGATTGAAACTTAATTGGTAAAATTGTCTTACAATATATTTTGATGCCTTATTAAAATTAAAAGCTTCCTAAATTTTTGTTAGTTTCTCTTATCTTTTCACAGATTTTGCTGTTTCTTATCTATTTCTAGTTGATTAAGATTTTGATTATTGCTTTTTCATTAATTTGATTATATAAAAATTATAAAAAGTCAATAATTCAACACCCAAGTTCAACCCTTAAATTATAATTTATGAAATATATACTGAAGAAAAATAGATAATTACTAAGTAAGTAAGATAGTTTTTAAGATAAAATTTTATAAGTAAATTCAAACTAAATCTATATATATAGAAATTTTGTATTATTAAAGGCAAACCATAAAAATTAAAGTAATTAATAATATAACTTATGAATTTAAGTAGAAAATAGAGTTTGATAGGATTAATTAATTTTAGTTTATTAAGAATTAATTAATTATTGCTTCTAATTCTATTTTATTATCAAATCAGCTATCTTTAAAAAGATTAATGCTTATAAAAGACGAGTTATTTATATTTTGAAAATAAATATATTTTACATTTCATTTTTGTTTTTGCCAATTTGTTAATTACCAATTAGGTTAATTTTTTTTCCACATAGGCCAAGCAGGTGCTAATACCTAAGTTATTATATTATTAGTATATACTAATATACAAAGAACACTTGCTCCAATTGTAGAATATACACATACTGAAAAACTCTCTAGGAAGAATGCAATTATAAATGAAATTATCTAAGAATATCCAAATTTTTGATTACAGCCACTGTCAAAATGATGATTTTATATATCTTTTTCACAAACAATTGAGATTCAAAATCCATTTCATTAAAATAGATATAAAGTGATTTCCAAAACGTGTCAGATTATCCTTCAGCCATTTAATAATATTAATTATAATTTTTTATTACAAATACAAAAAATGAAGAAGTCTCAATATGAAATATTTATCAATATATCGACCTTTTAAATTTACTAAAATCTAACAAATGCTTTTATTATTTTGAAACCAACAATTTTATTTTCTGAAATGAGTCTTAAAAGTTTAACGGTGCAATCAGAATTTGCTATTTTGAACTCTTACTATACTAAGGAGTCTTAATTTAGCATTTTGGCGTTACGATTATAACTGGAAATGGTTTAGATGATGGTGTCTTAAGTTTTTAATTGATATATTTATTTTCTTATTATTTCTTAAAGTTTTCCTTTTATTCTGTTATTAATCTTTAGATAGCATTTAATTGAAATGAACTTTTTTTCTTTTTGCTATAAAATTGCAAACTTAAAAGTTTTTATAGGTCTTTTTCATTTTCTTTCTCATTTTTAGGTAGTTCAATTTCTTTTACAACTAAAACACTTTCATAATCTTATTCATAATCAAGTTGTTCATCCTCTAAAGTGAAAAGACGGCTCATATTTCGTTATAATTAAAATAATGTGCTCAATATTTATTTATAATTTTCTTAAAATATTTCAGTCACAAGTCTTATTTATATTCTTACTCTTTTTAAATGTTTTCTCTATTTGTTTGATACCTGTAAATAAATAACTTTATTATAACTCATTTACTATATTATTTTACTTTCCTCAATTTATGTTATACTGAATTTTCTATAATCAGATTTTTTATTAGAACCTTCTAGTAAACTTCTTATCTTTAATAAAAAATTCAATTTGATTTAGTTTTTGTCATCCTAAAAAATTAAACCTATTCATTAATATTAATTATTTAATTATATTTAATTTTTTTTGTGCTTATGGATCCTAGAACACAAATTGAATTTAAATAAATTGAAAGATTTGATTGTTAAAACTTCAATGATCATCTTTTTATTAATCAACATAGATATACTCATAAAATTTCTCATAAGAAAATTAGTTTTATAAAATCTTATAAACTTTTTGTTAACACTTTTAATGATTTTATTGTTTAATCTATTTGATTCTTAAATCAATTATCCAAATTGGAAATCATAGATATTTATTAATTAAATTGTGTTGATCATTTATCAGCTTAAATTTCACTTTTTTTTATTATTTNTTTATCAATATATCGACCTTTTAAATTTACTAAAATCTAACAAATGCTTTTATTATTTTGAAACCAACAATTTTATTTTCTGAAATGAGTCTTAAAAGTTTAACGGTGCAATCAGAATTTGCTATTTTGAACTCTTACTATACTAAGGAGTCTTAATTTAGCATTTTGGCGTTACGATTATAACTGGAAATGGTTTAGATGATGGTGTCTTAAGTTTTTAATTGATATATTTATTTTCTTATTATTTCTTAAAGTTTTCCTTTTATTCTGTTATTAATCTTTAGATAGCATTTAATTGAAATGAACTTTTTTTCTTTTTGCTATAAAATTGCAAACTTAAAAGTTTTTATAGGTCTTTTTCATTTTCTTTCTCATTTTTAGGTAGTTCAATTTCTTTTACAACTAAAACACTTTCATAATCTTATTCATAATCAAGTTGTTCATCCTCTAAAGTGAAAAGACGGCTCATATTTCGTTATAATTAAAATAATGTGCTCAATATTTATTTATAATTTTCTTAAAATATTTCAGTCACAAGTCTTATTTATATTCTTACTCTTTTTAAATGTTTTCTCTATTTGTTTGATACCTGTAAATAAATAACTTTATTATAACTCATTTACTATATTATTTTACTTTCCTCAATTTATGTTATACTGAATTTTCTATAATCAGATTTTTTATTAGAACCTTCTAGTAAACTTCTTATCTTTAATAAAAAATTCAATTTGATTTAGTTTTTGTCATCCTAAAAAATTAAACCTATTCATTAATATTAATTATTTAATTATATTTAATTTTTTTTGTGCTTATGGATCCTAGAACACAAATTGAATTTAAATAAATTGAAAGATTTGATTGTTAAAACTTCAATGATCATCTTTTTATTAATCAACATAGATATACTCATAAAATTTCTCATAAGAAAATTAGTTTTATAAAATCTTATAAACTTTTTGTTAACACTTTTAATGATTTTATTGTTTAATCTATTTGATTCTTAAATCAATTATCCAAATTGGAAATCATAGATATTTATTAATTAAATTGTGTTGATCATTTATCAGCTTAAATTTCACTTTTTTTTATTATTTATATTCCCATCATCTTGTTTGATAAAATTTATTCTTTCATCCCTAATAATAATTTTTAAGGAATACTTATTAATTTCATCATATATATGATATAATTCAAAGACAAGTATCCAAATCATAATTTTACTAACATATTCCTATTTATAAAATGAACTGATTCATGATAGTTAAGATATATCATTTAAGCTAAGTTAAAAGTTAATTGAAATTTATTATTCATCTATTTTACATTTAATGAATATAATTGTAATTTAAATTAGATCCAATTTAGGATACTAAGTTTGTATTATATAATAGCTAGGTTTAATTAATATGAAAGTCTTTATTCTTTCATCTCTAAAATTTTTATTAATTAATTTTTACTATATACCTTAAAAATTACAACAAGTTTTAGAACAAAAAATGTATTATATGGATTTTATATAAAAAATATAATATTTAAATTTTCCTTATGATCAATCATGAACTCTCAGAAGAAAATAAACCTCCAAAATTACTTTTAGTTTGGAGTAAATGTTCTGAGTTTAGCGAAATTGATTTAGAAAATAAATAATCGCCCAAAATGGTAAAATTAAGAAAATTGTATCTCATATTTAATTATTTTAGGAATTCGACAATTGAGTATAATGAGTAACTTCATTAAGTTATAAATAGATATATAGATTTAGATGAAAAAAAAGAAGAGAGTCCTAAATTAGAAAATTCTAAATGGCAACCATGTAGCTGTACAAAAACTAATTGTTTGAAAATGTATTGTTCATGCTTTCACAACGGGTAAACATGTGTTGAACAATGTAAATGTGAAGAATGTTAAAATACTGATGATTATCTAAATTAACGACATGAGGCAGTTGAGTATATTAGAAAAAAAGCAAATCGAAATAAAAAAGTTACTTAAGAGAAGTTATTTGAAACAAAAGATGTTTGGGGATGTAACTGCAAGAAAACTAGATGTCAAAAAAGATATTGCGAATGTTTTATTAGATAAAAAACTTGTACTGTTGATTGCAATTGCAATCATTGTGAAAATGGGAAAGATGAGGATTTATTTAAGGAAATAAGAAGATAAAATTAATAACCAATATAATTAAAAAAAAAGAGATCTGAAAGATTTCTTAATAATTGATTTGTTTTATGTTTATAATTGAGTTTTTTTCTTATCTGTATTTTGATAACACTGAATAAATCTCCAATATAATCTAAAATTCTTATATATAAAACAATTTGAGTAGATAAAAATTAGATAGAATTATAATTATATTTAAGTTTGAATTTGATATGTATTTAGGAGATCTATGACAATTATTTTAATCTAAATAAATAAATAAAAATATTATTATCCAAAATGTCCACTTTCAATTTTATTATTTTTCATGATTTTGATAATTTATAGGTTTCTAAAGACAGATAGATTTATAAATTTTATTTTTTCATTAATTTCTATAAGAATACATTCAAAGATTGAAGAAATTCTGTGGTTTAATTCATAATTAATTTTAATTTATTGCAATCGAATACTTACATGAGCTTAAACAAAGAATTGATAAAATCCTAGAATCTAACTAGAATCTAATCTAAAGCATTTCAGATTTACTTAATAAATATTCAAGATAAGACGTATTTTGGATATTTTCCTAAACAAGAATACTAAAATAATAATCACTTGAATGAATTTATTGCTGGGGATATGCAACCATAAAATGATATCAAATATTTGCGAAAATACAATAAAACTGCAAGTTAAGGTTTTTTTGCATTTGAGACTTATAAGGATTACATACTTTTGTCAGAACTAAAGTAATTGCAAGAGTAAGTGATTTTAAAGATCTTCTAAGATCTTCTGATAGCTTTATTTACCATTCATTAAAAAGGACTATTAGGAAGATGCTTTAATGTTAACAATATTTTGCTTGTTGAAAATCAGCATTCTGTAATGATGGAATATGGATTTTACCCAGATCTAGAATATTAAGTTCCAGAAATGATATATAATTAAATTTACAATGAGAAGATAGATATCTTTTTGTTAGGGAGAGTATTATATTATTTGATGGTTGGAAATGAGTTGCCAAAATTTTAGATGAGCAATTTAAGTGAAATTTCCTCTGATATCAATTTATCTATTGCTTAAACCAATTATTCAGAAGGCTTGAAGAAATTAGTGATATCAATGTTATCAATAGATGTCAATAAAAGAATTGATTATTTGCAATTGCTATCGAAATTTAAAAATAATCAATTCTATTCCCTTTAAGAGTAATTTTACAAATAGAATACCTTGAAAAATATAACTTCAAAACTTATTGACAAAAGAGAAAAAAATACATCATGTAAATTAGAAGAATCTCAGCCATTTGAAATTTAATAAACAACTATTATAAAAGTAATATTTTATCTCATAAATTTAAGAAAATATTTGAAGAATAGCAGATTATATCATCCTAACCATTAATTCAAGAAAAGAATAACTATGATGATTCATCTGAACCTATTAACTAGAATATTAGTTCTCTCTATCCTCCTGAATTTGAAAGCCCTGTAAAATATACATAACTAAATTAAAATTAAATTATCAGCAAAGTTTCAGAAACTTAGACTTAGATTAAAACAACATTTTATACTGAAGAAACTAAAATAAAGAGTTCTTTACTTGAAAACGATCTATTATTAAGTGTACTTCCATTTCTTAATTCAGACAGGCCTTAAGATTATTTAATTTGGAATTAGATTTATTTTTATCTGTATCGTTTTTCATTAATGACAAAACTTATTGATGAATTACAATAATATTTACAAAAGGCAAACAACAATTTAATATCTATTGCTATATATGGAACAAAAAAGGCTTAGTTAATTCTAAAAAAAGAGTATCAATTTGCTTTAGAATAATGTTAGAATCTTTATTATATTCCAGAGAATGAGTGGTAAAAATTTACTTAATGTTCTGAAGAATATAAAAAAATGGTTGGAAAGATGAAGTTAGATATTGATGTTAATTAAAAGATGTTATTGTAGAAAGACTATCTACAGTTGAAGAAAATCCTAGATTAACACAAGAATGAAGGTGTGTTAAAAGAATTATATAAATTTATTGAAAAATATCTGGAAGATGTAAATTTTATTTAATCCTAATTTGTAGAACAATGAGCTTAATAGTTTTGAAGATATAAAACGTTCTTATAGATACATTTTAACAAATACTCTATCTCTATTTGAATCTTAAGAGGATAAGAATAACCCTTACATAAGATTATTAATTTTGATGTGCATATTGATTAATAGAATATGTGATGTACAACATATTCCTTAACATTTTAACACAATATGTTAATTTTAAAAGATTGATTCCATAAGTTCGATAGTTCAAATTGAGTAATTTTTAAAGAGAGGCACAAGCAAAGAATTTATCCAACAATTTGAAGAGTTAAAGTAAACTTATTTTTCAGGTTGAAGAATTGATGATTTATTTTATAAATAGTAAAATAAAATAATATAAACACAGTTTCAACGATAACACTTTGTTTTGATAATTTTGATGAAATAATTTATTTCATGGGGCTGATTGATCTTTTACTGGTACTTCCAACAGTTTTAGTTTATGTTATTCTTCTTCCTCATTTCTAAGTTAAGGTGACTGCTAACATTTTAATTCAAATTATTTTTTGTAAATTAATGAGTTATGATTGCAGAATCATTGGTTTTAAGTTTAGGATATAAATAGAGCTTCCTCCTTGTATAAATATACATTAATTCTTATTTATTTAAGCAAGGGATTTCATACATGCCTAAATTCTAAATAAAAATCCAAAAAAATTTTTCTCATGTTTTATACCCCTAATTTTGCATAGCAAGGCAGGTCTTCCAAATTAACATCATTCATGGAAATACCATAAATAAGCTGAAGCTGAGGTGGCTGCCATTCATTGATTCTTATATAATCTATATTATAAATAGATTATAAATGATTTCTTACATACAATATTATATGGAAACACTCAGCAAATTCAAGTGAAGCTGAATTTTCCAGTCCACCGAACAAACTTGAGATACTCATGTAATATTTTATTTTCTAATATTAATTTTCCTTCTATCAGCAGATGGATGTTTTACAAATTGTTGATCATTGCATTTTGAATAATACTTTTCCCTTTCTTATCTAAATAATCCTTAAATGGGATAAGAAAAAATTCAGGATGATTTCCATCTATTATCATATATGGGAATCTTAAATGATAAGGAGATTCTAAATCATATCATATTTTTATCCCTTTCTTTTTGAATAGCATTTTTTTGACCTTACTTTCATTAAATTAAAGTAATAATATGGATAAACACAACTTATATCATCATAAGGAAGGTTAGAGAGAAAGATTGATAGCAATTTAATTTTTATAAATATAAAATATAGCAATAATTTTAAGTTCGAGGAATGGAAATTAAAAATTGAGTAAATTAGAAAGATTCTAATTGTAATCAAAATCTTTTTAATAATATTTTAGTTTTTGTTCATGGCAATATTACACACTTGGAGTAGCAAATTGTTGAGCTTATTTTTATTAAACCTGCTGTGAATTATTATTATTGGAAATAATTGATAATATAAATTAAATAATTTAATCCCAAGATTTGTTGTTTTGATGTGGACTTAAGAGGATTTGGAAGATCCTAAAGGTACTAAAATGTAGATGACCTTACTGACTTATATCATATTGTGAATATTTTATTAAAATTAGTATTATCAGATAAAGAAGGAAGGATCTTTTGGCAGAATAATTAGTATTATACAATTATCAATGGATTTTTCCAAAAAATATTAAAAAACTTATTTTTATAGCTTCCGGAAGTGTATTTTATGTGTTAATGAGAGAAGAGGATGATGGAAAAGTAATTATCAAACATAAAAATTGTAAAAGAGTATCAAAAAGTTACATTATCACAAAAAAGGTTGCCTGCTCTGGATGATATTTCTTAATTATATTATTATTTTAAGTTATAGAAGTAATGTTCGGCTTTCTTTAATAAGGGAGCCATTTTCATTTATCAAGATGAATGGATATCTAAAATTTATGTAAAGATTTATGCAAAAGAAGTAACAGAAGACATGTTTGGACATATATTAAGACTAAGTTGGTTGGGTAGAAGAAATGCTAATTTTGTTTATGAAATTATTTGTTTTATAAATTGGTTATCTAAATAAGAGTATATAATTAAGATTTTGATAAGCTTATTAATTTTAAACTGAAAAAAACCCAATCATTTTTTCTTGTGCGATTATGTTTTTAATTTAAGTTATCTAATATCATATTATTCTGCTAATTTAAGTATCCAATCATCTATTTTTTTTATACTACTTTAGACCTGCTCATTTGTATCTATAGGATCAATGTCTAACCATAATTCTATTCTTATTCCATTACCCTTAACAGCGTTTATTTTATCCAACACCCGAACTCCATTTACCTTAATTTGTAAAATATTTTACATGCCTTAACTCTTCCTGTTATTGTCCTATAATTTCAAAGATAATATCAATATAGAGTTGATTGTAGATATCGAATGAGCTAAGAGGAACTTCAAATTGTATATCTCCCCCTTTTTCATTTTCAGGATCCTCCCAGCAAGGGTTTATATCATTTTTAAAAAATTAGATTGCTTCAATTTATGTTTCTATTGCATTGTTTTTAAAATTTTTAAATCTATGATTGATTTAAAATTGATACTGCTTTTATTTTTATGGTTCGCTGAATAAATCTGTCAAATTTTAATAGATCGTTTATTTCATTATAAATGCAAATTCTTCAACACTTCTGATTGAACATATCTCAACTATTGTCTTTTTATAATCATCATCTTTATTTTAGGCTGTGTATTTCTCTGATATAGTCCATTTATCACTTAGTTGATGAAATTAGTCACTCATTAATATTTTATTATGATTAAAATTATAAGAAATAATTGTTAATATAATACATTAAAATATCAATCCGAAACAAGATATTTTTTGTATTCTTCTAATAATTCATGAATGTAATGTAGGTCTGGAATCCTTTCTAAAAGTGATTGAAAACTTTATTAAAAATCGAAATATTAACTTTCACTGATTCTGAATCTCCTATGAATTACTTCTAAATCAGTCCTCTTGAAGAATTTTATGCTGTAAACTAAAAGATTCAACTTGCTTTTGATATTCCTTGTCATATGTATTTCTTCTGTCTATAACTTATATAAAATAATACCTCATAAATCACATTTAGCTACCTGGAGTAAAATTCATTCTCCAAGTTATATGCCAATTCGTTTATCAAAAGATCTCTATCCTTGGTTTTCAGGAAAGACATTCTAGAGTCACTCAAAATTAATGGTTTAATCTCATCCCAATCTTCATCGAAGTCTTATAAGACAATGCGATCATTAGTAAGTTTTGCAACTTCAGCCATAGCCTTCTCCTTCAATTTCATAAAAATTTTCTCAGTAATTATAGTTTTGTGATAGTGAATTTCCTCTAAATCATCTAATGTAATTGCCTAAACATTATATCGAAAAAAAATAATGAAATATATTCTCGCAGTGATTTGTAAATTTAGCTTTACCTCCTTTCTATATTAAATCGTATAGGACAGGCTCTTCTAAACAACTCTTTAGGAATTGCTCGATAAATAAATTGTAACCATAATTGCAGATATAATCTTGAAGACTATTTTTGTTTATGATTGCATATTTATAAATATCCATTCTTCTAAGCAAAGCACTTGCATATTTAAATGGAACTTATAATTCTTATAGAGTTAAAGCAAGATAAAATTTAAAATTGGTCAGTTATACATTGGTTAATTCATATTTGACATGCCTTTCTCTTGATACTTCATTAGTATAATTTGGAGAATCCATATGATATTATTGGAAGAATAGTTTTGCAAATTTTGATGCTTGAGTTGCTCGGTCTATTCCAAAAAAATATTATTCCAACGTTATATCCGCAAAAATTTTAGCATAAATTTAATTTGCACATAATTCGATACCATCTTAACCACCATAAACATCATATTCCATTTTTTCATTCAAAATGTAAGGTCTTACATTTTCAATTCTCTCACAGCATTTAAATAACTATTCTACAGGTATACCCATTTGCATAAATCTATTCATGAAGTCATATTTCAATCAAAAAAAATGAAAACTCTTAAGATTCAATCCTAATGAATACTCCTTATCCTATTTAAATAATACATTTATTAATCATAGCCTGTAGCTAATATATTTCGAAATATTTGTTTGACTTGGCTTCCTGATTTATTAAAAATTTTTTTCGCCAAATCGCCATCTTGAGTGAGGGCAGAATAAATTAATTCAGCTTCAAAATCCAATCTTGCATCTATTCCTTACGGTTTTCTTCTTTTTCTATTTATACTATAAAGAAAAATTTACTTTGCCAAATCTTTCAGGTATCCTGAAATTATCTACTATTGAGACTTTAAAAGTTGAGGACTATAAGGACAAACTAAATCAGTTTTTATTTTATCTGTCCCTTTAACAATATCAACAAATAACTGATGATTTCATATGATGTTTACTTTTTTTGATTATGGACTTGATCTTTGAGATGTTATCCGAAAATGCTAACTAAAACTGCTTTTTTCATAAGAAACTATGTGATTTGAGTTTTTAAAAGAAGGGTTATCTATTATTTACTTAAATCTCATATTGTTAATATCTGAGTCTTATTATTAAAGTTTATATTGCTATTAAACCTTAACTGTTACAATATTAATCATATTCAATAATACGATTAATTGATACATGTCTTATATTCTAAGCTAATTGGATATCTTTTAATTGTGCACTATCGTTAGTATGATGTATTATGCTTCCAAGAGTTTACTGAGATTTTAGTTTATTTAAGATTGGTAGGGTCTGCTTTCTATCAGTTGATAACAGTTCTATAAATTCCTTAAATGAACTAGTTTTAACTGACTTTGAGTGTTCTGATTCAGAAAACATTATTATAATTATTGAATATGCCCATTATAGTAAAATAAATAATATGCTTAAAAGCAATCATCAAAAATAAGAAGATTATTTTTTTTGTTGCTCACAAATAACACACATCTTTTTCTATATAGAAATTTTCAAACTATATTTTTTGAGCTAAATTATTGATTTTTTCTTTATTTAAATTTGGATTAAACTTATTTTGATATTTTTCTATCAAATAAAATGCATCCAACTCTATTTAAAAAATAGAAATGAATTTCAGAGAAAATTTAATTCCATTTATACCAAATAATCTAGGTTTTCCTTAATTAAGCAGAAACAAGTTTTTTTTAATAAAATTGGTTTTCCCAATTATGAGATTAGATAATTTTAGTATTATAGGAGCAATTATAAAATATTTACTTAAGTTTTCATAGTTTTATATTGCATATATTAAGACTTTATTAAAGGATATGATTTTTTGAATTGGGTTCCATCTAAAAAACTATCAAAATATTTCATACCTTAAATTTTAATAGTTATAACACATTAAATATTGAAAAATGTTATTAAAACTTGAAAGCATAATTAATCTTGCCATACCTTATTATAATAAAAATATTATAATTAAATATTTATAATAAAAAATAAAATATACTTTTATTTTCCCTGTGGCTTAGCTCCAAATATCGAATAAAATAAATTAAAAATAATTTAATGGAGTTATTGTTACTGAAAGTTGGAATGGGAAAAAAAATTTCAAAATACTAGTGACTACTATATATACTCCTTTAGAGCATAGATTGGATGAAAAACAGAACAAACTCGGACCGATCTATGTTTTAAAGGCAGCCTGAGTTTCCTTGTGTGACAGATTAAATATTCAAGATCGAAGAGAATTATAGAGGGTTGTGTTTATGGTGGTCGATTTTTTGAATGACATGATATGAAAGAATCAGGGATAGGGTTATNGTTTACTTTTTTTGATTATGGACTTGATCTTTGAGATGTTATCCGAAAATGCTAACTAAAACTGCTTTTTTCATAAGAAACTATGTGATTTGAGTTTTTAAAAGAAGGGTTATCTATTATTTACTTAAATCTCATATTGTTAATATCTGAGTCTTATTATTAAAGTTTATATTGCTATTAAACCTTAACTGTTACAATATTAATCATATTCAATAATACGATTAATTGATACATGTCTTATATTCTAAGCTAATTGGATATCTTTTAATTGTGCACTATCGTTAGTATGATGTATTATGCTTCCAAGAGTTTACTGAGATTTTAGTTTATTTAAGATTGGTAGGGTCTGCTTTCTATCAGTTGATAACAGTTCTATAAATTCCTTAAATGAACTAGTTTTAACTGACTTTGAGTGTTCTGATTCAGAAAACATTATTATAATTATTGAATATGCCCATTATAGTAAAATAAATAATATGCTTAAAAGCAATCATCAAAAATAAGAAGATTATTTTTTTTGTTGCTCACAAATAACACACATCTTTTTCTATATAGAAATTTTCAAACTATATTTTTTGAGCTAAATTATTGATTTTTTCTTTATTTAAATTTGGATTAAACTTATTTTGATATTTTTCTATCAAATAAAATGCATCCAACTCTATTTAAAAAATAGAAATGAATTTCAGAGAAAATTTAATTCCATTTATACCAAATAATCTAGGTTTTCCTTAATTAAGCAGAAACAAGTTTTTTTTAATAAAATTGGTTTTCCCAATTATGAGATTAGATAATTTTAGTATTATAGGAGCAATTATAAAATATTTACTTAAGTTTTCATAGTTTTATATTGCATATATTAAGACTTTATTAAAGGATATGATTTTTTGAATTGGGTTCCATCTAAAAAACTATCAAAATATTTCATACCTTAAATTTTAATAGTTATAACACATTAAATATTGAAAAATGTTATTAAAACTTGAAAGCATAATTAATCTTGCCATACCTTATTATAATAAAAATATTATAATTAAATATTTATAATAAAAAATAAAATATACTTTTATTTTCCCTGTGGCTTAGCTCCAAATATCGAATAAAATAAATTAAAAATAATTTAATGGAGTTATTGTTACTGAAAGTTGGAATGGGAAAAAAAATTTCAAAATACTAGTGACTACTATATATACTCCTTTAGAGCATAGATTGGATGAAAAACAGAACAAACTCGGACCGATCTATGTTTTAAAGGCAGCCTGAGTTTCCTTGTGTGACAGATTAAATATTCAAGATCGAAGAGAATTATAGAGGGTTGTGTTTATGGTGGTCGATTTTTTGAATGACATGATATGAAAGAATCAGGGATAGGGTTATACTGTTCTGTAATCAACTTACCAAATTTTTGTGTGATAGAAAGAGTAAAAAGATAATTTTAATAGAATTAAATTTATCATAAAAAATTTAAGTGAAAATATTGTGAATTTGATTAAATAAAAATTTAATCTGATTCAAAGAAATTATTTATTTTAAGATTTTTTTCCCCATTTTTAGTTAGGTTTTTAAAATTACATTTAAGTCATTTTTTGTTGAGTGATCTATTGAAAAATAAAAGTTATGAAAGGAAAAAAATTAACACAATTTAGGATATCTTTCAGATGGAAATCATAGACATTTCGAATTATATATTTTAAAAAGAAATTAATAAACAAAAGTCAATAAGGACGTGAAATAGAATGATGTTGGAAATAACATTTAACAAATTACAATTAACAGAATAAAAGGTGAAAAGTAGGTCATAGAATTTTTAACACTTTTAGTCCTCCTCACATCAATTCAATTGAAAACACTTTCATTTAATGTGGGTCGAATTAATCTTATTGATTTAGATGAGGTTTAACGTCTAAAACTAAATTTTGAAAATATTAAAATCCAGAATACAGTATTGGTGGGAGTTAATTTTGTTAGATGTAATTTAAATGGATCTTAATTTGAAAATGTAGATATAAGTGGGATTAATTTAAATGGAGCTTTGCTATTTAATTGTAAACATAAGAACGCCAAAATAGAGGAAATGATTAAACTAGAGGGTCATAAATATGTTGTTTAATCGCTAAGCTTCTTTCCAGATGGAACTACATTAGCATCTGGTAGTAGAGATTATTTAGATACATATAATATTATGGTTAACCCAGACTTCAATTTTTCAAAGTTTAAGAGAGTTGTTTATAAAAAACCGTTTCCTTTTAGGAGAATTATTGGAGTAGCACTTGATTAATTTAAAAACTAACCTATATTAGCCCTTAATTTAAATTTATTTTAATATACTTCTTGTGTCCAATATTTGTTGATAGAGTTCTATTTTTTAGTTTTTTCTTTTTTAACAATCTTGAAGCATTAATAAAATAAAATGAAATAAAAATTTTAGGTTGCATGAATGCAATAATATTTTAAATCTTTGTATACTGTTTTTTTGGTATTATTCTTATCATAACCAAGCATTTTTCTCAATTCAAATTTAGAATGTGAATTGTACCAGATTTATAAAGTTGATTCTACAACTAAATCTTTCAGCATTTATCATTTCTAAGTTTTTTAATCTTCTTATTTCTTGAAAATCGATATATTCTAATATTCACAAAATAATATTTTTCTCAACTCAAATTTAATTATCAGTAATACTATTATTTTTATTTAATTGATCTTATAAACTTTAAATTTTAACAATGTTATTGAAAAATTTTATTAGTAAAATAGTTATTTTGGAAATTTAAGAGAAAATACCCATGCATTTAAGTGTGGCTAATATGAACGCTTTTTTAGATATTTAAATAATTAATCGTCCAATTTATCTTAGGAGGTTGTTATAGAGAAGATAAATTTTATTAAGATTGTTCATTGTGTTTATCAAATACCAATAATTATTTCCTTTTTAATTCTACAATTTAGGTGCAATTTCTTAATTTAATTGTAAAATATAACCAGTTGATGAGTTTTTAAAGACTTATAGGATATTATTTTTGAATAGATATTGATTAATTTTGTAAAAATCATAACAGTGATTATACATTAAGTAATAACTGTTTATTATTTGATGTATGTAAAATTTCATGTTGAGCTCAAGTTAATCAATAATTAA